TTGATTCGAAGACTCCTTCATTGTTCCTCTCCACGGAAATCTTTAGTAAAAGGCGAAAGATTTATTCGTGGTTGAAGAGAAACCAGAGTGTGCCCATTCAACTGGATTTTCCAGAATAAAAAACAAAACCTACTTCAGCGTAACTCATACTAATTGGGCACGGGAGTCATATCTCATAGAGGCGAAAACTAACATTGACGTGGTGCAGCGGTGACATTGAACCCCTCGATCGTGATAACTTATATCATCCAACAGCCACGCCACTCTCATGCGTCGCCTTCCGGTAGTCATGACAACCATTCAAACTTGTGGCACGCAGTCATGGCAACTCGTGAACATTACTGTACACTGTTGCATGACCATAATGCCAACAGAGCTATTCAACAGCAAGCAGATTGTGACAATATGACAACGTGTAATAGTGTGACGATACAATGTGTGTAGACAAACAATACGATCACCGTATGTATTTGTTGGGGTGACATCTGTTATCAGTGTGTCATGCCTCTTACTTGCTTGCAGCTTCATCCGTAGTCCGCTTCCATTGTCCTTGTTCTATATTCTGTTTTATTTCTTCTAGTGCTAGTCGTTTCACTTCTCATCTTTCCTTGAAGTAGTTTATTCGAATTGTAATTGTTTTCCTGCCACGATCGCTCGTTGTGTTATTTATTTGCGGCTTGACTTCATTATTCATTTTGCCAGCGCCTGCAAGGCTGCATGCATACTGTGTTCACGCGTGATTGATGATGCCATCGCTTATGTCTTTGCTGCGCGTAGTCGCGTAGCTGGTCTTGTTTTCTTTGCTTTGTTAGGGCGCGTTCAGACTACCGTGAACCCCGTCAAACCGTGAATGCCGATAAACCGGGAAGGACATTCACACTACCGATAACAAACTAACGTTACCGTGAAGTTTTCAGCTCTCACCGCGGCACTGACAAGGGATTTTCCCTTTTTTCCCAGCGCGCATGCAGCCTGAGCACTTTTTTACTGCCGGTAAAAGTTTACTGCCGCAGCAGCCGCGGCAGTAAAACTTTCCCACCAGTAACGTGCCAGTAACGTCACGTGATCAAATCACCTTGGCGACTTTCCCAATCGGTCACTTTTTATCGGTAGTCTGAACGCGCCCTAAGAGTTGCTGTTTGCTCGACTCGACTTCATGTCCAGATCTATTTCATGCACTACATGGCGGCTGTCGCTGCAATAGCTGCTTCAGCCACGACGAGCTGTTATCGGTTGCTCTGTCGCCATTCGTATGCCTTGTTAGACGTGTTTTTCCTGGCCAAAGTGCTGGTGATTTTGGCCTTTTTGTTGTTCTTTTCTTTCTCTCTTCACTGCCAACTTGCATTTTTCGTATTTATACATTTCCACCAAGAGGCTGCCGTTTGCGCTGGTGTGTTGTGTTGGGCGAAGAGGGGTGACAGAGAGAATAGACAGTTCCAGCTCTCCCAGAACTTTGAGGTGCCGAAAACCCGGGAATCGAATCGGGAAAGTGTTTTCGGAGTGCCGTAGTGTTTTGTTTATTTTTGTGATACGTGAGTTCCTATTGTGCGTTTGTGGAATACTCGAGTGAATCATGTCAACAAAGTTTAGTTATCTTGTCCAGCCGTTTGCTAGCAAGGATGGCGATGACATACAGGAGTTCTGGGCCAAGTTTTTAAGTTTTGGCCACTGCCAAGGGATGGTCGGACGAAGATGCCTGCATGAAACATCTACCCTTATATTTGCAGGGCGATGCATTTAGAGTGTTTGCTCGTATGCCGGATAGTGACAAAAGCAAACAAACGGAGGTAAAGAAAGTGTTAGTGAGTGCATTCAGTGTGACGCCGTCGAGAGCGCATGATTTATTCAAGCGCCGTTGTTTGCGTGTGGACGAAAGTGTCGACGCGTATGTGGCGGACTTGCAGCGTTTGGCAGCGCCGTCGGGGCACAAACCGGGTGGTGACGCCAGCAAGGATCCAATCGTGATCGAACAACTCATCGCTGGCCTACAACCCAAATTCGGCCGTCAGCTGAGAACGTCGCTGGCTGGCCAAGAACTGACAATACCTGCTTGTTGACAGTGTGTGTGTGCGCGCTTAGATCCAGTGAAACGGATTCTCGTTACACGAGAAGGCTCAGCCAGAGCGTTTCTGCCAGCGCAGTGTACACTGACCTCATAGTACTGTTGTGTGTTATAGCTGTGATCAGCTTGGGCATGTCCAGCGCAACTGCCCAGAGTTGAAGAGGAAGAAGTCCCGTCACAGTGGACAATTAGCGTGCCATTTTTGTGACCAGGCTGGTCATGCCAAGCCAGCGTGCCCTGAGCGGAAGAAGTGGCGAGAGGCCAAAGCAGCAGAATGAGTGGCGGCTGCTAGTACGTCTCAGAGTGGCAGTGATAAGTGCCTGTGAGTAGTAGTAGTAGTAGTAGAATTGATCAGCAATGGCATTTACATGCGGTTTCCACAGAAGCTGCCCCCGCCAAGGATTTATGTGGACGTCGAGTCGGCCAAGCCGGATGATTGGTGACGTCAGTGCATAAATTGCCCTCAGCAGCATCCAGCAGCACGGTGCGCCAGTACGGTGACGATGTGGCCCTGTATCTAACAGGCCGCAGCCGCCAACAGACCACCGCAGAACTGGCCTGCGGTGTGTGCTGTATCCCCGATTTCCTGAACGAACGAGGACTAGTCCTGAACGCCAGCAAAACTCAGTTCACTGTATTCCACTCGAGAACAAAGAAAGTATGCTCCTCGCTCCGGCTCACCATTGAGAATATCTCCGTTGCACCATCGACCACCATCAAGTACCTTGGCATGACATTTGACTGGCACCTGACATTCTCTGACCACGTTAGTGCCCTTGAGCGAAAGGTAGGCGACAAGCTAGCTGCGTTTCGCAGAATCCGTGACCGTTTAACTATCGATGCAAAGAGGATCTTCTACTGCTCATTCATACAAGCTCAACTAGAGTACGGCTCCAATGCGCTTTCTCACAGTCTGCAGGCAGGGCAACAAGATCGCTTGACCCGTCTCAGCAACCATGCAGTTAGAACTGTTTTCGGTTATCCTAGGTTCTGTGATATTTCCGCTTTTCTCGCCAGGCGGCTTCTATCTCCTGACGTTTGCGATTCAAATTGTTTGTGCTTTTTTATAGATCATTGCAGAAGACATGTAGCACGTTGTTAACACACTGCTTCGTGACAAGCGTTAAAAAGGAAGTATAGTAGTATACCCTAAAATCAAATTTTCACCAGTTGCAGTCTTCGGGGTGCTGAGTTGGATGGTCTTGGTCCGAGGAAGCTGAGACGCTCCCTTCCTACTTGAATCCCAATCGAACTCGCGCACTTCCACCGAAACTGGGTGACTGCGCCCCACTAGATGGGGATTTGTATGCAAAATGTCACTAAAAGCGCCATTTCGTTCTTATAAAAGCACGGATGACCGCCATTGGCCCATATGTTGTAGTCTTTTGGACGCTGAGTCGACTGGTTTTGGTCCGAAAAGGCTGCGATGCAGCGTTCCTCCTTTATTCCCAATCGAACATGGTTGAACAAGCGGTCACGTGCTCCTGCGTACACCAGTCACCTGGTCACCGTGCCTGCAGGGTACAACTTACTAGCCTGTTTGACCTTTTTTGGGTGCAGTCCTGTCACTCGAGTTGAACTCGAGTTGAACCTTGGTGTGAAAGTTGTCGCCTGCTGGCGCGGTGACCAGGTGATTTGGGCACCCAGGAGCACGTGACCGCTTGTTCAACCATGTTCGATTGGGAATAAAGGAGGAACGCTGCATCGCAGCCTTTTCGGACCAAAACCAGTCGACTCAGCGTCCAAAAGACTACAACATATGGGCCAATCGCGGTCATCCGTGCTTTTATAAGAACGACATACCACTTTTAGTGAGATTTTGCATACAAATTAGGGCTCAAACGGTCACGGTTTTACCCCTGACGGTTAACTGCTAAGCTAACGGTCGGTTAACCGGTTATAACCTATAAGCCACGGCAATCCTGCGGACTCTTTTTTAACCGTATATTTGACTATACTCATTCAAAAAATGTACCCTATTCAGTACAACGCATACTTGTACATTCTCTTGCATGCTCATTCATACATACTCTCACACCAAGAGACCAGATATGACCGAGTTGACAGCCCAGAAATTGCGTACGCGTGCGACAGCCCGCGAAACTGCACACTTTGCAACGACCTGATACTTGAAAAATTGACTGAAAAGTTACTGCGTAACCGTTATCTTTATCGGTTAACCGTTAATTCTTCGTAACCGGTCTGCAACCGATTAATCGGACTAACCGTTTGAGCCCTAATACAAATCCCCATCTAGTAGGGCGCAGTCACCCAGTTTCGGTGGAAGTGCGCGGGTTCGATTGGGAAAAAGAAGGAAGGGAGCGTCGCAGCTTCCTCGGACCAAGACCATTTGACTCAGCACCCAGAAGACTACAACTGGTGAAAATTTGATTTCAGGGTATACTTCCCCTTTAAAGCCACACACAGTATCATGCACCCGCTCGTAAGTTCCTCTGTCTCTTGCTCTTCCCCAGGCCAAAAACCGCTATGGCTTTTAGGCATTGAGCTTCTTAGGCGCAGATCGCTGGAATTCACTCCCTGCTCCTGTTCGTATTTGCTCCACGCTATCAGACTTCCGCTCATCCATACGAAACATATAGGGTACCCCGTAAGAAGGCCTTAGGCCTGTGGGAATGCCCCATTCAAAATTTAACAAATAAAAAGAATAATGTCGCTGTACACTAAAACTCCCTAATGTGGATGCCCCCGATCCGGGCATTTCCATCTACCGGGAATCTTTCTGACCCTCTAGAGTGACAAAACCAACGAAAACAGGCACAAACTATAATATAGATAGGCAAAAAAGTGTTTACTTGCATGCAATAAGTATGTATGTTCCGAGTTGCCGGCAATTCCTAGTTACAGGCAGTACCCCGGTCCCAACGTGCCCGGATAAGGGGGCTTCTACTGCACTGACGAAACCGTATACGATACTCACCACAGTTCTGCTCATCAGAGCCGTCGGGACAATCAACGTGTGTGTCACAAACAGACGCCAGCGGCACACAGTGAGGCACTCGGAGGCAGGTAAGTTGGCTCTGGCTGCACCTGACCTCGGTCCTGGCAGGCGCACGGGGCATTTCTACACGATATATTGTAAGGAAATTCACAGAAAAACAAAAAATCTATAAAGGCGCTTGCTTGCACCTGGCATTTGATTTAAACGGTCGCAGGTGACGTCAAGAGTACTTCAGGTACATAACAAATATTGGCCTGGTGCAAGCATTGAGAGTTGAGCTCTCAACAGCCTCTTGCGCTGCACATACCAGTATAAATAGTTCTGAAACACAAAAGAATAAGTAACTCCCAAGAGTGTGCAACTTCTCATGAGTTGCACACTCTTGGGACTGGGGTTATGAACTCTTGGCGATATCCTGGTTTACAAACCCAGGAGAGGACACGGCACACAAAAGCTCAGGCGATGTTTGCCTCACGACTCTTGGGGAAGCCCCTGGGTTGAAACCGTGGGACCTCAGAATGTGCAGATCGTTTTCAGAGATGCTGTTACCAAAAAATGACCAACAGGGCTCCAAGTTCCAATCCTGACCGGTCTTGTGAAAAGGAAAGTACCCAGCGGAAAACAAGTTCATGGTTGTGGGCTTGAGCATGAGGCGAGGCACACCCTGTCTGTCCATGGGAATCAGTGCCATGTCCTGTCTCGGGTCTACACAACTCCCTGATGACATCAAACCGTCACAATCTGGCCATTCACAGGGTACTAGTACTGCATGCACATCGCACACAACTAACAAACTACCGGTAGTGTCTTTCTTTACATTGCTATCATAGCCCTGCTAGAAAGCAAGGGCTAAAGAAAAATTGTATTGAAGACTCCTTCATTGTTCCTCTCCACGGAAATCTTTAGTAAAAGGCGAAAGATTTATTCGTGGTTGAAGAGAAACCAGAGTATACTTACCACCTGTCTAGCTGAACCCCTATGAAGTCGACAGTACTTCAGTGACACTATTACCAAATGTGGTGGCTCTCTATCCCAAAACTACAATAACTGGTACGAGGACTCGCACGCCCAGATTATAAAATCCAATGCAAGAGCTGAAAACACGAACTATATCCGTACTAAATGCGTCACACCGTTGCTATGGCAACTGGAGGTTTCTCAGGACAACGGATCATTTGCTTGGATACACCAAAAGCGCACATATGCAGGCCTTGCTGAGGTTCATGTATATCCCACAAAATCTCTTTACATAGCTAGCTATGACTGGGGAGATGTAACCATGGCGATATACGATAGATAGAAAGCACGTGCAAACGTCAGTATCCAAGGACAAGTTCAAATGCTCAGGCCTAGAATTCTAACTTGCACCATCCTGATGGGAGCTATGGGGTTGAAAATTGCTTCGCGACCACCATGGCAACGTTGATTTTGGATACACTTTGATCCAGTTTCGCATTAATCTATGCACGTTCGAAGCAGTCTCATTCACAGTATGGCGACATATTCGTCAAAAGTGACTAGGCTGATGGTGTCTTGGGCGCATTGCTGGTAAGAAATACGACTGCATGCAAAATCAGGGCCAGGCGACATAAACAAAACAAAGGCTAAAACAAACAAACAAACAAACTGTACATTTAAGTTTTTAACCCGGGTCATATTTCAACCCGCCATGAACACAGATTGACTGGAGCATCCACGTAATGCATTGCACTTGACCCGGGTTGATTTCAACCCTCCTCCAGGAGAAGGGTTCAGATTGAAATCGTACTACCATACATCCATGCATTCCACGCCAGGTTTGTACAGCAAAGCACAGGAAATGTTCACGAGCAAGTAGTCACGCGACCATACAAGACTGTAGAAGTGTACTTTTGTCAGCATATCCCGGTCAACTCTCTTCGTGCAACCACCCACTTATTATTCCACCGTAAAAAATTCAACCCGGGTTGAAAACGCTCATGTAAGCGCGCAGCCAAAGTTCACCATGAGCTTATTCTCCAAGGGAGTTGCATGCTCTGATTTATGTACTCTTGGTGCTATTATTGCCCTTTCCAGTATCTTACATTACAATCACAAACTGTAGTGTCGCATATAAAAGCATGACCTGCATAGAAGCGTGACTCGAATAGAAGCCGATTTTCCAAAGCGTGCCATGACACAGAAGCATGGTTTGAATAGAAGCACATGTACTTGCACACTACATGTGTGACAATGTGCACTGTATAGTGTAGACTGAAGATGTTGACATGTAGAAGCATGTTTTGAATAGAAGCACGGTTGGAACCCAGGCATATACGGCCGTGAGCACCTGTTGTTATACGCGACATTACGGTATGCATCCACCAACTTGACAGGAACAGGAAAGCAGTGGACTTTATGCAGTACTCGAAACAAAGCACCAATACAATTTCTGTCTTTGGATTGATAAGATTTGGCCCACGGATGGGCCTTCAAAAATTGCAAAGCCGACTATATTTCAAGTCGTCAATGCGGGATATTGGGAAAAGTTTTCAACTAGCAATAACCACGCCTCGGTTGGACCTCATTGGCTATGGTACTACCACTGCGCAAAGCTGATTTGAGTCTTTGCAGTGGCTCCTATATGAGTTGTTGAAAGGGCCAGTGCCAGCAGTAGCAACTACATGTACATGTGTATAATATCTGAGCATATAAACATGACTGCATCCAAAGGCAACTATCAAACCAAAGTTATCTTCTCGACAAGCCAGCAGACAAGTCTAAGTCAAGTTGCCGTCCCGTTACCAAGGTAACGATATACCGCCGCAGTAGTTGCCAAAGCAACGCAGTCATTTCATCATGACAACACTCCTGCAAGTTTATGACGGCATTTCAACGTGGCATTCTGTGAGATTCTCAGCGACAAGCTGTAGCAAGAAGGACCCACGAATGTGTGTAATCCCCGGTAGCCTAATCGGTTGGGTACTGTCCCGGAAAGACAGTGGTGCTGGGTTCGAATCCCGCTCATGGATCCTTCTTTTGCAACATTGGCGCCTGGCAATGGTTCGAAACCACGACCCATTGTACTCCCCACGAGTAGGTACAGCGTGCTCAAGGAACAACAAACAACAAAATGACACAAGAAGGTGGTGGACATCACGCAACTGCATCATAAAGAAAAGCGGGGTTTGTCAACTTACAGCCGCTCTATTCAGTTGCTATTCACAATTGCCGCATGCGCTGGATGAACGATCTGACGATCTGACGATGGGTGACTGGCCCGAACGTCATAATTTTTCGACATCATAATAAAGATTTTTTCATCCGGCGCATGCGGCGATTGTGAATAGCAACTGAATAGAGCGGTTGTCAGTTGACAAACCCCCTTTTCTTTAGAATTACACAAGACATACACATCCATTGCACCACTACCCTACCTGTGCAAATGGGGCAGCATCTATTCTCCCGCGTGACAAACTTCTCACAGCGCAGCTCGGGACAGGTCACAGTGGAGCAGTTCAGACCCGCAGCGCCCATGCATGTACACGACGTGCAGCTGTTGGCTTTCCAGACTTCTCCGCTGACCAGAACAAAGCCGTGTACGGAGCAAGTATCTAACGAGGCAGAAATACATGTATACCGAGTGTCAATTGCACAGATAGACAAGCACGCACACGCAAAAAAAACCACAAGCACACATATGCAAGAGTTCGGTTGCGCAGATATACACGCATCCATGCACATACCTTACGAGGTGCACCAACACAAAAACACTTGTGCACATTCAAACCAGCAGAGCGGAAGTACGCATGCATATAATGATGTACACACATGCACGTATGCACACGCGCACACATGCACACGCGCACACGTGCACACGCGCGCGCACACACACACACACACACACACACATACACACACACACACACACACACACACACACACATGCGCACACATGCACAAGCACTGATTCACGACTCAAATTTCATTACAAACCAGCATGGTTGGCCATTCCATACAAACTAGCACTACTGTAGTCTCCACTCCAACACACAACATATTATACGATGATCTCATTTACATAGTATCTATACGTACGGTGTTCCTCGGATGGACGAGTGACAGAGGCAGCCGTCGGAGCACCGTCTAATCAGCACAGAAAACAGCAAGAACAGCACAGCCCCCGATAGATACGGTTATTTGTCGGCTACAATGCAACAGCACAACTTGCAATGCCCCACTGGTTGGATTTCAAGTTGAACCACGGTCTCAGGTCAATACAAGGTGCACTGCATCTGCTCGTCAGTTGCGGTTCCAATATTCAGCACTGGACGGAGACCTGTTTGCAGAGAAGATGAGTCTGTGTTTTGAAACTAAAGTTGTAGTAACGTTAGAGCAACTCACCTATTCCAAAGTCAGCGGGCAAGACAGTAGACTCGTCAGCATGGTGGCCTGCTGCTGCTGCCACAACACCATAGCCACAGTCAACCAGCACTTTTTCCAGCAAAACCCAGCGGCTATCTGCAGAGTGCATTGATGCATATCCTGCACTGTCAAGATGCCCATGGGCGAAGAAAAAGTAACGCCGATTGCCGCCAAGTGGAAGGTCGTACGGGTCGCTGCTGAAGCAGGACAGCGAGAACGTGACGGAGGTTCCCGACGCGTTGCTCCAGCCGGCGCTGCTCAGCACGTTCTGTTCAGCATCCAGCGTGGGCATCGAGCCATGTGCATGTTGTATAACCCACCTGGCATGGTACAGTACAGCACAGGGTCGTACAGAAACACAGACTCACTCTAGTCACCTGTTGTTAGGCATGAAAACTTTCGAAAAAAAGGGAGCTCTTTATCAGCAGACTGAAATCGGCCAACACAGTGCACGAGAAAATGTGCCAGGGTCCAAGAGAAACAGCAGACAAATGGCCAGAGGTGTTTCAAGCTGTGTGGTGCTCACCTGTCTTCAACTTTAACTGTGCCATTCCTGTGCACGGTGCCAATGTAAATATCACCGATGGACTGTGACGAGAACAAACAAGAAAACAAACGGAAGCCAACACTGAGACCTCGTTGACTTAAAGCAAGACAGTCAAGGAGCGTAGCCAGACCCCACAATCCGGTCCCCTTGCTAATCATTTGAACAGTGGTAGCATCCCATTTACAGAAGTCGCTTGAAGTACAGTGTAGTGCATTTGTATTCCCTCGCCTACTGTAAAGCAATGAATTTTGGCCGGTGAGAAATTTTGGCCGATATCGAAATGAAACATTTGGCCGTCAAACTTTTGCCGATCGGGGTTTTCAGAAAAGAAATGGCTCAATCATGCATCATTTGCCTCTAGAACAAACTTTGGCCTGTAATTTACTTTGGCCGGTTTGCACCAAGCGGCAAAACTAGCGAAATTAAATCGCCAGCGAAAATTGGTTGATTTACAGTATACGCATAATAGTGGAGAACTTCTATGAAAACAGGGAGTAGCAAAATACCGGTTTTACTACTCCCAGATTAAAACTATTTTTACAAAACAGAAATCAAAACATCTGGAGTTGATACTGAACCCAAAAAAAAGTAACGTTCCCACGCCGGGAATCGAACCCGGGCCGCGGCGGTGAGAGCGCCGAATCCTAACCACTAGACCATATGGGAGACACACTGAAAAGAGTGTCAATCTCATTCAACTTCCAACCAGGGAATTGTATAAACCCAGGAGAGGACACCGTCACGACATACAAAGGCCCAGGCAATTTGTGCCTCACGACTCTTGGGAAGTCCGTGGTAGACACAGCGGGAATCTCAGAATGTGCCGGTAGTGACGGTACAATACGAATTTTCACATTTTCGGAGATGCTTTCACCATGAATAAACAACATGAGCATGAAAGATATGACTCTCGTCCAATGTCCATATACGCCGAAGAATACTAGTATCCAAAAATAGATAAAGAAGCACGAAGAAAGAATCCTTCAGTGACAGCGAAGCACGAAAAAGAACTGAAAAAGACCCGGCTCGATTGTCCTCCGGTATCCCTAAATCAGGTTTCTGGAGAGAAGCGGACGCGCGAGGCGGGCCGACAGGAACAGAACACGTCCCTCTTAACCCTTGTCGTCGCTAAAAAAGTTGTTTTCCAAAGGCGGATGTTGTGGTCGCCAAGGCTACCCGACGGTGTACCGTCCGTCCTCAAACACGACTGATTGGAGGAAGTCATCATACGCATGATTGTTGTTGGGGCGTGTCGCACTGAGAGAGTCGAAATCTTCAACAGCCCAGAACAGGGGCGTCGGAAGGAGTTTAACATTGGTGTGGCCAAAGTGCGAGAGGGGGGTCCGGGGGTCCTCCCCCGTAAAAAAATTTGAAAATTGGGCCTAAAAAGCCATATTTTAACGCTACAGAATAATTAAAAAAAGAATATGCATGCTGATGATACACCGCATTGTCGATGCAAAACATGGTACCTGTCCCTCCACCAACAAGGTTGAAATGTAAAAAATAAAAAAAATCGAAAATTATTGGTGCGGCTTTGGCCACACCTGCCGCACCGGTTCCGACGCCCCTGCAGAAGCGCTCTCAAGGTCAAACGAGGGATCTTCTCGTCGATGATTTGCTACGGCTAAAGTGGTGTTGCTCTCGATTACCGAACAGGCATGCTCAGTTGCTACTGTGCCGGCGCAAACGAAACCAAGTGACGAGTCCAAAAGCTGCAGGCCATCGGGAAAGGAGATGCGGTCTGTGCCCAGGATCTTGTAGTAGTGATCAAGAACAATGAGGATGTCGATACAAAGGCGATCGTTGGATGACGTGAGTGGCTCCGCAAGAGGAAGGGTGTTGAGGCTCGGGTGCCTGTTGGTGTACAAGGGGACGCGCCATATCGGTGAAGTGATTTGGGGAATCACATTGGCGGACAGCGGAAGGATCGAGTCATTCTTGAGTTTGAGATTGACTTCAACGCGTGGGTACTGAGACGTGTTCCTCGATGCACTACCGAAAGTAGAGAGGGCAATGTGATCTTGACCTAGAACACTGAGGCTGGCTTTCGCCTGGAGCGCCTGCGTGACATACGGCTGCAAAAGCCACTATCGAACAGTACACGTGCAGACAGCGTGGTCATTTTATCAGCCTGTCTGCCACACAGGGGTTCTTCACGGTCAGCAACGACTAGGGGTGAAACGATTAGTTCGAATATTCGAGGATTCGTTCGAAAATTTCAAACAAGCGAGTATTCGAAATTTTGCACGTATTGGCATTGTATTTTTCAAAAACTTGTGTTGTACGATCGTACCGCTGGTCCACTGGTATGCATGCGTTATGCATGGCTTTGAGTCAGTATTTTAAGACTTGGACGATGCGATCACCACGGCAAGTAACGTTCTGAGATATGAAAGTACTGATGAAAATCGTTACTTTACACTCTGTACAAGACATTGGCGACTTTTCTTCTATGTTCACAGATAATTTCGTCCGAATTGGTCGAGAACTCGCAAATCTAGTGCTTTTGAATTTTGATAAAATACTCGAAATAATCGGATACTCGATCGAATATTATGAACGAGTGATCGATTGGTCAAAATAGATACTCGTTTCACCCCTAGCAACGACCCAACCGACCCGGATTACCAGCCCATCAATTCCTCTGCCGACAGCTTGTTGGACCTTTGGAAGAAGGGCCAACAACATCTGGATCAGTTCTGGCTCGCCTGGAGGAACGAGTACCTACTCAGTCTGCGAGAAGCCCATACGTCGTCATTCAAGCAGTCAAGGACTCGATCATCAGTGTTTCCGAAGCCTGCTGATGTTGTCCTAATCAAGGAGGAATTGCCTCGCGGGCACTGGCGCCTTGGACGAATCCAAGAAGTTCACACCAGCAGCGATGGCAACATCCGCTCTGCCACCGTCCTCACTTCGGACAAACGCACCGTCAAGCAGCCAGTAAGTTTACTGTGTCCGCTTGAGACCAGCAGTATCTCGGAATCCTCAGCTACCCCAGCTCAGGAGACCAGCAGTACCTCGGAATCCTCAGCTACCCCAGCTCAGGAGACGAGCGCTCCCGTTGCAGTCGTACCAAGACCGACACGAGCCGCTGCCAGCAAGTTTCAGTCCAACTTGCAGGATTTGACCGCCGACGGCCGTGTTTAACTCTCTCTCTCTCTCTCTCTCTCTCTCTCTCTCTCTCTCTCTCTCTCTCTCTCTCTCTCTCTCTCTCGCGCTCGTGTTTAACTCTCTCTTTACCTCTCTCTCTTTACCTCTCTCTCTCTCTCTCTCTCTCTCTCTCTCTCTCTCTCTCTCTCTCTCTCTCTCTCTCTCTCTCGCGCTCGTGTTTAACTCTCTCTTTACCTCTCTCTCTTTACCTCTCTCTCTTTACCTCTCTCTCTCTCTCTCTCTCTCTCTCTCTCTCTCTCTCTCTCTCTCTCTCTCTCTCTCTCTCTCTCTCTCTCTCTCTCTCTCTCTCTCTCTTTCTTTCTTTCTCTCTCTTTCTCTTTCTCTCTCTCTCTCTCTCTCTCTCTCTCTCTCTCTCTCTCTCTCTCTCTCTCTCTCTCTCTCTCTCTCTCTCTCTCTCTCTCTCTCTCTCTCTCTCTCTCTCTCTCTCTCTCTCTCTCTCTCTCTCTCTCTCTCTCTCTCTCTCTCTCTCTCTCTCTCTCTCAGCATTCCAAACCCCCGAGGAAGGATCTCCTTCAAACATTTGAGGAGATCAACGCGCAGGAGCAGATTTTGAGGCTGAAGACTCTTCAGGTGCAAGGCAAGTGGTTGGAGTGGACATCGGTGATGTGGCAGGACCTCTCGTGGAAATCCCTTTTGTACGGTGGTACTGGTAAGGATTTGAAATTTCTTCTCGCATCAACCCTCGACGTGCTACCTTCTCCGACGAACCTACGCCGTTGGGGAAACACCGTAGTGGATCCGTACTGTAGTTTGTGCCGTACCTGGGCCTGTACTACGCGCCACGTGCTTGGCGCTTGTCGCGTAGCGCTGGACCAGGGACGTTACACCTGGAGGCACGACAACGTACTCGGGGTCATCGTCAGGAACATGCGTGAGGAGATTCGAATCCGCACTGCTGCAAACACCGTACAAACCGAAAATTCAAATGAGCTTGACTTCATCTCGTTTTGCAAGGCGGGAGAGAAGCCAGTTCGCGTTCAGCCCAGACGAAAGCTGGTTAGCGGCCTCAGACTGGAAACTTCTTGTCGACTCAGTTAGTGCAAAGATTTCTTTCCCTAGCTGTGTTGCACTTACCACCCTAAGACCAGATATAGTTCTGTACTCTACGAGTCGTAGGATTGTATTCTGGATGGAGTTGACAGTTTGTGCTGAGGACAGATTCAGTGTCAGTAACTCGCGGAAGGACAGGCGGTATGCGGATCTGGCCGATCAATGCCGAGCAAACGGGTGGCAGGTCGTTTCTTTTTCGGTTGAGGTAGGTGTGCGTGGTTTCATCCCGGACTCTCTTCGGAGGGCTCTGAAAGCGCTTGGATTTTCTAATCGAAGAATAAAATTTATTTGTAATTTGTGCAGTAAGACGTCTCTGCGAAGCAGCTACATCATCTGGTTGCGGCGTCAACAAAAACACTGGTCGGAAGATCCACTTTTCTGAGGTACTGTATGTGGGGCTCCGTTTATTGAGGTGCGTTGAAATTTATTCTCTTTATCTTATTATTTCTTTTCTATAATTTCCCCATATGAGTTCCTATCAGTTGCTGTGAACACCTTGAGTGGAGAGCGCTTGCTCGAGCGTTGAACCGGGTTCTTAATCCACCATACCCAGTTCGCAAGGCTGGGCGGGGTTGTGAGCAGGCTTTCATTTCATCTTTTCTTATTATTTCTTATTATTTCTGCTTTTCATCTCATTACAAAAATTCTGCGCTTTTTCTCCATCTGCGCATAAAATCTAGACTGACAACCTGCTTGTTAAATCATGCACCTGCTTTCAGGCGTAAAAACCCTGTTGTAGAGGTCTCAGTCCTCATTTGTTAGACTTACCTGTCTTTATAAATGTAACTTACTCTCTCTCTCTCTCTCTCTCTCTCTCTCTCTCTCTCTCTCTCTCTCTCTCTCTCTCTCTCTCTCTCTCGCTCTCATTGCTCTCGCGTTCTTTATGCTCTTCAGTTATCTTTCCATATGTTCTGTGTGAAATTTATCCTTGTTACGTTAATTCTGTTCTCTGGCCAATGCCCGGCGAGTGTCGTGAATATGCATCACGAATCCGCGTTACGCTCATTATTATGTCTTTATTTGTTTATGTGTTACATCATGTTGACGTCATGCTGACGTCTTGCTGCACGCATAGCGTGCGCAGTTTTGCAGCTCTCAGGCCAGAGCATGCGCAGCGAGGGAGTGGCTCCTTTTTTGCTGCCTTTTTCCCTTTTGCATGCTTCACTTGTCTCAAATAATGTTTTCTGGTGACACTCCTTTTCAAGTCACCTAATCCTTTCAAGTAACAAGTGCAATGTCGTTCCGTAAACTGGAACCCCTCCATATTTGAGTTACCAAGACGTATTTGTGCGTGGTTATACAAGCTCTCCCACTCAACAGTCCAAAGTTGCGCACACTCTTGAAAAATACCAAACTCCAAATTTCAATCGCATCCACACTCTGACAGTTTTCGGTTTCACTCCGAGAGGGATACGGTATGCTCCTTTCTCCCACCTCGCGTGTCCGCTTCTCTCCAGAAACCTGTGTGCATACAAAGGGGAGCCAGGGTGCCAAAAGGGGCACAGAAAGATTACGACTGATGTTCGTGACAGTCAGTACGCGCGCCACACAGGATGAATTCCCATTACTAACTAAAAGAAAAAGCCATCGACAGCCAGTACCCAGATGGCTTTCTTTTTGTACAGGTGTCGACACCATGCGAACATGAACTCTTCAAAAACTCGATCACACTTCTTTGGAAAAAAGAATGTTCCCCCACCGGGAATCGAACCCGGGCCGCGGAGGTGAGAGCGCCGAATCCTAACCACTCATAGCATGCTGATACCGCACTGTCCTGGTGCGTTTCTTCACACAACTTCTTCAAGTCCCTCATGTTAGTGAAGCGCTGGTAGCAGCTGCGATGATAATGTACCTCGCCATCCACTAAAAGACGGACAGAAACTGCCTCACTGCCTTGGACGTTTGCAGCATCTGATAGGGTGGCTGTAGAGGTTGCCTTGGATGCGACGGGCAGCTCGTGCCTGCGGCGGTCCTTTTTACCGGTTTGGTCGAACCCTTGCTTGCGATGCTGACCGCAGATAACGCAATTAGCAGCGTCGAACGACTTTGCCTCCAGGCGGGTAGATCTCCGTGTTCGAGGAGTGGCAGGGTCAGGAGATTCATCTGATTCTGATATGCGATCAAGGGTTACGTGAGCCAAATTCTTCCGTATGGGACGTCGCCTTCGCTTTCTGCGGGGAGTAGCACTGTACTCAGGATCGCTGTCACAGTCTGACTCGCCTCCATCCATCACCAGTCAAAGTCGTCTTGAATTCGATAACGACGACCCAAATAAAGTTACCTTGTATCAAGTCTGAGGAAGAAGGTAGCTCCAAACCCCGGAGAGAGAGAAGTGAGACGCACAAATCATGCAAATAGAACGCACCGAAAATGAGGGGGGTCGGAAGGCAGCGGACTCAAGCGGAGCCTTCATTGCATCATTCAGCTGCAGTCCACGGACTGCGGAAAACCAAACACCGCACTTTCCCTCTGGTTTGAAATGAACTTTTGTACGGAACTGGAGGTCACGCGCCAACGTTTAGAGATCGCATAGGTACTGGAACGAATCAAGCAAAAACGGATGGGCTCGTACAAGAAATTGTGGGCTTGAGTGCATGCTTTCAGAGCATGATGGAGGCAAGTTACGTAATGAAGGCAGCGCGCCGCGCAATTAAGTACATGTACCGTATTTGTCGGAGTATAGTGCGCACCTTTGTGTAACGCGCACACCCAATCTTCATTGGCGGTGCGCACTTCAATCTTCATTGAAGTACATGCATTTCATGTTCGGAGCATAGTGCGCACCTGCGATTTAGGGCCTAAAATAGCACATCTAAAGTGTGCACTATACTCCGGAAAATACAGTACTTGTACACACAGTACACTTGTCTGGTTGTGTGGCAGGCAGACTGGCCTATGAGACCTGCAGCACATAGCCAACGCAAGGCTGTAGAAAATAATCAGACCAACAAAAGCTCGTACGTACCACCATTGTCTTATCGTTGGAGACACCAAACCCCAGCCACTCGTCCTGCAGTGGTGTGCTCAGGTGCACGGAGACAACTTGCTGGCGACTATCAACAGTCCACCGTGCAGTCAAGAGCTCCTTCTGAAAGAAGCCACCTAAACAAAGCAAAGACACATTCAATGCAGACATACTCGTATAGGCATGAGACTGCAGGTTTTTCTCCGGTGACAGTACTTTCTTGTCAAACACAGCACGAAGAGCGAATACGAGCGGACTGTACGAGACCAGCCCAACATAATAGAGAGGTTGGGTGACTCCTTCGTTTCACAAGAAAGGATCATTGATTCAGGTTTAAGTTTGACTCCTCGAGATACTGTAGATCGGATTAGTTCACACGAGCCAGGCCTGTTTGATTCGTAAGTAGCTCTCAGATCGCACTGCCTCAAATCAGACAGCAACTACAGTTCTGGCCAGAGAAATCCAGCCTCGTGAATAAAATAGCGCCTGGGCACTACTCATCCCTAGCACTGCACACACTGTTCTGTGCACTCGGACACGGCGGCGCTGCTATAGTCCCGTACTAGCTACCGTAGTCAAACATGGAAGTACATGTACAATACACTTAACCCGCAGTGCACATAGTACTAGACATGTCAACACTACAGTCCATTCATCGGAAACAGTCCCCCTGGCTTTTTGAAAGTCCGACTTGTGCCGAATTGAGGATCAAAAACCCACTTCAAATCACAAAAATCTGGGTTTGGGATCTGTAGCTACTCACAAGTGTTTTAACACGAGTCAAACCAGGATAGCAGAGGTGCACTGCATGTACACACACACACACACACACACACACACACACACACACACACACACACACACACACACACACACACACACACACACACACACGGACAGTTCCATTGAAATCTAAACGACTGACCTTTCGAGGTGATCAGTAGAGGATCGGAACTGGCCGTGGTCTCGTTGACTGGAACCAAAAGCACAAGTATCATGCAAACAACAAAACAAAACATATCACCTTGAACATATTGTGTGCTATGTTCATAGTCTAAAGCACCAAGTCCCATGTCCATGCCGCAAAAAGTAAAACGCTCAACTCCAGACCCGGTAACAAGCCCACACCTGTCACATCAACTCCAGGCCCGAACGCCCAAAGCCAAGACCAGACCTGCACGTACCGATATTCACCGTTGCCGTGGCGTGCCCTGCGGCAAGGACCGCCTTAACAACACAGCTCCAGCTGCCAGCATCGCTCTCCTTCAGCCGGCGTACCGTCAGCGTTAGATTCCGATTGGTGAGGCGGGCCCGCGGGTGAGCCGCCGGCACTTGGGATTGCCCCTGCAACCAGTGAACGCGGACAAAGCTGCCGGGCAGCATAGAGTGATTGTAGCTACAACTTAGGCGCACAAACTCCCCGGGCCGCCTTGACACTGTGGGTGTATCAATGTACACTGGTATACCTAATACAAAAAAACGGGGAACAAGAGCCAAGTACATGTAATATCCATTCTTTTACCACGCTCCTACAAAAGTCAAATACACACCATCCTCTCTGTCAATGATGCCAATGGGATTCTAGACGGTAAGCAGAATTCCAGTTACTAGTATGGCAATCTCCGTCTCTGCCATGCTGAAATAGTCGGTCTATGTCGCTAGGGTTAGCCTCTAATAATTTCATCACTTCGCAATGGAGAACTGCAGGAGTGAACAGTAGGGTGGCATAAGAAGCAACCATGAGGCAACCATGAGGCAACCATGCAAAACACGTACCATACAGAGTCGGACGCGGAGTTGGTGGTGAGGGGAGGTAGGACAAGTCTGAAACAGGCAGACACACACACACACACACACACACACACACACACACACACACACACACACACACACACACACACACACACACACACACACACACACACACACACACCAATACGCAAAATCAGGGAAGATGTTCATGGACACCGATACTACACAACAGGGAAAGTAAGTCGGATAACAACATCACAGCCAGCAACAAGAAGGCAATAAGCCGTCTTCAACAGGTAAAGTACGGTTATTTCAGCATACAGTCAACTTCGCTAATAACGACTGCGGATATAACGACAATTCGCGAATAACGACAGAATTTCCATGCCCAGAGCAAAGTCCATTCTACCTGTATACATACCGTATTTCCGCGCATATAAAGCCATGGCGTTATAGGTGAAACATCGCTGTTTTGGACCAAATTTTTGGAGAAAATAGCCTCAGTTTTAACGCCATGGCACTAAAAGTGAGACGCGTACATGCAAAAATCTGCAGAGTATGAACTTGGAGTACTCGTACGGTGCCGTTGCACGTTCATGTCGAGCATCCACGTACTTTCAATTTTCCCTGAAAATTTCAAAATGTGAACCTATCGTGTACAAGGTGGCATACCAACTTGTGTGAGAGAATTGAACTCACCTTTAACGCCAGTTGCAACTTCCTCCACATTGAATTTTGTTCACTTATAACGCCATGGCTTTATAAGTGAGGGTGGCCTTATATTCGGATATAACGCCATGGCTTTATATTCGCGGAAATACGGTATAATGAGACTTCGGGTATAACGACACTTTTCTGATGCCCGCCAGAGTGCCGTTATACCGTATGTGGAGGAAGTTGCATCTGGCGTTAAAGGTGAGTTCAATTCTTTCAGTGAACCTACAGTAGCAGTGATTCTCTCTGCATGTACCCATCCCCACTGCCACATGCCATACCGCCACCGCACCTTCACACAAGTGTGTATGCCACCCTGTACACAATACAGTCGACCTACCCTTATAACGATATTTGGGTCTGAGCAAAAAATATTGTTATAAGGGTAATATTGTTATAGGGGTAACATGGTCCAATACATACATATGTACGCCATTTAGCATTTTTTCATTTATTGCATAATATATCTCGTCCATCACATGTATAGTACTGCATAATTATATACAGTGCATGGTACAAGCACATGTATATGAACATGGTTATTCATTAGCGTTTGTACAAACTTATGTACACGGTGCAAGTGCAGTGACAACACACTGGCTATTGTCTGTAAAACAGAAACACAGGCCATAACGGAAAGGTTCGGTATCACATAGAGAGCCACTGATCCAGCGATGCCTGTTGGCTACATGTTGTCATGTTGGTACGCTGCAAAGCTGTGTCGATGTTGTCTGCAGCCTGGAGCAAACTCTGTGCATTGGGAAGCACAGCCATGTTTTGTGACATGAAGTCCAAGACATCTCGGATAGAGTGGCGTGCCTCGCTCAATGTCACACACCGGGGTGGAAGGTTGTCAACGGGATCCTCACCATGATCCTCCACTGCTGTTTGTTCTGCCTCTGCTTAACCAGCATTACCAGTGCCGTCATCACTGCCAATTGGATCCGCCTCAATGTCGCGCTCCATTTCCATATCAAGCATCTCGCTGGCTGTCAGCAGTGCATCCGCCTCCTCATCATCGTGCAACCGTGCATGGATCGACGCTTCGGCATCGGCGACAGCGGTCTGTAATTCATCCAGTTCCAGCTCAACTTCCTCGTCTGGCACAGGTAGAATGTCAACGTCCGACGAAGGGAGGATACCAACTGTCCGCCAGCAGTCAGTGATGATGCTGGTCTTCACCTCCTTCCACGCCAAGCTTGTCCACTCAATAGCCATCTTCATATTTGGCCGAACCTTCGCCACATCAACTGTGTCATCGTCTTCCAGCTGCTGCACCAGCCAAGAGATATGGCGCCGACGGAAACCAGCTTTGAAGGCCTTGATGATGCCTGCATCAAGTGGCTGCACCACAGACTTCGTATTGGGTGGCAAGAAGACAACGACTACGTGCCCAAGCGTGAATCCACGGAGGTGGCCTTTGTTCCAGACTGCAGCATCACGGGGCATGGCGTGCGTTGGGGCGTTGTCCATTAACAAGTATATTTTCGCCGATGCAGCTCGAGCTTTGGCAGCAACATGAAGGTTAAAGCTGCGAATTGACTGCACAAACACTTCGCTCGTCATCCATGCTGACTTGTTGGAGAAGTACTGGACGCCTGCATCTGATGGCTTCCACTGGCTGAAACATCTGGGCGTTTTAGCAGTGCCAATGACAACAGGTGAGTAGAAATCAGTGACTGAATCAGAACACATCAAAACACAAGAATAGGAGACTGAGAAACAATGCATTCGCTATGAATTCGCTATGCATTCACTATGTATTCACATGTAAAGCAGATCCCAACTCACACAACCTCTGATTGAAATTGTCATCGACAAAATATTGCCTGAGTTCATAAATCATATCACAGAGGATGATGGAGACTTTTCAACACAGCAACACACTCACCGGACGAGTTCACAAAGAGGCCGACAGTGACTCTGTCTTTAGCCAGCTTCTTTCCTTTCCGTCCCTTCGTGTTCGACGATGCCAGAGTTCTTGTAGGCAACTGCCGAAAGAACAGACCAGTTTCATCGAAATTATACAACATGTCCCGTTCAACACCAGCGAGAACGTCTGGGAGCTCTTTCCGAGCAATGTCAACGCCAGCCTGGTTCACATCATCACCCTCGCCGTGGCGGACCTGTTGGTTGACAGCATGACGTCTCTTCCAGTCCCACAACCATTTGGAGCTGAAATTGAAACCATCCGGAACGGTTACATTCTTACCGATCCGCTTGGCTGCCTCGATGAGAATCGAATCGGTCATCGGTGCTCGCTTGGCTTCCATGTGGAGGAACCAAGTGTAGAGCTCCTGCTCCAATGTGTCCACGTGGGACGCACGGAGTTTCTTCTTTGCGCCAGCACGATCGGAGAGCGTGGCATTTTCCTGTTCCAACCACTTTGCCGAGTTCTTCAGGATACCGATCAGCGTCCCCTGGGCAATCTCCTTGCCGAACTCTTTGAAGCACCAGGCTTGCAGCTGCTTCTGCGTCGGCCTCGGAACAAACTGGCTACGACGCACAAGCTTCGCCTTTTCGTCCAATGTGAAGCTGGCGCGTTTCATACCACCAGATCGCATGGAGCCAGACTGCTGGCCGGCTTTCCGCTTACACGGCACGCTGATAGCAGCTCCGGATGGACAGTCCGTATCACTATCGCTGTCCACTTCATCAAGTAGAGAGACTTCGTTCGATGCCATAGCTCTCAAGGCACTCCAAGGCAATGAAGGAAAGGATGGAAGTGGTGATTTGACAAGCAAAATGAAGAAGGAAATCAGGACGAGAACAACGAAAGCGCAAGTTAGTTCGTCTTGATTTGAGACCCTTGGCCTTGTTCCGGGCCCTGCGTGGCTAGCACTGGCTGCACAGGTTTCCCTCGCGGTCTCTAGGCTGTACGATTGGTGCGCGAAGTTGTGCACGGGTAGCAAAGAGGTGCAAGATGCACGACCGCAATCGATTCCGCAACACACACGGCACAGCGTCAGCGTTGCAACATCGATCTGCGAACTCGTTTCAAGCGCGTACCGTACAGCCCCGCCAAACACGATCGATGCACGCCTGTAAAAATCATTGAATTTGTACGCGTGCATGGACTGCTTCGGCACTGCAGCAAAAGAACGATTGTTTTCGATCTCCAAAGCTCGTCCCCTTGGCTTGTCGAGTGAAATTTGAGCTCCCGACAAAGGCCCAAGCAGTCATGGACAGCCTATGGTCTTCGCTCGATTTTTTCAGAGTCAAATATCGTTATAGATCGGATAAAAGTCGATTTGTCAGTGAGTTCACCATCGTTGTAGGGGTAATATCGTTATAGCGATATCGTTACAAAGGTAAGGTATTGTATATAAAAATCAACGGAGTGATTCCGTAAGCCAGAATTTTATCGTTATAAGGGTGATATCGTTATAAGGGTTATCGTTATAAGGGTAGGTCGACTGTAGGTTCACAATTTGAAATTTTCAGGGAAAATTGAAAGTACATGGATGCTCGACATGAACGTGCAACGGCACCGTACGAGTACTCCAAGTTTATACTCTGCCGATTTTTTGCATGTACGCGTCTCTCACTTTTAGTGCCATGGCGTTAAAACCGAGGCTATTTTCTCCAAGAATTTGGTCCAAAACAGCGATGTTTCACCTATAACGCCATAGCATAGCTTTATATGCGCAGAAACACGGTATGCAAAGTTGACTGTACTCCAGCATAACACGAGGGTAAACAGCAGCCAGAGGTCGGCCCTAGCCTAAGGTAAGCCAGAGAGTGCATGTGCTGGAGGTGGAACAAATTCATACTCCAGCACCCTCGATTTCCGGCAGGGTTTCTCATGAAGCGGATACTGTGAAACCGGAAAATTTCGGTGGAGATTTATTTTCGCTAACTTCGGTACAGGGAACTTTTACCTCAAAACGCGACCTAAAATTCAACAAGCCCATGCCCCACACTGTGACACAGCGTGCAAAAAACATTTTCGGATCTGGAAAACTGGTTTACCGAACTTTTCGCCCTACCGAACCGTTGATTTTGGCAAATACCGAAAAAATATTACACCGCCGAAAATTCCCGGTTTTACAGTAGAGTTGAAACTCGGGTATTGAGCCAATAATAAAAGTAGAAAGGACATATGGAAACGAGTTAAGAGTAACTCAGTAGTATGTCTCAGTACAGTCAGACCTCGCTTAACCGCACACATCTGTTTTCCACAAAAATATCCGGATAGGCGAGGGAACCGGATAACCGAACACCAGTTATGTTGGATGCATCACGTATGCTGTAAATCTGTAACCAGCTATTTTCTTCCAGATGGCGAGGGATCCGGATAAAAGAGGACCGGATAAGCGAGGTCTGACTGTACTCTGTCAGTTTTGTGCCTAGTTGTTGCACTTTCTGACTGTATATAGTATCTAGTTAAAGTGGTGGAGAGTTACTCTTAACTCGTTTCCATATGTCCTTTTCCTTTCGACTTTTACAGTAGATGTCAATCATTTTCATTTTCGTTCCCTTACCCACTGCCAGCTGTGCAACTGCCGACACACTCAGTCCAGCTGCGGTTTGCACCGTGCAGCGATAACCATCGCCATCGCCTGCATGGATGCGCCACAAGTGGAGTGTTTCCCGGTGCTCGCCGTCCTGCCGATGTCTGCCCGCAGGTAGCTCAGCACCAGTGTGGCGCGTCCAGGCGATGGAGTACACACCAGAGTAGGTCACTCGGCAGTGGAAGGACACAGATCCGCCCAGGTGTGCTTCCGGAGACGAGGCCAGTACCGATACAGCTGGTGCTACGATCAAACATGCACATGCACAAACACACAAACACACATGTGTACCCACACGCACGCATGCGTGCACACACACACACACACACACACACACACACACACATGTACGCGCACGCATGCACACAAACACACACAAACACACACATAAGACTTCGGTGACGCAGCCACAACTATTTCGAAGGTGTCCTCAATTCACTACTAGAACACATGGGCGTAGGAACCGGTCCGGCAGGCCCGGCGGTCGCCGGACCGATAATTTTTGATTTTTTTTTTACATTTCAACCTTGTTGATGGCTTGTCGACTCTTGTACAGGTACCATGTTTTACATCGACAATGCGGTGTATCATCAGCATGCATATTCTTATTTCTCATATTATTCTGTAGCATTAAAATATGGCCTTTTAGGCCCAATTTTCAAAAAAAATCCCGACCCCCTCTCACAATTTTGCCGCACCAATATTAAACTGCTCTCCTACGCCCCTGGAAAATACCCAATTCCACATGCCAAGGCCTCCTTGTACACTTGTCCGGGTCACTACAGGTACATAGCTAGCTAGTATTTCGCTCCTGCTCTTGCAGTACAGTCAGACCTCGCTTAACCGCACACATCTGTTTTCCACAAAAAAATCCGGATAGGCGAGGGAACCGGATAACCAAACACCAGTTATGTTGGATGCATCACGTATGCTGTAAATCTGTAACCAGCTATTTTCTTCCGGATGGCGAGGGATCCGGATATTTAAAAAGAGGACCGGATAAGCGAGGTCTGACTGTAGTTGAGCACTCTCATGTGGGGTAGTGCCTTTGCTGTTTGCATTACGCAGCACTCACTGACTTGTCAGTTTGAGCACTCTGGCAAAGTACGGTTCGGGCCTGGTTTAAATCTGGCTTTGGAAATTTTTATTTTTCATTGCTATCAGGTTCGGCCTCGTTTTCTCTGTACTGCGCAGATGAGTCCACAAAGGACGAAACAGCGTGCTGTCTGCACATTGGGTAAAAGGCTGGTATGTAGAGAGACATACAAAATGCGCACGTATGTGTAGAGCCAGGTGACCAGTGTCCGGACAGGTGATCGATGCCCGGACACCTTATTTCTCTGAAGTTGCTATCTTAATTTAACCCCCCACATTTTCACAAATGATACCCCGGGTAGGATTTGACAGCACACGGAGCCACAAATCGCCAGCTCAAACGAGAATGGCATGCTGTGCCGTTGAATTATTTTATGCGAAATTAGAGTGAAATTTAGTCACGACGAAGAGAATCCCCTCTCCTGAACCACGGACACACCAGCTGAAACGCAGCCAAAGCGTCACGGGCTGTTCTTAGCACAATAACCAACATCCCCAAGCAAGTTGAAGTCAAAAGAAAGCATGTGAGAGCTATAACAAAGGGATATCTCTCATGCCTGCTAACACGTCTACAACAGCAAAATTTCCCGAGATTTTCCCCAACTGGCGAGTCCTGGCGGCAAGAGACGGCCTCAGCTGCGACGAACCAACTGGAAACGCTTCCCGGAAATGATATCCCCAGATCCACAAGTCACAAACCCACCCAACACAGCTCGCTCATAAATTCCACAATGGAGGAAGCCATGGTGGCATGCAGCGCCGGCCTCTCTATTTGCAAAGCAAGTAAAAAATTCGGAGTAAAGAAATCCACTCTATATGATCGGGTCCATGGATGGTCAACGAAACTTTGCCCCGCACCACTTCTTGCGAAGGAACATGAAGATCAACTCGTTGACTACATCACCTCCTTGGCAAATTCAGGCTTCGGGATCAGCAGAGGTGAGCTCTTGAGTGAAAATACTTTCGTTACAAATTATTTTTAGTTCTCCAGAGCAAGAAATGCCAATCCTGTTACAATCAGTGCGGTTTTCGACTTGCTGGAGGCCACTATTGACAAGCACAACATCGCTCCGGGCCAATTGTGGAATGTCGACAAGAATGGACTCAATCGCGAGCCTTTTCCAAAGAGAGTTGTTACGGCTAGAGCAACAAAGGCGTCGCAGCTGCATAAACATAGCCAAGACCATGTCAGAGCAAATATCTGCATCAATGCGTGCGGCAACCATCTGCCTCCTCAGCTGATATACAATCGTGCGCAGCTAACCACACGCCGGGTGGAGAATGGACCATCATGTGCGATTTACTGCACAAGCAAGACTGGTTCCATGGATAGAGAGCTCTTCCAGAGCTGGTTTCAGGATCTGTTCCAATCCTCAACGTACCGGGAGAAGATGCAATTGATCCTTATGGACAACGGTTCCTCCCACATCAGCGGGGAGTTACTCAAGTTGGCAAGAAAGTCAAATGTTATCTTCATTGCACTGCCATCGAAGACAACGTACATCCGGCAACCACAGGATAAGACTGTGTTCAGTTCGATGGGAGCGCACAACCAAAGCACAAGTGCAGCTGCCTGCTTAGCTTGAAGCCCAACCATAGTCTTGCCCTGTCGGACTTTCTACCGATATTCGCCGAGGCCTTCACGAAGTCCGTCACTCCTGCCAATATTCATGGCAAGTTTCAAAGTCACCGGAGTATACCCTACAGACAGAGGAGCTATTCCTCAGGATGTGCTCGCACCGTCTGCAGTCCATCGCGCTGAACCAAACAAGTTACACCAAGTGTTGAACCAATCAGCCCAGATGAGGAACTACTGTTCAAGAGGCGCCTGGCTGAGGGATATGACATACCGGACGCACGGTACGAGCAGTGGAAAGTGGCTAGCGCCGCACCAGCACAGGATACGGGATTCGTAGAACTGCCACTGGTGACCAGCTTGGTTACTGCCGGTGTTAGAATTGTAAATTCTCAAAGGCTATTCAAAATTCACATATCCCAACCATGCAATTCAAGAGGACAATAATGATCATGGCTTTCACTCGGGCCTATCTTATACAGACTGTCCACGACTGCTGGTGTGAACCGAAGACATGTTGAATGCAGGGAAATCAGCTTTCAATCAATAAATATCGACACTAATCGCTGCAGCTGAGCAAAAATTGTAAAGTGTCCGGGCATTGAACACCATCAACTCGAACATACTTCCTCGTGAAAACTGGCTGCTTTTCAGTGACAGTGTCCGGCAAGATAGGAGTTCGGATTTTTTTTTTTAAACACTCGATGAGAGGATTACTCCACGTCTGCTTGACCCATGCACGGACTTTTACTACTTCGCAATGGATTTTACTACACAAAAAATATCTCCCAGAAAATGTATACACAAAAAGTGTCCAGGTACCGACCACCTGACTCTATGTATATGTGTACAAGTGAGTGTGTGTGTGTGTGTGTGTGTGTTTGTGTGTGTTTGTGTATGTATGTGTGCGTTTGTTTGTGTGTGTATGTGTGTGTGCGTGTGTGTGTGTGTGTCCGTGTGTATGTGTATGTGTGTGTGCATTTTCATGTGCATGTGTGTGTGGGGGGGGGGGGGGTGTGAGAGCGCAAGTAGAAGTCGTGGCCGTGACTCACCTGCCGTGGGTGGCTCAGTGGGAAGTTCCGCCGTGGTAACAGGACGGAGGGCTGCAGTAACAACACAAGCACCAAAGTACAGGGTGTTTTAGATGAGACTACAGTTCATTCAGAAAAAGATGAGCGCTGGCTCTGGAGAGCTCCCGTGTTTGGTGATTTTGCCAGTGCCGCAAGATTCGAAACTTGAAGAAGGGTCCAAAAAAGGTACCTCAACTGGGGTTTGAACCGCAAATGTACTGTTCTGCAAGTGGAGTACGCGGGTTGGATTTTCATGGCTTTTCCCCAATTCAGTGCTTTGGGGGGCAAAACCTGGCCGAAATCCTATTCTTGTTATGGCTTGCTCTTTGGAGAAATAGACTTCAAAAACACGATTGGAAGAGCATTCCATGGGGGATTGCCAAAAAAATTGTGACAAAAACTCAAAATTTGACCTATTTATGGCCAAAAGCTAGGATATCATCTTTTTCTGAATGGACTGTAAGCTCGACCTGAACGAGTCTAATTTCATGAACAAAAGGATAACACAATCACATACAGCGCAGAAGATACCAATAAGGAACTTCTGACCATACAAGCATCGAATGTTTGGAGTCTTGCGTGCAAAGAAAATCTTCGAGTAAGAATCTGATAACTCACCAGGTATTGTCTTGCTCACGACTTTTACAACATTGCCCCTGGTGTCAGTGATGTTGATGCGCACGTGGTAGGATACCGTGTCTGGCAAGCAGACTTTGACTGCGTCCATGTTGTCGGCGAGCGCCTGATTGACAGAGGTGGCAAACCAGACGTTGTATGGGAAACCTGACAATATCTGACACTCCACAGTGTAGCGTGCGGCTTGCTCATGCTGGCTTTGTGTTAGATCTAGAGCAATGGACTGGGGAGCATCCGTAACATCACCTAAAACAATGGATTGGACCAGGAACAGACAGTCAAGAACTTTAAAAAACATTGTGTAGCCACATGTACACATGCCAGCCTGTTCACCTGCACATACGCACAGATACATACACACACATACGCGTGTGCATGCTTGCTTGCTCATTGCCCGGAATGGTCAAATGATCTCACCGGTAGCGAGGAGAGGCAATCAGAAGAAAATATGACTCAGCAGCCCCGCGCCCCGAACCCGCTCACTGCTAACACGCACACATGCACACACTTGCTTACCTACAAGAAGAAGGGCAGCCACGTTGACAGCTCCGGTACTTGTATGCAATGAGCATCCATAAATCCCACTATCTTCGGGCTGCAGGTTATTCAGCTGAAACATTCCACCAGTATGTCCGACCTGCATGCCGTCCACTTGTTTGCGTAGGAGACTGAAGCGCTTCATATCAACAGCGCCGGCATCTAACCTGGTGAATTTCTCCTCTAGGATACCAGTGCCGTGTGGAATGCCGTGCTCGCAGCGCAACGTCACGTTGCCGTTCTGCGCGGATGCAATGCCGTGGGGCAGGATGCTGAGCCGAATCGCTACACAGAAAATCGCACAGACATGTGTCACGGGCATACCCGAGAAGAGCAGGGTGACGTGTATTTCATGCAAAGCATATAGAGGTCTACACCCTGCAATACAAACATGTGTGGCGTCAATGCAACGAGAGTTGGAATTGGGCCATGCACGGGCTGGCGCGAGTTACTGTACAATACTGGGTTACCGGGACAGTCGAGCGTGGAGTAAATGTTACGAGCTTAAAACCGAAGATGTATGGATCCCGAGACCAACTGATGATCGGGTGAAGTGAAGTGTAATCCTGAGACTAACTGATGGCCGGGAAGACACCAGCCAGTTGCGAAAATTAGCCCAGCGGCGCACGGTGTATTCTTTCACAGACGCATGGTTCATGATATGACATTGAATACTAGTATGTGATGCTGACATGATACGAGTAGACTGAGATACATGTATGGGAGGGATGGTGGGGGTAGCATTTCGGCAACCGTACTGCCCCGGCTCGGCTGCAAAATGAATGCAGTGCTTTGTAGAGCGTGCACAAAGCAGGAATGTGCGTGGCCCCGTGTATGGCGACTCGGCGAGCAAGCATCAGCTGGGTGACGTCATGATTCATGAACATGGTGCAGTTGAGTAATGCACGGAGAGTAAGAGAAGTAGAGGTGAAGCCGTTCAGCTGTCAACTCACATTAACACCTACGCAAAACGCATACTATAGTATTAAGCAAATGACATCATCTCAAGTTCTACAGGAATGACATCATGATATTATTGTGATTATGTCATTCGCATGACCTCTATAGTATAATATACGCATGTACATGTACACGGGTGACTAGATAACCCCGCCTGGGCATGGCGCCCCACACGTTCTACTCACCATCATCTCTCAGCTCAGAGTTGATCGCAGTGTCCACAGCAGGAGTGGCAGTGGTTACAGCAGGACTAGTCTGTGCAATAGCGGACTCCAAAACTACAATACGCAGAAGAAAAGAGGACGACTGTCACAACACTATTCAGAGTGAACAGCACAGAGTAGCAGGCAAACCTAAAATACGGTCAGCACTTGATTCAAGCAACTGTATGTAGGTGAGATGTGCTTTAAAAGCATGACCATTCACATGTATATGGCTGCTTTATTATGGCAACAACCAATCCTAACAGTACCAAAAGCAAGTATTGGATTCCCTGACGAGGGGGGGTCCCCTTAAAAGTACCCCATAATCGGTGATCTACGGCAAACTTATATCTCTGAAAGATTGGCTGGAAATTAGTCTGGGCCTTGTACTCCTAACACACACATCAGTATATGACCAACAGACGCACATTCGAAGCGACTATTGCCACCAAGCTGGTGAAGCATACCGTTATACACCAGCGTGGCCAATTTAAAATACTCTGGAAAGTATAATGTTTCAGTGCAATCCTGCGAAGATCGAATCCTGATAATACACCGCCCCCAGGACAAGAGTAATGTCAAGTATTCACGACGTGAGGCCGTATCCATAACACACTGCAAACTGTACACTGCCGCATCCGAACAGGGCCCGGAGAGTTCTTAGTCGACATCCAGTATCGCTTGTACCCCTCCCCTTCCCAGATCTCCGTCAGGCTGTGCACAAGTGCATCTCCTGATTTTTTTAAAAACAGTGAAATCTCCGGACAGCAACTGGTGCACCCTATCACAAGGTTCATGCTCTTCAGCACAGCTCAGAGAACCAAATCTCATCTCCTGCCATCCAGTGTGATGTATGTTATGTTGCGGACTCTTAACCTGTCCTACAAACCTGCACTGTCTGTAAAACCGCTGATAAGCACCCACACTGGCATGCATAAAATGACCGTATTCGGAAGAGACAATACGCTACCAGAACATGTGTATCGTACCAACAGACCAGCAGGTAGTAGAGACTGTGTTCAACTGTACAGATGTGGTACTAAAGGTTTGGAGTGCGTGGATGCTCGCCAGTGATGGGCGCTTGTCAGGATTCTTACGGCACGTGAAATATCCTTGTATGAACTCTGGAGGGTTTACGCTGGATATGCACGGGGAATGTCCATTCACCAATGACCCGCCATGGCAATTATTGCACACCGCTGTCGCTAGTCCTTCACCAGTGCCCGTACCGGACTCTAAGCCTTAGTCTCACATAAGCGTAACAATTGTTACACTCTGGTGCTACCGCTAGTCCTGGCTGGAACACGTGCATGTGCCATGCTCTGAATCCTAGAATGCTTTACGTTGCAAGTGTTGCACGCTGCTGTTTCTGTGCTTTGTACTCTTGTTACCTTGTATACATCGAGGTTGGGCATATCACACTTTGAGTTTACCAATTGGGGAGAGCGGATCAGCTTTGTTCGCTCTCCTGTCTATTGAGAATAAATATCGTAAACCATAACTAACCCCTCGCTATGGTGTAATGTTTTAAGGGATTCATGGAATGGTTTCTGCTATAAGCGTGCAATAAAACTGATAAAAGTGCATGTGCACTGTACCTTGCAGATAGACAGAGCCATTGACAATGCGACCGCTGGCTGCGTACGCAGAGCACGCATACAAACCAGAGTCCGACGCTGCAGAGCTAAAGATCAGCACGTCGGCATAGTCCGGGGTGAACGGCACAAGGCGGTGATCGGCAGCTTCGCCGTCCGGAGTCAACCGATGCCAGCTGCGAACAGTGTCAATGGTGGAGTCGGTGGCAGCACCCGTAGTAGCACGGCACCTGAACGCCACGGTCCGCCCTGCCTGGACCGTGAGTTGCCTCGTGAGCCCATTGGCGGTGACTTCCAACACGGACGGAATGCCGTGTCCCAAGGCATCATCTACCGACACAAACACAGGATTGAGCATTGCGTCATTACTGATGTCATTTGTAGCTATACAGTACATGCCATATGCTAGCTGCTACGACCCTGCTACGACAAAACAGTCATAATACAGTGGAGAATTCCAAAAGCATGCAAGAATTGGATCTTATCTGCATGATTGTAGACTGCATTTTTATTGACTAAACCACCAAATTCTGGGAGCTAACTAAACACACTTCTTAATGTTGATACTGGTCAAAACATGCAGGTGTAGTCCAGTTGCTGCAGCCACAGCTTGATTCCCCAATGACTCAATGATGTCATTACGGTATATTCTAAAACTAACTTACCTTGCCCATTCCCATTCGACTGCACGCCCACAGTGCCTGGTGGTACATGCTGCAGACCAAGAAATACAGGTCCAAGTGAAGTCAACTGGGCAATCTGTCTTTGCAAATTCCTCCAGTGAATCCTGCTACTGTCAAAAATTCTGACAAGTGATAGCAAGAGTCCAATACATGGCAATAGCAAGTAGTGGTGATGTATGCACCCACTCCCAATGCGACTACTTCCTTTTTTTTTTTTTTACTACAAAGCACTGGCCAGCAACATAAAAGGGGAGGTAGACAAAAGTGGACAAGCGAACTTTGACAACACAGAGGAGCGTGGCATGCGTGCCGATGAGGTAGGTCAACCTCCCCCGACCTAGTGGTCTCGGGTTCAACAGTTGGTCTACGCATCAGGAAGGGGAAATGGACAGAGAAAGGGAGAATGAGCATCCTGAAATGGGGTTGTGTCTTTGGCAGTTTTACATTATGTAGATCATCCCTACAGGAAGTTGAAACGACTCAGCTGCAGCAAGTGCAGTTGTTCCTTTTTGAACCGGCTGTACTGTGTCCTTTGAATCCGCCTTGGCGACACGCGATTGCAACACCAACGTAGGGGTTTTCCCAGACTAGTGCACATTTTTGGCAGCAAAAGGCCGCAAAGCGTCAAATCATGCAGCTAGCTGCTTGGATCTGCAGAAAATGGGCGAGCTGTAGCCTGTAGCAAGAGCCAGTCGCGGGCTTTTTTCGGCTACATAACCAGAGCAGATCCCTGTAAAATGCTACAAGTACATGTATGTGCAGCGTGGCTCCATGGAGCTCCGGAGTTACGACAAACTAAAAGTAAAAGACTGCCCCGTAACCCGCCCTGTCCTCCACAAAGTTACATTCTTACTTGACTATGGCCACCGAGTGTTCTCCAGACCAGAAGTATCGTCCCGGCTGCGAGGAAATAGGGAGGCGGCCGCAAAGCCATCTCGGTTCCTCTCATTCAATGAGCCGGGCTCCGGTATGTTCAGACTCAGAGTGACAGCGACAGCGCTCCGCTTTCTCAGTCACGGTTCAAGTCCAGTCTTTCATAATCGGTTGCGCAGATAATCCTACTCGCAGCAATGCAGACCAGCTGGAGAGCCTGGTAGATCTCAGTACGAGAATGAAGTGGACCGTGGAGCTCCATTCGCTTGTAAACTTCTTGCCCCGGACGGGAGTGACAGAGAGACGGACAGGATAGGTGACAGGCTGTAAGTGTAAAAGAGCCATCGTTCTATGTGTAGAAGTAGCAACTGGAAATGGGCAAGCACTATCTCCCCATGATGTAGAGCCGACGATATGTCAATCGGTTGTCTCGGGTCTTGACCCAGTCATGAGTCAAGCCAGGTTGGCCGTGCACTACTTACTGGCACTACTGCCACCATCTAAACATGTCATAACAATTATTTCTAGCGGTTGCGTTAGTGTGAGTGACCACATGCTGAAGTGCTAGCCCGCGGGGAATTAGTCTCGTACAGGGGAGCTGATGATGATTGTCTCCTAGGACTATTGCCTTGGTCACCGGCAACTAACTTGGTGCAATTGCAGTACATGGTTGCCATGTGTAGGACGTGTGGGTGTTGTACCGCAGAAAACTGTGTAAGTGCTAGCTGCTGCCTCGACCTGAACATACCTGAAAGTCAAATTCACTCTGTGACTATCAATAGTAGGGTAGTACCTCAACTCAAACACAGTACAGTCGCTTTGCTGCATACATCATCGACTGTTCATGGTGTATGCAGCAAAGAGACCGTATTCCGTTGAGTTGAGGTACCCTAATGTGTAAATGACTGCAATGGAGTCTGCGAGTGCTTAGAAACGACTATCAGTAGTCACGAAACTCAGTGCTACGTGTACTTTGCACTTGTCTGAGCACACAGCCATTGGGAAATAACGCCCTTCAAGCAACCTTCCGAGCAAGTGGTGCAAAGTTTAAAAGTGACTTTTAAAGAGAGAGTTGTACCCAGACCCGATTCGGACACAGCATCCTGGATATGTAGTCCTGGCCAAAGAAGTCCGATCCACGTGCCAACGCTCATGCGGCCCCTGTGGCTCTCAGATCGTTTATTGTTTTTGTTGGAACGTGCATGGATGTAATGGAAATGGAAACTCAGCGCTGCTTTGGGCGTGCGGGTCGGAATTCTCTGGCCATGACTGCACAATCATGTAGTACTGTGTGAATACTGCACTGCATCATGTGAGTTTCCCGGCTTCATGCATTTAGGATAGAAAAAATAACACATCTACCTACCAAAAGAACAAATATGCTTTTTTCAATGCTTTTTCAGCAGAATCTGCCATTTTTCGAGCTCTATCCACCAAGCACGCAAGGCCTATAAAATGTGCCACCATACACATGCACCAACACACAATCATCTTTCGTTGCCTTTTATCATAGCCCTGCTAGAAAGCAAGGGCTAAAGAAAAATTGTATCGAAGACTCCTTCATTGTTCCTCTCCACGGAAATCTTTAGTAAAAGGCGAAAGATTTATTCGTGGTTGAAGAGAAACCAGAGTATACTTTCCCCAAGTCTTAGTCGTCCTTTCTAACCTGAAGTATCCATCAGTGTCTATAGTTGTGGTATTTCCCCAACCTTGTTGCTACAGTACCTATCTGTTTATAACCACAAGTCCACAAACACTACAGCTGTCTACAGTCACCATTGATTTGTGAAATAATAATTGGCGATATCGCTCTGCCGCTTCTGTTGTCATGACGACGATGCATTGTGTATGATTGGCTCGTAGCACACATGTCTTGTATGTTGAGTAGCTCCAGTTGGCAGTAACGAATGATACGTTACGACAATCTCTCCAGGTTTTGTAGCAGCGGATCTGCACAGTTCACATGCTGGCATGCAGATCTACTGTAAAAGCAGAAATTTTCGGTGGTGTTTTACTTTCGGTAACTTCGGTGCCGACAATTTTTACCGAAAATAAAACGCACCAAATAATTTCGGTACAACCAATACTGTATACGTGTAGTACTAGCACACTTACCTGGAGAACGGGTTTTACCGAAAATTTCCCTCTACCGAACTGCCGATTTTGGAGAATACCGAAAATATTACAACACCGAAAATTTCTGCTTTTACAGTACATGACTTGTACCAGGTATTGTACGACTCCCTGACTTGTACTATAATACAGTTGGGCTCTGTGAAATTCCACCCAGAGTGCCTATTTGGCGAATTCAAGTTGCACCGCCCTAGACTCCCTAGCCCTGGAAGTGGGATGAACGCAATTGGACGTACACATGCATGTGCAAATACAATGATGTAATCACTAGTCAGAACTGGGCCAGGGCCAGGGCGCCAGTCTTGCACTTTGGGTTGCAACTGTATGGAGGCAGCTCAGCTCAGAGCACTCCTTTCCATCATTTCGGGACATGCAGCAACACATTTGCCATGATGTAAAGCATGCACACAGAACTGCCGAGCAATGGAATAGGTACGTGTTCACACCCCTCTGCAGGAAGCATCTACACAACGTCATGCAAGTGGACACACACACACAAGCCACAGTCTGAGTGAGAGCCAAATCATTTGAAAATGTTCAGCTAGCTCGCTGAGAAATTATTTCATCAACAATGCAATACTAAAATAATAGAGACGCTATGTACATGATGAGGTGGTGAGTGTGCAAAAAGCTCAGCCGTAGGTCCAGGTCGAGTTAGTGATGTACATGTAGCATGTGTACACATACATTGTACGATTTTATGGCATGATGTTTCATGGAAAATATTATTATTGGGATGAAATTTTGCACTCAGGTCAGGGCATGCAAGCTCTGTTTTTCTTTCAATGAGCATGAACACAACAAGCGGCAAGTCGCTAAAGAATATTTTGAAGAGCATACTAGCAAGTAACATAACTGGGTGTGTGCAGGGGGCGTAGAAAAATAAACTATTTGCCTCCCCAGAACAATCCCTTGACAAAGCCCGTAAGGCCACCGGCCTGCTTTTCAATACGATCATCAAGGTCAGGGTAATCGATGTGATTCAGGGCGAGGTCGAAGAACAGTGGCTTGCAAGCGATCGCCTCAAAGTCCGGTGGGAATGCGATGATGTTTGGTTGGCCTGTGGTCAATCCCTTGTCCGCTGCTATGCTGTCGAGACGATCGAGAAGAGGCTACAAGAACAATACAAGAGGGAAATAAAGCACAGGGTTCAAAGAGTAGGCAAGAGTAGAGACAGAGAGAGAGAGAAAGGGACAGAGACAGACAGACAGAGAGCTCTGCAGGAACTCAAGAGTTTCACATTTATTCCCAGCCACTTAGAGCAGTGGAGCACCCTGCTTGTTTGCTCATTTGTGTAAACGCATAAACTTCAAACTATGGACAAACAAGTACACATGCACACATGGACATGCACGCACACGCACGCACACACACACACACACACACACACACACACACACACACACACACACACACACACACTGACCTGAATGGTCAAGTGTCCCCTCTGCACGCACCGACTGACATAGGGGGCTCAGCATCGGCATTGGTATTGGGACGCGTGCGCACACACATACATACCAGGGGCGTCGGAAGGTATTTTAGCGTAGTACGGTCACCACATGAAGTACAATTTACTCGTAGGGGAGGGGTTTCTGAGCCAAACATTTTGGAAATTTTGAGCCCAGATTAGTGTATTTTATTGATTCACGGGGTACCTGGGGCAAAACGTGGTACGGTCAGTACCGTAGTGACCGTACCGTGTCTGACGTCCCTGCATACGCACAGTACTTAGTGTTGCACTAACCTTGTCGGCCACGTCAAGACCACCCATCTTTTCTGTGACGGCTTCCACATCTGTAAGTACACGCAAGCAAGAGAGGTGATGCAGCAGTGTTCATTAGCAACTGTTATTCCTATGAAGCAACATTGCTATAAATCTCAACAAGATAAATGTACGCTTGAATTCTGCTAATTCTTCCAGTCTGCTGCTCGGCACTGATTCCTTGAGTACAAAGTTAGGTCACCACAACAAGATCAAATGGACGAGCAGACATTTTAGCGCACCACAAGCACCTAAATTCACAGGCCCACTCCATCATTCCTGGCGATAGTCTTAGTAGGAAGCGTTGAATCATTTTCCTTTTGTAGTGGCAAACAAATTGTGAGCAAGTAGCAATGCAAGATGAGGTGTAACTGTTAGTTCACACCTAATCTGCTATTGAAAGACACTTACCTAAAATATACGATGCTTGAGCGGCACATAATCGCCCACGAACAATGCCCGATAACCGACCTGCAGCTGCTGCTTCCTCCTGAACATGGAAAGCATGATGCAGCAACACCACAGGGACAATAAATTTACAGAGAGATGTGCTTGATACCGGAGTTGAAATTTTAAGCCTTTGAGAGCCGTCTCATACTTGAATGTGAAACTTCAACAGATCGTACCTCAGTCAAATCATGCTTGCAATCAACGATCTATTAAAACATCTAGGTTGAAGAGAGAACTCCAGCCACAGCCACGGCAACTTAACACGTGTGCAGCGTTACTCGAATCATGAGAACTTTAGTACTTTTGCTACGCTGGGTTACTCAGAGCTGTGTGTGTTTCATGCATGGGATTCTCACAAGTACACAGCAAACAAAGCGGAGCTCAGCAATCAAGGAAAAAGAAATGGCTTCAGCAGGACGCAAGTGCATGCATGTGGAGCATCTGTTTCCTCGCTGCTCTCCAGCACTGGAGATACAGTGTCCTGGCCATCATGCACACAAACGTACACCCACGCACACACCTATCCACATACCCCCCCCCCCCCCCCCACCACACACACATGACCTACCTTTAATACAGTCAGGCTGCACTGTGAGAGCTGCGATTCAGCATCGCTGATCAGTAGAGACGTTCGGTCGTACAGCGCCAGTGCCTCTTTCCATCTACGAGTGGCTGCATATGCCTCAGCACTAAAGAAACACCTGCGTGAGATACCATCAAGCCAACAAACAGCACACGAAAACAACAAATTGAAATACATGTACACTTAAACTCCCGGCCTACGCTGCACTGGATCGTCTTTAAAAGCAGCTCGGAGCTACATTCCAAGTCGTGCTACACTGTACATGTATATAAACTGGGTCAGAGCATTTTCAAGCCGGAAACAAAACACAGAGTACAGCCAAGTACAGTATAGTATAGCACATGACCCAGAGTATGTCCGGTTGGTGGAACAATCAGAATCAGGGGAGTTTAGATAAGGGGAGCTTGAGTGCAACAACTGGTGCACATAAACAAAGGTGATATTTCTGATGGGCAAATCAAAGCTCACTGGATTTCCCTGAAAGTTTCACTGCCGATAAATGGGCTGTATGCAAACGCAATGCATCTGAGCATTAAAATGAAGCGGTTTGCTCACCTAAAGGAGCGGAAGCAGAGGCGTAATGCCGAGAGCTCTCTCGTCAGCTGTTCGTCCTCGTCCACACCGCCAAGATCCAGCATATCAGATACGTTCTGTAGCAATAACAATAAGCGGAATACCCAAACCATACTAAGCGCAGAGACTGCATACAGGTATAGACCTTATTCGATCACGTGATTTTTCGGGGCGCCTTCGAGGATGCGCACCCGGCACTCGGACACGTGATCCGGACGAGTGGCAAAAAGGCCTCAGCTGAGCATCACGGAAATTTGTTTTGAATGTATTTTCAATATCGGAGTTCGTCTCATTCCTTTTCTCGAAGTACTTTCATGCAGGTTTGTCAGGTGTTAGGAGCAGTAAGCAGTCTTCTTGTAGTTTTGAGTGTTCTAGCAGTGATGGCGGTTCAAGAGTTGTCCGAAATCTATCGCGATTTGGATAGAGCGGGCAAGACGCGGTATGCCGAGAAGCTGGCCATCATCGGCTCGGACCAGGACCCCTACGTGACGAGCAGATCTCTCACGCCTGGTGCCACACCTGATTTCCCCAGCGTGGAGTATCCTGATTTGTACCACTATCTCGTGAACGCGCCGAGTCCCTGCACGAAAGAGGAGATGAAGGCGTACAAAAGCTTGGAGGGGTACCAGTTTTTCGTTGCTGGTTGGGTTGGCAATGTCGTCACCTTTCCTGCAACTGCGGATGGCAAGAGAGCATTTGTGATGGCGAAGGTCCGTCACTCCCAGTCCGTGTCCTCTGCTGAGCTGCAGCCTTGGGTGGCAGCTGACATGGATGGGAGTGTGCTTTGTGCCCACTGTACGTGTATGGCTGGCCTGGGCGAGGCATGCTCCCACATTGCCGCCTTGCTATTTACTCTGGTGGCCAGGACGGATTTCGTGAAAGAAAATTCCGCCTGCACCTCCACGCAATGTCAGTGGATTGCCCCATCCCTGCAGCCTGTGCAGTATGCCAGGATATGCGAGATGGATTTCGCCGCGCCGAGCAGCAAGCGCACTAAGCCAGCAGCAGCCAGTGTGGAGGTCACCACACAACTGCCGACATACACTGTGCCAACCACCAGTGAAGTCAACAAGTTCTTTTCTGGTCTTGCCTCCACGCAGAGCAAGCCAGGGATACTATCAATTGTTCCTGGTTTCTGCGAGAGGTATGTCCCAACCCGCCCAGCTGGGTTCCCAGCTTATATCACCGACCTCTATGACGAGGCAATGCTAGACGCATCGCTCGATGTGTTGCTGAACCGGTGTGATGATGTTTTGAAAGGCATGGGAGTGACAGCAGCAGAATCGGCTGCTGTTGAAAAGGCAACCCGCGATCAGAGCAAGAGCAAGCTGTGGTTCAGGTTCCGCGCAGGGCGTGTGACAGCTTCAAAGTTCCGTGATGCTGCTCACACACCCCCTGCGAACCCATCATCATCTCTAATTCGTGCAATTTGCTACCCCGATGCATATCAGTTTTCCTCTGCAGCGACCACTTGGGGTTTGGAGCATGAGCAGACTGCCCGAGACTGCTACGTCAAACTGTTTGAGCCTAACCACTGCGAATTCAAAGTTACTGATTCAGGATTCGTCATCTCCACCACTCATCCGTATCTCGGTGCCAGTCCTGATGGAAACATCAATTGTACTTGCTGCGGATATGGCGTCCTTGAGGTGAAATGCCCTTTCAAAGCCGTGAACAAGTCCTTCCATGATCTGGCAAAGGACACCAACTTCTGTTTGAAGGAGGTCGATGGAAAATTCCATTTGCGCCTTGGTCACAAGTATGCATACCAAGTGCAAGCACAGATGTTTGTATGCAAGGCAGCATATTCGGATTTTGTGGTGTGGAGCGTGCGGAAATGTGTAGTCATCCGCGTTCATCCAGATCCAGATTTCCACAAGACAGTCCAAGCCATCACGTCTTTCTACAAGGCTGGCGTGCTGCCAGAGATTGTCGGCAAGTATTTTACAAAATCCTTCAAATCTACTGCCGCCAATTCTGATGGAGCTGTATGCACTTGCAACGAGGATAAGGACGGCGACGTGGTGGAATGCTCACATCCAGACTGCAGAGTTAAGACGTTTCACTTGGTATGTCTTCGCATGAAGCAGAAACCAAAACGCAAGTGGATATGCGCAGCATGCAAGAAGAAGGAATAACTGTGTGTACGTGTGTGTGTGTGTGTGTGTGTGTGTGCAACGCCATGCTAGATTCTGTTGACTCTCGCTCTTTCTTTCCTCTCTTCTCTCTTTTAGTTGTTGTCTCCCGCTTATGATAGCGGCGTGGCCCGATAGGGCAGCTGTACATAGTAGTAGTAGTAGTAGTAGTAGTGTATGTGTGTGTGTGTGTGTGCATACATGCATGTATCCTGATGCAATTATGTAACTAGGAGCTATGCCCAACCCACCAAAACTCTCACTTCTCACACAAATGATTGCACCATACATGTACATAGAAATCAACAGCCATGCTCATGCATGGCTGCAGGATCATACATTCCACCATGTCAGAAATTTGAACTTGAGTCAATATGACCACTGGGGCTTGTTATTATTATGTGCAGGCAAGCGAAAAAGAAAAAGATGAAATCATATGATGATTTCAAGTTGTGCTTTTTGAAACATGACGTGTGTGTGTGTGTGTGTGTGTGTGTGTGTGTGTGTGTGTGTGTGTGTGTGTGTGTGTGTGTGTGTGTGTGTGTGTGTGTGTGTGTAATGGAGTGTGATTGATTGAGATTTACACATTGGTGATAACTAGACACAGGGACAAAAGCCGTTCTTCGAGGGAGTGGTAAAATACAAGTAACATAATTTGCATTGCACTCCTGTCCAGGTAATCTATGCAGCAACAACATGCCACACGTTCCACAATACAGGACAAAAAAAGGAAAAAAACAAGTCAATACTTCTACTGGAAAGGCACCACTGAGTCGCAGCAGTTGCACAGCGCAGAGCACACCAGGACAATCTTGTCGATGGTGCACACTCCTGTTGAGGCATCACTCATCAGCATGTTCACTGGCAGGGTTGACTGCAGAATAGTGTACTTCTGCCGCAAGTTGCCGATAACACGTTCCACATGGATTCGTAGCCGAGACAGCTTCCTGGCCTTCTCAATGCTGATTCTCGACAGTTGCTTCTTGCCTCTTGTGAGCGGAGGTATGACCAGCTCAGCGCAGTGCAGGCCAACGGCATCACTGACCGTGAATCCCCGGTCTGCCATTAGCTGGTCACCCGGCAATAGCTTGTCCAACAGCCCGCAATGCTCCGTGATGTACTTATCCGATGTCCGGCCACCCCATCCTTTGGAGATGAAGGAAATAGTGCCTTGCGGGGTGATACCAATAAGAAATTTAACCGTGTTGTGGTGTTTGTAATTAGAGAAGGTTTGAGCCCTGGCCATCAGATCATGTGGCCTTTCGCAAAACACTTCAAAACAATCAATAATGCAAATGCACTTCCCAAACTGTCCGCGAAACTCCAATGGCATCGTGCGTACAGTTCGGAGCGCTCTGGCCAGATGATCAACGGCTGCAGCCTGCCATAAAGGACGTGGATCCATTTGTGGAAGTACTTTGAGACAGTAGACTGGCTAATGCCGAAGCGATGTGCTAGATCTTGATCGTGCAAGTTGAGGCGCAGCTTCATCAGGACAATAATAAACTGCGCAAAGGACGGAAGTGCCGCTCGGTGGTGGTCGGGGATGTCCTTGCCAGCAAATGCGAACACTTTCTCCAGCACAGCAAAAGATGGGAGGCCAGTTTCATATCTCACCATGTCATCATTGGACTTGAATCCTGATATGATGGAAGACATTGCCGCCTCTGATTTTTGATGTTTCACAGTGGCTTCCAGGTGCTGTACTTTGACGGTGAGAGCAGAAATAGCAGATTTCTGTTCCTGCAACTGACCATTCAGCTGGCATTTGTCCTCTTCCAGCTGTGCCACTGTCGCCTGAAGCAAGGCTAGCCGCCGTCGCAGATCGTCATTTTCTTGTTCAGCACTATTGTCGACATGGCTGCTGGCTTCAGTGAGCTCTGGCTGAGCTGGGGACGCTGGCTCAACAGAGTCTGACGAACATGAATCTCTCGGCGCACTCTCCTCTTCGATTTCCTTGTCAGCATTACAGTCACTTTCTCCAGTCAGCACGGGCTCATGATTGCCATGGCATGTATTTTCAGGCTGAGCTGTTGGCTTTGAAGCTGCATGCCGTCGGGCCTTGTGGCGATCAAATTTTACGTAAGCTTTCTCACCATTTACTCGACCCTCGTCTGAAAAAACAGGCGGGACGAAATCAGGGGATAGTGGATCGTCGCTCTTCTTGAACCTTACAAAGTGATCCGAGCACACCCAACTGGAAGCGTTGGGCTGCCAGTTCTTGCGCTTCAGCGCAGCAATCCACTTTGCTCTCCTGAGCTGATTAGTTGGGAACTTATAAAAGCTCTTTCCACCACCTTTCGCGAAACGGTTAGCGCAACCAACTGCACAGCAACTCTTCACCATACTACTACACTCCCTACCCACGTCTCCCTGACCAACGACAGTGACAGCTACCCAGAACAATTCCAAAGCTCTCCTCCAAACACACTTGCCCACAACTATCAACACGCACTTTCAAAACAAAACACTTCTTGCCACTCGTCCAGTTTTTCGGAGGTTCCTTGGGTCACGTGAGTGGGGTCCACGTGACCCGTGACGTGTGTCGAATAAGGTCTATAGAACGAAGAACTGTATCAGAACATTGCCACATTGCCACATCCACAACTGGCCAGAGTATCCAACTACTGTTGTGGACATTCAAAATTTGAAATGGAATGACAGGGGCTGGCGCCCTTACTGCCTTATGCCTGGTTCACACTAGGCCGATTTTCCGGCCGACATGGACTCGTACGAAAAATCCTCAAGATCGGGGCGAAAATTGCGTAGTGTGAACTGTGTTGTCGTACAGGGTTCCGACAAATCTGCGGCGATTTTCTTGTCGCACTAGTTTTCGGCCAAGTATCGACTGGTCGATATTTAGCCGAAAAGCCGGCCGATTTTTACTGCTTGCACGTGATGGAGCGGTCATCGGACCAATCACGGTAGGCTTTTCACCATGACAGCAAAGAGCGTCGATGTCGAGCTCATGACCTCTTGTACTTTTGTACTCTTGAGTCTTGATGAGATGTAAAGTCCTACCAAAATTTCATAACCCCCATGAACTCTTGCTTTTATGGATAATCGATGCGACTCTATTGCGAGTGAGTCGTTCCCCGTGTGTGAACAGGCCGTCCGACTCAGTCGACACAGTCGGCAGACTCCATGTCGGAGTCGGTGTCGGAGCATCGGCCGGAAAATCGGCCTAGTGTGAACCAGGCTTAAGCGCCTACACGCACCGGACACCCTGCAAATATGGACCAGCAGTGCCCACGGCTGCGAGGCCAGCGCTCAGTAACCGCTTGACTTCTCAACGGATTTCACTGTCCTCAACAGTACATGCAACGTTTCCCCATGATAAGATGCAGTAGTGCGTTCCTGTCCTACTGGCCACTGGTTGGCGACACACTTTCTTTTTCTCCAGATCCCATGACTGTTGTTCACTAATGAATGCCCACTAGGCGAATAGGCCTTCAGACAAAAAGGTTTGGTTGGATTAGAAGTACACGCATTACACCGGGTGAATATCATGCACCTAATCCCCAGTCCTATCTGCACACACATACAATGACCTACCTGCAATACAAGATCGTATACTCGTACAACTTCCTCAGGTTTAACTGCTTTGGAAGGAGGCGCACTGGCCACTGCAGCACTTGCAGCCGCTGCCTTGGCAGATGATTCCCGGCCAGTTAGCTGCGGGCCAAACGCAAACTGCTGCGACATATGTTGAGCCATGAGCAGATTGCGCTCAGCAGTCTTGGTCAGTCTCGTGAACGAAAGATACGCCAGGAGCTGCTGCAGCTGGCTGATGATGGTTTCACTGCGACGTTTGTTCTGGACACAAGAACAAACACGCACACAAGCGCGCCGCAAAACAACACCCGGAACATATTAGACAAAGTTGTTTAGCACCTAGGCCAGATGTCACGGCCAGTCGTACGTTTCAGGTACCCATCTACCAGAAGTGAATATTCGATGCTTCGAAAAGAGCACACACACACATACTAGCTCATTGAATGCAGAGATCTTGCTGCTCTGGACTTACAGCGTTCTCGACCTTGAGGTCTTCCTGCAGACTGTGAGCGGCCTGCTGGCACTCAGAGAGGATGTTGTCATAGAGCTCCATGACCGCCTCGTGCGTCTCGGCACGCTCCGCCTCGCCCTTGCTGTCCTGGACGTGGATGAGGAAGACGCGTACCTTCTCGTTGCGCACGGGCACCATGGCACCGTGCCAGCTGACCTCCTGCAGCTTGGTCGCTTGCTTCTCGCGCACTTGAGAGAGAGCATTCTACAGCACAGAGATACAGACGGATAGTACATGTACAGTATGGGGCATTGGTAGACACGCATATATTTTTACACAATAATGACAATACTTATACATGTACATGTACTAGAGCAGCCAATGACAGCTGGGGGGGGGGGGGGTAGGAAAGACAGTCCTGAGATACGTGAAACATTCCGCAAAGTGCCACATTTTGCAAGAGTCCCAGCAATGGTATGTTCACAGGCCAATGTCCCAGCCAGCATCAGAGCAAAGGCCACCGTCTACAGGAGCATGCCTACACCATGCACTGTGCATGCGCTAACACGTGACACACCATCCAGCAACAAGTCTTACGTCGATTTCCGCCGCTAGGAATTCTTGCGTTCCGGACATCATGGCCGCCTGCTTTCTCAGCTCCATGAGCTTCTTGATATCTGTGGTGCCTTGCATCTGACCAATCTGGTACGCGCAGTACTGAATGTTGGGCTCCACTTCCTGCGCCCGAGCTTGATAGGTGCGTCGCTGCTCCTCATCAACAAGAGCTTCAGACAAGCGCTCATAGATCGTTCTGTTGGTATGCATGCAACATCACACAGGCAGAGATGCACCACATGCATAAGAACACCAAGAGTTAGACATTCCACAAGACGTGAAGGATCCATAAAGCCACTGCAGAATCACGGAATATGAAGATCAGCTGATGAATTCACCAGAGAATGCCTAACCTTGTTGTCCGAAAAGAACTCAGGGCATTCTTGTAGTCCTTGAGCTCAAACTGGCGCGTGCCATGAATCCACGCCGAGTACGCCTGGGACAATGAGAACACAGAGGCCAGGCAGACCGCCCAACAAATACACAAACACACCACACACATACAATCATGCACACCCAACACATACTTGTATCACGGGTCACCAGTACACAGACACACAAGCCTTTGAGTTTCGTTGTGCGAAGCAACGCCATGGTGTAAAGGAGAGCAAGACAGGATTCTTCACAAAGACAAGACAACTCAATCCGACTGAAACTCATTGTGTCAACAAACATTTCAGCCACCAGCTAACCTGGGCTTCCAGCTTCGTTCGAGCGTCGGCCTGCGGACACGCACTACACAGTTCCTCCAGCTCAACAGCATACTGCTCGGCTCTACGCAGCTTCTTCAGCAAGGAGAAGTGCTTGCGCGGCTCCGTGTTGCTCTGTGGCCGGAGCTCCATGGCATAGGCCCAAGCTCGCTCCGCTGACATCAGGACAAGGTGCAAGTATCTGCAGCACAGGACAACAGAACACAGAGTTTCTTTTCTAAATACGGTGAGCTCGGCTATTTAAAAATTAGCAATCACACACCGAGAAGGCATGCTCACACAATTATTCGTACAGAGAAACCTGTCTAAGGCGACCACGCAAGGAGCCTTCCAAATGTGGTCACTGTGCACAAATGGTCTCCTTATCCAAGGTCATTTGACTGGAAATAAGTTCATATAACATCCCTTGGTCCTAGTTGTAGTACAGTCAACTTCGCTAATAACGACAGAATTTCCATGCCCAGAGCAAAGTCCCATCCAACTGTGATACATATCATGGGACTTTGGGTATAACGACACTTCGCGAATAAGGACACTTTTCTGATGCCCCGCTGAATGTCGTTATAAGCGAAGTTGACTGTAGTCCTCTGGGACTGGTGATCGTCGTAACAGGTTTTACCGTGTTCTGTAACTAAGCATTCAGAACTATGAAAATGACAAGGAGCAGTGAGGGATATTGGTCATGAACAAATCTTCAAATGAGCATATGGAGTGGTTCGACTGGAGAGACCAGTCTGACTGCACTATGGCGTAGAGACTATGGTACAGTTATTATTATTTTTTAAATATCAGGCACTGTGTTAGTAATGCGGCTGCAATGCATAGCAGCTGCTTACTCTACCCCTCCTCATCCCTGATACATGTACACTCGGACGTCTCTTATCCGGGCACCTTGGGACCGGGCACTGCCCGTATCTCAGATTTGCCCGTATCTCAGGATAACTCATCTACTTACATAGGCTGGCAGTGAAAAATAAGCACTTCCACATACAGGGAAAAAGTAAAAGAAACCAAATTCGAAGCATTTGTACTATAGGAACTCAAGCTGAAAGTGCCCGGTAGAGAGACGTGCCTGTATCTGAGGCGTCCGGATAAGAGGCATTTGAGTGTACTTCATTATTTAGAACTGTGCTGTAAGCCGTGGAAAATGGCCAGAGGGCAGGGTTTTGAACACCTGCCTGGCTTATGATGTTAACTTTCACCAGTCAAATCAAGAAACTGAATTTATATACGTGGGGCAAGAACATAGGAAATCCATTGTTTCACTTCATTGATTTGGGGAAGGGGTTGGTTAGTGTGTGTGGGGGGTGGGGGACTGCAATTTAATAGCACAATGGATTTATCAACAACTGCCTCGTCATCAAGCTTGTTACCTGACATCCGTGACTTTCTCCACGGTTATCTTCTTGGGATTGTAACGGCTCTTGTGGCCATGTTGAAAGTGAAGTGATTTGCGTATGCGGTGAATACGCCGCGCACAGTAAGCCCTGGACGAAGCACGTACGTGTACAAGAAGCAATACAGAAGAAAAACACTTCGAGTGTTTGTAAACCTCACACTTGTGAGCAAAATAAGACACCTCAGTCAGACAGACACATTACTGTTATTAAATTTTGAATAGGGCAGTCCCACAGGCCTAGGGCCTTTTTACAGGGTACCCTATGAATTGTTGAATAGATGACTACTACAATAGAGTCCCAGAAAATTGACTGCAAGTCTAATTTCACTGACGTACGTGCATAACAAGACACAGCATACAACATATTTCAAACTTTTCCGAGTGCATGTACAGTACTATCTCTTATGTTTCAGATTATTACTTTCACAAGTAGTTCTATTTTGAAAGCCATCGTTCAACAAAAACCTAAAAATCGGCGAGCTGGATCTAGTCTCAACTTCTGTGCATGTGCAGTGCAATGTACCTGTATCGAGAATAGTCATTATGACGAAGTCCATGCTGAGCTTGACTATCCTTGATTATCAGTAAAACTGGAGAACAGCGAACCCGATCTTACGTAAGTACAGAGAATAACCATCTATACAATCAAAACAGCAGGAACATACTCTCCACACAGTAAGGTTCACCAGCTTTGTTTGCAGCAGGAACATCTTCCACACATGCCTCGACTGACGAGGCAGTTTCAGTCGCCATTTCGATCCCTTCCTTCTCGACCTAAAATCACAACATGAACATTTTCATCTGAAACAAAGCTGAGGACGTAATGACGTCAGGGAAAATGCATCACATGCACACTGCCAGGGAGTCGTAAAATACCAGGGAGTCGTAAAATACCGGTATTTTACGACTCCCTGCACACTGCACTACAGTGTATCCGGATCGCGGATTGCATGCTCACGGCTGTTAGCTGCACTTGGATCGCGGCAACTTAGTTTTCTGCACGTGAACCATGAAAAACAATGCATGCTCATGCATGTTCATGCATAACCAGTCAGCTGGCCTGCTCGCCCGCGCATTTGACAGGTAACAATTCCATCAAATTTGAGATATCGCTTCGTTCTAAGTCTCAAAACAGTTCTAAAGTCACCAAACCACGCTGGTAATCGATGGCTATTCAATGTTAACATCTTCAGGAAGACTTCAGCCGTTTCCCGAGTGTTTGGGCATCGTTGCCGTTATTTTTCACGGTGTTCTTCTTCCCCTTGTCTGGAGCTGCAATTGCATCCTGGAATTATTTGAAAGGTATTTCGTGCGGGCTGTGGGGGGTTCCAACAGGCATAAACTGACATCGCTATAGGATAACTGGTAACTTTCACCCTTCAAGGAGGTAGAGCAATGAGAATTTTTTTGTGGCGGTCGTCCAATTTTTGTGGCGGTCGTGGCTGTATTTGTGCACTTCCAAGGCTTTCATTCTGCCTGATACTACTCTCTACTGTATGGGAATCGTTGTTTAGGCATATGTAGCTGTCTTATTTGGTAGATCTGCTGTTTTCAATCACTTGGGACACTTTGTCTAGCCTATTTGTCTTTCCTTCTTGCCATCTATCAGTTTTGTGGGGTGCCTTGACCTGTATTTGTGAAGTTCTCGAGTAAAGACCCTAATTCTTGCCTGGAGTGACGTCTTGAATTGAATTTGCTGGGTGAGCCCTCGTTCACGCAGTTGTACTTATCGTAATAGTCAATATCTGCTTGCTGGACGGACTAGCGGCTAGAATAGGGATGACCAAATGGTCCAAGTGTGTACTAGTACACGATTATTGTTTCCATCATCGTGAAATGCTCGTTGTGGAATTGCAGTCGTCTGCCTTTGGCACTGAGGACATGAGGAGAGTTGATTGTTACTTCTGCTCAGCAATGAAGCGATCATCAGCTCTCTTTGTTCTAATTATTGAGAGGACATACCGGCATCGCAATCAAGTAAAGATTAGGCAAACCTCGCCAACCTCCAAAGAGAGTCGAAGATATTTTCTCCAAATGCAAAGACGATCTTTGTGAGTTTGTGACTTGCATTTGCGTGCATACATGAGCAAGTCACGGACCACGGCACGTGCGCGGTTACCATGCCATCTCGAACCGACGCCATCTTTCTAAGTTGCCGCTTCTTGACAGCCGTGTGCATGCTCAGCTCCATTTTTTTAGCTGAGATAATTATCGCGTTCGAACGCAAATTTTAGCATTATTATTTTTAGCTTCTAAAATTTTGGGTGTTTGTACGTAATTGTACACATTTTGTTCAGTTCTCCAAACAAATACAGTGATATTACATTCTCATACTGCCTCAGAGAGTGTCCCTGTCCGCAGACATCCGTTCTGGTGTGTGGCTGGCTTGGGCTTGGAAAAGAACTGATGCCCTGTAATCTGTACCTGGAGGACTGAAGTGAGAAGAATTCTAATTTAGTTGAGTTCTAATTTGGCCATGGACGACAGGGAGCGCGAGGGAGACGGTAGAGGGTCAATGGACAAGGATATTTCCAAGGTTTGTCGTAATTACCTTCGCGGGACATGCAGTAGAGGTACAGGCTGTTCCTTCAGGCATCTTGGACCTGAGGAAATTGTTGCAGAAGTCAACACTGGGAGTGATTTATGTCGTCTGATATTTTGTCGGGATTTCCAGAAGTCTTCATGTCGGCGTCCCAACTGTAGATTACTGCATGCTACTACTGAAGAAGAAGTGGCGTATAGGCGAACTGGAAAGATGCCTCCTCGGATAGTGCAGGTGGAAGCACTGGGTGGTACTGTCACCGGCACACAAGGCTACATGCAGAGCATGTATGCCAGTGCGCTTGCTGCACATAGTATCCTGCCTGTTGCCGCCGACGGAGTTACCGGTGTCGCCGGTGTTCCTGGCGTTGCTGCCGCCATGCCATGTGCCCCTGCTGCACCAGCAGTTATGAATGCTGTGAGCGACGGCGGTACTGTCGCCGGTAAACGCACGCAAGACCTTGAGCTGGAGGTGAAGGGTCTGCAGAGCCTGAACCGGTCGCTGCTCGAGGAAAACTTAACGCTGAAGAACCGGGTGAGCGAGCTCGAGGGCAAGCTTGAGCAGAGTAGCAAGGGGCAAACATGGTGAAGAGCATGTGCTTGGTGTAAGCATCATTCTCTGTTTTCGGCCGACTGCTTGTGTCATTCTACAAGCCGCTGGCCCCGCCACGCGTGCACCCCCGTGTTCAATAAAGAAGGAGTTCAATTCCGCATTGTCAAGCCAAGGTCTCTAGCTTACGGGCACGCTTGCTTGGCCTGGCTCATCATGATAGTTTGAATTACTTTCCTATCCTGAGGTGAGCGGAGTCAACGTCGACAGCTGCTAGGAATGAGTAGTAGCTCTTAGTCTGACCTATCAAACCTTCTCAACGTGAACTCCTTGCTAGTTACTAAGGCATGTCCTTGGCCAACATCCGTAATGTGCTTTGGGCTTCAATGTTTTAAGCCATGAGCATCAATCTAACATCCGTTTTGCCGTCCATGTCTTTTGTGTTTCCATGCGGACTGTTTGTACCGTGTTTCTCTGTGCGGACTGGTTGTGCTGTAGACACTGTTGAAGCTTTTGTAAATTTTATTGTGCGTTGTCACTCTTGTAACTCTTGTTCTTGTGGTTGGCATGACACATGAGTGCAGTAGAGTGTAGTGTTCTACTGAGCTCCAGTGCAAGCAGGGCTGCTAGTGCCATGCACATGCACGAGGCGTTGCGCGGCTTTTTTGATGTGTGCACCACTGCTGCATTGGTTTATCTGCTGGTTGGTGCTGGCTGGTTCAGCCTACCTTGCTTCAAGTTTGAGGAAAGCCATCCCATTTCTCCCCCGCTTGATTGTCAGATTTCGTTTCCTAACATCGCCACCGATGTTGCCTAATACATGTACACCTGGGATCAGTGGACTCATGTGTTGTGCATGTGCTTTTAGTTTGCATGATTGCATTCCTTTATGCTGCGTGCATACTTTTTCATTTCACATCCCCTTGCTGGAGTATAGCATCTATTGCTCACATGCGAATGCTGTACCTCATTTTCGCGCGTGTTGTCGAAACACGCTGGCTGGACAACCTGTCCCGAAGCCATGCAGCTGTATTCGGAATGCTTTGCAGCTGCTGCTGCGAGTAGTCAGAACGCACATGTATGTGTCTGTGTGTGTATGTGTGTGTCTGTGCGTGGTGCGTGCACGCCTGTTGGGCAATCCTCTTCTGGCTTTGTGCTCACTGCTAAAGGTTGATGTCCACGCTTCCAGATCATGTGCATGTGGTGTAACACATGTGGTGTAACACATGACGATGTTGCCACAAGTACGCTATCTAGATGAAAGTCATGAATGGACATGGTTGTACATAAAATCAAGAGTACATAACCCCTACCCCCGAGAGCGTGCAACTCAACTATGGGTACTGTTACTCAACTCTTCTTTCTATGACATGGTCAATTTTATGTAAAACAACTGACTATGATGAATCATGATAGGGTTGGGATGATTGCAGTGTGATTGTGAATGAACAGGCATGCTCTAGATAAGCACACTGTCTATGTGCGAGTGTAAAGGCCGATTCACAAGACAACTTTCTGCGACAGTTGCGACAAGAAACTGCCTGTCGCAAGTTGAAGAAAGTTCAACTTTTGCGACATGCGACACGCGACATACACAAATGGAGTACAGTTTCGACCCTGGGTGCACGTGCATAGTACTACTTGTGCATGAGGATGTCGCAAACATGAATATTGTGAACCGTGTGTCGTTGTCGCAGCTCGTCGCAAGTCGCATGTCGCGTCGCAGAAAGTTGTATTGTGAATCGGCCTTAAAGCTGCCCAAAGCATCAGCACTCTTACTCGCAGTGGATGGTAGCCTCTCCTACTCCTAGAGAAAGATATCCTATACAGTGTAGATCTACCCAGAGTCCATGGTAGCTTGGGATTCTTGAACGCGGACCTGCGATAAGACATACCCCCCCCCCCCCCCCACGGGCAGCAAGAAAGTGTACTTAGTATCCAACGGGCAGCAAGAAAGTGTACTTAGTATCCAACGGGCAGCAAGAAAGTGTACTTAGTATCCAACGGGCAGCAAGAAAGTGTACTTAGTATCCAACGGGCAGCAGGAAAGTGTACTTAGTATCCAAGGTTCTTCTTATCCCAACTTCAGTAACATAACCCCAACACGCTTCAGTAACATAACCCGACACACTTCAGTAACATAACCCGACACGCTTCAGTAACATAACCCGACACACTTCAGCATGGATCACTACATCCGTGCTCGGGACAATGACGGTATTAAGCCATCTCTTATCGTTGCCATCGCGAGAATAAAGAACTCAAACAAAGCAAGAGTAGGTCTTATCAGTGTACGCACTAAGCGAGTCCCACTGTATTCCAAGAATCCAGTACTACATGGATGGCCATGGCTACAGCACTCAACAGTAGAGATCAGAAGTCACCCATCAAGTTTGGTGGAAAATACTCGGTTTTTGTTTAAAAGTTGCATCGTAGTAGTCATGATGTCGTCCGTAGACAACAAACGCAACACACGGATAAGCAGAATAGCAGCACACAGCCAGAGGACAGGCAGTGGAAACAGAACGTACGCGCATCCAGACAGGACCATGGATTAGCTGACAAGCAGACGAAGATCAAGGTGCAGGACAGCAAACGGAGCGCATCACCATGATCACGCACATGCATTTTTTAAAAGAAAACGAATGCTTCTACAGTAGTGAAAGAAAAGGACAAAAGGACGACATCACGCCAATGCACTTTGTCAATCAATGACTCAATGAAGAATACCCACCAATGGGAGAGATATGACTGGATTTCCGAACTCCTCAACGTAGGTACAGTCAACTTCGCCAATAACGACATTCGGCGGGGCATCAGAAAAGTGTCCTTATTCGCGAAGTGTCCTTATAACCGAAGTCCCATTTGAATGTATGTGAACCCATATTTTGTATAGTATGACATGCATATCAAAATCAAGCTCTTTTCTTGCTCTATGTCAATATGTGTACTTTATTTTCATATTGCAGTTGAAAGGAACTAAAAATTCAATATGCAAGGGAAATCAATTGAAAAATATGCCTTTTTGAGCCATCTATACAGGGCCAGAGACATGTACATGTATGATGATTACTGTACAATCATGTACAACTACATGTACATTGTATACATATACATGTAGGTGTGCTGGTAAATCCAACAATTTTGAAGCCAACATAAAAAAGGAAGAAAAGCCCCCCGGCCCCCTTGGCTGCATTTTCTTGCATGTGTGCCTTTATAATAATATCCATCACCGCCACCGGTGCACCATAGGTTCTGGTACTTCTGCATGACAGGTACATGTACTTGACTGACAGGTACTTGAAATACATGTAGCTGTCAAAAGCCCAGAAAGTCGTTATTCAAGCAGTGAATATGACCTCGGGGCACTAAAAGCATGTCGCTATACGCGAATTGTCGTTATTCAGATAGTCGTTATATCCGAAGTAAAATGTATACAGTTAGATGGGACTTTGCTCTGGGCATGGAAATTCGGTCGTTATTCGCGAATTGTCGTTATATCCGCAGTCGTTATTAGCGAAGTTGACTGTACATGGATTTCACACAAGGGCTATCAAAGAGTACAGCGGTGCGACTTACTATACATGTTAGAACGAGACAAGGAGCATACATGCATAGAGAGTCCGGCCAAGTCAACAGAACACATCTCCAGAAAGCCGCTGACGTCTTGCATGGACATGCAACGGACAATGAGCCTAAACAGGAGAACTGCTACGCATACATGCATAGAGAGTCCGGCCAAGTCAACAGAACACATCTCCAGAAAGCCGCTGACGTCTTGCATGGACATGCAACGGACAATGAGCCTAAACAGGAGAACTGCTATGCATTCATGCATAGAGAGTCCGGCCAAGTCAACAGAACACATCTCCAGAAAGCCGCTGAAGCATAACATGGACATGCAACGGACGATGAGCGTAAACAGGAGAACTGCTACGCGACTGCATATCGGTCTTCATCCCACCAGCAGCTGTCTACCTGTGTTGGATTTTCTGTGCTTGAATGTGCTTCTGGAGATGCATCAGCACTTCCTACACATAGAGTAAAAGTAAACACATAAGCGCACGCAGAGTGAAACAAAGCATTTCCATTGCAATTCAAAGTACGCGCGTGTGTGTGTGTGTGTGTGTGTGTGTGTGTGTGTGTGTGTGTGTGTGTGTGTGTGTCACGGCGGCTACGGTGGTGGAGTAGCTTCCCATCTGGCTCGAAGAAGACCTTTGCGCCTACACCAGGGATAGGCTGCACGTGCTGGCGCCAACAATGCATCACTGCCCACATGAAGATGTTGAATAGGACAGGGGCCATGCAACATCCCTGCCGCAAGCCATTCGTCACAGGGATGGGGTCAGCTTCAACATTCGACAGACGGAGAGTTGCGGTCATGCCGTCATGGAATGCACGGATAACAGCGATCAGCTTCTCGGGGACGCCAGCTTTTCGCAGTACTAACCACAGACACTCTCGCGGAACTGAGTCATAGGCTTTCTTCAGGTCAATGAAGATGAAGAAACACTTCTGCTCATGCTCGTAGCTCTTTTCGATTAGTTGCCTTGCCGCAAAGATCATGTCAGCACACCCACGTCCTGTGCGGAAGCCGCACTGAGAGTCTGGTAGCACATCGTCTAGTTTATCAGCAAGTCGGCTCTGGATGACGCGAGCAACCACTTTACCAATAACGTCGAGGAGAGCTATGCCTCGCCAGTTGTCACATTCTGCAAGGTTACCTTTCTTGGGGATAGGCACCAGCTGCGCGTTGACCCAGTCGCCAGGAACACTGCCACTGTCCCAGACTGAATGGAGAAGCTCCAGTAGGTGGTCAGTAAACAGATCTGGACAGGCTTTGAGCATCTCCGGCAGGATTCCTGACTGACCTGCAGCTTTGCCACTTCGACATTGCGTGATTGCCTGCTGTAACTCCAACAGATCAGGCGGCGCAACCAAACTATCCAGACACGGCATTTGTGGAACACAGTCAAGAATACTGGAATTGAACGTACTTTGCACATTCAGAACACCAGAGAAATGACGGCCCCAACGTTTGCCCTGGTCTTCGGCAGATGCACATGGATTTCCATTCTCGTCGTTGATCGCAGCAGTTGTGATGCGGGTCGGGCCTTGTTCGACTGTTTGTAGTGCACGAACACATTTCCACACAGTTCGTCCTGAGAATCTTTGTGCATTGGCGAGCTCTGCCTTGGATGATATCCAGTCACGTTTAGCCTTCCGCACTCCGGCACGCGCTTGACTGCGAGCCTGTTTGAAAGCAGTGTGATCCCTAGGACGTTGATGTTGAAGCCAGAGCGTGATAGATCCCTGGAGCTGACAGAGTGTCAGTTTGCTGATGATTCCGCTCTTGTGGCCGCGACACGCCAGGCCGCAGTTTCAGCCTTGGAGGTATTTGTGGATGTATGCAGCGATTTTGGCCTCACCGTCAGTGCCACCAAAACCAAGTTCATGGTCTCTGGCCCCAACATCTCTAACGACGATCTAGAGCCGCTCGCGATTCGAACTATGGAGATTGCCCATGTGTCGTCTTTTCGTTACCTTGGATCCAACATACACAGCAACGGCCGATGTCATGATGATGTCACATCCCGGATTGCACAAGCTGCCAAAGCGTTTGGCGCTCTGAAGAAATCGATATTCCACGATGTAACACTGACAATATCCATCAAACGGTCAGTGTACAATGCTTGTGTGCTGTCGACTCTGCTCTATGGGTCCGAATGCTGGGTACCGCTACAGGCTGATGTTCATGCGTTGTCTGTCTTTCATCTCCGTTGTGTCCGCACCATTCTGGGCATCAGTCGTCAAGATGTATGGAATGACAGGATAACTAATGTTGAAGTTCTGGAGCGCTGGGGAGATACCTTGGACATGGAGTGTCGTCTCAGCAGACGTCGCCTTGAGTGGCTTGGTCATGTGGCAAGGATGGAGGATGAGCGCATCCCGAAGGCTCTACTGTTCGGTTCGTTTCCAAACAAGAGACCTGCCCATGGTCCGCGGAAAAGGTGGCGAGACTGTGTTCGGAGTGACGTCAAACCACTTGACGACTGGTATGAAGTGGCCACCTCTTCTCGCTCCAAATGGCGCCAGGCTTACCGTTGTCTGCCAGACAAGCAGAACAGACCTCGACCATCACCGGTTGTGTGCCAAACTTGTCACCGCTCCTTCAGTCGTGTAAGTGACAGGAAGCGACACAAGTGTACAGCTACGCGTGCCCTACCCGTAAGCCAACAGCCAGGAAGCTGTCACTGCGATCAGTGCGACAGATGGTTCCGGAGCAAGGGTGGATTTGCCCGACACAAGTGCTCGCCACCATCATCACCAGCAGAGGCATCTTCTGACACACTTGAGTCACCGGTTACAAACAATATGTCCTGCGAACGCTGCAGTTTCCACTGCGCCCGCTGCAACCGCTGTGTGCTATCGCGCCAAGGCATGAAACGTCACAAGTGCAGCCGTGGCTCGGCCAGAGCAACCAACACAGACCGTAGCTCCTTCTGTATCGTTTGCAATTGCGGTCGGCGTTTCAGTAGACCACAGGACCTATCCCGTCATCGCCCCTACTGTTCCGAACCTGCTCAACCCCCCATGGGGTCCGCATAGCCAGAATATGGCAGCGCGTCCAAGGTCCAAGGTCCAAGGTCCAAGGTGTGTGTGTGTGTGTGTGTGTGTGTGTGTGTGTGTGCTGTATGGGTAAAGTAACCAAAGTCACCAGACTTTGGCGGGTACAGTTTGGATGCGCTATTATAGGCTCTAAATCCTTAGTGTGCACTGAATTGTAACTATTAGATACGCCTTGATTGGTTGAAAACACGTTGTTTGGTTGACAGCATGTTATAAGGCAGAGGACGCACTGTGTTCGAAAACAGTGCTCCTTACTACACTCTCCATGGTTGGCAGAGCCCCGGTCTTGCGACCATTTGAACAGCATGGGGGCTAGCCCCGGTTCTGACCCTGATTACACAATGGAATTGTTTGAGTCTTCTTGTTTTTGTTTTGTACTGTCAGTTGTGTGTTCCTTGCTTGTTCTTGGATGTCAGTCCTGCGTAAATCCTCTTGATCCCTTTGTTTTTATAACTTGTTAACCGTTCAGCGTCGGGTCTTTATTGTTTCTGTTTTGTTTGTTCTTCTTTCTTTTCTTTGTCTTCATTTCTCCAACTTCTGCCCATGGCGTCCTTCCCTCAGCTCGTCAGCTGACAACAGTCACTGTCATCACCATCACACTGTTGTGAGAAGGTGCTCTCTGCAGACAAGGTTGGTGATGTCCCATGGCCACGTCGGGAGGTTGGTGATGTTCCGAACAAAACATAACAGAAACAATAAAGATTGCGCTGAGCAGTCTGAGAATTTCCAGATTGCGCTGCGCATTCTGGGAGTTTTTAGATTGCGCAGCACAATGAGGCTGAGGATTCCCAACAATTCATGCAGGATTGTACAATCTCTTCGTCCCATGTAGATGGCTCAAGAAATGATCGAAGAAGTCAATGCCAGCATGACGACAAAAGCCGTCTCGGCCATTTCGGTCTACTTGCTCAGAACCAGTTCAAATATTTATCACAAACTGCCACAATCCTGTCTGCCATTTTCAAGGAGTTTCACGCCATTCCATGACCGGGAAGGTGTGGAAATCCCTCATTCAAATATGCGCACGCGGATTTAGAGGACATTTTCCGTGACTCAACTTTCGCGCTTCGTAACACATCGGAGTGCTTCGGGACTTGTTGCAATGGACAGGTGAGAGATTCCTCTTCGACCCACATATTTTAGTCTTTGAGAATAACCCAGAAATTGACTGAGTTACGATCCATTGAAAAACAAGAAAAGGTTTGGATCCCAGGGGATCAAAAGATGTACAGCTGGTCCATAAAGGGTAAAAACAAAAAGAGCTAAATACAAGTAAAATGTGGACTTACTTTCTTAGCCATACCAGCCAGGTTTTCATTGCAGTTCTCCCAGCGACATGTCGTCGGGTCATTGCTGTGCTTGCCTACAGGATAGTGTATTAGACGATAGAAGAGTGGCACACAGCGAAAAGCATCAGATTCATGCATAAGAACACAGGATGTAGGGCAGTGTGCGCAGAGAAAATCATGCCTGAGAGTCGGGCCTGCGACTGCCCCTATAGCTACATGTATGCCGATTGCTAAAAGGAGGATTTCAACATCTGATCACCATCAGCAGCAGCAGCAGCAGCAGCAGCAGCAGCAGCAACAACGGCAGTACACTAGCCAATAGGAGAGACACAATACGTGAAAATACACTTACGCATATGCTGGACGAAAGTCATGCGGTCGCCCAATGCCCACTTGAAATCGCAGTCACGCCACTACACAGGAGCACACACATGCACACGCACACACACACACGCACGCACGCACGCACGCACGTACACACACACAACAAAAAAATGAAGTCAGAACAAGACCTCGAGAAGAGACATTTGCTAACAGAAGCAAGTTCTATGCAACACATTGCCGGAAACATCAGGAGGAACATAGATGCAGGTTGATTGTCATAGACATCAACATGTCTTGGCACCATTGCCACTGTACATTACTTCTGCTCCACCATGCAATAATGCTAGGAATCGGGAAACACATCACAGATGAGGTTGAGTGTTCTGCTTGGCACATGGGATAGGCTTCTGCTGCCCCTTGCACCGCGGTCATCCACGCGACCAGTACAGTACAATGCATATCAGTGTAGGGTTGTGACACATACAGCACATACATGTACAGCAAGTAGTGCGGATATTTTCTTGCAACCCAACAGAATTTCTCCTCTCCTTTTACAAGGTGAACATCTCTGCCCAATGGGCATAGGGCACTGGTGGAGCAGTGGAACACACTAGCTGCTGTACCTAACCACTCTACATCACTCCACACACTGTACCTTGCAGACGAAGAACTGATTGAGCTTGATCAGCAGCGTATGGATGGTGCCATCACGACATCCCACGATCATGGCGTTCGACACAAGGCAGAGCGAGAAGGTCCGGTTGTACAGACCGCCATACGCCTGCATCTTTTCACACGACTGTACAGTAACACGAACAATGACACAGAAGAGTGGGTGAAGAGGGTGTTCATTAGTCATTAGTCACCTGCAGCTAGATATGATTGTGTATGTAACCCGGCACTAGACACAAGCCGCAGCACTGTTCAGTATCGTTCACTCGTGCTGGGTTCTAGCATGTCGATGCAGCAGTACCGGCCACACAAAACGTCATGCGCGACGAAACACTAGAGTGTGCAAGACTAGCAGAAGCAACAGCAAGCCGAGCTCCTTAGCACAATACGGACGTCCATGCCATCGTTCATGCTAGCTCACTCACCTGTCCATTGAAACAGCGAATGAAGCCCTCGGACTCTAGGCACCCTGAAAAGACGATGGACTTGCCACGCGACCTGACTGCCACGAGACTACTGACCGGCTGTGGATGCTCCATGGACCTCAGCTGTATGCCAGTCTGACAGAGAAGAGACAGAGAGAGAGAGAGAGAGAGAGAGAGAGAGAGACACACACACACGCACGCACACACGCACGCACGCACGCACGCACGCACACACACACACACACACCATGTACACAGGAATTAAACAAACATTTCAGAGACAGCAGCTTTAATATAGCAACAAGGAGGACACATCTCGCTGTAAGCATTTCCTATATTAATTATGTCGACATGCATGAGCAAAATGTGAACACAAAAATTAGTCCGAAATACATGCAGCAACAAACAGCTAAAGATTCGAAACCAAGGCGCCATGCACGAAAAGGAAGAAATGGCCAAAGCACAGCAACCGAGTATCTCCGAAACCCTTCAGAGTTGCGACTTCTCGTTTTCATAGCAGTTTTGCGCTTCACACCAAGACAAATGCCTTTACTGGGGTCAAACAACTCAGAATTTCTGATGGAACAGAGGCAACGTAGCTAAAGTGGAGACAATCCTGTTGTTGTAGCTTCTATTCCGTGACTTTGGCGTTGATTCAAATTCACAGTTCAAACTATCCTGCACATTCCATGATTGGTGGATGTAGCGAGCGCATGATCCATACAATGTGGTGCTTATGGGCTCAGCACATGTTTGCCTGTTCTGTGCAAGGGTAGCTTGGTGTACATGTGTGTCTTTTCATTCGATTCTCTGCCATAACTCTGGTTCTATCCGACTCGTTTTGCCAGTCTTGGGCTTGTTGGACAGCTCTTGCAGGAGATTCCAATGAAGTCCAACTCAACAAGCGAGTGGTTTTTCGTTTCTACATGCACAGATACAATAGGCATGGTGCTTCCATGAAGGGCTTTCGCACCCCACACCGGAGCTCACGCTTTTACGTTAACTTGACACTTGACTGACTCACGACTGCCATCCAGAGCGCACGACAAGTCCATCGAACCTTCGACTCGGCAAATCTGCAACACTTTTCGTATAAATCATCGCCGAAGTCGTTAACCCTATTATTATTATTTCTCATAATGGTGTTTCCGTGGAACCCGATAGGGTACCCCGTGTTACCTGTAGAAAATTGTCCAAGCACGATACCCAAAGAAGAAGCTACTAGTACCCGCCACAACCCAATCCATACGCTGCACACAGGCAGACACAAGCGCAGCCAGTCAGGGTCTCACCTTGAGGTCGTGCACGCGAATGTAGTGATCATTACCCCCGCTGTACAGCTCGTTGCCAACAGCCTGTGCAGAGACAAACGAGACAAATCCAGGCTAAATTAGCTCAAAAAGTCAAAATCACGTATCATCCTGGCTGAATTAGCTGAAAATCGCATGCCGTTCTGGTGCACCGCTACCGAGAAATAAATACTATATGTAAAGATCTTACGGGGTGACAAACACAGAAAATGAAACATTTTCATTGCAACACAAAATTTTATATGAATAAGAATGCACGCACACACGAAAAGGCCTCTCCATTTTGGCTCAACGTCAAAGAACTGGTCGTCTATAGTACGACAGTCAGACACTACCCACTCAAACACACCAGAAAGTTAGAAACAATTATGTTTCAGGAGTATGGTATTGCAAGTATTAGTTGGTATCTCACCCACATCAAAAAAGAAACAAAAATGGGAATGTACATGATGATCAGTGCAAGGTATACGTTATATGCCTTGCAGGCAGACAGTTAAGCATAATACACAGCATGTTTGTAATCACCTGCAAGCACAGCACAACCTGTGACACATTGGTCATCGTCATCCTGGCCTTGTTCAGCTGTACACACACACACACACACACACACACACACACACACACACGCACGCACACACACGCACACACACACACACACACACACACACACGCACACACACACACACACACACCAACACACACACATACACACACACATACACACACACACACACACACACACACACACACACACACACACACACACACACCACATAGCAGTTGATGAAACGCACGCACACAAATGAGACGAGAAAAGACGGTGACAAACACACAAGCACACAGATGGGCAGTGGTAAAAAAGAAAAGAAAGAAGGAAAGGAAACATGGTCAAAGCTCTGCCACTAACCAACCACCTGTACATGTAGTTTTCTACAATGGCTACAGCACTGTCAGCAGGAGAATTATTGAATTCAAAGACTACTTGCTTCAGTTAGAATTGTCCTGCTTCCAACTAGGCTGGTCTTGTTCGCATTGAGATAGAGTAGGACAGTTTATGTGCAAAGCACAACAGTATGTTTCGTTGTCGTTGCTGCTGCTGCTGCTGCTGTTGCTGCTGCTGTTGCTGTCGTTGTTGTTGTTGTTGTTGTTGTCGTCGTCGTCGTCGTTGCTGTGGTTGTGGTTTTTCCTAAACCATTTGGGGTGCCGGTTCAAATTCGAACCATGCCTGTACGCACACCTACCTGGCGCACATTCCACACCGAGACGACCTGGTTGAAACAGCCGGAGACAAGGCAAGGCTCTCCGTCGACCTCGGCCATGCACATGGCACTGATTTTGGACGATGGGTGGATGACGTGCTCACAGAGGTCAGAGCTGTTCTGTACCAGCGAGTCCTGAACGAAACAAAATGCAAAACAACAGGCGGTCACACAAAAAGGGAAGGGACAGATGGATGCGAGTTAAGAGTAGCTGCCCACCACTGCAACTAGATAATATACAGTCAGAAAGAGCAACAATTAGACACAAATCCGACAGAGTACCGAGATATTCAACGACCTGACACCTAGCTCCAACACATCTCCGAAGTCCTAAACAACATCCTTCCAAACCAAAGATGCTGTTTTTAATGCACCGATGAAGTTACAGCTGAGATCGGGCACACAATATGCAACAGCACGATGTTGGTAATGGGTGATAGCCGGAGAGAAAAACACCAAAATAGGCAGGGTGAAGGGCAGACAGACGCAACAAAAGGAAGATGGAATCACAGGATGAACGAACACTCGAGCGCAGGCATGGTAAACATAGTAAAGCCGTGCACTCACGTCGCAACGCAGGCTGTTGACTTTGCCGTCGACGCGGCCAGCATAGAGCACTCCATTTCCCATCACCATGCATAGGACTCTGCAGTCCAGCTTGTATTGAGCTAGACATTCTGCCGTCTGCACATAGCACACGGAACAGGACAAGATGGAACACGTACGGTACATGTACGTTGTACAACACACATCCAGTTCAAGAAATTACTACACCACAAAGACTTGAAGAGTCCATGAACAGGCTGAAGGTACATTGATGTTGTGTGCACTTAGAAATACTGCATTCCTTAAATTAATATTCCTGCCACATGCATGGTCCATTACATCATACTCCTGCCATGTGCATCATCCATTTCATCATATTCCTGGCACATGCATGATTCATTACATCATACAGGATCCTGCCACGTCACATGTATGATCCATTACATGATACTACTGCCACATACATGATCGATGACGTCATACTCCTGCCACATGCATTACAGCATACTTTGTTTACGTGAAGGCCCATGATCAGTGGAAAGGGGTGTGCTGTAGTTCAAAGGAGCACTGGCCACATGCCACTCAACAGACGTCTAGGAGATTACTCGCAGTGTGTGACCTCATTCAAGATATTACTATAATCATTATTCAACGCTTGCAGCACGTCTCATAAGCTGATCAGTGGAAAGGATACAGCCTTGCACATGCACAGTCAACACACGCACACGAACACACACACGCACAAACACGTGCACAAACGCACACGCACACATTCAAGATTGACTATGTGGAACAGACACAGTCCATCACTACCATGACTACTTACCCCGGCATTGTAGAGACGCAGACTGGAATCATTGCACGCCGTCATCAGATAGACGCGCTTGGGCTCCTTGGACACCTCAAACACCTGGAGGAAAGAGAACCGACACAGTACCAGCATTCATCTGACCATCTCACACCACAGCTCCACCTGAAATCACGTCTCAATGGCGCCAGTTCATCGCACTGTAATCGCGGGAGGGTACCCGTTCTCATGCGCACAGAATGTATCCATTCGGAAAGGGTGCTCCAGTCCATGTATCTGTATCTGCAGGTATTCGTACAATCTCATGACACCAGCAGACCAGACAAACAATGGAAGCTGCGCTCAATGGTACAGATAATAAATAGTTCCCCCCGGAAACAAAGACTTCATGACTTTCTTATGCGCAGTCTAAGGCGTCACTGTGCTTGAGAAATTTGGTTCAGTGGAACCTCAAGAATCAAAGTGCAGACGCAGCTCTTAAAGCGGTGGAATTGAGTAGATCAGACCCACCACCGCTAAGGTAGTCAAAGAGAACAACAAAAACCACTGGCTGCATCCATGCTGCCCGTGTGCTGGGCCGGGTATAATATGGTGTACATCATAACAAACATGTTGGCATGGTCGGTAGCTTACTAATGATTTTAAAGTAGTACCCTACTGCATGCATGAGCAGTCAATGATGATCGGAGTCTGTTACATTTTAAACACTGCATCAGCACCATTCGCTTATTTTTAACTTGCAAATAAACATCATTCACTATTAACATGCAGACTGCTTCGGATGCTGCGACCAAAAGGTGTGAACTAACGATACAGCAATCCCTCTTTTAACACATTCACACACGTCGCTACTTGAACCGAGTGAATCATCAGCGTACCTCCATACACGTAATGCCCTTGCGATGACCTTCGAAACTTCTCACACGCTTCCCACTCTACACAGCAAGGAGAGAAGGAAGAGGAAATAGGAAGACACGTCCTCGAAGTATAGCGTACGGACAAATGGTACTCTACATGCCAAATACAACCTCTCTCTTACTGATTAGACATGAGCTGGGGCTGGCAAGCGACCTACGTTTCTTGGCCACTCATGCGATAAGCCATGTGACAGCAAACCCGTTACACGCACACGCACGCACACAAACACACACACACACACAAATACACACGCACACATGACACACACGTGACACACGTGACACACACACACAAACACACACACACACACACACACACACACACACACACACACACACACACACATGAAGAGGTCTGGACCCTGGTTACGCTAGACACACTGCATAGCGTCTTGAAATGTTAGCATAGTGTCGGGAATAAAACTACAGTGACTGACAATACGTACAGCCTGCTCGAATGCATAGCACATCTTGTCTTCCGAAGCCGTGAACATCAGCCCGCCGTAGTACTGAACAGAACGAGATCAAAATAGAGCACAACAGATATACCATGCTAACTGTGCGCCCCATGATGAGACCAGTACACTTACTCCTCATTAATTATTCAGTTTGTCCTAGGTGTGTGTGTGTGTGTGTGTGTGTGTGTGTGTGTGTGTGTGTGTGTGTGTGTGTGCGTGTGCGTGTGCATGTGTGTGTTGGTTCCAGGGTTCATATACTTTCTATTTGAAGTATACATACCTGTTAACCATGGACTGCTTCTGGCTAGATTAACTCTTGCGTAATCAATGGTGCTAGTGAAGCTTTTATCAGATCCACTCTGATTTAGCCACTCACACTAGTAGCAAGTATTACCTTCACTGGGGGCAGGGGTAACTGCAGTTGGATCCCAGGACGGATACCCTGATGCCGTCAATCCTTTTTCTGCACCTTGTCCTCACCCATTTACTGAGGTGTGGTGAGCCCATAAGTGGGATCATTTTCAAGTCCACCCAGAGTTTTGGGAAATTCAGGGGGTGTCGGCCGTTGGGCGGTTCAATAACCAATTGAGTCATCTTTCCAAGATTCCTTTTGAGTCTCTCTCCCCTCTCCCGGGGAGACTCACATGACCAGTTTTGGCAGTGAGCAACAAGTACAGTACAGTGTGTGTGTGTGTGTGTGTGTGTGTGTGCGTGCGTGCGTGCGTGTGTGTGTAAATTGCTAGCACCTCCCCCCCCCCCCCCACACACACACACACTTGCAAAACACACCACCCAGCTGAAAAATGATCATCATCTACAAGCTCACCTTGATGCACGAGACAGGTTGCTTATGCGCATTAATCTTGCCAATCTTGAACTGTAGGACACCGGTGCTTTTGGTTTGACCTATTATAACACACACCCGTAGAACATCAGCAACTACATCGATGACAACAAAACCATCAGTCAAGCAACAGCAGCAGCAGCACCACCACCACCAACAACAACAGGAACAACAACAGCAACAGCAACAGCAGCAACAACAGCAGCAGCAACAGCAGCAGCAACAGCAGCAGCAGCAGCAGCAGCAATAATGCCGCTGACAATGACGGCAACAGCAGCAGTAGCAGCAGCAGAAACAACAGCAGCAGCAGCTGCAGCAGCAGCGGCAGCAGCAGCAGCCGCAACAGCAGCAGCAGCAGCAGCAATGATGCCGCTGACAATGGCGGCAACAGGAGCAGCAGCAGAAACAACAGCAATGACTATGGCACTGTCAACAAAAATAATGGCATGGTTTCCGCATACAGGAAATGAGGGAAGTCCCCAGTAAAGCAGAATAGCCATTTCTATTAACCCGACATAGCGGTCTCACAAAGCACTGACCTTGTGTTGTGTGGCCATTGCCCGCTGCTGCTGGTGCCTGTACCTGCTGAGCTGTTGCTTGATCGGTTCTAGCTACCGGTAAACTTGCTGGACATGACACACACAAGAACGAATGAGGAAAACAAAGCTGATTACGGACCCACCAGCTACAATCCAAGAAAAATACAGTCATTATCTCACGACAAGCAGCAACATGGCTCTGCAAAAACGAGGACAGTTCACACACCTGCAGGCGCACGCGCGCGCACATACATGCACACACACACACACACACACACGCACGCCCACACACACATGCACACACACACACACACACACACACACACACACACACACACACACACACACACACACACACACACACACACACACACACACACACACACACACACACATGCACACACACATGCACACACACATGCACGCACATGAGCACGCACGCACGCCCACACGCCCACATACACTCCCCCCCCCCCCCCCACACACACACTCACTGTCTAATCAATAATCATACACAGAGCAACAAACAAGCACCAGTTCAGCACGGTGATAAGCCTCGCAACGTAATCCTGACACAACGGCGGCGACGTCGACAACAGGAGTGCACTCACCCTGTGCTTGCCCTTCTGGCAGAGCCGAGTCATTATTCTGGCCAGCAGTGGCATCAACAGACGATTGCAGGCTGAGAGTAGTGGGCAAGGGAGGAGATGGAGGCGGGGGTCTCAGACCGACACCACCAGGCCGCTGGACGGCAGGAGCAGCTGCACTAGGCGTAGAGGGAGAACTGGCATGAGATCCACATGCTGAACCAGCAGTGCTAGCCGACGCCGTTGAAGTTACCGATTGGGTGGTAGAAGATGATTGTCTGGCTGCAGGAGGCACCGTTGGTGTTGACCTCATCAGCGTTTCCAAGAGCTGCTCAACGTTAACTCGAGCGCCACCAGGACTAGCACTGGAACCAGTTGAAGGTGGTATGGCAGTTGGAGGTGCTACGACAGGTGGTGGTGCTAGCTGTTGTGGCTGCGGGGTCCGTCTCAGAACAGAAGCCGGGGGTGCCGAGGCAGGGGCAGTCGACAGAGTTTTAGCATGTGAGGGACTCTGGACTGTTCCGTTTGTCGCTGGAGTCACATTGGCGACCCCGGCGCGACCAGGAACCGGCGAGAGTGCAGACACGGGTGGAACAGGCGCTGCTGGAGAGCCTGCATGTCGATTCGGCTGGCCGGGAACGGACGGAGAGCGTGCAGCACCGTGACTGCCGCCGTTGTTCGAGTGCGGTGAAGACACGGCAGTGGACACGTGGGATTGTTGGCTAGGTTTGGCGTGGCTGCCGGTTTGTACAGCATTCGCTGACCTCAGCTGTTGCTGCTGGTGCTCCTGGTAGAGCTGTGCCTGGCCGGCAGGCTGTGCCACACGTACTACTGGATTCTGTGTGCGAGTTGGCGACATGTGCGGTGAGTGTGCAGGTGAGGAGCGGACAGAGTTGTTCGCTGAATGTCCACTGCGCTGTGACAATGACAGGCTTTCTGGAGGTGGTCTATGCTGCTCAGGGGTGGCAGCAGCAGCAGCAGCAACAGCAGTAGTAGAAGCAGCTGCCGCACTGTTGGCAGGAGCAGCTTGGGAAGCTGGTTTGGCTGAGGCGATGGAGGGCGTGTTTTTCAAAGACGCCGCCATTTTCAAACGGGGATCTCTTGGAACCGCATCGCCACTGGCAGCAACTCCCTGCCGCCCAGAGGCATCCGGTGCATGAGCTTCGCTTCTTACCGGCTCATTTGCAGACGATTTTGATGATGCTGTCATCGTACTGGGAAGGGAGTCGCTACGCTGAGAGGTGCGACTGGCTGCATGCTGATTCGGAGAGGATGTCAGTGAAAGGGAATCAGTGCTCGATGGTGAACAGGGTGCTGAAGAAGACCTGAGCATCACAGCAAAAAAAGAAAAGAAGAGGAGGAGAGATAAGCAGTAATTAGGTCACTCGCTAAGAAACCGGCGAGCTGGTAGCCGTGAAAAGGCTAACATAACCAATACCAAATTCACTGGCAAACGCATATGCAATATGCCTTTTAGTTACGGTAACCCATACCACACACTCACACCAGCACTCCCCCCCCCCCCCCTCTCCCCATACCACACTTATCTATACCCACAGGGCACAGCATAGTAGAGAGCAACAACAAATACAGACGAGAACGAACAGAATAGCTCATCAACCAGCTGAAGACCAAGTGTAAGGCCAAGTGTACAGACCATAATTAGACAGTCAAATGATCCGACCGAATCACAGATAGTGTTGCACACAAAAGCAAGTCTTTGCAAGTCAAATGTAACTAGTAGACCCATGATGGGTTGGTGCCCGAGGTGACGAGGTGACTGATCAGTCATCGGCCTTGGTCACACATGACAGACAGTACTGTGACTACATGTGCTGGACAACCAGGCCATACTCACCGCTGCTCCTTGTCCCGCGACTGCTGCTCCTGCACCACCTGGACAATAGACTTCAGTTTGCTGACTTTGCTGAGCAGCTGCGAGGCGTTCGTTACGGCCGGCAGCGGACTGTGGTAGGGCGTAAAGCCGTGGTGAGACGTGCTGGCGGTGTTCGCAACGCTCGCACTGGACTGCGGCGTGCGCGCAGCGGTGTCCGGCGTCTTGGTGGCCTGCAGTGCTTCCGGCACTTGGCCAGCTTGCCTATCTGCAGGGGCTGCGGGACTTTGCTGAGCTACTGCTGCCAGTGCTTTGTTGACCACCCTTTCCAGGACAGAGTACTGAGATGGCTGTACACGGCCGACAAAAGGCACAAAGGAGAAACAAACCACAATCCTTTAACAGAAAAGCACAGTAGAGGCCTACCATATTTTTTTACTGGGCCCTTAGCCACACTTCTAACTGGGAGCAATCAGTCAGAAATCTTCCCTGTGGCTCAAACCTAGAACACGGACTTCACTACAAGCAATTAAAAACTTGGTTCGCAGTGCTGTGTGCGAACCAAGTCCAATTGGTCAATGCTGTATTTTAATGGACAGGGCAGAAAACAACACAACTGGAAGACAACAGAGAATGTGTCTATGCCACTCAGGACTACAACCTGGCTAAACAAGGCATGGCTTGAGCAAGAAGCAGATAAGCAGTTAACGCCACAGTGCAAGCAGACAGCCTACTGTACGGCAATCACGAAAAGACCACTCACCGGAACATGATTGCGCTGCGCCTGTGCTTGGTTACGTTCTTTCTCTTTCAGAGTGGCTTCTCTGTGCTCCCTCTCACAGTGTGCACTAGATTCTTGCTCATGATGATGGTGATGATCTGGGTCCCTTCCTTCCTGTCGTTGACGAGATTCCACGCCGTCTCTCCTCGATTCATCACGGCGCCGATCTTCTCTTGGGTGATCCCGTCTCTCTTTCTCACTCCGCTCGCGCTCGTGTCGCTCCTTCTCTCTTCGGGCCTTGTCTTGACGCTCCTGCTCCTCTTTCCGCTCCTTGTCTCTGCGTTCCCGGTCCCGTCTATCCTCTTCTTTCCGCTCTCGCTCTTTTCGTTCTCGGTCACGACGTTCTTGTTCTCTCCGCTCCTTGTCCCTTCGTTCCTGCTCACGGCGCTCTTTCTCACGTCGCTCTCGATCGCGTCGCTCCTGGTCGCGTCGCTCCTGGTCGCGTTTCTCCTGTTCACGCTTCTCCTGCTCGCGCCGCTCCTGCTCGCGTTTCTCCTGCTCGCGTTTCTCCTGCTCGCGTTTCTCCAGTTCACGGCGCTCCTGCTCGCGCTTCTCCTGCTCGCGCTTCTCCTGCTCGCGCTTCTCCTGCTCGCCCTTCTCCTGCTCGCGCTTCTCCTGCTCGCGCTTCTCCTGCTCGCGCTTCTCCTGCTCGCGCTTCTCCTGTTCGCGCTTCTCCTGTTCGCGCTTCTCCTGTTCGCGCTTCTCCTGTTCGCGCTTCTCCTGTTCGCGCTTCTCCTGTTCGCGCTTCTCCTGTTCGCGCTTCTCCTGTTCGCGCTTCTCCTGTTCGCGCTTCTCCTGTTCGCGCTTCTCCTGTTCGCGCTTCTCCTGTTCGCGCTTCCCCAGTTCACGGCGCTCCAGCTCGCGTTTCTCCTGTTCGCGCTTCTCCTGATCGCGCTGTTCACGCTCGCGCTGTTCACGCTCGCGCTGTTCACGCTCGCGCTGTTCACGCTCGCGCTGTTCACGCTCATGCCTCTCTTGTTCATTGCGTTCCCGTTCCCTTTGCTGTTGATCACGTTGCTCCTGCCCACGTCGTTCTTCTTCTTCTTGGTGCTCCTGCTCCCTTTGCTCAAGCTCAGGAGTTTCTATCTCGGCATCGATGATCACTTGACTGCTTGGTACCTGCTGTGATCCATTTCCTTGTTGCTGCACTGGAGCTGTTGGGCTCACTGCCTGCTGTTGCTGTTGCTGCCACTCCAGTCGCTCTCTTATCCGCTGTTGGCGGAAAAATTCCCTCTGCTGTTCCTGGTTGAACCCGCTGTTCTGCTCCACAGGACCCGTATGAGCAGGAGCAGATGCACTCTCTGAAGTCCCAGGACGGGCAGCAAGAGAACTTGGCACGCCGAGGCCAGGGTCGGCTCCAGCAGCAGGACCGGCAGCACTGAGAATACCTCTCGTGCCCCTCCTGTGACCGCTGCCAATGTGGACGATGGGGGCAATTTCCGCTGATGCTGCACCAATGGCCACCACCTCGGTGTTCTCCGTGGGTGGCACCGAGTTTGGAGTTGCACTAATCTCATCCATGGGCTCCGACTTGATTCTCCCTGCTGATGTAGGTTCTCCAGGCATCTAACAACAAGGGAAAAAAGGAACGAGAAAACATGTCTAAGTAGCCGAAATGATGATAGCTAACAAGCTTTGTTAGTTAGACATAGCAACTTGTGTTGGGATTACACCATTCATCCAAAGCCCTTCTTCAGACCATTCACTCAAGCTGCTCAAATGACCGCTGCTAATTTTAGCCTGGTCTTCCACCACACAGCTGATTGAAGTGGTTTTTTTCTGGCCAGTGACTCTCTATTTTTGATTTTTTTCTTCTTTTTTTTTTTGACACACACTCCACTCCATGCCAGATACTGCAGCATGCACTGGTTCTGGACTCTGGAGTGTTCAGAGTTTAAAAGTACCGATCCAGAACTAGTACACACCAATCAAACACACTGGTCTAAACGATTGTGTTCCGGGTCGGACAAATCAAACACACCCAAAACACCTTTTGCCACATTTTACTCTATAATGTAGTGAGGAGTGTGCGCGGATAGCATCTTAGTATTTCTACATTTCTTGCATGTTGGGACACTCTGTGAACACTGGGATTGGTAAAAACTGGTATGGCTATAGCCGTTCTCGCAATACCAGCGGCGCCGAGCCTACTGCATGGTTGTCTGTCACGGCAAAATTCTTTGGATTGCATCACAGTTGATGCAGATAAGCGGCGGGGAAGTGGTGTAGCACGAACAGCTGCGCTGCAGTTATGCAGCAGGAGATCTGCTCGAATCCTGCATGTATGCATTACATCACTAAAACGATGTAATCAAGGAATTTTGCCATCACAGCAACCAATTCGAGCTGCACACTCTGGGTTTTAGGATTCTTGCTGACACTAAAGCGCAATGCACAATATCACTCCTGCAACGTGATCGAAAGTTTTTTCTGCAAAATGCTGCATCGCAGGTTGTTGCAGCTCGCATCGCGAGAAGTTGAACCCAGCGCAACTTCTGCGACGAGCAATGCACATCACCTTCTACACGGCAGACCCACGTGGCAGCTCGAGTACGGTTGTGGACTGTGCGTGCCCTGCAGGATTTCGTTGCGATGTACCATGCATCGAAGACTCTTCGCGCGATACGAAAAAAAGACTTTCTTTTCACATCGCGCAAAGAGTCTGCGATGCACAATACACGGCGCATAGCGACGAAATCTTGCAAGGCACACACAATCCAAGACCACATGCGCAAGCCTGACCACTTGTATTAAGTGTGCCTGCCGTGTAAAAAGTGATGCGCGTCACTTGTCCCAGAAGTTGAACTTGGCTCAACACCCGGTCCCCGCAATGCGATCTGCATACGATGGAGCCGTGGCAACCTGCGATGCAAAATTTGCAGAACACTTCGCGAAACGTGTACGCAAACTCGAAAGTGGATTTTATGATGCTAAACTCCCGAGGTTTGTATTGAGCTTTCTAGTTTGCCTTTGGTGGAGTTATATAATTATCTTTTCAATTCATCAGTACTCCAAAAACCATGTGGCCACATTGGCATTGTTTCTCTGGTCAAGTTCTGGCATGGCTGTTCTTCAGCACACACAACCACGACCGTCGCTGCGTACGGAGATATAAACAATACTAACATTAGCACATGCATGATGTAGTTCAAAACTCGACTGCATTAGGACGCGAGTCCGCGAGAAATCTAAAAAGCTTATCTTTGCAGGCAGACCAATTTATCGCAGGGATTTAGTCCAATATCGCTTCGCATTTTTCTGCCCGTAAAATGATACTATCGCAGGTGTTGGAAATAGTTCGAAATGTAAAACAAACTGACAGCATTTACAGAATTCACTAAAATTATTCAGTTCTAGGCTCGCGCTCGGCGAACGTTGAAGAAATACAATGTAATCGCTGCCCAGGTCAAACAACCACACGGTCAACAGCTGTGTCCATGACGCACAACCCTACAGTCTACGCTTGAGCAGGGAGTAGTAAAATACTTCCCTGACTCAAGGCATATTGACAAGAGCTAACAAAAGGGGACAGAGTATTTCTGAACAGGAGATATCGACAACAGTGATTTCCAGCGGACTAGCACGGCAATCTCAAACAAACAAGAACCTTCAACAACAAATAAAACAACTGAAATATCTATGCATGCATGTGGTGAATGTTGAGAACGAAAAGACAAAGGAAAAACAAAACAAGTCAACGCTGATCGATATCGATGAAGCCAAGAGTACATGAAAACCTTTCATGTACTCTTGATGAAGCTTCTTATTCGAAGGTCGACGTTCGCATCACAATCGGATCCAGAGTACAGTGAAGAAAAGAAGAAAAATTGGGTCTGTCCGGGATTTGAACCCGGGACCTCTCGCACCCTAAGCGAGAATCATACCCCTAGACCAACAGACCAGTCCACGACAGTTCGATCCATAAGAATGTATTTGACGAACACAGAAGAGAAGAACTTCGAACCAAACGACAAACACTGATCAGAAGCAAAACTGTAGGTATTCCAGCTGGGCTGCAACTACAAAAGAAATTCATACAATGTACCAGCAATGGCCATCGATCATGGTCAGTGATCAAGTAGGATTGAACAGCAACAAAAGTCTATAAACTACGAGAAAGAGAGCGAGGAAGAACAGTGACTAAAAAGTACATGTTGTCGTGACTCGCGACATTATTTCATCCCGAACCAACGTACAAGAAAGACAATAAATTTCAACAACGTTTCTTCATGGAAAGTTTGCTTCTTTCTCAAACAAGATCAATTGAACGGAAAAAAGGCAGCTGCGCAGTCTCTGTCCTTCCAAATTTGGAACTGGCCAACAACTACACCAACAATCGAAACAATCAGTCAAAGCCAACACAGCTCCTACCTGTCACAGCCAACACAGCTCCTACCTGTCACAGCCAACAACAAGATGCAGTCATCCTGCAAACAGCAGTTGCAACTATTGGCGGCGACACCATTACCCAGCCCGCGCGGCTCATGTTTGATGCTGGGTCGTCAAGGTCTTTCATTACACACGACGCACAACAGGCACTTCAACTTGCTGCCAATGGTTCAGACACCATCGCCATGGCTGGATTTGGCGACAGTACACGCAAGGTTGTCTGTCTCCCGCAATGTTCCGACGTTGATATCATTCTTACAGATATGAGCTTCCTATACATGGCACGGTAACTGGAGTTAGCAAACCGCCAGTGTGTTTGCCCAAATGTGTTCTTTTCCTCTAGCATACGCGCGTTCCAAATTCCTGCGAGTCAGTGTGACGACTGCACGGAGCAAGCATACACCTGCTGTTGCTTCCGCCTTGCTCTTCTGCTGTATTGTGTTGTGCTGATGATTAGACCTGCTTGCACTGCCTTGGCTAATTTCCGCTCACCACCCACCCCATTGCAACTTTGTTCATCATTCTATCCTCAGTCATCCCGAAAGAGCGAATAGCAGGGGTCGCAGGCCAGGCCAGTATTAAGCCAAGTGTGCCTACACTGGCTAAATACTGAATCCTTACTACAGTATAATAATTTTATCACTCCCTTAGTATTGACTAACATAGATTTTTTGCTATACCTATAAACCAGTCAAAATAATATTCCTGCACATTTCACTCCTTAGGGCTATATTGACTGCTTATATTTGACTCCTTTTTAGAGATTGAACACAGGCTTTGGCTAGTCGTGATAAATCTAATATTGACTTCGTACTTGGTCAGAAATAAAAACCTCGAAAAAGACCTCGGCTTCGCCTCGGTCTTTTACTCCGCTTTCATTTCCTATATTAACCTTGTACTCAGTCAATATTAGATACATACTCGTGTATACTGTATAGCCACATCGGAATTCTCGCTGAGCAATTGTTGCCTCTCCCGTAGCTTTAGAATTGGTCATACCAACGCATATTGGTGCTCGCAATGCAAGCGTTGACATTGGCCATAATAGTGCATATTGCCTGTGGCAATTGATGAAACGTGTAATAGCTCTCAAATAGGTCGCCTTAATGTGTGCTTGTTAACAGTAATTTGTCTTACTGGGCTCGATGCCCTTGACGACACTGTCTCCGGAGTGGGCTGCTGCCGTTGCTCTGCTGTGGGCATTGCTGTTGCTGTGGTTGGATTGCCACTTGATGTGCTCACAACAGCAGCAGCAGGGCGATCACCGACAGAGGCTGGTGACACAGGCCTTGACAGACTGGACGCAGCTGGGTGATTAGCTGCAGAAGCAGAACACAGTTAGTACAGTGCTGCTCGATGAAATCCAGTTGCGTCACTCAAGTACGCACCGGGCATTGCGCATCCCTAGACCTGCGAACACTGGGCTGCGAGATGGTGCAAGGCGCAAACTTGAGTGCCACGCCTGGACTTTATTGAGCAGCACTGTAGCAGATACTATACTACAGTAAAACTTGTGTTTGCCGGACACTGTACAAAGCGGAATCCTGTATTGACCGGACACATTTTCATGCACCAAAGAGCTGTGGACCGAACGTGCATCCCTGGATCAAGGTGGAATCCTGTCACATTAGGACAGATTCCGCTGCACCAAGGGCGTCCGTCCGGTTAGAGCAGGTTTACTGTATTCGAGTCAAGAGACTAAGAAGTTAATTAAACTACACTAGTATGTTGTCAAAGAAAGGATACAGTGTTCTACTTTTTCTCTCCCAAGCAGTATAGAAAGGAGACGCGGAAATCAAAGCTCATGATATGCATGCACACTCGCACAGACACATGCATGCGCGCACGCACAAACGAATGCACAAACGCATGCACATACGTGTACGCAAACGTGCGTGCACACACATACACACACATACACACACACAGCAGTACTGGAAAAACAGCATACCAATGGTGCTAGATAAGACAGCATGCCTCTTCTCATTCAGATCCCGCAGAGCCATGTCAATCTACAGGAAAAAAACACACACACGCACACACACACACACACACGCACACACACACACACACACACACACACACACACACACACACACGTACACACTACTACTACTACTACTACTACTACTACTACTACTACTACTATGTACAGCTGCCCTATCGGGCCACGCCGCTCCCAGGAACGGGAGACAACGACAAGAAGAGAGAAGAGAAGAGAGAGAAATCGCAAAGTCAACAATATTTGGCATGGCGTTGCAAGTCCTGTGGCCTTGAGAACCGTCTTTCGCAATGCTCGCATTCATGACGGCAGTTGTTCCTGGCTGCACGTGACATCCGTTTCGCACGGTCACAGTGATGACGGCTCAAACCAGAACGAGAGCGGAAAGAGCGGAGACACACGTACACACGTACACACACACACACACACACACACACATCCACATGCATGCACACATGCAGAGAATAGCAGCACATATCGCAAGCACCCAATCACAACAAACGAATGTAAGTAATGTACCAGTACACTTCATATCAGCCTGTATTGTACACATGAAACTGCAAACTCGTCTTGCACACATGATGTTAAAGCGATGTACATATGATTATCTCAGGCTGCCCACCACCCTACTGTGTGTCAGAGGGGCATGCTGAACTAAAACACGAGTATACATTACAAATGGGTAGACGCTGAAGTCGCAGTACGAAAGACATGACTCTCGTCCACCGTCGATACACAGCGAAGACTACTCGAAAAAAGATAAAGAATAAAGAAAGAATCATCCAGTGATAGAAGAGTATTGAACAAAAAGAAACAAAACGAGCCCCGTGTCCTCTCCCGGGTCTATACAATTACACCTCCCCGCTGCGCGCACACACACACACACACACACACACACACACACGCGCACACACACACACACGCGCACGCACGGGATTACTCATTTCCCCGTACCTTTCCAAACTCTCCCCTGCATGCCATCAGCTGCCGATTAAGGCGGTCCATTTCTGTCATAAGGCGGACCTCCTCTATCGCAACTATACGCCGCTTGTGCACCTGCAACCACACACACACATGAATACACACACACACACACACACACACACACACACATGACATAATAAACCCATCCTGGTTGCTGGTAAATATTTACCGGAAGTCAAACAAGGCTGTATGGGACACTTGGCAACAAACATTGACATACATGTACATGTACTTATGTTAATTAACACGATGTCACAAGGTAACACAGTGAGGTGTCAGCTTTCCCCGAGAAAACCAAACATGTTGCATGGAGAGAGAGAGAGAGAGAGAGAGAGAGAGAGAGAGAGAGAGAGAGAGAGAGAGAGAGAGAGAGAGAGAGAGAGAGAGAGAGAGAGAGAGAGAAGAGAGAGAGAGAGAGAGAGAGAGAGAGAGAGATAGATAGAGAGAGAGAGAGGGAGGGAGGGAGGGAGGGAGGGAGGGAAAGAGAGATAGAGATGAGAGAGAGAGAGAGAGAGAGAGAGAGAGAGAGAGGGAGGGAGGGAGGGAGGGAGAGGGGGAGAGAGGGAGAGAGAAAGAAAGAGAGATTAATTCAGTAGCATACACAACGCCGTTTGCCTCAATGGCCCGCAGCGATTCAAATCATGACATGGGCAGAATAAAAGAGTGACTTGCCCTTTGCCACAGCAGGCCACCTAGAACGAGGATCAGGATCAGGATTGGGACTGAGCAATCAACAAAACAAACACAAACTCACCAGAGCACTTTCTGCTTCCATGATGCCCGCTAGATGACCGGCATGATCCGCAACTGAGCACACGGCAAAGACGAGAAGAAATCAGATAAGCCTGGGCATGCCAGGCGCATGCATCCATCCCTACAGCAGCCTGCAAGAACAGTGCTTGTAAAAAAGCACAGCAGTTAGCAATGGAACAAGGCTAAAATCAGTTGTTACTCAGAGCTTCATGGTCACCCACCAATCACGAATTGTCTGAAGATTGGTGAACAACCATTAGTAACACTTTTGTTAGCCTTGTTCCATCACCAACTTGTGTACTCTGCATGTACATGTACTACCAAGAGTACATAACCCCCCAGAGTGTGCAACTCCCACATACCCTGCTGTCCCGACAGAATTTCAAGTTGACGTTATTATTTATGACGCAATGCTCCTTGCACCAGTGATTTACAAAATGTGTACGCGTGTCAACGCATCACACGTTTTTTTTGCAATAATTTGTACAGGATCAGATCGGCTTCGGTCAACCACAGGTTCCGGATTCGTCTGATAATCCGCGTACAGTGCGCATTGTATCATCAAAATGACGTCAACTTGAAATTCTGTCAGCACCCATAGTGGAGTTGCACACTCTGGCGGGTTATGTACTCTTGGTACTACCAGTAGAGGTACTAGAGGTACATGCACACTCGTATCAGGAGTGCATTCATTGACAAACACACACAAGTAGAACAAGACAAGGATGGATATGTGCAGTGGTACAGTGGAACAGAGAACTGGTTGCACCCGTACCTCTATCAGGAGGTGCAGCAGCCGTGCCATTGCTTCTCACAGTCGCCTCTACCTGTGCAGCTGCAACAGGACGGTGTGGAGGCTGAGTGGCGGGAGGACGCGACTGCTGAGTGGCAGGAGGACCTGGAGGCTGAGTGGCAGGAGAACCTGGAGGCTGAGTGGCAGGAGGACCTGCATCAGCACCTGCCGCTGCTTCACGTACGTGAGCAGCACCAGCTGTACTGGAGGAAGCAACATCAGCTGCTGGGGTAGTAGACGTGCAAGAAGACATGTGGCGTGACATGTCCCTTTCCAGAGGTGGTTCCGCTGGTGAACCCACAGAATGGCCACCGTTGGCGTGCACGGCGTTGGCGGAAGTGCCAGAATAAGATCTCTTGGCCGCGGCTTCTGGTGCCTCGGGCGCACGCCGCTTATTGGAAGTCAGCCTGGCGACCCCGTGGTCAGCGTCGTTGTTTTCACGATTAGCCGCAGCAGGCGCTGCTACTGCTGCTGGTATCGTTGGTGACAGCAGAGAAGTCAATATGGGAGCGGCTGATCCACATTCGTCAGCCATCGCCAGCTGACCAGCATCAGGTGCAGCCCTGTTGCTGTGGAACGAGCAATAATGGCTGCAAATAGAGAAAAAAGACGATGAACAAGAATGAGAACAACGCTCCAGTACACGGCACATTGGTCACTATTATCTGACAAAGCCGCTATGTAAGACAGTGCACCGACGTAAAGCAAGGCACTGACAGTAGAGGAGACGGTTTCAAATAGGACATGGGTTGCAAACCGGAACGGTCTAAATATTCACTTTCTCTCTTGGTATTTTGATTAGAAAACGTATGTCACAGTGAGACTACGATGTGTTTTACTCAGCGCCGAAATTCCATGGCTCTGCGATAACCAGAAGCGCCATACCAAGCATTTGAGTTTTCGACGTGTTGCTTCCCTCTGCGACTTGAGTTTTACGTCTTTTGAAAAATCAACTTCTTGTCGCAGGTAAACAGCGGCTCGCCTCTCGCCAATAAAGAACCGTATACCAATGAAAACTAATGGAAGCACACACAAGGCTTATTGGTGCTCTGTACTGGCCGTTGTGGAGCCATAGCAATTACCTAATTTCAGACCCAGAGTGAATTTGACGGGCACTCTAAAACCTGTCCGGTTTGGAGCCACCTCTGTAAACACCAAAAATCGAGGGCAACTTGGAGGCAACAAGCCAACACAAAGGAGGGGCTCAGATCGATCGACTCTGGCCTCAGAGCAAACTTCAACATGCCAGCTTCCTTCCACAAACATATTTCGAGTGAACAATCCATACTGATGATCGGATTGGGTCTACACAATTTTGCTGTCAACCCGTTCCGGTATCGAACCGTCGCCTCTACATGTACAGGCCCGGTGGAACCCGTCCGATTGGTGAGGCCATGGCCAGACCAACTATTGGGCGACCAACGCGTGTGTACTGCTGAGGAGGTCATGTGTATACCCTCCATATCATACACAAACCGTATGAAAGACTATGGTACCGTAAAAGCCCCTGTATACGCTCACTCGAAAATACGCCCACCCTCCATGTACACGCCCAGTCAGGGAAGTCAACACTTTTGTTTCAAAATAGCGCTCATGCCCATGTATACGCCCAGGTATGCCGGCAACACCAGTACATGTACAGGTACTGATACCCAATACTTACTGCTATCCCTATTCCAAGTATACGCCCGGTTCCAAAATAACGCCCGTGCCCTTGTATACGCCCAGGAAATCGAGGCTGCTATTCTATACGCCCGGGGCGAATACACGGGCTTTTACGGTATGACAGGACCAATCAAAAACTGCCTCTGCAGGTGGGCCAGAACTAATGATACGAAGCGGGCTGGAAGCAACAGCAATTTTACAACATAGCATGGGACGAACTTAGAACTTAGTGTCGGCAAGAAGCGTGTGTTCCTCGTTGGAACAACCAATTTCATAGCATGGGACGTTAATGCTATCAAGGCTTCACGTTTCATTGAAGCAGAGAGTACATGTTGCAATTACATCACTGTCCCAGAGTTTGACAACCACTGAACGCGTAACAAACTATGTAATAAACTTCAGACGCCTATTAAAAGTAAAAGAAATTTTCTGAACAGATGGTTGCACTTCTAAAACAAGTGGCTATGGTGCGGTGTCTCAACATCCCAAGAAGCATGATAACACCTATGCCACCAACATTTCGACTAAACAGTATGACGATGTCCCATGCAGTCGCTACCAAGATAAGGTGGGAAGGATGGTATTACAGTCTGCACAGGAAGTTGTGTCGTACATACATATACAATTATACCCAGCACGTCGGCATCATGAACGACACAAGAGAATACAATCCAACGCAAACCAGCCAGCAGTCCAGCAGCAGCAGCAGCCGCGCACTGGGACCAGCAAGAGCACTGACCTGCCAAGTGGAACTACTCCACCACACTGACCACCATCTTGCAATCGCACTTGACACTGCAAACGACTGAACACACCAAAAACACACACACACACATTAGCAGGCACACAGCACAGCAGTGAAAATCAGCTCAAGAGAGGGCGGACACTATTGCCTCTTGAAGACTAATGCAGAACCACGGGCACACTCTCATGACTTAATAATGCAGGCAAGAAAATCAATCACCACACCACTTCTCAGGTGTCCTCCTTCATCACACATACAATTTACACGAGACAATGGAATGTCCACCAGAACAATACGCAACTCACGCGCACTGACTACCTACATTCTACTGCGCCTTCTAGCCTCTGCATCGGTATCGCTGTCACTGCCATCAAGCTTTCAGTAGGAAACAAGACAAGAAGAGCAACACACGCATACACACGCGCACACACACCCACACCCACACATACACGTAAGCACAAACAGCAAATTGATTAGATGTGACAAACAAGCACTACGCCAACCCAAGCACACACACACACACACACACACACACACACACACACACACACACACACACACACACACACACACACACACACACACACACACACACACACACACACACACACACACACACACACACACCAGGAAAGACCATCAATGTTATATTGCTTTTGTGGTCAATCATTCTCTAAGTGGTTTTGATTTGATTTCCCCAATCACTTTCGTTAGATGATAATGCATGTCGACTTGCCCGTACAAGTGGCTTTTTCCTAGGAATGACTAGGGTCTTGCTTGAGGATGATGATGATCCCACCTTCCAACCCGGCGAATATTTAGATTTTGATAAAAACGATTCAAAGCCTCTCAATTATTTTGTAATACTTATAAATATAAGAATAATAATAATATAATATACTTTCACACAAAACAAGCTCGGTGCAGCACTAATCACGGCAGGGGAACCCGACCCTCCACCATCGCCAACTCACGAAGCAGGATGATGATGAGGATGATGATGATGATGATGATGATGTATTGTGTTTCCGCTTGCCCATACAAGAGGCTGTTCCTATGATGATCATCTCTCTTGATTTCTTATTTACTTGTGTGTTCTTGTAACTTCATTCAATTGGTTCCAATCTTTGCCGTAAAAGTGGCTTTCCATGATGATGATGATGATGATGATGATGATGATGATGATGATAATGAAGAGCCGTACAAGCCGTACAAGAGGCTGTTCAATGAAGAGCCTTTTATCGGTAACCGAAGACAAACTAACCACACAAGATGAAAAAGACTTGACACTGACGAATTCTGACAAGCTAACGTTACGACAAGTCCATGTCTACTTCAGGAGAAACTCTCAAAAATGAGGGAGAGCACGGTTAATATAGGGGAGAAAAAATGCGCCAAAGAGGTGCGATGATTTCGCAAGGAGTGCAAGGAGTGCAAGCAGTGCATGAAAACACAAAATGATATCGTAACAAATGTAGCACCAACAGCTACGCTAAGTAGATGCATACGTAACATACATGTACAGTTCATTGAAATCGAGTCGCGTCACTCAAGTAACAGTTTGCGCCTTGCACCATTTCGCAGCCCAGTGTTGGCAGGTTTAGGGCGGCGCAACGCCGGGCGCGTACTTGAGTGATACGACTGGCTTTGATTGAACAGGCAGCACTGTAGTAGCAAAGGACATCAAGCAGCATAGTGACAAGGCGACGCTCAGCAACACAAAATGAAGAAGCAGCAGCAGCAAGAGGCGACAGTCCGAAATGCGCGCTATAGCACGCGCTGAAAATGGAAAAGAGGAGTGTGAAAACTACAATCACCACAAGCTACTAGGCATCTTGACTAGGATCCACTGCCACTGGTTGAAGATCTCCTCGTCTCCATAGAACTTCTCTAGTTGGTATTGCTCCACTTGTTGCACTTTGCCTGGCATGATCGAATTGAAGAGTGGGTCAGGAAAATCAAGCTGAAGACGCATCACAGCAGGCAAAAGCTTGATTGTCCCCACGACAACGCACCAGCAAAGGCCTAGCTGGAAGAATCATAAGTACAGCTGCAGATAGGGTGTGGTATGGCCAGACCAATCAAATACTGAAGTAGCTGCTTCCGGTGATCCTGTCTAGTAGTGCGTACTTTTCGTTGTCTCTGAATAACTCTGTGTGTCAAGCGGTTGTTGCCAATAGCCGGACCGCTGGCTGGCCAGCATATAGCTGGAAGGAACTGAGGTGTGAGTGGAGCTGTGGCCGACTACCCCCCCCCCCCCCCCCCCTCTCTCTCTCTCTCTGTCTGTCTCTCTGTGGACATGCACAGTGGAATTCTGATACAAGTAAGACTTAGCCCTATGGGCAACAGGAACGTGCACTCAGTACCCGAAGTACTTCTGATCCCACCATACTTCAGTAGGAGTGAATACACCCGGTGCTCCGGACAATGTCCATACTAGGCAAGAGTATGTTTTTCCAGAGTACGTACCAAGTGAGTTCCACTGCACGAGACACATGTCATAGTGCGTACTGTAGTCATGATAAAATGAACGAAATGATGCTTTGAGCTGTTTGACATACCGTAGTTTCGCGAATTAGCACCGATTTCTCATTCTGAAAGCAGCACCAAGGCTCATGCAGCCCATGCGGCCACTCAAAAGGCTTTTTCGGACAGTGCATGATGTAATTGAAACGGAAACACGACGCTGCTTTTGACTTACGGGTCGGATTTCTTTGGCCACGACTGTACATGTATATGCGATAGAGCCGAGTTTGAGGCTCGTGGGGCTAACCCTGCCAACAAAGCAGCCTGGATTTCAGTTGGGTACTCTCCCTGTTCCCCCCACGGGGTACGACACATCAGGGGTTCACTGTTCCAACAACACTGGCGGCACGTTGGAATGTACAAACAAGCAAACACTGCTTACCACAATCGCCACACTGTGCTGACTGGCCGACACGGAACGACTGTCTCCGGAACTTTGACCGTTTGTGATAGGGGTACCCGATGTCGCTGCTGAGGAAGCAGCAGGCACGGCACTCGTTGGAGCTGCTCGCGGTCGAAGAGGCTCGGTGTTCGCTCCAGTTACACTTCGCTGGGGCCTGAGGTGGTTTCCGCCGAACCCCCGTCCATGTTGCCGTCCACCTCTTCCTCCGCTGGCCCCACCATGAGGTCGGCCATGCGATGACGATGTGTCCGTCCTGGGTGTAGGGTCTCCGTGCGAGTGCTCAGTCATCGTCGCTGCGCGCCCCTTCGCCACTAGCTGCTGAATGATGGATGTGCCCGCATTGAGCGGTGCAGTACCATTAGTAGTCGAAGACGACGCGGATGATGCCTGGTCATCCAAGCTTGAGTTCGCTGATGAGGATAGCGTGCCGCTCGCTGGGCCCGGGCCCCCGGACGAATTAGAGCGCTTTGTAACACCTGGCTGTGAGGTGGATGTGCCACCAGGTACGAACTTGCTGTGTGATTGCCGCAGGTTGCATCGTCGCTGCAGCGCGCCCATGCGGGTGCGGTGTCCATCCGTGTTGATGTGAGCCCTGAAGTCGGCCATACTGGCAACAGTAGCTTCACAGGCATCACAGTGGTGAACCAACAGGGACGGTGACCTGAAATGTGGTGCACATATAGAAAACACACACATACACACACACACAGGTTAATAGTGTAGCCACAGCAGAAGCATTCGAACACACTTCAGCACTGATAACGAAAGTAAATGTACAAACACAGGTTCACAAATTCAAGCGAATGCTGACACAGGGCAATGCCTAAGATAACCAGTCCCAACAGGAAGTTAGTCTCTCCATACAGGTGGTACTGTAAGAGTTGAATCTCTAACGGGCATGAAGTCTAACGAAAATCCATCGCTAAATCGTATGTTACTCCTTCTGTCCTCTGTACTACATGTCCATTCATAAAGAGATGAGCGTTGGCTCTGGTGAGCTCCCGTATTTGGCGATTTTCGTGGTTTTATCGTACACATGCACAGTGCAGTGCCGCGAAATTTGAGGTTAGAAAAAGGGTCCAAAAAAGGTACCTCAACTGGGGTTCGAACCGGACAATGCAGTGATTTAAATGGAGTGAAACGGATTGGATTTTCATGGCCTTTCCCAATTCAGTGCTTACAAGACAAAACCTGACCGAAATCCTATTCTTGTTATGGCTAGCTTGAAGAGGAACTGTAACCGACTTGTTATAGTAACAATAGTCCTGCCAATACTTATTATAGTCTTTCTGCTAGTACTTCTATTCTGATGAGTGGTGTTAGTATTCTTGTTGTCTGGCTCTCCCAGAAGTGTTAATGCCACAGACATATTTGTAGAGTGCTGGAAGCCTACCAGTTATTAGATAGATGAGTCATGACCCGTTCATGCTGTGCACGTAATTCACTCTATCCTTTAGGTGTCTTGTTTCACCATGGACTGCTGTGTCCATTGTTCACCTGTCACGCTGCATGGCTTCTGTATCCCTACCTGGCTGTCTTTGCTTTCATCCTCGCTCCCGCTGCTTGCTGACGATCTCCGAGTCACGCGAGGAGTTCCCTGTTAGTTTTTCCGGTCTTATCTCTGAGATAGGGGAGTCAGTCTACTGCCTGCTTGGAAGTGTTCAGATCATACATTCGATCTCTCTTTTTACAAACCTTTTCTAACCGAGAACTGGTGTTGTGGTTGATTGCGCATGCCAGAGCGTGAGGACTAGTTCGCTGCATAGTCTAGTAGTAGTTCCACTACAGCGTGGTGCCGAAACCCGGGACCTGGGGGCTGTGGCTGCACTGGTGTCTGTGTGCGGTCGGTAGTCGGTACTACTAGTGAGCGTATTCGCAGTCCGTGATGTCGCTGAAGGCAGATAACTATCTGCGCGCATTCCGTGGAAAAGGTGAAGATTTCGGTACGTGGTGGCTGAAGTTTCTGGCACTGGCCGATATCTCTGGATGGGATGATGACGCCAAGAAGACGAAGTATATCCCATTGTTTCTCGATGGAGATGCGTTCCTGGTCTTTTCGAGGATGGCGGATGCGGACAAAAAGAAAGTAGATGAAGTAAAGGCCAAGCTATCGTCCGCCTTTGCAGTTACGCCTTCGCAGGCGTATGGCAAGTTCGTAAACAGGAAGCTCAAGGTCGACGAGTCCGTAGATGCGTACGTTGCAGACCTCCAGCGGCTGCTCGCGCTGTCTGGCCACGCAGCCGGTAGCGACACTGACTCAGTGGTGATCGAGCAGTTCATCGCTGGCCTGGGTGCAGAGTTCGCTCGCTCCGTGCGGATGTCCATGGCTGGCAAGACGCTGAAAATCAGCGAGTGCGTTGAGCAGGTACGCGCACTGCGAACGGCTGCGGAAGCGTGTGGTGCTGTTTCCGAGGACGTTTCTGCCGCTGCTGGCCCAAGTGATCGCCCTGCCAGATCAAGTGCGACTGATCGCGGGACCGTGACCTGCTACTACTGCCACGAGGCTGGCCACATTCGTCGCAACTGCCCCAAGCGCAGCTCGAAGTCAGCCAAGACGCCCTTGAACTCTTACAAGGGGAATCAGGTGACATGCTACTTTTGTGACAAGCCTGGTCACACGAAACCCGATTGTCCTGACAGGAAAGCGTGGCTGGACTCGAAGAAGCGTCCTGCTGCTGGCGTTACGGAGCAGCAACCCGGACTTCCCAAAGGCGAGTGGGACCCCAGCGATCCCTGTCTGTGCACGGTGACAGCGCAGCGCGGCGGCCTACCGCGGGTCTTCGTGGAGGCACGCAAGAACAGTGTGAGTCATCATTCTGACGAGTGGCACCGTCTGCGATCAGTATTGGACACCGGTTCAACGCGTACGCTGATCGATAAGAAAACTGCAGAGCGAATAGGAAACTTCGATTCTGACAGTGCGTACTCTGAGAATCTGATTGCACTGGATGGGAAGTCGCTTGACGTATGCGGCACAGTGCAACTTCAACTGCGCAGACTGGATGGCCCAGTGCTGCTACCAGTAACCGTAGTGACAGCGGTGGTAGTGCGAGATTTGACTGCTGTATCGGCTAACATCCTGGTGGGCAATGACGTCGTGGTCGGTAATGGTGGCGTACAGCTTCGCTACGGGGAGGACAACTCCTTGAGTGCCGTGACGTTCGGTACGACGCCAGCAGCCGCGTGTACCACGGAGCCAAGTAAGGATTCGCACCCATCTCCACATGTCACCGTGATCCGCGATGGTAAGGACGTCATCTTGCGGGTGAATGACGGCGAAGTGAGGTGGCACGCGGAGCAAGGCCACTGGAGCCTGAAGTGGTATTGGCAAGATGGTGTCGAGCCCTGCCACCGCATTGGTCCGAACATTGGAGAGTACTCCAGGAAGAAGCTGTCATCCAAACAGGAAGAGCAGTTTTGCGCTGAAGTTAAGAAGTGGATTGATGAAGGATGGCTGGTACGACACGATCCAGATGTCCATGGCGAACCAGCGGCGGTGCTCCCTCTTCTCGCTCAGGTGCAGGAGCACAAGGCTACAACTCCGGTGCGTCCCTGCTTAGACTACCGCTTTCTGAACGCCCAGCTCACGTCACAACCAGGCCAGGATGCCCCGGTGTGTGAAGACACGTTGCGAAAATGGCGGCAGGACGGCGATGCAAGCGACTTCTGCCTCCTGGATGTTCGGAAAGCGTACTTGCAGATCCGTGTCGAACCTGAGCTCGTCCGCTATCAGACCGTGCTATGGCAAGGGAAGAGATACGTTATGACTAGAATGGGTTTCGGACTCAACATCGCACCGAAATTCATGGACATAGTCATCCAGTGGATACTTCAGGGCTTCCCGATGGCCGACAACTATGTCGACGATATCCGAGTTCCGCGCAACAACGTCCCGGCGGTTGCTGCTAGGCTGCTCGAGTACGGCCTGCCGACAAAGCCCGCCGAGCCGATGGCTTCCGCTCGGGTCCTTGGGCTGCAGCTCAGCACGGGCGAAGGAGGTGACACACGCTGGACTCGACGCGACGGCATCAGCCTTGATCTCCAGCGACCAGCGACAAAGCGGGATTTGTTCAGCTGGTGTGGACGCCTTACCAGCCATGTGCCTGTCTGCGGGTGGCTACGACCTGCTACCAGTTTCCTGAAGCGTCTAGTCGGAGGTGACACGCCGTGGGATCACCTCGTGTCGGAGCAAGTGCTTAAGTTTTGCGAAGAGGTGATGGCCCGGCTAGCAGGTGATGGGGATCCAGCCAAAGGTGTCTGGTCAGTGACACCATCGACCAGTGATCCAGAGCTCGTCGTGTACACCGATGCATCCGATGTTGCCTTAGGCGTAGTGGTCAAGGATGGCAGCGGCGTCATCGAGGACAAGGCTTGGCTGAGGAAATCACATGACAAGCGTCACATCAACGTCACGGAACTGGATGCAGCGCTCAACGGCCTTTCGTTAGCAGTATCATGGGGTGCGAGACGCGTCCGCCTTGTAACCGACTCGAAGACGGTGGCCAGCTGGCTGCGCGATACTTTGGGTAACATCCGGCGCATCAGAACAAAGGGTCTCAACCACGTGCTGGTGCAGCGCCGTTTGCAGATCGCTGCTGACATAGTGGCAACAGCCGGCCTGAGTGTGTCTGTCGAGTGGGTGCCGACAGATCAAAACCCCGCCGATGCGCTGACAAGGGTACCGCGTACCTGGATCAAGTACTTCAAGGAGCAAGAGGGAAAGGGTAGCGTCTCCGTGAGTGCGGCTGCTGGCGAGGCCCACGTTGTTAGCCCAGTGCTGCGCGCAAGGATAGTCGAGGGTCAGGCGAGTGATGAGGAGATCCAGTCGGTGATCCACTGCCTAGAGAACCAGCTGCTCGTGCCCTCATCCTACAGCAAGGTGGCAAGAGAGCTAGTCGTCCGAGACCGAGTACTCTTCCGGAGTGTCAAGCTAACCCTGGATGGACAGGTCGAAGTGCCGGTAGTTCCCGACGTGCTGGTCGGTGAAGTTGTAGCCATTGCCCATCACAATTCCGGACATGCTGCCTGGGAGGCGACCTACCAGATGATTCGAGCTCGTTGTTTCTTCCAGGACATGGCCCGTGTGTGTCGCAAGTACATCGCCGATTGTGAGCAGTGCCGAGCCGCGAACCCGTCTGGAAGCGGACAGGCGTCACCTACACGCCCTGATATTCCTGGCCGACCCTGGAGTGAGCTCGTCCTAGACACGCTGGAGCTTGGCGAGAACAGCAGCGGACAGTACCATTGCGTCTTGGTCTGCATAGACACATTCATGAAGTGGGCCGAGATCTGTCCACTTCGTCGTCACGACGCCGCCTCCGTTGCCGCAGCATTCACCTCAATGTGCGTACGCTGGGGAGCCCCCGATGTCGTCAGGACGGACAATGGAACAGAATTCCGGAACGCCATCGTGGAGTCGCTGTTCAAAGTGATGGGGGTTCGTGTACGAACAGGAGCCGTACGACATCCTGAGTCTCAAGGCGCCGCCGAGCGTATGAACCGGTCGCTGCTAGGCCTCATTCGCAAGGTGCTAAGCACGACGTCTGACTGGCAGCAGGATCTTGATGTGCTCCTGTTCTTCTACCGAAACCGGCCTCACCACGCCACGCGACTGTCCCCCACCGAAGCGATGATTGGCTGGCGGCCACGGCATCTTGTTGTTGAGACAGCTAATGATGATTGCCTCCTGAGCGAATGGGTGACGAAGCTGGCTGATCGCACGGCCGTCGTAAGGGACTTGGTAGAGTCTGAGCTAGCCAGCGCCGACTTCTTGGAGTCTCCATGCCGTGCCAACCCCTACTGCGTGGGCGACCATGTACTGTATCGACATCCAAGTCGCCGTCAGAAGCGCCTTCCGCCGTTCCAGACAGGATGGACCGTGAAGCGGATTGTGTCGCCCTCCACCGTTGTGATCTCTCGTAAGCACGGTGCAACAGGCGTGAAGGAGAAGACCGTCAACATTGACCTGTTGAAGAGTGGTGTTCCTGAGGAAGCCGACGCCGACGCCGACGCAGAGCTGCACCCAGACGTCGATGATGACAACGATAGTGACGACGGCGGACCTGTCTGGTGGATCGAGGCTGACGCAGGTGATAGTACTAGTGATGTGCCCCGTGATGGTCTGCGCAGCCGCACCAGCATACGACCACCGAGTCGCTACACAACCTAGCTCGGTTTGGACGACAGTCCCTATTGTTACCAGGTGATGGGGTGAAGAGGAACTGTAACCGACTTGTTATAGTAACAATAGTCCTGCCAATACTTATTATAGTCTTTCTGCTAGTACTTCTATTCTGATGAGTGGTGTTAGTATTCTTGTTGTCTGGCTCTCCCAGAAGTGTTGTTGCCACAGACATATTTGTAGAGTGCTGGAAGCCTACCAGTTATTAGATAGATGAGTCATGACCCGTTCATGCTGTGCACGTAATTCACTCTATCCTTTAGGTGTCTTGTTTCACCATGGACTGCTGTGTCCATTGTTCACCTGTCACGCTGCATGGCTTCTGTATCCCTACCTGGCTGTCTTTGCTTTCATCCTCGCTCCCGCTGCTTGCTGACGATCTCCGAGTCACGCGAGGAGTTCCCTGTTAGTTTTTCCGGTCTTATCTCTGAGATAGGGGAGTCAGTCTACTGCCTGCTTGGAAGTGTTCAGATCATACATTCTATCTCTCTTTTTACAAACCTTTTCTAACCGAGAACTGGTGTTGTGGTTGATTGCGCATGCCAGAGCGTGAGGACTAGTTCGCTGCATAGTCTAGTAGTAGTTCCACTACAAGCTTTTCGGAGAAATGGACGTCAGAAACATAATTGGAAGAGCATTCCATGGAGGATTGCAGAAAAAAATTGTGAAAAACTCAAAATTTGACCCATTTATGGCCAAAAGCTAGGATATCTTTTTTCTGAATGGACTGTAGAGAAACAGAAGACAGGTGTGTGATGGCAGGGTCGTTAAACTGTGTGCCTGCCAAGTCAAGTGGGAACGTTTTGCAAATCGTGAAACTTTAGACTCGCCACGCTTTCAACTCTTACAGTAGTCTCTAAAGGCAGGTGGTCTCTAAAGGCAGGTGGTCTCCCATAAATACAGGTGGTCTCCCATAAATACAGGTGGTCTCCCATAAAATACAGGTGGTCTCCCATAAATACAGGTGGTCTCCCATAAAATACAGGTGGCCTCCCATAAAATACAGGTGGTCTCCCATAAAAAATACAGGTGGTCTCCCATAAGATATACAGGTGGCCCCCCATAAAATACAGGTGGTCTCCCATAAAAAATATAGGTGATCTCCCATAAAACACAGGGGTCTCCCATAGGGTCTCCCATAAAATACAGGGGTCTCCCAGGTTCTACTAGTACTAGGCAAACGACAGCGGTCACCTACCCGGCAAAGTTACGCTCTATCATCCTATGGTGAGCTTTCGTTGACCGGTGTATGACCATTCTCTGCACACAAGACAAAACAGCAACATAGCCCAGGAAAGTAGTATGAACGAAAGACCAGCACTACCCACATACATGTACAGTCAAAACCTCTTCAGGACGAACGCCAAGGGGGCGGTTGTATTTGTTCGCAATAACGGGGTTCTTATTATCCGTATTATAGAGGTCTTTCGTACACTGTGTAGCTACAGCAGTCCAGGAAACCGGAGCGCAGCACTCTTTGTGCACTGGACCAAAGTGCACTTTAACCATGCCGATGAGGTAATATTACAGTTACAAAGCACCACTGCGGTACATGTACATGTACACTGTTGGCCCAGTAAAGATGCTCCGCACGAGCACTGCAAGCCATGCAGCCAGTCTCCAAAACGGCATGCAGACAAACCCAGTGAACGCGTAGCCAACGCACTCCGCACTCAGCGCCATCCACACTACAGGGCGCCTCGATACAATCGGGGCCCGCGGGTCAATGCCAGACGCTATACTGTGGACACTACATCCCTACCCGGTGCACACTGAGAGCAAATTGTTAGTATGTAGTCAGGAATTCCTTCAGCCCCACTATTCCATACCTCGTCATTGGCGATGGTCTCATGGCATGTACCACAGTACAGGCCTCCATTTTTCTTCTGCAAATTGGCCGCCATCTGCACACCGAGAAAGCACACACACACACACACACACACACACACACACACACACACACACACACACACACACACACACACACACACACACACACACACACACACACACACACACACACACACACACACACACACACACACACACACACACACACACACACACACACACACACACACACACACACACACACACACACACACACACACACACACACACACACACACACACACACACACACACACACACACACACACACACACACACACACACACACACACACACACACACACACACACACACACACACACACACACACACACACACACACACACACACACACACACACACACACACACACACACACACACACACACACACACACACACACACACACACACACACACACACACACACACACACACACACACACACACACACACACACACACACACACACACACACACACACACACACACACACACACACACACACACACACACACACACACACACACACACACACACACACACACACACACACACACACACACACACACACACACACACACACACACACACACACACACACACACACACACACACACACACACACACACACACACACACACACACACACACACACACACACACACACACACACACACACACACACACACACACACACACACACACACACACACACACACACACACACACACACACACACACACACACACACACACACACACACACACACACACACACACACACACACACACACACACACACACACACACACACACACACACACACACACACACACACACACACACACACACACACACACACACACACACACACACACACACACACACACACACACACACACACACACACACACACACACACACACACACACACACACACACACACACACACACACACACACACACACACACACACACACACACACACACACACACACACACACACACACACACACACACACACACACACACACACACACACACACACACACACACACACACACACACACACACACACACACACACACACACACACACACACACACACACACACACACACACACACACACACACACACACACACACACACACACACACAAAATCGCAGGTGATACTATGCGAGTTGAAAGTGCAACGAGTTTTCCAGTCAAATGATTTCCAAATATGTTCCACTCTATTAAAAGGGGGCACAAAGCTTAACAATCCCTGCCTTCATACACCCATCTTTCATATCTCTCGTTTGGAATTCAACACTTCCAGCAACATGACCATAGCACAACACAATTTTATGGCTTAAAACCATCTGATAAAGACCCAAACACAAAAGCGACCACAACTCTGAGGAATCGTCACAGGTGTCTTTATTGACAAAGCAGAACTACAGTAACCAAAGCCCAGTAATTTCTGGCCGCTTTTGTGCGTGTGTGTGTGGGGGGGGGGGGTCTTTCTCAGGATGGCTAAATATTAGTGATGCAACGAATGGTGTTTTCTTCTAAAAAATACTCTCGAATATTGCTTTGACGAACGAACAAATATTCTGTATTCTTCTGATGTGCCTCGATCACTTCACTCAATTCGACCCAACATGCATGTTTCATGCAGAGCACGTTGATAGTCAATAACCACTGGTGAAAGAGCAGAGTTGGCCTAAGAACAAGCTTCACAGTTCTCAGAACATAAATCTACACTATCGTCCTCAACACTGCTCAGGAGATCAAAGTTGGAGCTGGACAATGCAACCATAAAGTGCGAATTTTTCCAATTTTCGAATAACGAATGTTGCTGCCTGCATTCGAATATTCTTTCTGGTTTCGGTATTCTAGAATTTAAATAGAAGGAATCACATGGAAACGAGTTATGGAGCTACTATCCACGACTGTAACAAGATAATACTGTATGTCCACAAATAGTAGGCCGGTCTACTATTTTTTCAACCTCGTCCTAACCCGGCCTTATAATCGAGGACGGTCTTGTATTCGAGGACGGTCTTTTATTCTTTCAACCCAGTTTGACCCCGGTCTTCTATTTCTCGCCACACAGTTTTACCCCCGTTCTTCCATTTTCTTCTACACAGTTTGAGCACGGTCTTCTATTTTTTCCCACAGTTTGAGCACGGTCTTCTATTTTTAACACAAGAACAAAGACTCATTTAGGGACCATCGCAAAAGTTCGCAGAAGCCCCTGAAACGAAGAGCATACGTCTGGGGGGAGGGAGTCGTGTCGAAAATCGCAAACCGGGCTTCAATTCAAAAAAGTATTGACGACATGTAGGAGCTGATATAGATTAGCATGCCATCACAGCCGGCGTAGATCGCTTGTCAGGACGCGTAGTCATGCACGTGTCGCGTAGCTGGCTGCCTGTACACTGTGTGTAGTCTAGTACATGTACCAAGAGTCCATAAAACGCGTGGTTTATGGACTCTTGCTAGTACTAGTACTAGTAGTAGCAGGGGTTCATAGGCCGATGATATGATAGGTTTTATGAACCCCTGCTGTGTAGTATAATTATTATAATAATTATTATGTGTGCAGCATCCAAGTGAAATAATGAAGCCCATATTGTGAATGTCGTTTCGTTTGAGGGGGGAGGGAGGGGGGTCAGGCCCGAAACTCACGGTCTTCGTTTCGGGGGCTTCTGCGAACTTTTGCGATGGTCCCTTAGTAAGCCCGGTCTTCTAATCGGAGACGGTCTTTTATTTTTTCAACCGCCCCCTGCCCCGGCCTTGTATACGAGGAAGGCGTTGTATACGAGGACGGCCTTTTATTTGCGGAAATACGGTAAGTGCGAGCACAGGGCACAAAACTGACATGTTACTGAGACATTCAACGACCAGAAACCTAGCTCTCAGACACCACCAGTGCGCAAACCAAATCGTGTTAAGCGTGGATAGTTGCTTCATAACTCGTTTCCACGTGATTTCTTCTATTTTAATTAATTTATTGGCTCAGTATCCGAGTATTCTAGAATATTCGAATAATTCGCATATTTATAGAAAAGAAAAGGACCAAAGACTTACAAGTTACGCTATAATGTCCACTGGGTCATTGTCGTGCAATGTTATGAATATCGCATGAGCTGATTGTTTAGTAGCTGCTGGTGGTGTTAGTGGACATTATAGCATAACTTGTAGTTCCTTGGTGCTTTCTTTTCTATAAATTTAATCCTGGGCTCTCCATCCGAGTCAATTCGCATATTCCTTGCACCACTACTAAAGCAGTCACAATTTGTAATCCCGATGCAGTGACGTCAATCAACTCTCACGAAACGACATCTACCAAGTTCGGGATGATGCTGCTGATGATGTAATATTTCCTATTTGAATGCAGAGTCAGGCTTGAGTAAGTGAATGTAGACAGCTTCCAGCACCTTCAACTGTGATAAAAGGCTAGCACGACACAATACGCGGAAACTATCGTCACGATACATCCGACGATATTCTGGACTAGCTTTCAAATGTGCAAACACCGCCGATGTCTTTTTCTTCTTCCCATTCTTCTCCCACATCACTGCCACAGAAACCCTCTACACTGACATCAACGCCGGCGCCATCAAAATCGTCCTCGTCGTTGTCACCATCATCCTCACTTGTCTCAATCTCCATCCCATTCCCGTTATCACTCCGCTTACGTGCCTCACCATCCGCTTCCCTGGACACCACCATCTCTCGAGTTACCGTGGATGGCATCCAACATGTCAATCCGATGTCAGTAACCTGTAAGGTCTCAGCACCCAGTGTAGACCTGCCAACAAGCCAAGGCTTCCTGTGTTCCACCGACAGCTATGAACCATCAAAGAAACGAAGCCGACGCAGAACTCAAAGGGAGCTTCAATCTTCCACCGAACAAACATCAGTTGCATGCCCAGAAAGCACATTGTGTTCACTCCCCAACACTGATTCCTGGTATGAACGTGGGATTTTGACAATTGACACCTTAAGATTGAATGCAAAGGAGGACAATGAAGCGAGTGACCTACAGGCTGATCTGAAAAAATATGTCATGGGTGCTCAACAAACTGGCCTGAAAGGATACTTCACCAAACTATGGGAAGATAATTTGGCAGAAGAATCTAATGTTGTTTATCCCGGTGTACTCAATGAACCAGCTGATTCAAATGTGACCATGAAATCAGTTTTGGACAAGTTACACACAATATACTCTGTTGGACAAGCGACCAAATGGCTGTGTGCAGTTGGGGACGGTAAAACGTACGATCACCTGTTGAATCTGCAACGAGAATACGGCGCTGAATTGGGCTGGCTTGTGCCTTTGACAAGCACACTTTAAAGGCATTGCAACCAGTTGTAATGCGTGTATATTGTGCAAACACCGCAGACTTCTTCTTCTTCTTCTTCCCAGTCTTCTCCCACATCACTGCCACAGAAACCCTCTACACTGACATCAACGCCAGCGCCATCGAAATCGTCCTCATCGTCGCCACCATCATCCTCACTTGTCTCAATCTCCATCCCATTCCCGTTATCACTCCGCCTACGTGCCTCACCATCCGCTTCCCCGGACACCACCATCTCTCGAGTTACCGTGGATGGCATCCAACATGTCAATCCGATGTCAGTAACCTGTAAGGTCTCAGCACCCAGTGTAGACCTGCCAACAAGCCAAGGTTTCCTGTGTTCCACCGACAGCTATGAACCATCAAAGAAACGAAGCCGACGCAGAACTCAAAGGGAGCTTCAATCTTCCACCGAACATACATCAGTTGCATGCCCAGAAAGCACATTGTGTTCCCTCCCCAACACTGATTCCTGGTATGAACGTGGGATTTTGACAATTGACATAGAATGCAAAGGAGGACAATGAAGCGAGTGACCTACAGGCTGATCTGAAAAAATATGTCATGGGTGCTCAACAAACTGGCCTGAAAGGATACTTCACCAAACTATGGGAAGATAATTTGGCAGAAGAATCTAATGTTGTTTACCCCGGTGTACTCAATGAACCAGCTGATTCAAATGTGACCATGAAATCAGTTTTGGACAAGTTACACACATTATACAGTCAACTTCGCTTATAACGACACTCGGCGGGGCATAAAAAAAGTGTCCTTATTCGCGAAGTGTCGTTATACCCGAAGTCTCAGTATGTATTACGGTTGGAAGGGACTTTGCTCTGGGCATGTCGCTATATCCGCAGTCGTTGGACTCTGTTGGACAAGCGACCAAATGGCTGTGTGTAGTTGGTGACGGTAGAACGTACGATCACCTGTTGAATCTGCAAAGAGAAACCGTCGAGAATACGGTACAGAACTGGGCTGGCTTGTGTCTTGCTTGGGTGACTTGCATACTTTAAGCATTGCAACCAGTTATAATGCATGTATATTGGGATGCTGGTTTGAAACAACTGGCTCGAGCAATGTGATTCAGGGGCGAGGCTCTTACAAGTCCAGAGAAATGCTCCAATTTCCGCAAATGCTGACAACAGGAAATTACGTCTTGTATAAAAGCCTGTCTCATTTAGAAGCCTGTTTTGAATAGAAGCCTGATTTTTCGAGATGCACTGTCGCCACATAAGCCTGGCTTTAGTGCTGATATACATAGAAATACCTGTCTTGTATAGAAGAGTGTCTCTATACAGTGAAACCTGTAACTAAAGACCACCGTGACTAGCGACCAGCCTGATACTACAGACCATTTCGCCAAGCACGGACGGTCTCACATTCATATAATGGTTGTGCGGTGCAAACCTCTAACTAAGGAGCACCTGCCACTAAAGACTGCTTTCTTTGGCCCCAAGGGGTGATCGTTAGTCACAGGTTTTACCGTAATAGAAGCCTACAACCCCCCCCCCCCCCAAAAAAGTCATATAAGCCGCGGCTTTATACACGACTTTACATTATGCATTCAAAAAGAAAATGTTCCCATCTCTCGCACTATGCACTTAGATTTTCACACCCTCAACTTTTCTTTTCTACTGTTCTCACACCATGGTGAAAATACAATCACCCTAGACTAGTTGCAGTCACTTTTGTAACTTTTGTAACCAAGACACATTTTTGAGCATATTTTCTGATACTCTGAGTATTTCCCGTATGCACTATTCGATGTAGATTCATTGATGACCATCGAAGAAAAACGTTTCTGGATCTCGGATGGAGAGCCAGGGATTTATAGGAAGAAAAAAGGACCAATGAACTACAAGTTAAATACGCTATATTGTCCCCTAACACCACCGTTTACTTGACAATCAGCTCATGCGATTATATTGCACGACACTGACCAACGGCCCGGATGTTCAAGTCAAGTAACTGGAGGTGTTAGTGGACATTATAGCGGAACTTGTAGTTCATTGTTTCTGAATCTGCTGTACATATTTCATTTCACTAGTTTATTCATTGGTTCGAGGGAAAGATGCAAACGGGAAAAGTCTGAAGAAGAAATTGACTGTCACCACCAGAACTCGAACCAGGGACCGTCGCTTACCATGGTATTATGTTACCATCAATTGCATTATTTAAAGCTTTGTTGTAACTTCTTTCTCCGCAACTCAAATTTCAATATACTGAAGTACCAAATATAGCAGTCTATAACACCGAAGCCATTGAACGACAGGTGCCACTCAACAACAAAATATCCAGACAATATTTTAAGAGAGCCCTTCATTCATCGCTGGTCTCAAGCGAGGGTCCCTGCCTGGTTCGAGTCCTGGTGATGACAGTCAATTTTTCATCAGACTTTTCCCGTTCGCGTCTTTCCCTCAAACAAGTGAGCATTCATATTCCAAAACGCCTACGCGTGCGAATGCATGTTATTCGGGCAAGCCATGAATTGATGTACAGGTCACAACACTCACACTCTTTCCTTAGCGCCGTAGCTGTATTTGCACTTGAGTGTTTTGTTCCGTTCGCCCTCTCTCTTTCTTTCCTTGCACATGTGTTTTATCACACACACAAACATGTCAGTCACTATGTTCACCACAATTGTTCTTACTTTGTACATTCACTTGACACATCAACTTGTTTAATACCTTGATATTCTTTGCTCGCCACTCAGTGATGTACTCTCACTAATGACCATCAAAAGAAATCGTTCCTTGATGATGTGTGTACAAGACAGTAGATGCATGATTACTGTGACATAGAATATGACCGCGCAGTTATCTTATTCATTGTAACATGTACATGTATCGGTAATAGTCAGGCCAAGCCATATTTTAATAAAAAACACAAAGTAATAACAACATGTTAACAACAATGCGCCAGTAGTGCAGTGGCGAAAAGGAAGGAACACATTATTAATATTATGCTTACCTCTCTGCAATCAAACTCCTTTTCTGAAACGGAATGTCAGTGGCCTCCTTCGACAAGTCTATTCATGATACCCGGCTACAATTGTCTTTTTAGCAGCTGAATAATTAACTCCTGATCCCAGCTAAATACTGTGACAGCAAGCCTTTCAGAAGATGAGTAGAACTACGAGTATCTCGGCTCAATAATGGGTAGGACTAAAGGGACAAGCCCAACTATTTTTGCAGTTTTCTGTCATAAAAAAATAAACGTCACAGGCTGCTCTTCGCAGGTGTCCGCGTCGGAGCGGTCCGGGCGAGCGACCGCATCTCAGTGGGACACTTGTCCGTGGCCGTTGTACTGGAAATCTGTGGCAGAACCTTGCCATGCCAGAGGCTACACACACCCGGGTACCTACTAGTAGTATACCGGGATAGACAAATCCTTGGTGTTGCTCCTTTCATTTTTGTTTGTTCTTGCTGAGAAAGAAACGTTGCTGCTTGGAAAGCTTTCTGTTCACTCCAGCGACTTTCCTCTAGTAACGTTGCTCACTGATAATGATCATAGCTCGTGATGCCAAAGGTGAAGAGAAGCTGGGTTTCTTGCCATTTGCAACTTCCTGGCTCTGAAAATATAGCTTGAACAAATAAGAGCTCCAAGTATTTTAGTTTTAGATTTCGATATGCCAGACCTATCGTTACGAGATGCAGAGATGAGGAGCAAGGGAGGCGTTGGATTAATGCCAATAATGGTGTTTATGGCCCAGACAACGCCAGCGATTTTCACTTGTCAAGAGGACAGTCAAGTTGGAGCAGGCAGATGACAGATTATTTGAGCATTTATAGCTGATTGGGTGGTTTGCGAAAGAGAATCGTCTCAGTACCTCATGGTTACTAGTATCTGACAAATGCCTCTTATTGCTAGTCTGCATTGGAGCATAGAAGAATTGATCATGTCACAAGTAGTGTCAAGACTTGATGTCCTACGATTATACTCAGATCATGTTGTAACTTCACGGGAATATCCGTCCTGCCACTTTACGCTCTCCCAAAATTGCCTGCAGGAGTGCCTGTGCAAGGGACAATGCGTTTGCATTGCTTACGGATGCAAGCGGATGGAGTGTAGACCAGATGAGAAAAAGTGATCCGGATATTCAACTAGCTTGGACCGCCATTATAAATTTGCCTGATGCCTGGACTATCTGAACATTGCTCCAAACCAATCCACAGAAGCAATACCCACACAGGAAGCCAAATGATAAACCCATTCATCAGCTATCGAACCTTTCATCAAAACATAATGCAGTGCATGCCTACTACTACTCAAACGAGATCAACGGATGCCACATGCCACACAGATACAACGTGGAGGCTCAGTATTTTCAAGACCCCGTGCAGTCTAGACAACTAGAACAACGAGGTTTGCACCTAATGTCCCTCGATTTGCTTGCCGTATTTAGTTCCTTGCAATTGAAGCAAGCCGTATCCGAGAACCGGTCACTGAGTCTGCAGTGTCGTCGTCGCGTGTATGTTGCCGTGGTGCTCTCTACCCTCCTGTACGGCGCGGAGACCTGGACAACGAAGGCTCCGGACCTACGACACCTCAACCTTTTCCACCATCAATGTGTCAGATCTATCGTTGGAGTGTCGCGACGGCAGCAATGGGAGACCCACGCAACGTCCTCAGCCCTTGGAAAGACCCTTGGAGTGCCTGAGGACATTGGTCACATCATACGGGAATGACGTTTGCGCTGGCTTGGACACGTGGCACGGAGGGAAGATCACCGGTTGCCGAAGTGTGTTCTCTTCGGTGAACTGCCTGCCCCGCACCCCGCACGTGATCCACGCAAGAGTGGAGGGACGTCGTTATGCATGACTTTGCGTCGGTTGAGCCACCGGTACCGACATGTGGATGGTACGATGCAGCCCAGAACCATCCGGAGTGGCGTGCCATTGCCCGTCGACCACACAAGGCACCCTCTGCTGCTGGCTACGGTTGCGCCTGCGGCCGCATGTTCCGTCGAAGCGGCGACCTGAAACGCCATCAGTCATTCTGTCGTGGACTGGAGAAATAACAATGCGGTATCATTGCTACGCAATGGGCAAGGTCAAAGTGTGTTTATGGTGGTACAGGACATGCTATGTACGCCTCTTTGGTCGCTCACACATTATCCATTGCCGACATTGGTTACACGTTATTATCAATTTGTTATGACCTTCGCTGGTCTGCACACCCACCCACTCTACTCTCTGAAGTTGAGACTTTCGTTTGCCATTTCATCCGGTAGTTTGACTCTCTGAGAATATCCCTGCTACATGTACATGTATAATATATATTTATACTTTACAATTATCCTTGTACGCGTCTATCTTCTTGACACCATGGCTTTCTTTGAAGGTCTTGTAGCTATGAAATGTTATTTGCGTGTCTCTCTTGCGACGGATGCACATGGTACTTGGTGTCTGTGTCAATTGGCTCATTCTGTGGGCGAGTGGTCACTGCCTGAGTTCAATGTCGGAAAAGGTAAGTAGCTCTAGAGTGCAGTATAGAGAAAATTATGCCAAATACGCGGTCATTAGGAGAGACTATACCAGCAACTTCGACTCATATACTTCAATATCTAATTGGATCTGTATAGAAGACGCTGCTCAGTGGTATTGGAGTTGTGGTTGATCAACAGCGTATCTTTTAGGTACATGTGGCATCCATTGGTCTTGTTTGATTGACGCTAGGCATGCAACCGGACAATGTTGGTGAAAGGTTTCATTACCAAAGAACTTGATTGGTTTGCCATTTAGCTTCCTGTGTGGCGTCACATCGTTTCCGTGGACTGGTTTAGATTCTTGCCCACGTTTCCAGGAGTTCAGCCAATTAATAGCAGCCGAAGCTATTTGAATAGCCAGATTATGTCTTCTTATCTGCTCTGCACTCCATCCGCTTGCATCAGTTAGCAATGCAAACACGTCGTCCCCTGCAAAGGCACGTGACTTCTGCAGGGAATTCCGGGAGAGCGTGAAGTGGCAGGACGAATTACCGTGAAGTTGCCACATGATCTGAGTACAATCGTAGCATATCAAGTCTTGACACTACTAGTACTTGTGACATGATCAATTCTGCTATGCTCTAATGCAGACTAGCAATAAGAGGCATTTGTCAGATCCTAGTAACCATGAGGTACTGAGATGATTCTCTTCGGCAAGCGGCTGAAGCCACCCACTCTGCAAAAAAATGCGCCAAAATTAATAATCTGTCATCTGCCTGCTCCAACTTGATTGTCCTCCTGACAAGTGAAAACCGCTGGCGTTGTCCGGCCATAAACACCATTATTGGCATCAATCCAACGCATTATTCCAACGCCTTCGTTGCTCCTCATCTCTGCAGCTCATACCAATAGGTCTGGCACGTCGAAAAACTAAAATACTCGGAGCTACAAGCTACATTTTCAGAGACAGGGAGTTGCAAATGGCAAGAAACCCAGCTTCCCTTCACCTTTGGCATCACGAGCAATGACCATTTATCAGCCAGCAATGTTTTACTAGAGCAAAAGCGCTGGCGGGAACAGAAACAGCAACGTTTCTTTCTCAGCAAAAACAAATAAAAAGGAAAGGAACAAAAAAGGATCAACACCAGGGATTCGTCCATACCCGGTACCAGGCCTCGTACTACCCCTGGAAAGGCTCTCCCACAGATTGCAGTACAAAAGCCACGGCCAAGTGTCCCACTGAGGTGCGGTCGCTTGCCCGGACCGCTGGGACGCGGACACCTACGAAGAGCAGCCTGTGACGTTTATTTTTTATGACAGAAAATCCGCAAAAATAGTTGGGCTTGTCCCTTTAGCCTTTCGCCTCAATAATGTCATTGATTCGCAAAATGCGTGCAAATGTAAAAATGAATACGTACAGTGACAGTGCAGTCCAGTGCATGCAGTCACGATCACACATGACAGCATGCACGTCGGTGCGACTCGTATTGGTGGTACATGGTGGACGCGTCGACGGCGCGCAGCACGTAGACTACACAGCATGCCCAACTCGACTCATAATCATGTCATGTCATAATCATGCGACCACAACTAACTCAGACAGACACGTAGACATCTACAGTGCGTTTTTTTATAATAGACTCTGAAAACCTTGAGAACGTACTCAAGGACACTTTTGAGAAAATGTCATGCGAGTTGCGTCACGAAAATCTGCGCGCGAAATTCGAAAAACCAGGTGTGACTCGTGGCATTTCGCCATCTTGTTCAGATCAGAGTGTCCTTCGAGCTCCTTGCCTCGTGGCCGGAGGAATCATTTTGTTGCTGACTGCTCTGTAGCTGTGGCCCTATTTTGCTTTTTCTCGAGTGTCTTTTCGTTCGTGGCAACTTGTTCTCTCGACATGCCACATAATTATAACAAAACGCGAACGGGCCATGGTACATGGTGGTGTCTGTTTTACAATTTGTTGCGAAGACGAGGAGAACAATGGCTGGGCATCGAATTGGTCCCAAGTATTCCATTCGTCATGCTGCTGTTGCGTGTGGCGTCAGCATTTCCACCATGAACAGATGTACCAGGGATGCTGACGGCGAAAATCAGCGTGCTGCGTTGGCCTTGTCTGTCTCCAGTGATGAAGGCAACGAGAGTGACAATCCCCGATGTGAGACTCGTGCCATGAAACCACTCAACCCTGACGGATTTGCTTTGGACTATAAGAAATAATTTACGGATTCTATGCTGCGAAGGAGGACCCAACACTGGACAAAGTTCCTGCTCGCTGCAGAGAAACCATCGACGATTTTCCAGACATGAGCAAAACTAGCTCTTGGAAATGTTGCGTTCCATGGGATTCCAGTGTGGCAAGACCAGAGGTATCACACAAATAATGATGGAACAGCACAGGATTGTGTCATGGCGGCATCGCTACCTGTGAGACATACCTGGATGAGACGTGGGTCAATGCGCGTCACACAGGTACTAGGAGGTGGTACGACAATGGTGACAGGAGTGTATAGGCAAGCAACCAAATGAAGCACCATCAGGTAAAGGCAAGCGCGTTATTGTTCTGCATACTGGTGGACGGGACAGATTCGTGAAAAACTGCGCCGATGTGTTCGTGACTGGAGGCCGGCGCCAACGATGATATACGTCGTCGGCTGTCCGAGCACATCTGTTCACTGTGTAATACTGTCGTCACTAGTGCAACACAAAACACGGAATTATTGGGGCCGTTTCGTTCCTCGCTGGTCTTCTACTATTCGCAGATGTTGAACCAGACACAACTGTGACCTATTTGCATTGTGTGTTTGTGTGTTTGTGTGTTTGTAAAACTGCTCATGCTTCCTTTTTGTTAGTCTCTTTATGGGAGCTGTGTGAATTGCCTTTGTGATTTGTTGTGGTGTTTGAATTTTCACTGCATTCTTTCAGGGATCGAGGGAAGTTTCCTACATGATGCATGCTGGAATGTTTTGATTTATTGAGCTAACTGCAATACAGGATTTGAATTATTCAGTACAGTTTGCCACAATAAGTCGTGAAAAGCCACGACTCACTGATTTCCTACAAAGGTTAGGAGAACTGCAGACAGCAGTGCACAACTGCACAGCCATGTGCATGTACATGTACATGTACATGCATGCGCTGTACTACAGTATACCGAAAAAGAAAAGAAAAAAAAGAATCAAGGTGAACTGTACTGGATTCGAACTCATGCCGGGCACCATGCAAGTGATGAGCTTTCCTGGCTAAAACTTCCGTTTAAAAAATCAAAATCCACTGAAAACCATTTAAAACCGGATTTCCAGCCGAAACCCGCCCGAATATCTAACTTTGACAATTATTATTATTCCGACTCCCAAACTTAATTTTCTTCGATCCAAGACCCACACAAACGCAGCTGTGAAGAAAAAATTTCAAATTTGGAATGAGAACAAACTAAAAAATCAAAATCGACAATGGTCTGTTATAAAAAAACGCACTGTACGTCGTTTCTACGAGTAGACTGTAGAGGTCTACGAGTCCGTAGAATCTGTTGTGTGAGTAGTGAGTAGACCCGGGTGCTCGAATGTCGGAATGAGACACAGGGTACCAAAACAGAAACACCCTGAAATTGTACCTAAACTTGTTCCGATTTCGTTTAGTTTTCACAAATACCATCAACATACGGCCTGCTAACGGTATGCCAAATTATTATTTCAGCGCTGCCCGGTAAACGGTTTTTGAAATACTCGCGACCCACTTTTTGATGGGTCCTTGATTCGAGGATGTGGGTCTCCTGTACGGTGCTGCCAAAGACCTGCTGAATCTGCGGCTCCACTGACCATCTTGCTCTCAACAACGAAGTAGTAAGTTACTACTACCTGCCCTCAACTGCCACACCAAGCGTAGACGATGGTAGACCCGTGTGCTTGAATCGGAGACGATCTGACGAGTTTGCTGTTTCTGATTCGAGCACCCAATTTTCAAATAAAAAATCCGAAGGAAATACGACCATTTTACTGCGTACTGTAGCTTGTGTTGTAGCGCGCCGAGGTTCTGAATTCCTGCTGGGTGGGTCAAGCCAGACTCCCTTCCCTGTTCCATCGCCTCTCCAAAAGTATATTCTGACATTGTTGAGATTTACAGATGAGAAATTGCACACCTGTCAAATCGTTTCTGATTCGAGCACCCGGGTCTACGAGTGTGTCATCAGATCAGGAGCATGAGGAGGAGTTGGAGGACATCGAGCACGCGCGCGTATGTGTGTGTACCGTGCGTGTACGTACATTAATGATTGATGCACTCACACAGAGTCACACACATGGAGTCGTCAAATACGACTCCCTGGTCACACACATAATTATGCACAGGCATAGCAGACAATCATGTATTATTTATGTAGATCTACATCATACATGTATATCCAAGAATTATGCACCCAGCTCAGGAGCTTATAGACTAGTAGTATAGTCTTGGCACAAGTACATCGTTGTTGGTTGACACTGTTCGGAAACAGTGACTATACTACAACCATCCAAGGTTTATCTAATACAATACCATGTACAATGTACTACAGTAGCAAATAAGCCAGCTTGAAGGAAAGCCATTGAACGAAACTGGGGTAAGCATCGATTGAAACAGTCCTACAAAGTACAATAAAACATGGAAATGCAATTGGAAGCACAGTTTCTGACAGCTACATGAAAATGATGAAATGCGGTATTTAAAAGGGCTGTCGGCATTTAAAAGGGCCCAGCCAAATTCAAGGTACACGCAACACGCATGTGACTACTAGCATACATAATCTGCTAAATATATATAAATTAAACAGTAAATTAAGCAGCTGCATGAGGAGTATGGGAGGGCTAAAATGGCAGTAAAACATGGGAGTAAAAAAAGAATATTGAATTGGGAAATTAGTGAGGCATGCAAGAGGAGTAAAGTAAGAGATATGAATAAGTTGTAGAAAGACATGACATGCTAACAAGAGATGTGATTGTCACAATATCCAGACCAGAGACGAGAAGAAAAAAGCGTGTGGCTAGAACACACCGGCATTACAGGTACATCGTGAACACGGATACTGAACATACACTGTCCATCCATAGGAGTGTGCTCCTGAACTCGAACAGCTACTGGTGATCGAAGGCATGCGGCACCTGCCAGAACTCGACCGTCGGCCTGGCCGTGCGGGTGTTATCGTGAACGTACGCGTGACGCAAACAGCTAGCGGCGATAGGAGGCACGCGGCGGCTGCCAGGACTCGACCTTCGGCCTTGTAGTCGTGTACGGTACATACTGCCACGGACTTCCGGTCATGTTCTCCTCGGAATGGCGTTCCAGAGGTAGCTGGCGGGGAAGCATTCGTTCTGTTGGTGGCACATCAGTCATGCAATGCACCCAGCCATGCCTGAACAAGAACAAAAAAAGAGATGGACGGCGGGAACGTTAAAGTCACTGAAAGGAAGATATGCATGTAGGGGATTGCAGTTCCGAACAAACTTGAGCGAGGACACAGGGTTAATATGAAATTGGTCAGTGTATCAAGCACAGCAAAACCTTTCATGACCAGTCCGATAAGATAACCAACTTTCCCAGAGGACAACTACAGCCTGTACCAAGGATAACCTGGACAAGGAGACCACCTGTACACAGCGACCGCGTATTGAAGGCCCCTTGAGCGGCACTACACATGCAATGCATGCATTTCAGCAAGCATAGTCTCACCATTCTGATGTAATCATCGATGGATCTGAACCGAGTTCACGACCGTAATCCACCCACCGGTGTTTGCCTGTCCAGTTAGACAAAAGTCACAAAACATAACAAGTACAATAAGCTATTAAACACCCATGAATACCCGCTTGAAAAAACAGAACAAAAACAGTGTTACTAAATGAAGCAACACGAGTGCCTCAGAGCCAAGGCCACGTTCCCTCCATGCTGTACAGCAGAGAAGTACTTGTGTGCGCACCATGGCTCAGTTTCATCATCGGCACATGCTACGGCCCAAACAAGAGGAACCGAAGCAAGAAGAAAGACTTATGTACTACTTCTCCCGCCCACCAACTCGTACTTCCTATCGGACAACATTGTACACCAACACCACCTGCGGTGATGCCAGAGAAAAAAAGAAAAAAAAGCCTGCTGAACAAGAACTACAAGAGCTCACTGTGCTGCTTGGGCTGATGCTGCTGCTGTTGTTGCTGCTGTTGCTGCTGCTGCTGCTGGGACTGGAGTCACACCAGAACTAGCTACAATTTCCTCTCATTGCCCTATGCCTCCGCGACTTCATCTGAAACAATCTTAACACGGACAACTCCGCTCCTGGTACAATTACAATGTCACGGCAATTTCATCTCAGACAGCCATGCATGCACAAATGTACGCTCCCGCGACAATGTGCTGCATGGGATATCATCATCGTTGAAAGCCACTAAACTTACGGAGTGTCCCTCCGCCCACTGCTTCGACAATGTTTCAATGGGGAAAACAGGAACTAAGATGAGCAGCAGCAGCAACACCTAAAATACACGTGTTACATACTTGAACAACAACATTCGGCTACCTATCTATACTGGCATAAACTACCTATTGTAGTTTTGGCTACCAATAGAAAATGTGTGGGTACGAGAAGTGGCATTCAAATTATAGCAACAGACCTTACCGAAGACGTAATTATTGTTCTCGTAATATCTATTGCCGAGCTTATCCTGACCAACAAGCCTTCCAATCTTCCAGTGAGAGTCAGGCAGACCAAACCTGAAGTACAACCCAGCACAACCAAGCAAAGCAAAACGCGTTCAAAGATAAAGGAAGAAATTGTTGAGAAGCACATTTCATTTTACCTGGAGAACACGCGAATCATCCCTCTGAAGCCATTCGTGAAGCGCCATCTTTCTCGAAACCACTTTTGCCACTGCCAAACAGTGAGTGTCTTGGAGTATCTATTCGACATGACTTCGGCCAGCAACCCTTTCGCGCTCTGACGAAGACAGGTCCTGCTCCCAAACTGAAAAGTCTCCCTTTTTATATTTTGCTTTGGCCAACAACGTCATACATACATGTCTACAGCTAGCCTACAGCAGTACAGAGTAGATCTACGAGTCATGACATGAGCCTGAGGCGGACAGTAGGAGTGAGGCACTCTGTCAGTGCATGCAAGTGCGATGTGCACTTCTCACTTTTCGACCTACAAGTACAAGTACAATTATAGCAATAAAAACTGCTTTATGGCAGTTTTCTAAAAAAGGTTATTGTGTTCTAGTCCATGGACCTCGTCTAAAAAGTAAGAGATTAACGAAATGTGATAGCCGAAAATTAAAATTTCACACAAAACCTCACAATAATCACGACACTTGAAGATCTAATAGTACGGCTTTCAACACTTGTACTTATACAAGTACATGTACTGCGCCAACATGCTTGCATATGAAAGAGGACCACGAGGGGAAAAGGTCGTCTCGCATCCTGTGTGTGATTATTGTGAGGTTTTGTGTGAAATTTTAATTTTCGGCTATCACATTTCGTTAATTTCTTACTTTTTAGACGAGGTCCATGGACTAGAACACAATAACCTTTTTTAGAAAACTGCCATAAAGCAGTTTTTATTGCTATAATTTCTTTTGTTTTTTTGGCTAAAGGATATATTGTGTAACCAATGGAATGCCCTGATGGCCTACATGTACATGTAGCGCCTCTGCATGTTATTATTATTATTTTATTTATTTTACTAGGGTGTTTCCCACAGACCTATGTTCTTCTTACGGGAGCCCCTATGTGTATCATATCAAATTCAATACCGTATTATACGCATTGATGTGCAAGCCTTTTCTTGCAGAAAATGGAACTAGTCTTGCATACATGTATTCATGTTCTTCTGCAGGGGAATCATAATTATGGGTCGTGGCGGTGATACTTTTTTTACACGCAAGTCATTCTGTGGATGTTGCAGAATTTCATGACTGTCATAAAATTGTCTTGTCTTTCAGAAAATTCAGATATCCACACCCTAAATCACATTTACTTGAGAATTGTAACCAGGTGTGTGCCGCAGATGTTTTTGTTGATTCTGTGTTTATAATTGTAGTCATGGGTTGTCGTGATAAGGTCATCCGGCATCATATTGTAGTGAAATCGTAATCCTGTTGATGTCGATAAACCTTTTGGAAGCAGTTCAGTGACTTCAAAGTGTCCACGATTGTCTAAAACAACACAGCAAAGTACGAACAATAAACATGCATTAAAATGTAAACAAATACATCGCTGAGTCCGACACCTCGTTCCAACAACTACACTGATCCTGAGGATATAAGGGGCAAGGATATATGGTTTTAGGTACTGAGAGATAAACAAGGCACTCCATAATAGTAAAATGTTACACGACTTCGGGGGAGTATGAATGATATCCAGTCAAACCTCTTTAGGACGAACATCAAGGGACCGATGGCATTTGCTCTGTGAGTTTGTGTTAACCCTATTTTATAACGAGTGAATACAATTATTTCTCCAATAGAGACACGAATAGATTTCTTCTACAGCGAAAGATTCTAAGCCAGACCAAACCATTGACTCGTCTTTTATGAAACAAATGAGTCACTGAACCTTTCTTTAGCAACATGACGGCAACTGAAACAACAACAGAGAAAATACGATACATGTATAGCACATTCTTGCAGGCACTACAAACAGATTGCAGATCGTAATTCTTGCTCTACCGGCACGCAACTTTATTTGGGGCAGTGCAATCTCGGCGGTACTCACAAATCAAACAGCCCAGACTCGAGTAAACAAATCCAATCGTACGAGATTTTCACGAGACGAGACTGCACCCATTGGCTTGTTTCGTATGAAGCAAACACGTCACTGAATGCATGAACCTCTCCATAATGGAGATTTTCCCTGATATGCGAATTTATTTTGCATACTAGTACTCGGCCAATGCGTCTTTGAACCTTTCCCTCCAGATTGGGAACTGCCAACGATGCTATGCCACTGCAAAATTCAGATTCTACCATATGATGGGAGCACGGAATGCCGGAAGCAATCATGACCAGTGCCTTACAGTAATGTACAATGAACATGAGTATTTCGACAACACATCTATTTAAAGCCTCAGCAGCCACATAAGCCTTACCGTCGAGAAGGTGAACTCGCGTTCTTCGCACACTGTTGGCAAGGGCAAAGAGAAACGAATGGATCTAAATCCGAATAAAATCAGCACGCGTTTCCGTAAATGAAAGGGTGAGCATAAGCAAATGAATCGAAGGAAGCTGGTCAACTCAGAGATCACCTGTCATTGAGTATTCCGTAAAAGGAGGCCTCGACAGCAGAAAAGCTAAATTTAGAAAAGAGATCCTGTCAGCTTTTCCATTATTAATTTTATTGTATTCCACCTAAAATCAGCACACTTTTCGTAAATGAAAGAGTCAACACAAGCAAATGAATCAAAGGGAACTGGTCAACTCACCTGTCATTGAGTAATATTCCGTGAAAAGAGGTCTCAGCAGAGCCGAAGCGAAATAAGCCAGGACACGAAATATCCGAAACAGCTCATGCAAGAAGCAGTTCCAAAGAAGGAAGTTCCTCGCGCATGCACATCCGAAAACGGACTGCACTGCATGCATGCATGCAACACAATGTCTGCCGTGCACGTGCACAGCACGCGGCTACCACCCGGTACCCGTTAGTAGATCTAATACCGAGCACCTTACGTAGAAACTTACGTAGCCTAAGTGAAGTACCGAGCACCTTACGTAGAAACTTACGTAGCATAGCGGTGTCGTTTTTTCTGCCATGTGAACACAATAATAGAAAAGCTGACAGGATCGCTTTTCTAAATGCTACATGTACGAGTATATGCACTACAGTGCATTTCAAAACTATGGACGCGTAGGGTTTTTGAAATATTTCAAATTTGGATGGAACTTTTTGAGAATAGTTTTCGGAATATTGCTCAGGATCGCTCCACAATTACCCTATTATAGTTTCTAAAGGATTGGATAACAGACGCCCAATTTGGAAAAATTTATGCGCAAAGTGATCACAGATTTTATGTGGTATAGATGCTGGCATAACGGTTTTTGCCTAGGTACACGTCTATAGTTTTGAAATGGACTGTAGTACGAGTCGCGTCCCAGTCATGAGGGCTAGGGAGTCGTAAAATAATTATTATTTCTTACATGACACGTGATCGTTGCCGGGGCCATGGCCAATAGGCGATCTTCCCGCCGAGGGCATAATCAGGCCATCAGGACCGTTTGACGTCATTTCGGGAATGTTCGGACCGTTTGACGTCATTTCGGGAATAATTTTTCGACCTTGCGACCTTTCGACCTTTGACCTTCCCTAATATGTTGCTTCGCGATGTAAGAAATCAAATCAAGCACGCTCTGTCTAGCTGCATGTCTGTCATGATGGCTGAATCTTGCCCTTGCCTGCAGGCTCGGGCAAGATTCAGCCATCATGACTAGACCTCCTGAGCGTGCTTGATTACCTACAAGTACAACTACAATACACAACACACACAGTACAAGGCTACATCTTCCAGTGATTTATAGGTATTTTACGACTCCCTGGACCTGGTCCCAGTGATCGATCGTTCGTGTACTACCGGTACAATGTAGTCATAATAGCTCATAGTGACTCATAGCCCAAATTTGCTAGCAATTCTTTGAGCAAAATAAGGACTTAAGGACTTCCTCAACACAATCAGTCACCAAGGTTGAAAACAAGCACAAAAGTTAGTTGTAGAAAACAGACTCATGGCTACATTTCAGTGGAAAGTTAAGCACTGAGCTGCAGGAGCTCAATCAAGCATATCGTCGTCATCAGCGACAAATTATCGTTGGATTTTCCCTAAAACTCATTTCATCTCGAGCAAAACCAAAGCAAAATACCGACGGAGAAAGGAAATGCAAGTTAATTTAGTAGGCCGAGCAAATTTAAACGAGCACACTGTGCAATGATAAAACGTCCTGATCGCTCGGACCTGCTGCAACAATTCCGAACTCTACGAAGACAATGTAAACTTTTAACTAGGAAGAAACGGTCTACATACTTCCAGCAACAACTAATCAATCATCGAAACCACCCAAGAGAGCAATGGAGTGTCATGAACAATCTACTGGGTAGAATTAAAATCAACCAGGAACCTGCTGCCGAAGTAGCCGACATCACAAAGACATTTACAGACGTTGTCAACGATACATCACTTTCTGGCAGTACACTACGCACTCCTAATGGCCCTGTATCGGAATACTCCCTGACACAGTTCACACCAGTCACTGTTCCACAAGTCCAACTCCATATCCAGAGAATGAACAGTCGTAAAGCCACAGGACCTGATAACATCCCCGCCCAGGCCTACAAGCTCATCAAAGATGAGATCGCCCCATCTTTAGCCAAACTATTTACCAAGTCTCTTACGTCTGGCGATTTTCCATCGACATACAAACTAGCAAATGTGCGGCCTATCTACAAGCGTGGAGATAAGTCAGTCCCATCCAACTATAGACCAATATCACTCCTGTCCCACATGTCTAAGCTACTGGAACATATTATACACGACCAACTAATGTACTATATCTATAATGCACCGCCACCACTGTTACCCCTACCTGCTGAGCAATTTGCCTACCGCAGAGGCCACTCCTGCGAAGACTTGCTCACTCCCGTGATCAACGACTGGATGCTCTCCTTGGACAATGGTGATTATGTCGTAGCTGCCTTTCTAGACATGTCTAAGGCATTCGACACAGTTAGTCATGAAGTTCTACTGAGTGAACTTCTGGAGATCGGTGTCGGTGGTACTGCCTTGCAGTGGTTCTGTAGCTACCTTACCCACAGGAAGCAACGTGTGGTCACCAAGACACAGCAAGGCCTGACATATAGCAGCAGGGGTTCCGCAAGGCTCCGTCTTGGGGCCCTCTCTCTTCAATCTGTCAGTCAGAAAGCTCCCATCTGTACCCCAGCACTGCAAGGCTCGACAGTACGCGGACGACGTCTCCCTGTACAAAGCTGGCAAGAACGTCAAACAATTGTGCAAGGAGTTGACAGAAGACATTGTGAAAGTGAAAGAGTTCTTGGCGGCCAGAGCTGAGAGGCTTACTGCTGAATCCTTCCAAGACGCAGTTTGTCGTGTTCAGGTCAAAGTGCAAGCCCCTTGACCCTAGCGTCGCTCTATAGCTGGGTGAGGTCACACCCTAGTGCACACATTCGATACCTTGGTACTCGACGAACATCTCTCCTTCGGAGAGCACGTTTAGTTAGGCAACTAGAGCGGAAAGTTGGAAGTAATATTAGTTAGCCATGTTCAGAAAGGTCCGAGATCACATGACGGTAACTGCAAAGCGTGCATTTTACATTTGTTCCATTCAGACAGTACTCGAGTATGGGAGCAACTCATTTGCTCACTGCTTGTCAGTAACTCTGCATGACCGTCTAGTCCGTCTTAGTAATAGAGCTCTACGCATTGTGTTCAGTATGCCTCGTTTTTCTGACGTATCCCTTATTAATGCACGCCATCACATTCTCCCTTTGTCTGTGCGCTATCAGTTCAAACTCTATAATTATCTTAGTGTTTCGTGTCCTGAATCAGTTAACTACTACTCTCCTTACTGATTGCTTTTGCCTTCGTTCTACTTCTCCTCGTACCAATTACTGCACTCGCTCCCAGGTATCTTCGTCTGTGACTCTACCCAAAGCTAAAACTCGTTTCGGTCTCTTTTCAGTTTCTTTCATCGGTTCCGACCGTTGGAATGCACTCCCCGCTGCAGTCCGCTTATGCTCTTCCCTGCATCTATTCCGTAATTCAGTACTTTCATTTCTAGGGTACCCTGTAAGAAGGCCTAAGGCTTAGGCCTGTGGGGATTGCCCTATCAAAAATTTGATAATAATAATAATAAATAATTTGGGCTATGACTATCGTGTACTGATATCATGATTCATGATGCAGCTCGCAGTCACCAGTGGTCACTGAAACGAGAGTCGTAATGTTACAACGGTTGAACACACTCTTTGTTGTCATGACAGCAGTCCTGTGGTGATGTCGCTACACCAACAAGCAGGTCGATCAAGTCGACTCTGCATCTGCCTCTGTCCAGGCGTGTGCGAAAAGACCCCTACAACTTTACAAGTACAAAAATAATAATAATGCAGTCAGTCATACATGCATGCACCATGTACCAGCGTCTGTCGGACATCGCCTCCTTTGCGTTCTTCTGATCAATTTTCTTCATCCTCAAGTAACTAGTTTACTAATAGTAGTATGGTAGCTCTACGACTCCAAGTAATAGAGAGAAGAAAGTTTTGAGTCGGATGCAGCAGGCAATACTCATACCGCAATGCTAAGAGAGTGACTACAGCAGTAGATCAACCGGTTTTACAACACAGTAGTTATTTGATAGCAATGATCATGACTGCGAAAGTTGCTCAAATCGAACTATGCTGACTTCAACAACCTGACCTGCTTGGTTGAGAGTTGAGGGGCTGCCATTGAAATTCGCGTGCCACCATGTCGGCGACGGCCCTTCCACCACTGGCCCGAAAGCAGCCTGACAGGCGCGCACAGGCCCGCAGCGTCGGTAGCAGCGCAAGCAGCAGCTCCGTCAGGCTTCCGCCGATTGGACATGCCCACGGCAGTCGACAAGTGCGCTCCGACCGGCTGGGCTCAGGTGGTGGCGGTATCTCCGTTGGCAATGTTCAGATCACTCTGCAGGAGCTGACCAAGCCGGCAGACTCGTTTGACAGCATACAGCGAGACTTGGTCGACCTCGACTTGTCCAGGTACATGTATGCCCGCTCTTGCCATGGCTGTTATCTGGTTATCGCTTGCGTCTTGAGCGCAACCCCACCGGATCACAGTCAGTGCAGGTTACTGAGTTTGTATTCCCGCGTTGACTTCCAGTCGTCCAGTGGGCTGAAAGCATTGCCACTGGCAGCCTCCTGTAGACGTCCCAGAGGCCGGGACTCATTGAATAGCAAAACTGCAAGCATACACACACATGCACACACCATGGCGACGCACACACACACACACACCATGGCGACGCACACACCATGGCGACGCACACACACACCGCACACACACCACACACACACACACACACACACACACACACACACACACACACAGAAAATTATCTGACCACTGGTCCGGAGTCAGTTAGATAAAGGGAGAGAGAGGCCCCCCCCCCCCCCCTCCTCTACAGCTCTACCCAGCTACTAGCGTAACTCGTTTGAACTTTCACTGTCCTGGGCATACAAGCACAAAAGTGACCAGGGCGACACACACGGCTGAAGGCTACTTACATGTACATAGCAATTATTACTACATGTACATGTAGCGCTATGTCCATGAAAACGGGGTGGCAAGTTATGCACGCACTTCTGTCCCTACCGTGCACAATGTACACTTGCGCTCAATGAAATCCGACCCCAAGTGCAAAGCTGACGCCGTGGACCAGTTCCAGTTCTGAGCCCAGATTACATCACTACACAGTCATGTACATGTACTTGTACCTCAGACCTCAGACCTGCCCATCGCGCGAGCAATGATAGCGAACAGCTATGTTAGACATAGCAACTTGTGCTGGGATTGCACCATTCAACAGCTTGCAAGGCTTGTACTTGTACACGGGTACGTCCAGCCACATTCGTGCCACTTCCAGGGCGTCAAGGGCCATGCAAGTCGAGGGCGCCGAATGTGCACTTTTGGTCGGATTTCACCAAGCGCAACTGTAGTTCACACCCACCAGCAGCAACACCACACACACTGTCCAGTGGTGTTAAACTTCATGCATGGTGAGATCTAGGGATATGACACATCCCGGTTCCGATGCTCATCCTTAAAACGTACGCTGCCAGCTGTGGGCTGTGTCAATCACGGGTGCTAAATCTTAAAGCGGTCGTTTTATCCGTCCTTGCAGCAATCAGGACGAGATACAATTTGTATAAGCATCTTGTCTCTCGTCCTGATTGCTGCAAGGTTTATTCTGATTCTTCTTTTTCTGTTTTGTGCCGTGCTCGTCATGGTTATAAGTAGGGGTCAAACGGGTGTACCTTTAACTAACGACCGGGTAATTTTCTTAACGGGCGGGTTAACGGGTACCCTTTAGCAGCCATGTTTAATTTTTGGGCAATTTTCACATGAATCAAGATTTTAATTAATCTGTTCTCGGGTTGCATTTTGATATCACATTGTGATTTGCAAATCTATTGGTGTCTGATAGTCGCAGGAGTAGATCTACTAGGTGCGAAAATGCAACAACAATGCAGACATCCAGCGTGGAGTTGTAAATAATTGACTCCCGCCTGGAATACACGATCCCAGCAGTGTTGCTCCGTACCGACTGGTTCATCAAAATCCAAACGGGTACCCTTTTACTAACGGTACCTGAGATTAACGGTCAGATACCCGGGTACCCGGTACACCCCTTTGATCCTTAGTTATAAGTTGCAGTTGAGTGTGTTAGAAGCTGTTTGTCAACGTATTCATAAGCCTAATCTGTGTGTCCAGAAGGACAGCATTATTCGTTTGAAATTGTTTTAGTAGCAGCTTGTTCTGTCTGTTTGGCCCTGGTTGGCCATGGTGTCCGATCTTGTGTCACAGTATACTAGTAGTCCTTACAAGTTCGTTAAGTGCTTTCGCAGTTTTTCCTGTTATTACCTTAGTGCTAGGATTATCATTTTCATAGGTGTTGTTTCTTCTCACTCCATTTCTCTTCGTTAGTATCTTTCAGGATTGTTTTTCATTATTATTTATTATCAAATTTTTAATAGGGCAATCCCCACAGGCCTAAGGGGCCACCTGTAAATATAGATATTTATTTAGAAACGAAAACTAGTCGTTTAGGGGGGGGGGGGGGGGGGAGCGCCTGTTCGTTTCTCGAAAAATATCGACGCACAATTTGTATGTGTGGGCACGTCCAGAAAAGAAAAGAAAAATATCGATACTATGCGTCGTTTGTATGTGTTCGTTTCTGAGGGAGGGGGGGTTGAAGATAAACGACTAGTTTTCGTTTCTAAATAAATATCGGTATTTACGGATGGCCCTTAAGCGGCCGTTTTACAGGGTACCCTAGGAAAGCAAGTACTGATTTGCGGAATAAGTGCAATGAAGAATATAAACGGCCGTGTCCCGTGACTACAGCTTATAGATAGAATTGCATATCATGAGGTCCGTCACTGACGTAATTTATAAACTGACCACGTGTGACCTTCCCAAATGTTGCGCTCCAAGCACATGCATGGCATCACCGCAGTATTTCCTAACTTTGTGGACTATCCTGGCTCTCGAGCATGCCAGGGACAAGTCGGGGTACAGCCGTGCTGTCACCGAGAACAGGTTGCTATAGCAAACATGGCGTCAGCCCACGGTAGTCACTCGGTGTTGTGAGTCAAACTTGGGGAAAGAACGTGGCTCCTGGGCGTGCCACCGTGAGCCAGGGGGTCTTAGTTAGTACACCCCTGTGCAGCGTCTTTGCATGTCTTGTCCTGCAATAGTCTCTCTGCTGGCGTGTGGGGCCTGTGGGCCCAACACATCCTAACCTAGTGTGATTCACTGACAGATCAGCAGATTCTGTCACTCAGGTGATTGGTCCATAGACCGGCGGTCGTGCAATGCATGAATCCAATGCTGGGTTTACTCTGCTGTCCCAGGTTTGGCAAGTCCGGCTTCGAGTCCTCCTGCTTGAACCTCCTGGAGGGTGGCTACTTTCGCGCCTTCGTAGAACTATTCAATTACAATGAACAGGAGAAGGCCGATCGAGAGGCAGCTGGCAAAGACTCTGGATACTACTATGATCCACTGGTCAGTGACAGCACTGAGAAGTTGGACTGTCTGCAGACATACCTGGGTGCTGCGGAGGATGCCATGCGCCGAGGTTAGATCTTCATCTCGTACATGTCTTGAACCAGGGAGTCATAAAATAGCGGTAGTTACGACTCCCTGTTTGAACTACACCATGTAAACTGCCTGCGGAGATCTTCCGAGTGCATTCCCGCTCTCGTTATGTTCATGACTTAGCTCCAACTTGTGCCAGTTGTCCCTAGTTATCAGTTCGGCCGTAACTGCAGCACCCCCCCCCCCCCACACACACACACAAACGCAGCCGTTCAGCCTGACTTTATGGTCATCTGATGTTTCCTAGTGCGTTTCTGGTAGAGGACTTTTTTGCCCTGTTTATTGACAAGCTGCATTCCAAGTGAAATGAATACCTCTGTTGACAGCCCTCTGTTTCATAAAGTACTTTATCTACTATTGTGTTCTAACTAACTTCTAAGTTCTTCATCTCTCCATCTTTTTTGTATGTACAGACGATGGAGAAAAGGTTTATGATGCGCAATGCAAGCTTGCACAGTACTTTGAAGAGACGGGTGATATCTGGCTATCAGACCGGGTCTACCAGAGCAGCCTCGAGACTGCCAAGGGTGTGTCCACGGACGGTCGGGAGCGAGAAGGGACTGCTCATGCCAACTTCGGACTGGCACTGGAAGGCAGAGGTAGGGGTGCTCGGTGAACTTAGCAGCACGTGTGCTTTCGAAAGGTTGAACGGAACATCGTATTACAGACCATGTGTTTACTGCGTGCATCTTCTATTTGCGCATGAAAGTGACCGTGCATGCGAATCACACACGATCACAACAAATCACATGCTTCAGGGCGTGGTTATTGTTACATGCCCGCCGGAACCAGTCCAGCAGTTCGGCTCAGGTCATAACCGGACCAACCTTTTGGCCACCGAAGTGTGTTTACCCGCCACCTCATGTACCAATAATGCACTGAAACTATGGTATGACCCGACCAATCAACACTTGCTTCAGGCGGTACCGGTGTATTGGTGAGGGATACTGTGACTCCTGGATAACAGCTACGTGTCATCCCGTGTCATTGTGTGCTGTCCTGTAGGGAAGTATGCGGAAGCTGCACAGCACTTTGAACGGTATTTCAAGCTCGCAAAAGCGGCGGACCCACCCTGGTACTCGATGTCCGGAGAGAGCCTGGTGAAGGCTGCTGCGGAGAATGTGGCACGCATTTGCACAACACTGGCCGAAGAGGTTAGTGATTGATATTCAGACTAAGATTCAAAACGAGTGAAATCGTCACCATGATCTGTTTCCATCCTGCTCATACCCGTTGTAATGTTATTCTCTTACTTTATTCCAAACAACAACTAACTCGGAGCTCCGGAAAGCCCCGCAATATCATGCCAACCGAGTGTCATGGTGTGCGTGCATGAGTACAGAGTCGGTGCGTACCGACTGTCAGCACAGGTGTGGAAAGCGGCCTATGTAAATGGTAGTGCTGAAACGATTACGTTTTTTCCTTAGTGGCTTAGCTGATACCATAACGATCGGCTTATCGGCTAAACGAATATTATTGTTGTAACTACATCAGTACATGTACATGTACATTCTGTGAATTTCAAAAGAATACGAGTCCAACATCGCTAATGACGAAAAGCAGGCGCATACATGTAGATCCGATGATCCCGCCACAAGTCCGTCTGCTGTTCGGACTGACCAGACGAATACAGACAAGACAGAGGCAACTCACTAGTTGCAACCCAAGTGCTGATGGTGCCCTTCGCCTGTGACTTCGCTGACTCCGACGATGAAGTCAGAGAAGCCGGCCAGGAGTGCAGATCGGCGGATTTCGACGGATGAGCTGACTTGAGGCGCACCAACAAGTAACTAGTTGCTTTTCCTGTCTATGCTCAAAATAGGCCAAGACGGCCTAGCTCGTCGTCGAGCAAACTGGTTCGGGAACCGTGGACAGAACGGAAAACATGAAACTGAAGACCACTTTACTGTCTTTATCTTAAGACTACTCGCATGTGGAGTGAACTCCAGCCCCTGCAGCTAGTGTAGACACATACTGAGCCTGCCCGTCCTGCATGCTGTATGTAAGAAAAGTAGTCAGCTCAAAAGACGGCGACGGTGACCGCGTCGATGTTTCTCAGATCGCTCTTGTACTTTACACGTACATCGATGTTGCAAGTGTACAGTCATGTACATATTCGTGTCGTACTCGCAACACTTTCGATGCATGCACGCTTTGTGCGACCCCCAAAAGGGGGGAATCCCGTACCGAGCGTAAGTACCATTCTACTCGTTTAGCCGATAAAATCGAATTAGCCCCCGTCCCTCACACAAACAAGTCAACAAAGCGGCATCTTTGGATTGAGGGGTGCTGGTTTCGAAACAACTGGTTTGAAGCTCAAAGTAGAGCTGCTGTTAGCTCAAAGTAGAGCTGCGGTTAGCTCAAGGTAGAGCTGCGGTTAGCTCAAGGTAGAGCTGCTGTTAGCTCAAAGTAGAGCTGCTGTTAGCTCAAAGTAGAGCTGCGGTTAGCTCAAGGTAGAGCTGCTGTTAGCTCAAAGTAGAGCTGCTGTTAGCTCAAAGTAGAGCTGCGGTTAGCTCAAAGTAGAGCTGCGGTTAGCTCAAAGTAGAGCTGCGGTTAGCTCAAAGTAGAGCTGCTGTTAGCTCAAAGTAGAGCTGCTGTTAGCTCAAAGTAGAGCTGCTGTAAGCTCAACGTAGAGCTGCAATGCTAAATGGATGTAATATAGCTCAAGGCAGAGCTGCAGCAAATAGCTAGATAACACCAGTTGTGAGAGTGGACCCGATCAGTGGGTACGATAATCATAATGATGGTGTGAATAAGTTGGATAGGGAGGGATGGTGGGAAAAGCAACACTGCGGAAGCACGATCTGCTGTCTGGAGGAACACAACAGGGCAAGCAAGATTTGTTTTCTTTTCAGCAAAACGGGCTGAGTGCCATTTGTGATTACGCAGCAAAGCAAAGCGCATGACGTCAGTCTTGAAGGCAGCAAAGAGTAATGCAGTGCAGTGTGCGCGCTAGTTCGGGTTGTTGCTAACGAGTACTAGCACAGCTAGTACCCCAATAACCGTTCGACCTATTTCTTATCGAGTAAGTAACGAGTAATCGATATAATCTTTCAGCACTAGTAAATGGATAGGAGTACAAACGGCACTGTGTATATATGCGTGTGACAGTCCATATATGTATGTGTGAACACTACACCCGTGAATTGTGCAGCTAAGTTATCATGTGACTCCGATACTGATTGTAGATTGAATGGATCTTGGCTGCCTTGCAAACATGCCGGCAAGTCCAAGAATTCTTTTTATACTTGTGTTGAATCAGAATGGATGACTGCTTCTAATTCTGAACCAATGTGTTTTCTGTGTGCCCATGATTTCCTGTAGCTGTTTGATGAGGATCAGGAGCAGAGTATTGCCTACCTCAAGAAGAGCCTGGACCATGCCCGGCATAGTAAGTCAAACTCAATATATGGATCAACTGCCTTTGACCCTTTTTCAATTTAAAAACATCATGGGTGAGAATATGCGGCCATGCTGGAAGAGAAGGAGAAAGAGGCCGGAAGCCAGGTGTGTTAAGCATGGTGTCCTGTCACCTCCCCCCCCCCCCCCCCCTTGACGCCAAGCCAAACTGTGTAACTGCGTAGATATCCCGCGAAAGTCATGCATTATGGTCCGTTAGGGAGATAACCATGATGGAACGGGCAGAATGCCGGACACATTGAACACAAAGACTTTCATGCCATGCCACTTGGGATCGGGCATTGTTTCTCTACATAAGCTCTCTCTCTCTCTCTCTCTCTCTCTCTCTCTCTCTCTCTCTCATTCGCTTTCGGCCACACATCTGTTCTGCTTTCTCTGCTCTGCAGTCGGCACTCGTGCTGAAGGATTGGCACACTATCGCCTTGGCAACATGTATCAGTCCATCAGCAACTTTGAGAAGGCAGTTGATGTACGTGCATAACTGATTAAACAACACAGATACCGTAAAACCCTCTGTTCCTTTTTACATACACAATATCACCACACACACACACACACACACACACACACACACACACACACACACACACACACACACGCACACACGCACGCACACACACACACACACACACACACACACACACACACACACACACACGTCACAGGTTGTATTGCTTTCAGAGGTTGCTGATTTAGTCACAGTCGATTAGCAGGGCCGAGATCCGGCCAGTCTCAGAGATAGGCAGCTTGGTAAAGTCTCTAACAAAACACCATTTTTATGATGAATTTGACAATTTGTCTATGCATGTGAATTGAACTGAGTTCTCCAATTGTTTCGGATGACTTTTTCCATTTTCTCTGCGAAGTCAGGCCATGTCACACCATTGCACGTTGCGCGTGAGCTCACTCGCTGAGTACCGCGTGCATCCATGTAACATGTGCTTGTGTTGGCATGTTCCTGCTCCGCACAGCACCACAAGGCCTACCTGGAGAAGAGTCGGCATTGCCAAGACCAGCAGGGCCTGGCTGCGGCTTGTGAAGCGCTGGCACTAGCCAATGAAAGGTTTGTACGGTCGAGTGACTTGATACATTAAAGCAAAAATAGTTAGATAGCCTCCAGGGATCCTTAGATGTGATAATGGAGTGCAGGCGCGTGCTCGGCGATGGGCACGGGGGCACGTGCACCCCCCAAAAATTTTCAATCTGGGTAATTGCAATTGTAATGTATGCAAAAATGCTCTAAAATTCAAGAAAGGTTGCAAACAAATTGCAGAAAATTGCTGGGGGGGGGGCTCCCCCTCCCCTCGGCTCCCGTGCACCCCCCTAGTTGGGGGGCCGAGCACGCCCCTGGAGTGCATGCTTTTGCAACTCTGGTCCGGCCGGAGCCGGTCCGGTTGGTCAGGCAGTGGCGTAGCCAGGGGGGGTGCTTTGGGTGCCCAAGCACCCCCCTCAAAAATTTCAGGTGCCATTTTCGTACTGCTGTGGATCTACGCCCGCCCGCGATCGAGACTCGACGTCGACAAGACGCTGCGCTGCACGTGCGTTGTACAACTACCGGTATAGACTCGCACTTTGTGTAGCTAGACTTGGTAGAAGTGAAAGAGAAGTGGCAACGTCGTTTTGTGATCCGCAAGTCGAATGGATTCTTATGAAAATGTCGATCTTGAAGTATTTCAGTCGAGGGAAGTCGAAGAGACCAGATACCAGTAGCAGCAGTGCCAGTGCCATTTCCGAATCTGACGAATCTAATTGCGAAATTGTCGAAGTCGAAGACTCGGAAGAGCCGCAGTTGTCGCCCTTGGCTGTACCAGTAGCAGTCGTCCGAAATGACATCGGTACCTTTATGGAGGACATTGCGAAGGGTGCACCGCTCGACGACGACGTGATGTTTGCCCTGCTAAAGGACCATGTCCAACCGGATAGTTCGTTTGTTTTCCCGAAGAATGGTGGCCGGTCTTTTCAGCCCCGCTGGCTCGATGTATACAAGCCATGGCTGGTGTTTAGCCCTTCGCTTTCCGGCGGAGTCTGCGTGGATTGAACGAACTTCAACAATTGTCTGTATTATATTCTGGGTCTAACCACACTCTGTCAATCTCTTACCATCCAACTTCTGTAGCAAAGTACTGTGCGTTTCATACGATTATCTGACTTTTTATTGAATCATTGGTGGAATGGAAAATAATGAAATAGATGCAAAAATGAAGGATTTGGCACTCAATATCGAAAATTTTTCCGGGGGAGGGCCCCCGGACCCCCCCCCTTTTTTCCCGCAGGCCCACACTTCCAGTGAGCACCCCCCTCAGCCACAATCCTGGCTACGCCCCTGGGTCAGGTACCACCAAACCAACTCAGTGTTGGCCACCAACGCTTGTTTACTGTTCAGGAGGTTATGTTTACCGCCCGTGCCGGCACTATATCCGCACGCAAAGTATAAAAGGCTATGGTATGGCCGGACTAGTCAAAACCTGCTGTCGGCAGTCCTGCAACTACACTCTTCCTAGAGCAAATTCCCATTTGGATAACTGGCATATACTCTTTTCGTATTCCGATTAATTCTGTAGTACCCAGAGAATCCACTGGCTAGCGCTATGGATTATGGTTTGATAAAACTACCCAGTGCATGACAATCACTCGGTTTGAAGTATCTCGATCAGTGTTGTCCTGTGTTATAACTATGTCGTTCCGATAGCCTGGAGCGCTGGGACGAGGCCATCAACTACCACTCGCTGCTACAAGAAGCGGCGAAGAGGAGTAACGATCAGCAACTGCTGGCGAAAGCAATGTCTCAACTGGGCACTCTGAAGAATATGCTGGTGAGTCTAGCCAATGCTTGAGTGCACCATGCATGCATGGCCCCCGTTTATAGTTCTCTGGTAGTCCAAGGCAGTGTACTCGTATGGCAGTAGTCTTCGGATGTATTTGATATTTTGATATTATACTGTGATATTGATTTCCCAAGCGCGTGTCCTGACTCACATCAGACCCTACTTGGTTGCAATCCCTCATGCATTCATGTTCTCCGCTTTTCTTTCTTTGTACTCTGGTTGCTCGTAGGGTGATTTTGACGAGGCGGTTACATTGATGGACACATGCTGCACAATACAGATGGGAGAATCCAGCAGCGAGCTGTCTGATCGCGCCGTCCAGGAAACACGGGCCCGCTACAGCACCTGCAAGGGCCACCTGTCGGCGGCCAACGTAAACAAGGTCCTCCGCTCAGGTGTCTCGATGAACTTTGACTGTGAGGATCTCAACCTTCTCCTCCTGTGGAAGGACACACGCCTGTTGGAATACCCTGAGAAAGTTCTGTCCGTCAAGGATGCGCTCAAAAAGTATGGAGAGGCCAGTGGTGAGGAAGGCGACGACAAAGAAGATAATAAGAAAGATGAAAACCCCGAGGAAACGTTACAGGACGCTCGGCCTCCATCACCAGTGGATGGAACCAGTGAATAGCGTTGAAGGCGGTGAAGAGGCCAAGTCAGCCACTAATGCTGAGAAGGACCAGCAACGTACAATTACAAGGCCGTGACTGTGCTACCGGCTGGATTGGATCAGCTGGACATTGCAATGACCAATGCCTGACGGCAATAACTTGACAACAAAGTTTAATAATAGTTGGTAAAGCCCTTGTTTTGTTTCTGCTTAGGATTGAGCTGCCATCACGATTGTGCTATCTCAAGTGGATCAGCTTTCTTGTTTTTGTTTGTTTGTGACCGTGAGGTTGTTTGATTAGCAGCAGTGGCCCGAAGTATGCTATGGCCACAGCCAAGAATGGAAATGGACCGTGACTTGAGACTTGTTTTTGTACGGTGCAAACTTATCGGAATTGTTTCACAACCAAACAACAAGAAGACAGAGAAAGTGTTTCAACTCTGAGTTTCACGCACTAAGCGATAATCAGAAAACAGCTACTAGCTGCCTCTCGGTATCATCAGTGATCACTCTCTTTAGCCTGGACCTCTCTGTTTTAATTGTTTCACAACCTTCAGACAGTGTATACATGTATCTTCCTGGTCCTGGTTCTTCCACCATGCAATATGTTTGTCCTCCCGCACATGATCACATGCACCGTACGGTATCAATGCCTGGAGAACACTTTTCTGAGTTTTCCGCTCAAGGTGATGCTGTGGTATGGTGCAGTGGCGGATCCAGGGGGGGGTTCCGGGGGTTCCATGGAACCCCCTAAATTTTGCAAAGTGTGCGGCTGAGAAATATCGAAAAATATCATGTGTGCACAAAAGGACGTCCGTCCGATCACAGCCAGTGCAGTCACTGAGTCATGGAGCACAGACTGTCAGTCAGTGCACTGCATGCGCGTGCGGTAGTTCGATACTGTACGGATAGTAGTCTGTACTGGTGTTCACGTCCGTGATTTACAAACGGACACTGTAGACAACATTGGGTGGTTGTTTCCTTTTTGATCTTTCGAAACGATCTAAACTTACCTCCATTGGCGCTGTCATTCACTGCTGCTCAGGATGGGTGTGGTGTGGTCAGTATTCCTTGGACAAGTTTTTTGCAGAAGAGAAAGGATGTTCCGAGTACTGACACTCTTCAACGAACTTCGAACCGTACACGTAGAGTTCAAGCTCCTCAGAAGATGAGGGCTCCGACATCCAAGCAAAGTCAGTAATCTCTACCTGCTGCAGCATGCAGTAGTGACTAGTTGTTCCTCCGCAGGAACGGAGTGCTGCGCCAGCGATGTGTTTTAGATGACATTGGAAGGATTGTACCCAGTCGACACTGTTTCGCTGTTGTTGTTTCTGTCACTGAAGTGAAGACGATGCTCTTGTCCTGTGACTATAGAGCATTTCGCATCGTAAAAATGCCAAAAATTTCCGAACGTACAAATGGACAGGGAAAGTAACTAATTACTTACTTTCACTAGTTTGAGGGAAAGAGACAAACGGGAAACGGGGAAAGTAACTTAGTTGTCATTTCGGCATTCCTGGCTCTCAACGTACCCATGGCTTACATATTCGATCTTTACAAGAAGTTGAAAGGGTCTTCAAGCCCTCACTGAACCTATGTGCAAGTCGATTGCATACATGTATATTATGATTATGTGTCCGTACTAAATAATATACAATGTAGGGTAAGCAGCAGCATTTGGCCCTGTATACAGGTTTTCCATCGTCCACCACACCACAACTGCGCTCCGACTCAGTCTCCAGCGATGGTGGTGTGCTGTGGCAACGTGTCGAGGCCGGCTGGAGAGCGCAGTTGTGGTGTGGTCGATGATGGAAAAATATAATATTAAATAATTATTATGTCCGTAGTGTGTTTTAAAAGCATGTGATTTCCACTAACACAATCGGATTGTCGTTATTACAAGTGTCAACCGCACATCTGATTCCATAATATTCTGTCCCCGGGGAAAATTGCGGAAAAAAATCGCAAAAAACGCGGGGAAAACGCGGCATAATATGGCATAATTTGCGGTGAATTTGCGGTAAATATGCGGTAAATATGCGGTGAATAATATTGATGTGCGGCGATTTTCAGTGAGTATGTAGTGAAATCAATCAGTTACAAGTCTCTGGTGTAAGCACTCGTCATATTTGAGTAAAAAGCCGCCACGATGAGACGTTGCTGACCGAACAGTGCACCGTGTGCACGTGTAGTGCAACAAAAAAGTTCAAAAAACGCGGGAAAATCGCGGAAAACGCGGTCTTTTAAAAAATCGCAAAAACGCGGAAAAAAACGCGGCCGCGGATTGGCGCGGAATTGCAATTTTCCCCGGGGACAGAATATTTTGGCTGTTCAATTTTGGCTCAACCGGAACCCCCCTGTAGAGATCTCTGGATCCGCCCCTGTGGTGGTGGGCCTTAATAAAGTTATGCATGTAACAGTTACGTACCAGCATATCAAATCTCACACACAAGGGACTATGAAGACGAATACTTTTTTTTGAAGCATTTTGTGCAGGCCAAAACAATGATGAGAATCGAATAGTAAACGCCCAATTACACAGCACATAGAAGCTAGAAGGGGGGGGGGTATTGACATGAAATATGTACAAGATATCGATACCGAGATTGAAGGCAGCTGGGCTGGCATAACATTGTGTGTGTGTGTGGACAGTTTCAGCAATCATGGACGGTGACTGGATGACAGCCAGGCATACACCTCCTTGGCTGATGATTTCGGCAATAGACTGTTCTGCAAAGGGTCATGCACACTAGACCATTCCTGGTGTAGCTACATGTCCACAGTATTCCGCGGAACCTGTACTCAGAGCTTAGCGGAACCAGAACTGTAGTGTAGGACGGTGTGAGCCAACTCTTGTACTGGTAAGTAAACGTTTGGTAAGCAAAGCGGTCATTTGCAACGCGGCATGTCATGCGTGTTGCTGTGACAAGAAGAGTCGAATGCAGCTGGGGATGAGGAGCTAGCTGAGCAAACGGACGAATACCCAAGTCCCCAACCTTGAACCAGACTCGCAATGTGCAAGACTGCGACCACAGGCTGTTGATTACACGTTTTTCAAACTGTGACGAAGGAAGTCGTCCGGCCGTACAGACAATATTGGTGAGAAAACAACAGCAAAGCTAATAATACAAGCTCAATACAGGAAGATGTGACCAGCACAACTGAAAACCTCGGTAGAATGCATGGAGGGAGGGCAAGAGGAGGGGCGGGGAGCTGCGTGAGTTTCATGGGCCTAACACGAAGGTGAAAACCAAATGCAAAAGAAAAAAAAGCACAGCTAGAATGGTCAATCGGAACTAGACCAACATGAAACGCCTACTCATAAAATATGAACATATTGACGAGAAATATTTTGTTTCAAGGTACATATGACATGGTCCAACACATGGTTGAGTAATAAAAAGCATTGTAAGATTTCAAGTAGAAGTATGTTCAGCTACCTAGTTTTGAGTATGTGTTTTGTGCAAGCCGGTTCCGAAGAGCCGGGAGATATATTTTTTCGTTGATTGTGAATAAATAGGACACTGGAAGGGAAGGTACTAGCCTAGGTAGACGGAGTTTTCAGTAGAAGGCAACAGTGTGAAGAATAGTCTTGCCATACTCGACTTCTGTTGCCTCGATGACACGCTCCATGTCGTCGTCAATGTCGTCTGATACTCGGAGCTGCAGCATAGGGCACAGGAGTACAAATTTAGGCTAGAAATTGCACCTGACGTTCCTGAGGTAAACAAATCCTGACGAATGAACTGTCGTTTATCCTTCTCAAAGAAATGAGAGAATAGGTGACCATTGCCAAAGGCACACTTCCAAATAGTCTACATGCCTACTACTATTTTGGTGACCGGGACATATCCATGTGAATGCGACAGAGGTCTGCAAACACGCACCTAGTAAAGATGTGCCCCCACTTCTGCAGTTGCTGCCATGGATAGGCACATCTCCCTAAAATACGCCCAAAACTCAGTGCACCCCCCTAGTCATAGCAACTAAGACTGAGTTGCTTTTTCTCGGATGGAGTCATGGCACAAACCTCACAAAGCAACAAATTCAGAGACAAGGAACTTAACGGAAAGACCAGGAGAGTGCCAAGTGCATGCAAAACAAGCGACAGAATGAAGAACCGCAGCAGGGGACTGATGCACAGAGCATGGAAATACGGCCAGCATGATCAAACGGCACAAACAGGACCAGTTGAGGTGAACTGGCACTGATACCCCAAGCCAATCGACTAAATTGATCGGCAAATCTAAACACTCAACACAAACCCAGATGGAGATCAAGGACAAGAATATTACCATTTCACAAAAATCGCACATGACAATAGAACCCAACATGGCGTCTTCGTGGTTGTCGGGAACATCAATGTTTATGACGTGAACGGGACGGGCTAGCGCCGATGAGCGAGACTCGATATCTGCAGTGAACAGGAAGAGGTCGAAGTAAGATATTTGATTAGCTGACATGAAGACAGAACATCGCTGCTGTTGCACTGACACAACACACAAGGCCCCAGCAGGGCTTCAGAATAATGAAACATCGTGAACGGTACTGAAATTGTGCTAAATCCAGGCAAGTTCACAGGGTAAGGGAGATGATACACTATACAGCAGAATGCAATACAATCGAGATGGTGGCCAGCAATGATTATCGAATACTAAAACCTCGACTCCTTGATCGGACCTACAATGCACATTATTGATCAATATATCTGCAACATCTTCTAATCGCACAACAAAACAAAACCAAGCAGAATACTGCACCAACCATCGAGAACAGCATCGTATATTCTTTCCTCGCACGTGATGACGATGTCAAACGTGTCGTTGGTCTCCTGAAAGCGCTCCGGGTGAGCCTTGATGCGTCGATTCCGGTCGAGCATATGAAGCATGCCATTGCGGGTATAGCTAAAAGAGTTACTGGTCAAGGAAACTTTGTAGGAACGAGGAAGGCAGTACAATACAACCAAATACACAGGATGATCCTTGAAAGCAGTTCAGGGTGATCAGTGAGAGTGCGGACAGATCAGCACTCCAGAGCTTTCTCAAGTGGTGGCATAAAGAATACAAATGACACATAGATCTACTATTCAAGTCGCCTATCAGTGCTAACAGTTATCAAGAGTAAATAGGGAGCTTACTATTTTACTCTTGGTATTGTGGCTATAGTTACTAAGTAAAGACACGGAGATGAAACTGCCGCTGCTGATGGTGGTGGTGGTCAGGTGGTACTCAACTTGTGGTACAGTCAACTTCGCTAATAACGACTGCGGATATAACGACAATTCGCTAATAACGACAGAATTTCCATGCCCAGAGCACAGTCCATTCTACCTGAATATATAATGAGACTTCGGGTATAACGACACTTCGCGAATAACGACACTTTTCTGATGCCCCGCCGAGTGTCGTTATACGCAAAGTTGACTGTAGATGTATTCTAAGTAAAGCGGAGCTTCATTAGAAAAAAATCGTAGGCAAGCTGTCAAGCATCACCCTCTTGTACTACTAGTACTACTAGTACAAGGGACATGAACAAATCTACAAGCAAAACGCAATGATGGCAATTTCCAGAACGGGCGGACATCGAGTGTATCTCAATTGATTCTAGGTTCACGAAAACTAAAGCGGTAAAGGGCTCCTCTCGTTTTACACCGAGTCACGATTGTATTTGACTAAATATACAGTGTGTAGAGGTTAGGTCGAATAGCCCTTTGTCTGACATTATTTTTTACTCCTATAGAAGCAGCGCTGCGGAGACTGCATGTGCATCCGCGGGCCACGTATGTAGTTATCTATCTGGTTATCCCTAGCTCTAACAATTACTTTTCGTACAAATTACAAGGCTAAGGACTCGAGCACTGCCGATCACATCACTAGTCACTGCATGTACTCGTAAAACGCAGTACTGCAGAGTGTATGTAGAGTATCTTGGCGTTCAGCGGAGTAGAACCAACTGCTGATATCTGCAGATCCCCGGATAGGAGCCGCCATAACCAGCACCATCATGCGGCATCAGCCGTGAAATACGATGCGTGTAAGTACCGGTAAGTCTCGTTCTAGTAATTGCACAACCTGCTTGCACATGTAACACTAACCAGTCCAAGCGGCGACTCCCTAGCTAAGTAGATCGGGGAAATACGGTACTTCAAGCAAAATGAGGTGTGGTGTGTCGCGCTTCGCGGTTAGAGAAAGAGAACACTGAATGTATGCATTGATTGCAAGTCATAGACGTAAGCTAGTCTGTGTCTAATCCACTTTCGCTGAATCCGTGACTAACATCAGCACTTGAAGAATCGACTCCGATTGAAGGCAAGCAATGTGGACTGGCAAGCAGTGCAGGCAAGGCATATCGAGTCCATGAGTGTACTTGTGAAGTAAGGCAAGGACTCCTTGGACTAGTAGTAGGAGGTGTACTTGTGAAGTAAGGCTAGGACTCCTTGGAGTAGTAGGAGGGGAGGGCAGGAAAGCAGTCTTGTCCGTTTAGAACATCGTGTGCACCTGAAGAGTGCATGGCTTGACCGGAGAGCAAAGGCTGAGCTAGCTGTGCATGTTCGGTATCAACTGTACTGTGGAGTTGTCGAGCAAGATCAAGCCCAACGATATTTTTATTATCATCAGTGCTTGACCTAGCTTTACTGCCACGACAACCGCAGTCTATGACGCAACTAAACTTCAAAGTACATGTGCACTACACGAACATGCTGCAGGATAGCTTCGGGCGCAAGTGGTAGCTTTACATCAGTGGCGTCCACAAAACACGACGGTACCAAACAGCATTTCCGTTTCACGTCGACTACAGTTTGTAACTAGCTTCGGAGTTTGGCCCACTCAGTGACTCTGGGTCAATAACAGCTAAAAAGGACAAGGGACTGACGATGTGCAGCCTGAGAGATGCAGTCTACCGCTCCTCCGACTGGAGACGATTCACATAATTCTACAGTACGGGAATCGTAATCCACATGGATCATTCAAAAAGGATTCATGTCTCAGTAAGTACTGCAGTAAAGTTGTGGTGATCAGCTTCTCGTGCACTGATTTGGCATGAATACATTCAGCATAGAAAACCGTTTTGAAGGGAAGTTACTTGTTTCGACTGGATATTATTATTATTCGAATCGTATATTATTATTACGGTAAGAAAAGGTTTGCTCCCCACACTGGCCTTTTCTTGCAAATCAACGCCGAAGTCGCAACCACTATTTCGTATTATTGCGTTGACAATAATACAAAACGAATTAGGCTGTTCTCGTCTGTTAGGTGCGTTGAGTAATTTTTTCTAGTGAACTCGAGCTCCCAAGAACAAGGTGCGTTCGTTTACTTCAGGAATTAGGTTTAGAATCAAGTTCTTAGTATAGTCAACTTCGCTTATAACGACAACCGGTGGGGCATCAGAAAAGTGTCCTTATTCGCGAAATGTCGTTATACCCGAAGTCGCATTATATGATTGTGTTACAGTTACAAATGTAGATGGGACTTTGCTCTGGGCATGAAAATTCTGTCGTTATATGCGAATTGTTGTTATATCCGCAGTCGTTATTAGCGAAGTTGACTGTACAAGTAGAACAAAACTGATTGACTGGTGCAAAACGCTATCAGAAAATTCTTACAGTATCAAGGCAAACACGTCTCGAGTTTCAAAAGTTGGAGTGCTCATTGATTGAACGTTTCGTGTGTGGGCTTCAGCCGAACATTTCTCCGCGAGTATAAGCCGCTGTCTAACGCTCAAAATTTACCCCAAAAAGGAGTGAGAGGCTTATAATCCGGAAAATACAGAAACAAGAACTGCTGAAGTCTACATTTACAAGTACAGCCCATCCAGAAATTAATACATGTCCAGTGTTGCTCAATGAAATCCAGTCGCGTCACTACCTGCCGGGCGTTGCACAGCCATACACCTGCGAACACGCGGCTGCGGAATGTTGGAAGGTGCAAACTTGAGTGACTCGATTGGATTTCATTGCGCAGCACTGTATAATCCATGTGCTTGCATGTTTCTTTCGACAGGTCATCTGAAAAATATGCCGGGGTTTGGGGAAAATTCTTTCCCAAATACAACTAGTACTAGAAACGATGATTCAACTTTGACCAAGTGTCTCGATACTGTGTATGGAGTTCCATTATATCATGAAATGGTACTCTGGTTCTTGTGCATGTATTGTCCGTTGCTGCTCAATTTTGTTTGGGATCGCACCCAACAAATGCAGCAGCCTACAGCAAGTAGTAGAGATTCTGCAGGTTGACGCAAAACGAGTTCTCTGGCAGTCATTTGTGACTATGAATGATGTACATGAATGCTCTGCAGGTACGAGCCCAAGAGTTTTTCAGAATTGTACTTGTATTTCTCAGAGGGAGAGCTGCGAATATTCGTGTTGCACATAAATGACTCGTCGCACCTTGAACCTGGAACACTAAAAACGATTGTGCTGTTGGGGAATGAAGCTTATGTTGCACACTTGCTAGATTACTCAGAAATCAGAAGGCACCAAGTAGACACTTCGGAAGCAACCAATGGGCGTACAACTTTACCAGAGTGACGTAGTCATAAGTTTGAGTGTGGTTACCATTATAGGGAAGAACTTCAGTGGTGGCAAATCGCATACGATTCGAAAAGGACTAAAGGGCAAACCAGGGAAAATCTCCTAACACATTCACCCGGGCTCTTTAATTTAAGTTCGCTAATACCGTAAAATACCATTGATGTGCCCGCCCTCAACACAGGGTTTTTCCGATGGGGGGGGGGGGGGGGGAGTTAGATCAATGCTCTCAAGTGCGTTTTACAGCCGCAAGGATAATCAGACTTGCCGTGCTGGACTGTGCACAGTAGTACGTGGGTCGGCTGTAACACCGGAGTCGCTCCAGGGTAGAAATTCGACATGGGGTGGATCAATGGTACTTTAGACGGTGTAGGTATTCGCAAAATGTTGCCCGTATGTAAGTTTCCCCTCTACAGTCCATTCATCGGAAACTGGCCCACTGGCTTTTGAAAGTCGGATTTGGGTCGAATTGAGGATCAAAAACCCACTTTAAATCTCAAAAATCTGGGTTTCGGATCTGCTTCTCCATACATTTTGCCATGGCATCCCTGTCCTAATTTTGTAAAACCTGGCTGAATTTTTATTTCCTTGTTCTTGGACTTTTCTGGCCTCAAATGTGGCAAGGAGTAATTGCACGGGTCACACAATGCAGGATGTACTTTTGTTTTCACGATATCTACAACTATGTGAGAGACACCAAAAAGTTAGGGTGCCAGTTTCCAATGAATGGACTGTAATGTGGTATTCCTAGAGAAGCGGAAAACTCGGTCTAACAGAGTCACACGCGAAGTGATTTTTTTACCACCCAGAATACACACAAGTACAGAATGTGCAACTCCCAGAGAGTGAGCCTACAGTAGTCTGTCCCCTTGGAAAAACGCGATTCCGCGGTCGCGGCAAATTTCGCAGAAATTGCTATCATCCGCGGAAATCACGGAATCTACACTTTTGCCCGCGGAATTTGAATTTTTAGGGTAAATTTGTAAAATTACTACTCAGAAAGCAGCAGAAAAACTACTTCGCGATCTGTTGGAGCACATTATGCTCTTGCCAGTGTGGGTGAGTGCAGGATCTCCAAAATTCTTCACTCTCATGTCAGTTTCTGACTGCAAAGGATAGTGTGAAAAGTGCTCCTTCATGTCATATCCTCTACAAGGAGGGTGAAAACTTGCAGAAAGTGCCGCAGATTTTTGATTTTACCACAGAAAATGCCGCAGAAAACCCCCCTTTTTCCCCGCGGAATTTGCCGCGGAATTTTGAATTATTGGCCGCGTTTTCCCAAAGGGACAGAGTAGTACAGAGGTCACATGTAAGCCATACTGACCAGTAGCGACTCATCTTTGCTGCATCCTACAGTCCATTTCAGAACTATTGACGTGTAGTGTTTTTGAAATATTTCAAATTTGGCTGGAACTTTTTGAGAATAGTTTTCGGAATATTGCTCAGGTCCGCTCCACAACTCAGGTCCGCTCCACAATTACTCTCATGATTATAGTTTCTTAACGATTGGATAACGCCCAATTCGGAAAAAATTATGCACAAAGTGATCACAGATTTCATGTGGTATAGATGCTGGCACAACGGTTTTTGCCTAGGTACGCGTCTATAGTTTTGAAATAGACTGTACATCAGTTTACATGGGTTATTTTGCATTTCCAAGGTAATTTCAGTCACATTTTGATGGTAGTGCAAAAAAGAAAACGGACAATAGATGTAAAAAGGCGACGTGGAGACAATAATCTTTAATAATGCAATGAATATAACTAAATGCGCACTCATATCACAACCATGGGGACGAATTATGTATTCCAGAACGTTTTCTTGTCACAATTATCAATGGAATTCGTGACTAAAGAGAATGATGAAACTACAATCGGATTTATACACTTGGAGTGAAACAGCGAGGATACAAGCATAGTAAGACAATAGCACAAACCTAGGAACAATTTGCACAGGTAATAAACTATAGGTGAGGTGAGAAATGATAGGAAATTCAGCAAGTGCAGTGTGACAATGGACATGCATGTGCAAGTGTGTGTGAGTGCGAATTTACTGGAATAGCGTAAGTGCGGTGACATTTTCTTTTTGTTTACAAAGATTTGGATCACGAATGCGAATGTAGACTGCAAAGTTATGATGATTCTTGGTTCAGTGTTGTTCGTTCTGCAAGTAGTTTCAAGCAGTTGAAAGTTCTAGAAGCAGTCTACATTCGCATTCGTGATCCAAATCTTTGTAAACAAAAAGAAAATGTTACCGCACTTACGCTATTCCAGTAAATTCGCACTCACACACACTTGCACATGCATGTCCATTGTCACACTGCACTTGCTGAATTTCCTATCATTTCTCACCTCACCTATAGTTTATTACCTGTGCAAATTGTTCCTAGGTTTGTGCTATTTTCTTACTATGCTTGTATCCTCGCTGTTTCACTCCAAGTGTATAAATCCGATTGTAGTTTCATCATTCTCTTTAGTCACGAATTCCATTGATAATTGTGACAAGAAAACTTCTGGAATACATAATTCGTCCCCATGGTTGTGATATTAGTGCGCATTTAGTTATATTCATTGCATTATTAGGACAATAGATGATATGCCAAATAACGTGCAACTAGACTGGGGAGGGCATCGCACACAAGTTGCATAAAAATTATACTACGAGGTGAATAGCAATTTCTGGACATGAAAATAAAATAGAGGCCCACTGGCTGTGTGTTTTACATTTTTCATATCTTTTTGTATCTATTGTATGGCCTAATCCTTCATCTTTTCAAATATGTGACAATTGCTCATGCTGTGATCCCAGAGACTTTATAGCAGGATGTTTTCGACAGGCCAATTTTTTGGCCTAAATTTCAGTGTATGGAATTCTGGACATGAAAGTAAAATAGCGTCAACAGGCATCCTATACTGCACCATTTTTGTTATTTTTTCTATTGGTGGACTGCAGTTGGCCTCTTCACACTTCCAGCCAACAGGTCCAAGACTATAGAGCGTCTGAAGTGGAGTGCACATGGGAAGCCAACAATTCGTCCATTACTTCTTATTTTACTCAAAATTCAAAATTCTCATGCGACAAAGTACCACAAAACTCTTTGAAATGCCTCGCAAGAAAAGGCTATCAGCAAGGCACCGACACGAGGAGAAACTACAACAGCTCAGCTGTCAACTACAACAAGAAAAAGCTTCATCAACCTGACTGCCGTAACTCTACACGCGACGACAAATTATTTTACTCGAAATGTCCAGAAATGTACACAGGTAACCGTACAACTTTGAACTTTGTATGCAACTACTCTGCAATGCCCTCAAGTCTAGTTGCACGTTATTTGGCATATCATCTATTGAACCAAGGGAGTCGGTACAGTGACTTTAAGTCTTTACGCTGCAACTACGGCACTACAGAAAATCCCGGTATATAAATTCTAAATTCATGAAGACTTGCACAAAATATAAATTTCCAATGTGAATAGGACTACGCATCCAAGAACTAGATGTAAAGTTACACACTCTTACTTATGCCCCCATGTGGAACTGGCCCACAATGTGAATCGTATCACTGGAAAGTTTCTGCAACAAATGGTGCTGGTACTTTCACAAACTCTGTCCGCCAGGATTTAATCCTCTTCGGAAGTGAGTGTTGTGGATAAGTGGACCAACAGTTACTACAGACAACTACACAGTCCACACAAACTGCGCGCTGCGGTTCAAACCACACGCATGCACTTAGAACGGACTACTTGCTCTTGCTACACAGAACAGACCTCACTCGACAACCCAGGTTTCGTGCAGTGAAATCCTGTGAATGTGAGCTGCCTCTATAGCAAGAGAAGATCGTAGAACTACTACCTGTCACTGTTCACGTCATGCAAACCCACAATTGTTGTTGTACAAAACTACTACTAGTAGTTGAGTACTAGTATTGTAACCGGCGACACCACTAACCCCAACCGAGCAGGAACTACTTACAAAGAAAGCATTTCTGAAGGCTGCTCTTCATGTACAAGCCCGTTATAAAAGCCCCTTTCCACGGCACACTGCCAGGACAACAGTACTGAACCAAAATAAGCTTTGAACGTTCTTACCTGCTCTGACGAACTGTAGACGACTTTGCAAATAGTTTGAGGGAACTGTGCGTAATTATGTACGGCATGGCACCGCAATACAGTGCGCCCCAAAGGCAGCGAAGACAACTAAGCTGGCCTCCTCCAGCTCATTTCTTGCTGATAAGCAGCAATGGAATGGTCCACCCACACTGGCCACAGTATCGCATAACAACGCGAATGTATTGACTTGCAAAGGGCTTCTTACGGCCAAACAAGTCTTTTTACAGTGTGATGTTATACTCAGCGACGAAAGTAATGGCAAAACAAAGAAGAAACCAAACAGGAAGAATGAATGCAGCGAGTACACGTGTGGATGAAAATAGGCTTGAATAGATATGAAGCGAGTCGACCCTACCAGAGCTTTACTGACCACCACCACCACCACTACGAAGGCTACGCTACCCTGAAAAGAAAGACAAAATTCAGCAAAAATACTTCCCAATCGCCATTCAGCGAACTTGACTTCTGGATACAGCTCCTTATCCCGTGAGATCAGCGTCTTGTACATTTCATCATACGTAGTACTAAATGAGAAAACATTCGGCTGAGATGCAGAAGCACCTGGGATTCGGACATGGGTCCCAGTACCATAAGAACTGACTCGGAATCCTTTTTTACTGCAGAACATGAAAACAAAGGAACAAAACAATGAAAAAACACCCAAACGAACGGCGTTCGGTTCAAGACGTAAGCTTACCTCAGTAATAAGTGGGCTTCCATACTCCTATTTTGATTACTAGAGCAAACTACAGCAATCGAAAGTGACATCTTGAGGAAGAGCAGCGACAGGATCCAAAGAAATCTTGATCTCCAAAAAGCAACAGCGACAAAATTGATCCGTCCAGCAAAACGAAACGACAGCACTCTACTAGCCTCCACCTTCAGTTGTACATAATGAGCCTGCTGCCGTATGCGTAGTGCTGGTACGGCCGTACCGTAGAGCTACGGGCTCGATCGAGCATGCCAGCTAGCCAGCTAGCTGAGCGGCAGTCTCCCACGCATGCGTGCTCAGGAGTCATGTGACACGGTACTCGTCGCGATCGCGAGCCACCGCGTGTTGTGGCCAGGGATCTAGGGAGTAGGGCAGGGAGTAGTAGGTAACACAAGTGACTTGCAATCAGGGAGTAGTACAATAACACTTTGAAGTCATTGAACTGCTTCCAAAAGTTTTATCGACATCAACAGGATTACGATTTCACTACAATATGATGCCGGATGACCTTATCACGACAACCCATGACTACAATAAACACAGAATCAACAAAAACATCTGCGGCACGCACCTTGTTACAATTCTCAAGTAAATTTGATTTCGGGTGTGGACACCTGAATTTTCTGAAAGGGACAAGACAATTTTATGACAGAGTCATGAATTTCTGCAACATCCACAGAATGACCTGCGTATAAAAAAAGTATCACCGCCACTACCCATATGATTCCCCTGCAGAAGAACATGAATACATGTATGCAAGACTAGTTCCATTTTCTGCAAGAAAAGACTTGCACATCAATGCGTATACAGCTATTGAATTTGATATGATACACGTACATGTACATAGGGGCTCCCGGAAGAAGACCATAGTGTGGGAAACACCCTAGTAAAATAATAATAATAATAACATGTAGAGGCGCTACATGTAGGCCATCATTTATTTGGGCATTCCATTGGTGACACAGTTATATCCTTTAGCCAAAAAAACAAAAGAAATTATAGCAATAAAAACTGCTTTATGGCAGTTTTCTAAAAAAAGGTATTGTGTTCTAGTCCATGGACCCCGTCTAAAAAGTAAGAAATTAACGAAATGTGATAGCCGAAAATTAAAATTTCACACAAAACCTCACAATAATCACACACAGAATGCGAGACGACCTTTTCCCCTCGTGGTCCTCTTTCAATGCATGTACTTGTACAAGTACAAGTGTCGGAATAAACAAGTGTTGAAAGCCGTACTATTAGATCTTCCAAGTGTCTAGAACACAATAACTTTTTTTAGAAAACTGCCTTCAAACGACCCACGTGCCCTTTGCTAGGTTACGACCAATCAGCAGCCTCGGAGAGCGGGCTTTGATATTCCATCAAAGCCCGCTGTCATTGACAACCTGTACGAGAAAACCATCAAAGCCCGCTGCCATTGGCAACTGTACGACAAAACCATCAACTTGTGGAGTTGGAAATCTAGCTCCAGCACCGCAGAACTCTCAGCAGTATGCAGCTTGAGCAAGGCGTGTGTGGTGGAAGTGAAAATACTTCCGTGACTCTTCAGCCACGTCTGGCTCTTGACACGGAGTCCTGAGAAATTTCTCACGAAACACGTTTTACATTACTTTCCCTTTGCTGTAATCTCTGTGTGAAACTTACGAACGGGACGAAAACGACATGCACTTTAGACTTCAGGCTGCTCTGAAATCCCAAACGAAAGGCCGACATTGTCCACACTCGAGATCACCCAAAGAATGAAGCGAGTTTGATTCAAAATAAAAAAAAATGTTGGGGATCGTCTGAAGCATATTCAAGCGAGGTACAGTCGGGCTTGATGACTGATCAAAGCCCTCGGGCCCAGCCCTTGGGCCTACGGCCCTCGGGCTGGACCCTTGGGCTTTGATCAGCCATCAAGCCCTCTGCACCTCGCTTGATTATCTACATAAAGCAGTTTTTATTGCTATAATTATTATGGCGTCATGGTTATCATGACGTAGCTCGTCCACCACATAACAACAACATTGGCTGCATCACGACCACCGCGCCCTCCTACTCGTCGTCGCAGAGAGGTTAAGATGCACGTTATTTCCGACGTGACGCGCAATTTCACGTCAAATTTGGCGTAAAACTCCAAATTTCGACGTGAGCAGCAGGTCACTCGCGTTGATTTTTCGACCTGTCAGCAAATAACGCGAGCTGAACTTTCGCGTCACGTCAGAAATAACGTGCATCTTAACCTCTCTATTAACACTCGATCGAGGTCGTGCCTTTTTATTTTGCGTAGCTAGCCAGCCTTTGTTTTATAAATTTTATAATTTTTGGTTTCCTTTTCTTTTCGGTCAGTACTGCAGTGTATAGTGCATTTCACTTGGATTTGCAAGGCTCCTGTAGCTGCAGTAGCAACAGTAAAGCCTGTGAAGGAAAAGATTAGCCATGGCGCAGGCCAATCCAATTGAAATGGATCCTGCACCCCAGTACCTAGCCGACAGAATTGCTTTGTTTGATCGCTTGAAAGCTGACTCTGATGCGAAGCTTGCAGCGAAATCTCCTGAGCCCATCAAAGTCACTTTACCGGATGGCCGAATTATGGATGGCGAGAGCTGGAAAAGCACTCCTTACGATATCGCTGCCTTAATCAGCAAAGGCCTTGCCGACAACTCTGTAGTAGCCAAAGTCAACGGAGAACTATGGGATTTGGACAGGCCGTTTGAAAGCGATGCCACCTTGGAGCTGCTCAAGTTTGACGACAAGGAAGGCGAGCAGGTCTTTTGGCATAGTAGTGCTCACATGCTCGGAGAGGCAATGGAACGCCACTATGGTGGATGCCTATGCTATGGTCCTCCGATAAAGGACGGATTCTTTTATGACATGCACATGGGCATCGATCGGTCAGTTGTGGCTGGCGACTACTCCAAACTTGATACCCTGGTCAAGAAGATCTCAAAGGAGAAGCAGCCGTTTGTTCGCTTGGAGATGACCAAGGCCGACCTGCTCGAGATGTTCAAATACAATGAATTCAAGTGCCGCATCATCAATGAGCGCGTCACCACGCCGACTACCACGGTGTACCGTTGCGGTCCGCTCATCGACTTGTGCCGCGGTCCTCACGTGCGTCACACGGGCAAAGTAAAAGCCATGGCCATCACCAAGAATTCGTCGTCTCTCTGGGAAGGCAAGGCTGAGGCAGAGTCCCTGCAGCGCATCTACGGTATCTCGTTTCCGGACACAAAGCAGCTCAAGGAGTGGAAACACTTCCAGGAAGAGGCGGCGAAGAGAGACCACCGCAAGATTGGACGGGAACAGGAGCTGTTCTTCTTCCACGAGCTCAGCCCTGGCAGCTGTTTCTTCTTTCCCAAGGGTGCCCACATCTATAACACACTGTGCGACTTCATCCGTGCTGAGTACCGTCGCCGTGGCTTCCAAGAAGTCATATCACCCAACATCTACAACAGCAAATTGTATGAGAAGTCGGGGCACTGGGACCACTACGCCAAGAACATTTTCTCCTTTGAAGTGGAAAAGGAGACGTACGGCCTGAAGCCGATGAACTGCCCGGGCCACTGTCTCATGTTTGGCTTCCGTAGCCGATCGTACCGCGAGCTGCCGCTGCGCTTTGCCGACTTTGGCGTGCTGCATCGCAACGAGATCTCCGGAGCTCTGTCGGGCTTGACGCGCGTACGCCGCTTCCAGCAGGACGATGCCCACATCTTCTGTAACATGGAGCAGATCGAGGAAGAGATGAAGGGCTGCTTTGCTTTCCTGGAGCATGTCTATGGTGTGTTTGGCTTCACCTTTGACCTCTTCCTCTCTACACGCCCGGAAAAGTTCCTTGGCGATCCGGCTGTATGGGACCGCGCTGAGGACCAGCTCCGCAAGTCGCTTACTGAGTTCGTTGGCGACAAATGGAAGCTGAACCCCGGCGATGGTGCCTTCTACGGTCCCAAGGTCGACATCATTGTCAAGGATGCGCTTCGACGGGAACACCAGTGTGCCACTATTCAACTGGACTTCCAGCTGCCGGAACGCTTCAACTTGACGTACCAGGCGTCCGGCGATGAAGAGAAGCGCCCAGTCATCATTCACCGTGCTATCCTCGGCTCCCTCGAGCGCATGATTGCCATCCTGACGGAGAACTTTGGCGGGAAATGGCCCTTCTGGCTGTCGCCGCGACAAGTCACTGTCGTCCCAGTCAGCGGTCCCTTCAACGAGTATGCACAGAAGGTTGCCGATCGCTGCAAGGAAGATGGGCTCTGTGCCGAGGCAGATGTCGACGATGATACCATGAACAAGAAGGTACGCAACGCCCAGCTCGCCCAGTTCAACTTCATCCTGGTCGTTGGGCAGAAGGAACTGGACAACGGCACCGTGAATGTACGCACGCGGGACAACAAAGTCCACGGAGAGTTCACCGTCGACGACTTCCTCACCCGATGCCAGCAGCTCAAGTTCTCCAAGACGAACGATTCCGACTCCGTCTTTTCCGCCTAAATACCGCTTGGCCGTGAGTATGCCTGTCTGAAAAATTTTCTCAATTTTTTTGCATTTTGGGCTACATTTTGCATATTTTTTTGCCGAGACTCTAGACTTACTTAGTTGCTCTGGCCTCCTAATCACACAAATGGGAACACGTGGGTGTTTAGTTCTACATGTACATGTACATGCAGGTGTGATGATGTATGTGTAGTAGTAGTACATGTGTGGTACACACAGGTACTAGTATACATGGTATAGGTAGTATGCAAGGGTAACACAAGTGACTTGCAATGGTGAGAAAATGATTAGCTTTGCAGGCTTGTCAGGCAATATGCAATGTCAGCAAAATGGGTGACAAGATTATGATCATGCAGTGCATGCGTGTACATGTGACATGGAAAATGAGACTATTTTTGTGATCACCATGGCATGGCGGCCATTTTAGATTCTGGTTGCCATGGCAACGGATGCATTTTCTCTGCGTTCTGGGTTGTGTGGCTTTAATTTTTTAATTTTTTTTTACATTCCCCTTTGATTTCTTCTTTGAATGTTGGCTGGAAAACCGTGCATTTTGCATTTCCATTTTCCGAAAATTAAAACACATTTTTCGGACAGGCCTACAGTAAGATCGGGCGCCGAACAACGCAGGGGCTCGAGCGCAGCCTAGGAAAGTTCTTAAATTTTTGATTCTAGCCAGACCGTTCTTATTCACACGCGCGCGCGCGGCGAGTCGAGTGACGTCATGACGTTTGTCATGTACATGTACATGTACAGTCAGACCTCACATAACCGCACACATCCGTTTTCCACAAAAATATCCGGATAGGCGAGGGAACCGGATAATCGAACACACATACTGTATGTAAGCATGGCATATGCTGTACATTTGTAACCAACTATTTTCTTCCGGATGGCGAGGGATCCGGATAAGCGAGGTCTGACTGTAGTGCAATGTAGTACTTCTAAACTAGTGGGTGTCGTAAATGGGAATGACTGTACATATAGCAGTTACTGTTTACACGTGTACATGACATGTACTCACCTCCCATACATGTACAATGTAGATCTACGTGTAAATTCGCAACTTCGTGTAAGTACATGTGTGACAACGTACATGTAGTCGTAACTCGAGCTCAAAGCCGATCAGTTAAATACTGCACTCATGTGGAAATTCCAAATTTTAAAAGTGTTCTTAAATCTGATAATTCTAGCCTGGACTGTTCTTAAATTTTGCCGGTTTTCCAGCCTGGGTGTTCTTCGGCGAGGTGTTCTTCGGCGCCCGATCTTACTGTAGCCGTGAGTCACGAAAAGAGTGTGTGTAACGATATTTGTGTCAGACCAAGAAATATTGTTCATTTCATACATGTACGTCATAGTGCATGATGCATGATCTTTGTTTATTTTTTACACTCTTTAGAGCATAAAAGCTTGCGTACATGTATGTTCTCTGCACATTATGTACATAGCAAGGCATCAATGGTGCCCCCATCGCATTTTGTCAAGTCCCAGTGACTTATCAAGTGAAACTTGCCCTACTTGGATAGTGGAGCCTACATATTCCCTGCTAGATATTGTTAGCCCTCTCGCTTAGGATGAGCTTTCTTTTTTATGGCAGCTTAAGCGAAGGCTATATACCTGCTTTATGCAGGTTGATGCCAACGCGAACAAGCAAAACAATAATAATGATAAGATATTGTTAAAAAATGGAAAAATGCCGAGTGGTCAGCCCATTTTATATCGTTATAGTAGTAATGTCGTTATAGCAATATTGTTTTAAGGGTAAGGCATTGTATACAAAAAGTCAATGGAGTGATTTGGTTGGACAAAAAAATTCGTGATAGAGGTTATCGTTATAAGGGTAGGTCGACTGTATAAAGGTAACTGCTTCATTTTGAACATGATTTTTTAACAGTTTTTACATCATCAACACAGTATCCAGAGCATATTACATGTAGACGTAGTACATGATTGTTCTAAGCCCGCTGTGTGCACACTGCACAGCAAGGCATCACTGGTGCCCGCACTGCATTTCGTCCTGTCTCAGCGGATAATGAAGTGAAACTTGACCTCCCTGGGTAGTAGACTATGCATATTGATTACTAGTATTCCCTGCTAGATGTTATGAAAATAGAAAATCAAAAAAAAAGGTTGGTCAGCCCACTTTCTATCGTTCTTGGGGTTATTGTTGGGTAGGTTGACTGCAATGTTGCATTGTACTTGCGAAAACCCATGCAAATGTCCATAGGTAAATCAATGTACTGTAAGACATGTATATATAACGAGGAAGTAAATCTAACGTTTTAACGGATGACATTTCTTCGTTATAATAAGATCCGTTGAGGCCGTACTGCTTCATATATGCTGTGTGTGGATATGGCAGAATAATGCAAGATCGTTAACATATCTTCTCGTTAACCTATGAATTTTGGACAATCGTTAAACTTGCGACTCGTTATAATAACATGTCTTACAGTATGTCAACACGAAACCAGGCTTATCTGGCACCATGCCAGTGCATCTTGAACATCAGGCTTGTCTTCAAAACAGGGAGTAATACAATAAAAGGTATTGTACTACTCCCTGCTTCAAAACAGGCTCTCGAGATCTCTCAATATACAAGACACTACGGTATTCGGTATGCAAGTCTCAGCTGCACAGTATAATAATGCATGTAATTGTTACCGGGCTCTGTACTCGCTACTTTATAAGGCACTGGCTGTCGTTTTACAAATCTCACTGGTAGTATGACAGTATAACCTCATTACATTCTGGTGATAATGCACGCTTGTTATGGACAGGAGGTGTGCACGTCCTCTGGGGCTCTACACACAACCTATGGCCAACGAGGAGTTGTACCCAAAGTTGACAAGCCAGGTTGGCTAGTGCTTGAAGTTCGCATAATTCCCCAACTGATACTTTGCATAATTTATTATTATTAATTTACTGTTACCCCCCCCCCCCCCCCCCCCCCCCCCAGCACATGCCGCAGATCCTTGACTGAGCGAAACGCTCTTGCCAGTACATGTATACGGTATACCGCAATAGACTTATTAGAGTAGGACTACATAACTTGATCGTGTACTCCTGCTAATATCTGGAGCAAGAGTCGACGGTCCAGAGCAATACATCTCACAGTAGAGAGTCGGAACACAATGCCCATGCAGCTGATAAACCAGTATCAGTGTCAATGACAGAAAAAATGAAATAATAAGTTAAATAGTTTCCGTGGAGATAAGAATGATATTATGCGATTCTTTCCTAGAGAGACTGCACCGGTCAGATCTGCGGTGGATGAAGGTGGTATGGTTTAGAATTCTACAAACCCCTTGGCAATTGCGTGCTGTGTTGTTGCATGTACAAAGTAATACAGTTTGATGTGGATGTGCTTTCCGCAAAGCTGGGACTCTCATGGAGTAACGTATGATTTGAATGGCAAGCAGAACTTTTGTATTTTTGATATGCTGGATATGTACGGATGGAGCATGGAGTTGAGTAGTGATTATAATACTGAAGTCAAAGCTGCATCATTGCTGTAGCAAGCACGCCAACAGTAGGCGTGTATATCAGTTCTGTGGACTGCTGCTAACTTGGGCCTTGCAGGGCCTTGGGGAAAATGGCACAAACAAGTCTTATGGCTAGGTTTTGCGGACTGCTGGAGACTTGAACTCCTTCAAGACTGCTCTGGGTGGCTTGTGTGGCAGCTCCTGTAGTGGTGGCGGTGATGGGTAGCTTTCCAGCACATCGCACGCATGCTTTCGTTTGGCACTGGCCGACGTACCTCCTGCCGGTGACTGACGTGCCGCGTGCATGGTGCTAGCTGGCTCCTTGGCTGGGTCCTTCGCGTGCTCGGTGCTAGTTGGCGCGGGCATGGGCGTCATTGTACGCGGTCGGGGCAGGTCCTGACTGGCCGTGACCAGGTCGAGGGTCTCGTCTCTCAGCGCTAGCACGTCCTGCGCGCAGCTCGTCATTGTATCAACGTACTCTGGCGAGCTGCTGCTTCGCTGTGCGCGGCGGGCGAGGGAGAGAAAGAGCGAAAAAGGACAGGGGAAGAAAGAAGAGACAAGGATGGACCTCGCGGCACACATGTATTTTACAAACAGCCAAGTCTATAACAATACTCTTGATGCAGTAATATTGTACAGGATCAGCAGTGCTAGTCTATAACAATACTCTTGATGCAGTCATATTGTACAGGATCAGCAGTGCTAGTCTATAACAATACTCTTGACGCAGTCATATTGTACAGGATCAGCAGTGCTTGTCTATAACAATACTCTTGACGCAGTCATATTGTACAGGATCAGCAGTGCTAGTCTATAACAATACTCTTGATGCAGTCATATTGTACAGGATCAGCAGTGCTAGTCTATAACAATACTAGTACTCTTGATGTATCTATTATTGCACGATTAAAGAGGTCAATATGTATAGATTATAGACCGGTTAGGAGGTCTATACAGGATATATAGACCGAGTAAAAGACCGAGGTCCCCCGAGGTCTTTTACGAGGTCTATATATCCTGTATAGACCAACTATGAGGTCTATAATCTATTTATCGTGTTCTCCACGCAATAGTTTCTCTTCATATACGACATATCCTTGTAATTTTAGTATTATACTATAGCCTATACCGCATTGTACGGCATTGCAGGATCTAGGTTCAGCATCGGTAGCACAGTGGCTGGGTGGTAAGGAAGAGTGACTGAGATTCACATGGTTGTGGGTTCAAATCCCATCTTGTGTATTTCTGCTTTCTTCAAAAATTTCTTTTTCTAAGTTGGAGAGAAAAATTCTAAGTCCAAGAAATTCTAAGGAGTCAAATATAAGTAGTCAAATATATTGTGTACAGTCAGACCTCGTTTATCCGGTCCTCGTTTATCCGGATCCCTCGCCATCCGGAAGAAAATCGCTGGTTACCGATGTGCAGTATATGTTATGCATAAAAAATAACCGGATCTCGCGATCCGCATACCGGTGCATGATTTTGTGTACAAACTGGTTAAAATGTGTACAAAATGCTTCGTCGTATCCGGTTGCATGTGGCTGGCTAGCGCTTGCAGAAGCTAGTATCAAGGAGTTGTACAAGCAAATGAGGTCCTTGACCTGCTGGGTGTGTGCGGACAGCACTCAGTTGCATGCACTTGTCATTTTTCTTGCTTGTTTTACATACTGTGCATGCTAGTTGTACTGCATAGGACCTGTCTACATGTATGTACGATGTCACTGCTTTTGACATGCCACATGCATATACAGTATGTGTGTTCAGTTATCCGGTAACCTCGCCTATCCGGATGTTTTTGTGGAAAACAGATGTGTGCGGTTAAGCGAGGTCTGACTGTATTTGACTAAGCAGTCAAATACGCGATATATTTGACCGCTTATAGGCCATTCACACGACGTGCAAACATTTGCACACGTGTGATCAAGATAACACTGGCAAACCGTGATCCAGTTCACACGGTGCTGGGCAAACTTTGCAACCGTCAATGTATCCATAGTGACCCCCTAAAAATACCGGGAAACGTTAAATTTTGAATTTTCCTTTGTTCAAGCACTGCATTTGGAGTACGCACTTTCAACAACCGACACTTTTCCTGGCGTGCAAAGATAATCGCGAGCAAAAGGGCCTCGGCCAAGATAAAAAATCAGTTGCACGCGTGAGTCCAAGTTTATCGTATCCGAGTAAATATCCTTGGAGACAGTACAATAAAAGTGAGTTTGCACGTCGTGTGAATGGCCTATTAGGTATCAGGGAAATTAGTGGGGTCAAATACTAAGAAGGCGATAAATGAAATATAGAACGAGTAAAAGACCGAGGTCCCCCGAGGTCTATATTTCATATATTGACCGATTATGAGGGCAATAGATTTATCACGACATAGCATACCTAAACTGTTTTTAGCTTTGTTTATACAAGTAGGAAGAAAGGAATACAATAGTACATACATAGTATGTACATATGCCGTTTACATTGGACATTACTTCTCTGTAAACCAAAGTTTTCAGTTGTCACTTGTAGTATGTTCCCTAAGTTCTTTGACTGAGATTCTGACAGTTTGGGTTCAAGTCCCAGCATTTGGCTTCAGATTTTTCTTCTTTCATTTCTGATTTTTTTCTAAGTTGAGGAAAAAGTTCTAAGTCCTCGGGCTTAGGGCCTGGTCAGACTGCGGCAAAATCGAAATAATCCTAGGATTATAATCCGAATCTCCATAGTAACTTGCCGCCAGAGCGGCAAAAGCGGGAGTTGACGCTCCAAAAAAAAAGCAAGAACGGACCACGCTTTTCCGCTCCAAACAGGATTTGACGCTGATACGCCATTGACGCTGATAATCACTGATTTTTTCATCTCGATATCGAAGAGCTAATTGGCCACGGACAACAACAAAACTCATAAGGATGGTTGCAAGGATTGCACTGAAGGTGTTGGTGATCCCCAAGGTGAAGGAATTTGACGTCGTTCGTGGAGATTACCACTTGACGCTCGAAATGAAGTTTGAATTTTCACTCTCCCCACATGTGTAGTGTGATCGCGATTCAAATTCTGGACGCTGTTCTGTTTTCGTCAGGCAACCAAAATTTGCCGCAGTCTGACCAGGCCCTAAGGCCTCGGTCACACTACGGCAAAAATGCTGCGTCAGCGTCAGAATCATGAGCTTTTCCATGGCAACTGACGCAACGCGGGAAGTTTGAGCGTCAGACGCTGCTGCGTCTGACGTGGGGAAATCGGCTGCGTTGCCGCTGATGGGAGTGACGCTTGGCGGAAAAACAGTGTCTTTCAAGTAAAATAATTAGTTTCAAGACACTTTGCTTGAGTTGAGCAGTTATTCGACATTCGTCTGTTCAAGGCTTGTTTTGTTCCCTCTTTTTGTTCGAGATAAGTCCGTGGACCTACGAGGCCGAGGCTGCTCTGCTCCGAACCTGGCGGAAGAGCGAGGCGTTTTCTGAGAAGAAAATGATGTCGAGAAAGGACCAGTTGTTTGAGTGGGTCATCGGCCAACTGGAGCCTGTTGACTTGTGAGTGTTGTGTTGTCGTCAAGAGCCCCAAAAAGGACAACCAGTATGACGAAGTCAGGAGAAACACAGCTGCGATGCGGACTTTTCTTGCCTGATCAATGACACTACAACTGAAAATGGCTTCAAATTCGGAAAGAAACAACAACGATCGTGCACGCGTGGACCAAGTACCTTTCGTCTTCTTGTAATCAAAAATCAATGAAAAATTCGAAAACTTTGTCCGACAATTTTTTTGTATAATAAGCAAAAGGCCGGTTTCCGTGGGAATCCGTGTCGTCATTGAGTTTTCCTGGTGGTTTTGTGACGCAGACAAATGCGTCAAGCCGCGGCAGTCATGAGCTGCAAAAAAACAAAACACTGTGTGACCCCGCGTCTCCGTCAAGTGCTGCGGCTTGACGCTGCGTCAAGCTTCAAACTGCCGTAGTGTGACCGAGGCCTAAGGGGTCGTCCGCAATTATCGAAAGTTTTTTCCAATCCGTAGTAGCTTCGAAAGTGGGTGAAGGCCAGTTACGGATTGAAAAACTTCCGAAATGACACGTACGCGTGCCACGTGTACGTCTACGTGTAGCCCCTGTTTTCCACGCGCGGCTGCGCGCGAACTGTCTACTACAAATATTTTTGTAGTTCTGGCAGTTTCTGCGCCCCCGCGCGCGCTTCCTTGGCTGGTCCTGGGCCGGGGATCATACAGTTCGGCGCATTCGACGGCGAGTCGACCCTTCTATTTTTGAGTTTCACTGTCTCCTTCGTCCAGAGTACCGTCTTCCATGCACTCCTTTGGAGTCCTTCCGTCTAGCGCTGGCGCTGACGACTGTTATTGACTATGTCCAGACAGGCGACGTTGTTTGGAAAGGCGGTGAAGAAGCAGCCCTTTTTCAAAACCGCTGGTGACTCTGATTATTACAGAACAATAAATTGCTTGTGGCAGTTGTCCAAGACGACGAACAAGGATGTATTCTTTGTCGAAGCGAAAAAGGAATGGACGAGTATTGGGTTGTGTGTCCATCAATAATATTTTATTACGGACTGGGGGTGAGGAAAAATTTGAAGCTACTACGGATTGGAAAAAACTTTCGATAATTGCGGACGACCCCTAAGTGGTCAATAATAAGTGGTCAATATAAGCGGTCAATATTATGCTGATATTTGACCGCTTAGAGATCACACGTTTCTGTGGGGGTCAATAATAAGAGAGTGATAAGCAGTCATATTGTACAGGATCAGCAGTGCGAACAAAAAGAACAGAACAAATTCAAATTGTCTGTCTAGGCACAGGACAACATAGCAAATGTCAAGGACCAAAATACAAGCACGGTACACTCAGTGACAGAGTAGCTGTTCAGACCAGTCCAATGACACTTCACGACTGTGCGTGCCAAGGACAGAATTGGTGCCTCCAGGATTCTTCAAAGCGCGTATGTACACGTATGCCTCGGTTATGCGGACACCGAAGTTACGCGCACTTAGGTCTACCGCGCACCCTTTGGGCGAGTTTTAGTGGAATACTACTACTCTTTCGTTACCTTTAGTGGAAACAGTGACATCACAATGATCACATGACATATCTCTGGCTTTTAAAACGTATCATGTGATTCAGAGTTACACACATTTCAAAGTTACGGGCAGTGCACAGGTCTGGGCAAACGAGGTGTAAGTGTATACAGAAAACGGTGAGCGGCAACTGATCACACAGAAACCGTTCAACAACCTACCAGCTGCTGCAAGGCCTTGCGTGTACTCTGCTCGCGCGGGTTGCTGCTCAACGCTGACAGGTCGGACGTGCGAAGCGTGGGCACGCCGAGCTGCTGAGCACTCCATGTGAGATTGTACGCGCTGATCGTCTTGCCCACGGTCAACAGCTCATTCCAGGCAAAATGCTGAAAGGAGAGCAAAAATTGACAAACAAAACAGAATACCACTTCAAATGCTAAAGGGCAGTAGTAATTTCCTGCAAGATTATTACTTTTGGAGCAGCTGTATGTACATGTACACATACCACATTTTAATGGCAAGTGCTTGTGCCGCAGGCCAGATGATTTTGTTTTGATCAGTGAGAGTCGTTTTGTGATGGAGTTGTTCTGACCAGACCGAGAGGCTACTTATGATTCGCGTTAGAGACAAAGCCAGCTTGATCTAAGCGCTGCTGCACCAGCACGATGCATGTTCTTAGCAGAGGAGAGGAGTGCAGCCAGTACCCGGGGCGGTGAGTAAAGCAGATAAGACGGTACACTGAAGAACACCTGCGATGGGCAACACCTGCGATGGGCAACACTTGCGATGGGCAACACCTGTGATGGGCAACACCTGCCATGGGCAGGTGACACAATGGACAGCACCTCACCTGCAGGTCATTGCAGAGAGTAATAGCAACAAGCTGATGCTCGCTGTTGGCTAAAAAGGCGGTGGGATGGCGATCTGCATTGCTATGGCTGCAAGGAGAACGCAATGAACATGCACACAAACTGTCAGTTCATTGTTCACCATCAGTATACACGTACAAAACACAACAAAACTGGATGTGAGTGTTCCTTTAGAAGCGGTCAACAATCGCATTTAGGAACAGGACACCAAGCAACAGAACTAAAACAGCTGTGGCAGTGCAATGCACTTGGTGAGCTGCTATTGGGCGTAAAGCGCATCGGGTTCGAAGAGGCATTATCCAACAGTATCGGTGAAGCGATCACCAAGCTATTCTCCGTAACAAGTCTACACCCTTTGTCAATATCACCAAGCTATTCTCCGCAAACATGTCTACACCCTTTGTCAATATTAGAGAGGTTCCGCAAAACGCATAACTACGTTCGTAAAAACGTAGTCGATCTACGGAAAGTCTTACGTAAACTGCATGCGCATCTGTGTTCCGTCATACGGAGTTTTCAAATCACATAGCTGCTCTTGGCAACTCCGAACGCGGCAGTGTACGACCAGATCGACCTGGGGCGAGAGTCATAAATTTGTACCCCAATCCACTTACGGACCAGCTACGTTATCAGAGCCCTATCTACGTACTCTACACAGATAACTTTCCGTAAGTGGAGTGCAAACTCGCGAATTCACGGGTTTTCCCTGCCCACTAACGTAAAGTTGCTCAACTTTACGTAGTGCGGAACCTCTCTATTATTCCTTGTTGTCCTTGATCTCAGCACGGTACAACCTAGTGAAAATGAATACCGTATTATCTCTAATATAAGCACGGTCCTTTATTTTTTCGATGTACCTCCGCCCCGTGCTATTATTGGAGACGGTCCTTTATTGGAGACTGTTCCATTATTATTTCAACCTCATTTCAGAGGCTTGTTGCTATGCCAAATTCATGTATGACACACACATTTCAGGGTTTTTTCGCCGGTACAGATAATGAATTTACACAGTGTGCTTATAATGGAGACTGAGCACTTTATTTTTTGAATGCCGCCCCAAGGTGTTCTATTATTGGAGACGTGCTATTATTGGAGACTGTGCTTATATTAGAGATAATACGGTAGCAGGTTTCTGGTTGCATGCTTATGTAGCGGGCCGTGGTCTCTCTCTCGGAGGCAAAATGCACACGGGTCTCAGTGAACACACTGTTGTTTATTATTACTGACTAAACTGAAGACTACATTGTAAACTTTAACTCTGACTCTAACCTAACTGGCGTGTAACTCTAACTGGCGTCTCTAACTGTAGTGTAGAGAATTGTGAACAGCAGCTTTTATAGGCAGACAGCACAAGTGCTGCAACAGCAATGGTCACGGCAACGCTCAGCAGAGAGAAGAAGAAAGGTCAAAAGTAGGAGCGTGGGCAGCAGAAGGAGTCATTGCACAAGGAATGCCATTTGGTTCTACGCAGAAGAAGGAGCTGAATGCGATGTGGGCGATGGGCGTAAATGAAAGGCGGTTGAAAGTGAAATGCATCAAAACTTACACAAAAGGTCTAGAGTGTACATGTACTAGAAATAGTATTTCTAAGGTCATCCTAGTGTGTGGGAACAATACATGAACACAGTGAGACTAGTTACTATGCACGTCATGGGTCATGTCATGGGTCTGCAAGCACAGTAATAAGAATTGCAAGTGCGGGGTACGGGGTGCGGGTGCGGTGACCAATACATTGAAAGTGATTCACGCTGCAGCTGTGTGAGTTACCAGCGTGCCAACGCTACACTTATACCAATGTAGACGTAAAACAAAGAAGACCAGGGTCAAGCAAGCAATAGACTCACCTTACAGAGCCACTGGAAACGAGAACAACAATGCCAACGACATCAACCTCTTGAAACGGAGGCAAAATGGCTGCCTTGTATTTGTCCAGATCACCAAACCCAATCAGCTGCAGACACAAACCACATACAAACAGCAACTTGCAATGAAGACAACGAAAACGCCTTCATTGCCGCCATCATCAAAAGCAACAAAGGCAGTGCTATCACCTTCAGCAGCAGCGCCACCAACGCCGCTACTATCATCATGTCAACCATCACCATCACTACCACCAGTGACATCACCACCATCCCTGTCAGCCATAACCGCCAACACCAACACAACCAACATAAACTATACGCTACACCTGCACATGCATGTACGCACATATGCATGTACGCATATATGCATGTAAGCACGCGTGCATGCACACACAACGTCACAGGTATGCACACACATGCACATATATACACATACCCCCCCCCCCCAAACACACACACGCACACACGCACACATGTACACACACACATGCACACACACACACACACACACACACACACACACACACACACACACACACACACACACACACACACACACACACACACACACACACACACACACACACACACACACACACACACACACACACACACACACACACACACACACACACACACACACACACACACACACACACACACACACACACACACACACACACACACAAGCACAAGTGGCCCATCGGGCATTCACCATACCTGCCGCGGTATGTACACATCGTCTTTATACTTGACGACAGCGGGATCGGTGATGACATCATAGCGAGTTGTCCTGGTAACAGCCAGCTGAACCATACAAGTGCACAACCGAACAAGTCACCCTGAATAAGTCCAGTACACACCATTTCACGATGATGGCAAACTGTACCCCATTCCGCCCCTTAACCCTTTATTACCGGATTACTTGCACAGCATGAACCAAGATTACGAATTTCAGCACAATTTCCAACTTCACCAGGTCATAACTTTGGTCTCCTTCACTTGATTTTCACAATCTAGGGCTCGTTGGAAAGCTCTTGGCAAGAGCAACGCCAGGGTACCAAGCTCCATTATCTAGTCGCCACAAATCAGGCGCGGTAACACAGCAAAGTCGTCTCCAAGCCTGATATGCAAGCAATTTCGTCCCATCAACGCCATTCCACTCTCCTTCATCGTAGAACGCTCAAATTTGTTTGAGACGATTCAAACTTCAGCTGACTACGTCAATATCACGTGCTTAGTCGCTCAAAGAGCACAAGTAAAGGGATTTTCCCCAAAAATGGCGAAGTGATCGATCAAAAATTTGAATTTGCCGAGGTGAAAATACGGCGCGCGATATCTCTGGTGTCCGATATCGTAACTCTTCGGCGATTGTTGCATTGGATAGCTTGGAGTTTCCGCTACCAAATAGACCTTTCGATTGTTGAATTCGCACAAGAAATGATGGAGTTACGAAGATATTACTGGCCTGCAGACTTTCTATCATATATGATCGAAAGTCTGCAGGCCGGTAATAAAGGGTTAAAAAAGAACAGCAGGTGGGGAAATATCACAGATAGAAAAACACGCCGACTCTTTTGATTGCCCCTCGTTTAGTCTGAATACACACTGTTTCCGGGTCGGCAGGAGCGGCGCAACACAACAACAACAACAATGTAGAAAGGGGAAACAGAACACAACACACTGTGCACAATGCTGCATGGTGCTGCCTACCTGCACACTGCCAGCCATACGCCGACCTCTGTGAAAGAAATGAAGAATACAGATGTGCGTACACACATATACACACCCGCACATACGCTCGCGCAAGCACGCACACACACACACACACCCACACACACACCCACACACGACAATCACCACCCCAAGGTTGGTGCGAGGTGGCCTTTAACCCATCAAGCACGACATGAACGCAAAGAGCGTGCAAGTCTAGTACAGGACATGTACACAGTAAAACCTGTAACTAAAGACCACCGTGACTAGCGACCAGCCTGGTACTACCGACCACTTGGCCAGGCACGGACGGTCTCACATTCAAAATGCACTGTGACTAGCGACTACCTGCTTAACGCGACCAGCGACCGCCTTTTCTTGTCCCAAAGACGATTTTTGACCCGTAACTAGCGACCGCGATGTAGGAAATCAAATGTTACTCGAAGCTCCTTCTTGAAATTTTGCTGATTTTCCATGATCCTGAAAGGAATCTTTCGGTACTACAGCTGAACAAATGAACGCAGGCCATTTTGACTGTGGAGTCGATGGGGACTGCACTACACCTGTCAGAATTTCAAGCGCTGTCAAGAATAGACATGATAGGAAACGTCTTGGAGAGCTCAACGAAAGCGCTCTCTGCTCGATGTTACTACTCGGAGGACAAACGAAGACTGAGCGGCTTTGTCACCCCAGTCATACAAATGAATCGACGATGGCGTCAAGGAATCCAGAAACAAAGCAGCACCGTAAGGTCCTGATGCTGAAGGATCGCGTTCGAACAATCGAGAAATCACAACAAGGATAATTGGTACGATTGATCGGATGAACAAATTTGAACAAATTTGAAGCCCAGCGCAAAACGAAACTTCCACAGGGAACGTTTGACTCCTCGAATGCAAAAAATTTAATCTTCTCTCCCTCTCTCTCTTTTGTCTCTCTCCATCTCTCCGTCTTTCTCTCCAAGTGTTGTTTGACCTGAAATAAGAATGGCATTGCGCAAGTCCTGGGGAATTGTATTAGCTGCATTTTGATATGCATATCATATACTGGGATACATATATGGTCGCAAGGTGCAAACCTCTAACTAAAGACCACCTGCTACTAAAGACCGCTTTTGCTGGCCCCAAGGGGTGGTCGGTAGTCACAGGTTTTACTGTATCCGCTTTCTACAGGACACCGAGTCATTCACTGATGTTACGGAGAGCACGTGAATGTAAGTTGATTACCACACTAATGTACACACAGATACGCATAAGCCATAAGTGTGCACACATATATGCACACATATGTACATACAGAGAGAGAGAGAGAGAGAGAGAGAGAGAGAGAGAGAGAGAGAGAGAGAGAGAGAGAGAGAGAGAGAGAGAGAGAGAGAGAGAGAGAGAGAGAGAGAGAGAGAGAGAGAGAGAGAGAGAGAGAGAGAGAGAGAGAGAGAGAGAGAGAGAGAGAGAGAGAGAGAGAGAGAGAGAGACACACACACACGCATGCATCACTAACTTGGCATGACTAGCAGTAAGAGATGTGATGCGTAGGCAGCTGCCCTCAGCAAGCAGTTGCTCGACGTCTTCCGTCGGCCGCCACACCGACAGCATGGTGCCCAGACCTGCACGCATTGAATTATTTCATGAACACAGGTATGAAGGCACATACATGTATGCACACACACACACACACACACACACACACACACACACACACACACACACACACACACACACACACACACACACACACACACACACACACACACACACATATACACGCACACAAACACACACACACACACACACACATATCCATGAACACACACATGAGAGCCTATACGCACACATAGACATACACAATCCAACATGCCTAAAGTAGAGACACTCTAGCCTTTACAAAGAAGGATATTTCTCCAAAGGCTAGAAGCTACCACTTGTAAGTACACGCCATAATCTACAAATACAAAACAGCAATCATAAATATTCATAAGTGCACTTCGCTGCACACAAAGCCAAACGAGAGTGCAACATTTCAACGGCACGTGCGCTAACTTTTTCAGCCGCAGTAATTCCACTCAAACTCGTGGTGGGCACAGCAATTTACTGATTGTCCCAGCCAGCCCAACTGCATATCTTGCCAAACGTGTTACCTATGCTGGGACCATCTTATGGAACCAGCTCCCCGCTGCGGTCAGGCAAGAAAGAAAACGCAATCGCTTTGTCAATGGCTCTTGCCCTTTTGCTTACCAGATAAATAAGCCTTTTTACAAATGCTGTATGCACTGCTCTTTACGTTATTTTCTCCCTATGCGAGTCGCAACTCCTGTTTTGAGTTGTTTTTCTTCTCTCTTTTTCTTTCCCTCACTAGTGGGACCATTGTTATTAGGCTAGGGCCTGTTTTGGACTTCCCACTCTAAATAAAGAATACAAACAACAACAAAACAACACGTGCAATATACAGATATCTGTAACACTTGTCAAACTTCACAAAAATAGCATGCCAGCAGAGATCAGTGCAGATACTGTAAGGGGCCGTCCGTAATCATTGAACTTTTTTTTTTTACGAAACGAAATAATGGAACGAAATAATTTCGTTTAAAGTCAACAAATGTTCGGTGCATATTTACATGTATTTTCGGCTATTTTCGGCCTAAGATTTGCGCGGCTGAAAAGTCGTTTTGCAAGGCTTAGTGTGATCGTGTATACAGGCAGCAGCAGTGCAGGCTGAAATTTTAATGCGGCCGAAATGCGCTTTAGACACGGGAGGCCGAAAATTAAACGCGCCGACAATTTATAGACTCACAGACGGAAAGGCAAAAGCAAAATACAATAAAACTTCCTAGAGCAGCAGTTAGCATGCTTATTTGTGGCATGCATGTCTTACTTTCTCGCTGCGACGGTGACGGCTGAAGACCAACGACACGCACGGCCAGCACAGATGACACATTGCGTGTAGCACTCTGACCAGCATGATACAAGAACAAACAAACAAAAAATGTTTGAACCAGCTCTACCACTCGGTATTGAGCACACTCTTGGACAGCCTGGAACCTCTCTGTTTTACAAGAACAAACATAGACGTACATAATGTATGGCGTCAGGATATGCAGCACATGAGCGCATGTAGATTAAACTCAATAAACTGTTTTAGCATTTCCCAAATAATTGTAGCCGAGATACCGATTTGGGTGGAGGTGCATGATTATACAATGTGCGAGCAAAATTAAAAGTGGCTACAGTGGAGTCCAAATGCCAGGAGAAAATAAAAGGTGTGTAATCGCACTACATTGTACAACACCACCATTGGACCATTGGACGCCCATCGCCGGAGGCGATGATAGCGATGCTACAGCAGAAGCCATAGCAACTTGTGCTGGGATTGCACCATTCAACAGCTTGCAAGGCTGAAGAATTGACCGCCACTATTCAGCCTGGTCTACACCACACAGCTATGAAGTGGCTTTTTTCTGGCCAGTGAATCCCTACTTTTTGGTCTTTTTAATTTTTTCCCGCACACACATCACACCACTTACTCCGGCATGCACTGGCTGTTGGTAACCACCCAGGAGAATGAAAGAAAAGTCAGGAAGAGTCTGAGAAAGAGAAGAAAGACGCGTGTGACCATAATCGTCGGGAATCGAACCCGCAACCTATCGATTGGAAATCGTTGCACATACCACTGCACCATATGGGACACACCACACACACGCACACGCACACATGAACACACACACACACACACACACACACACACACACACACACACACACACACACTTGAACACACACCTGGAGCTCGCCGGCAAGAGAATCATGGATCTGGATGCGGCGTTTCTCACGCTTTTGAAGCCGAAACGCGTTCAGTGCCGCAAGCTGGCACTCGTTCAGGTCCATCTAGAAAAGACAACAGGATGATCAACAGAGAAGCACAAACGATGGACACAGCATGGCAGATGCTGCCCTAAATAGAGCTACACAGGCCAGATGCTGTATGCAGGCCTCTGGATACAAACAGTAGATACTACACTGTACTTGCTGCACATGCACAAGATACGTGTATGTCTCATATGCATGAGTGACTTGACCGGAAACTGTGCAAAGTAATCACACGGCCTGCTACACACTCACCAACATAGTAATACTTTGCACCACCACTAGCACTCTTGGGTCGAAATGTGTTTTTTTATTCAGTTGCACATGTGACTCGCCAGTCCCTCACACAAACTGATCATGCATATGTTCTGCCATGCAAACAATCTAGTACTGCACTGAATTACAGTGGCGATGACAAGTGAAGTCCGAAATCATGAACACACAAGCCGCCCAGGGACTGCACGTTTCTGGCCCTAACTAAGACACTGGGCTGTGCAGTGAACACCGCTCTGGTTTATTGATGAAGCCTGACTTCACTTGCCACCGCCGTATGTCTGCAACGTACGAGAAAGCTATCCGGGTCCGATGCCTTCTTGGAAGCACGGTAGAGTTGGCTGCCCGTCTCTAGTTCCGTCAGTCGTTCAGACATCAGACGACGGCGCTTGGCAAGGCTGGTGATGCCTGGCAATACAAACAAAACAAGACGTGCAACAAAACAAGTGCAGTTGCAGCATGAAGAAAAACTCTCTCCTACTCGTACACAAACAGATAACGGTCGTACACATTTATGCAGGTAAATTGACTCACCGCCATCCTCGTCTTCATCGTCGTCGTCCGACTCATCGCACTCCTTTAGCGCCCGCTCGTACGCTCCCTCCGCCAGCGCTTCCCTCTGCTGGTCATGCAGGCGTTTGAGGGTCTCTTCTGCTCGCGTGCTGCGGAAAATGCACCGTCCGCTCTCCGCCTCTCTTTCCATCCACTGGAGGAGACAAGTAACACATTGATGGCACTAGCTACGTTGGTTAATTCACACCCAACTGTATCTCCAGGCAAGAGCCTACTGATTATACTCAGCATCGCTATCAGCTTTGGGCTCTAGACAATGGGAGTTCTTCAAGTTCTCTCGCTGTCTTGTCTCATCGTCAGTGGTTAGGCAAAGCAGAATCGGCCACTGGGGAAGAATTGTCGGCATCTCAATCAACTTTCATGTGCCATGAGGAGTTCGATGTTCACACCAGAGGCGGGAGGGGGAGAGCGAGGGGAGAGCGGGCGAGCGAGAGAGAGAGAGAGAGAGAGAGAGAGAGAGAGAGAGAGAGAGAGAGAGAGAAGGGAGAAAGGTGTAATACGATTAAAGTACGAGCCAGGGTAATTGTAAATTAGTCAGATGTAATTTAGTTGGCAGTAAACACAACTCCAACATCAGGAGCAGCCACCTTTTTACAATGCAGTGCACGAAGGTAATATCGGCAATAGGCCAACGATCAACACAACAGCTTTGTGTTGATCAAGAACATTATCGTACACCAACGTAACATCGGTAATAGATTAACGATCAACACAATAGCGTAGTGTTGGTCAAGTTCCCCACTACGTACCAGAGTCGGGTATTTGCGCTGCACGACCACATCAATCATGGGCACTCGTCCACCGGTCGCCGACAGACCGTTCAGTTTGGTGCAGGTGAACGGTTGGGGAGAGCGGTGGAAGCCGAGCTTGGCATCCCAGCGAGCACGTCGTGTACTGTTCATACACAGCTTCAGGCACACAGTAGCTGGCGCCTGGAGGAATCAGCAAGAGGTGGCAAAGAATGGATGGAACTCCAATGTGTGCACATTCAAGCATCTTACTTTAAAAACGGGGTCTGCTTGCTTCAACTGCAGCATATCTATATACACTCGTGGTCAAAGAAATCCGAGCCACATGCCAAAGCAGCGCCAAGGCTCATGCGGCCCTCGGATCGGTTTTCGGAACATGCATGATGTAATTGAAATGGAAACGCGGCGCTACTTCTGACTCGCGGGTCGCATTTCCTTGGTCACGACTGCATAGTTCTAACCATCAAGGCTACCTTGTCTAATTGTCCGCAAACTCCAACGCAGCTACTTACATATTTAGAAAACTTCACTTCCAATTCCAAACTCCAAAAAAACGGTCTCTTCACTGAGATTAAAATTAAAATTTACATTACACCAAATTTGGCCCAATTCGTGCAAAACGGGGTTTTCGGGCAGGGCCGGACCGGGTGCTACGGCCCCGTCAGGTAACTCTCACCCCCCCCCCCCTCCTGCAGACGTCCAGTGCAATTAAATCATTCGTTGGAACTCCATAAAAGAAAATGAGCAGTAGATCAGTTCCCTGGCTTACTTCAAGCGGTGGCGTAGCCTGCGGTGGGTTGGAAAACTCAGAACCGATTAGAAATAGCTTGGTGCCGGGCCGAATGACGCGCCTGCGGACAAGAGCCAGCAGTGGTGCATCGAGAGTTGCCGGCATCTTGTACCAGCCGTCAGTCAGCTCTACGTGTGCCAGCGACGGTGGGTCTGTAGGCTCTGCAGTGCCTGGTGTAACCGCTTGGTCGCGTGTAGTCTGGACAATCAAAACCAACCCAACACCCACACCCACACAAACACACACACACAAACACACGTACACACACACAAACACACGTACACACACACAAACACACGTACACACACACCCACCACACACCCACACGTACACACACACCCACACAAACACAAACACACGTACACCCACACCCACACCAACACACCCACCCACAAGTGCGCATGCGTGGACACACATTAGTTCACACATATGAATATGCACACACGAGCACATACGCATGCACATGATTCAGCAGAGAACAGCGACCGTCACTCTCACATATTTTTCTAAACCCGTTGTAGAGAACACACCAATACCCAAACTACAGCCAGTACTACATAGCCGACAAACTGTTTAGATAGAGCATGAAGTGAGTGAAAACGCTAACTACCAGTTTGCATACCTTTGTGCCGGACTGCGCAGTAGCAGAGGCTGAAGCCGGCGTAGTGGCCATCCCGCCCGCACTGCGAGCTTGTTTCGTTGGCGTTGGAGTACCAACGTTGGACGAAGGCGTCTGCGCAGAGCTGGCACTAGCAGGAGTAGCGATACTAGTAGTGGAGGCACTGGCAGCGGTACTGGTGGCAGCAGGGAGTATGCCGGAAACACACAGCACCATTGCTTGCGCAGGGCTGTCGTCCAGTTCGAATATCTTCTTCAGAGCGGATCTGGTGCACGGAGAGCACAACGACTGCATCATTGGCACAGAAAGCATAGCAGTGTTCTCCACCAACATGCATAGCAGTGTTCTCCACCAACATGCATAGCAGTGTTCTCCACCAACATGCATAGCAGTGTTCTCCACCAACATGCATAGCAGTGTTCTCCACCAACATGCATAGCAGTGTTCTCCACCAACATGCAAGCAGTGTTCTCCACCAACATGCATAGCAGTGTTCTCCACCAACATGCATAGCAGTGTTCTCCACCAACATGCATAGCAGTGTTCTCCACCAACATGCATAGCAGTGTTCTCCACCAACATGCATAGCAGTGTTCTCCACCAACATGCATAGCAGTGTTCTCCACCAACATGCATAGCAGTGTTCTCCATCAACATACATCACCAGTATACATGTACACAGTCATGCAAGGCTTAGAGCTTCAACACGCCGACACGGAATGTGCTCAAATGGAACTACACCAGGGCTGGTACTGGGATTGCATTGTTCAACACACACACCCACACACACACACACACCCACCCACACACACACACGCACACACACACACACACCTCAGACCTCAGACCTGCCCATCGCGGAAGCGATGATAGCGAACAGCTACCGGTATGTTAGACATAGCAACTTGTGCTGGGATTACACCATTCGACAGCTTGCAAGGCTGATGAATTGACCGCCACTATTTTGAGCCTGGTATCCACCACACAGCTGATTGAAGTGACTTTTTCTGGCCAGTGAATCCCTATTTTTTCATTTTTTACACACACACACACACACACTCCTGATCACACACACACAAACAACGCATACCTCTGAGCGCGGTCGATCTCCCGATCATAGCGGTACTTCAAGCGCAGCAGAACGTTCTCCGGCGTTAGAAGTCTACAGCACAGGTGATAGAAATCACTATTGAAGAATGATCCTGCAATACAGTGCTGTCTAGCACAGCTCCAGAATCAAATCACAATTGCGACAAAGGAAGTTCCGTGATACGCACAGGAATTGGCAAAGTGCACCCAACTCTAACAGTCATTAGAATAGAAATGACTTTGGAAACAAGTAAAAGCACTCTTCCTTCATTGGGTGCACTAGATTTGCCAAAGAAAGAACACCTGTGAGGCTGTGACCTATATGACTGTATACTGCTCACCAGGGAGTACTAAAAAAACGTTTTTTTAGTACTCCCTGTTGCTGAAGATGCAAGTAACCCTATCTGGGGTCATGCCCCAAGGCACAAATAGTACATGTACATGCATAGCTTTAAAAATAAAAAAATTATCACTTGTACCTTCCGCCAAGCTGCGATGCAGCAGCCACTTCTTGAGCTGCCAAGCTCCAGACGATCCATCGGTAATGGTTTCGAACCCAGGCGTCCGATACCAGCCTCTTATCCACGCCAGGAGTGCTGAAGAAGGCCCTGTACACATACGCATACACATGCACACCCACCCACGCATGCACCCCCCCCCCCCCCCAACATACACACACAGACACACACAGACACACACACGCGCGCGCACACGCACAGACACACACAGACACACACACACACAAACACAGACACACACACACAAAGACAGTGAGTGCTACACGTACAGATGGACTGTTATTCTTCCACAGTATCTTTGTTCATTCAGCGTTTTGACTAGGCACAATCTGTCCATTATCAAACCAATATCACGCATAGAACAACTCACTTTCCGATGTCCTCAACGCCAACAGTGTTCTCTGTAATCTCCAGCCAGCCACCATCTGCTAGACGAATGCCTTTGTCCTGCTGGCATGCAGACGAGCTGAAGAAGTTGCTCGCCGTGAAGCGGAATGCTCCGGCCGACCTGCTCGAGACGCTCAAAGTCTCCTCAGAAACACCAAACATCAGTAGCTGGTGTGATGTACAGCATGGGGCACAGCACACGGCACAGAACAGAAAGCACAAGTATAAGAGAAGCTAGTCCTATCTGCTGATAATAAACACCCCCAGACACCCCCCAACACACACAAGGTCACAAGGCAAGGCAGCGGCATTCAGCAGCCCACACATCTGCTACTTCAACAGGAGACAGCCACACCAAATACAAGACCAGGCACTACAGAACCTACAAACTACACGGCTCTCGCCAACTCTTTAGGTTAGATGGTGTTCACATGTACATGGGGAATGAAGAGCTAGAGACCAAAAGCAGATGCCGTACATGAACGCATGCATAATAATGCCAACAAGGAATAGTCACACACACACACACACACACACACACACACACACACACACACACACACACACACACACACACACACACACACACACACACACACACACTACCACCCACAGCAACACACACGAGTGCATGTACTGCAATAACTGCACACAAACCTCGTCTCTGGTCTGAGGCTCTGGCGGCCCACCGGACAGAGATGCGAGTCTGATACGCTGCCCATCTTGCCGCGCCTGCAACAGACGACCAATCTGCGGACGGCAGCTCCCCTTGGACGATGTCGCCTGCAAGGAAAGACAGAAACCAATCGAGTCAACTCACAGCTGGACTATAGCGAGAAGAAGTAGTCTCGGTCTATTGGAAACATGTAGCGACACATCATGTGACTTCAGTATAGCGTTGCTCCAAGGGCCACACAAACTTGTACATGAGAGCCACGGTAATCCATGCTTGCGGCCAGGTGACTGAGATAGCATAGGCAGGTGACTGAGATAGCATAGGCAGGTGACTGAGATAGCATAGTCAGGGTCCAGAAAAATAGAACAGTGTAACCCACACAGTATGTATCCAGAAAGGATACAAATGTACGGACTTTTCAAGGCACGGACTTCTCCTCATATAAGGTCGTATAAAAATCCATTCGCACTACAGGTACTCTGATAAGACGTACACATTGCGCATGATGTACCGCTCAGCCAGTCACATGAAAGGGTGGCCACGCACACCACACACAACTATTCTCCACGTTATGGGTACTGTAATCCGTGAAATGTTTGCGCCGGGTTTAGTTCGCAATTCGCAAGCAACGGACAAATTTGCACGTGAATTGGAGTCAATTCCCTTAGTTTCTTTACTACAGTTCTTTTACGTTTCGCATCGGCTTACTTTTGAGATTTAACACCCCATTGCGAAAATCACGAAGGATTCAAGATCGCAACGGTTTCTGGACTTACAGTACCTGCCATGGCACAGTGCACATATCACCGAAGTGCATTAATAGGGTGACAATGGCAAGTCGTCTGAACACTGGGACTGGTACTGGCACTGGGACAGCACTGGTAGTGGAGTTGAACACTCTTGGTCAAACGCCCATGCGTGCCGGAACGGATCCAGACAGACATCGGTACACACCAGAGACACGGGGCAAGCGTTCAAAAAGAACAAACCTGCTGCTTGCTGTCACCCGCTGCTTCGGTCGGATTGGATTTGGCTGATGATGATGATGATGATGATGGACGGTGTATCGCTGCCTTGTCTGGATGTCTTGGTGTCACCTGGCGGAATGGAGTGTTGAACGGAGATTGGCCGGCTACACCATGCCGTCGACTCACATTGGAGATGTTTGACAGGGCCGAAGAGGAGGATGATGAGCTAGCACCGCGCCTGTTACAGTAAATACGAGTGTACATGCACACATACACACATACACAGTCATAGTTTAGCAAACCAGACTGGGCCAGAGTTGGCACATACTTCGAAGTAGTTTCAGCTGGCTGGATACCTGTAAAAGATACCAGTCGAGGCGGCTACAATCTATGCCTCTTCACACTACATGCTAGTACATAGTCCATGGCATGTCGTAGCAACGCTCCAATAGCAGCATGCCGGTGTCATCAAAATCAGAGAGAGAGAGAGAGAGAGAGAGAGAGAGAGAGAGAGAGAGAGAGAGAGAGAGAGAGAGAGAGAGAGAGAGAGAGAGAGAGAGAGAGAGAGAGAGAGGGGGAGAGAGAGAGAGAGAGAGAGAGAGAGAGAGAGAGGGGAGAGAGAGAGAGAGAGAGAGAGAGAGAGAGAGAGAGAAAGAGAGATCAAAATGCCCACTCTAACTGCTGGTGACCAATTAGCAAGGAAAACAACAATCTGTGGTTCAGGTACAGACCGACTGTAAGCGGGCCGATGTGCTTACGATTCTCGCGGCAGACAGCGCTGGGGAGTCATGCGCGACAAACCGATGGCACGATCGCGGAGGAACTCTGCAGACAGCAACACAGGTACACAGGTAGTCAGCAGAGCACTGTGCCACATACTGAACTACGAGTGTTCTGCTTCACACGTTTCCTTTCCCCTAGCATCACTGCCTGCTGATGTACACAGTTTCTAAGTAACAATGCACATTACAGTGGCAGGACCATCATCGCTAACAACATTATTTGATAGGCTGCATTGCCTTGCATCGACGGGGCAGTGTAAATAAGTGCATAAGACTATTTCAGAAGAGATATATGTGTGTGCCTGTGGTGCACACAAGGTATGTCAAACTGAGCCATATACCTGATGGGGTACTGCGGCTAGGTGCCAGAGACTTGCGATGTGATTTCATGGAAGGAGTCGTGACCGGTGCAGCAGCAGTAGGTACTTGATCTGATGTTTACAAGCGTGTAAATATGCACACACACACATGTGCAGACACACACATGTACACATGCACACACATGTACACATGCACACACATGTACACATGCACACATATGAACACACACACACACACACACACACACACACACACACACACACACACACACACACACACACACACACACACACACACCTTGTGATACGCAATATTGATGGTAACAGCACATGATTTATTATGCATCACACGGCGCACACTTGGAGCCAGGGAGTAGTAAAATACCGGTATTTTACTACTCCCTGCTCGAAGTATACCCGATGTAATAGTAAACTACTACTCACGGGTCGCAGAAAGGCGGGAGGTAGCTAGACTGGGGAGGGTGGAGTGCCTTACATGTATTAGTACTAGCAGATGTGCATGCCTGGCTGAAAGCAAAAGAAAACAGACTCACCATGACCACCGTGCATCGCCATAGTGCTAGCATCCACACACGGGCTTCCGCAGGCACCACCGCCACCGCGTTTGTCCGTCTTGAGCGAAGTACGATGAGAGCGCGTTTTAGGAATCACGGGCGTGACCGCATCGCCGGAGGCAGCAGTGGTAGCAGTTGCACTGCACGCTGACGCCAGATGCACGCCGATCTGTGTCGTGGCCACGCTACTGCGCACCGAGGCAACAGGCTGGCGCGGTACAGCACTGCCAGTTGGACTTCGGAACTGTTGTTGACCAGTGGCAGTGCCGTCACCGCTGCCGGACTGCTGGTGAGTTTTGGCATCTTTCCCAGCATCTGCTGCCGTATCATCCGACCAGAAGGACTTCGCGAACGCCATGGACTTGTCTGAAACGCCTACGGCCTTTCCGGCCGCCGTGCTAAATGCAAAGGAGTGTGACGGAGGACGACTCGCTTCAGAGTTTGCCTGCAAAGCGGCCTGTACGGCGGCCAGCGATGCCTTGTTCACAGAAACCTCTGTACCCGATGCTGTGCTGAATCCGGGCATTACAGCCGGCTTGCCGTTCTGGTTTCCTGCAGTGAACTGAGCAATAGCAAGTGCGTGTGGTGAAACATCTCGCTTGTCTCCGTCACCATCACAGGCGTCGTGCTGACTGCGAATAAAGTGCAGGGATTCCTGCGAGAGGAGCACCTTGCCACCACCGGCCGTGCTGAAACCAGGCATGAGTGGCTTGGACGATGACTTGCCAGCATCAGCGAGCGTGCCATCATGCCCGGGTGCTCTGTCGTGACCTGTGAGATCATTTCCTAACATTGCACATGCCACATCCAAGCTCTTCTTATCCAATGCAGGCACATCAGTACTTCTGGCTATGTCGGTACGAACGGCGGACTCATTGGGCCCCTTTCCTGGCATGGTGCCATCGTGCTTGCGACGTTTCGACAACGGCATGGGACTGTCGCCAAAGAGAGCCCGGGCTGTATCAAGCAGCTCGCTGGACACAGAGACACTTTTGCCAGCTGCGGTAGTAAACCCTGTCGTCATGGGTAGCGCTGAATTGGATGATCTGCTGGTTACACTGCCGCCATCTGCATCGTCATCGGAGATCTTGGATGCACATTCATTTGCCTTCCGCGAGACAGCCAGTTCGCTGCCAGTTGCACTGTGGAAGGCAGTCACACATTGCTCGCCAGTGGTGGATGACTGATCGCCAATCTGTCGGGATGCATCAATGTCATCGCCGCCATCATCGTGTGCTCGCTTTCGAGCAAGAGCCAGCGACTTTGCGGAGATGGACACACTTTTCCCTGCACCGGTCTTGAAACCAGTCATAGTGAGTGCATCAGTGGAGTTGGTCACACTTTTCCCCGCACCGGTCTTGAAACCAGTCATAGTGAGTGCATCAGTGGAGTTGGTCACACTTTTCCCTGCACCGGTCTTGAAACCAGTCATAGTGAGTGCATCAGTGGAGTTGTTCATTAACAGATTAGACGATTTTGACTGCTTCGGCAATACAGTAGGAGCGGCTTCCGCTATCGATGGCACATCCTCACTGTCATCACGAGCCCGCTTTCGCGCCAGAGCCATGGCCTTTGCAGATACAGACACACGTTGACCTGCACCGGTCTTGAAACCGGTCGTAGCCAGTCTGCTTCCTTCTGGGCTAGCCGAGTTGGGATTGAGTGGCATTTCAACTGAGCTGGTGCCAATGGCTGGTAGTGTGTCCTCGCTGGTATCATCGCGGGCTCGCCGTTGAGCCAAAGCCAGTGACTTTTCCGACACAGACACACTCTTTCCCGTGCCAGTCTTGAACCCAGTCACAGTTAGCATGTTGGCAGAACTGATGGGTACCGAGCTGGGACTATTCGACACGACCGCTGTTTCTGTGGCAGTGGATGATGATTCACTCTGGGCCCTAACGGCCTGCGGCTGCTTTTGAGCGGTCGGCGTCTCTGAGATGGACACGCTCTTTCGTGCAGGGGCATTGAAGCCAGTCACTCTTGGTCTCTTCAATGATGGGGTAGTCGAGCTGGGACGTTTTGGCGTAACGACACCAGCAGCTGCTTTGATGATTGGCGGCAAATCGTCGCCACTATCATCGTGCGCCCGCTTTTGAGCAAGAGCAAGCGACTTTGCGGACACGGACACACTTTTCCCTGCGCCGGTCTTGAAACCAGTCACAGACAGTGTACTAGGTTTCCTTGGCACTGGGCTAGAGGGTGCGGGATGATTCGCCGGCACAGCAACAGTAGCTTCAACAATTGGCGGCACATCATGACTATCTTCGTGGGCCCGCTTTCGGGCCAAAGCCATTGCCGTTGCGGACACAGAGACACTTCTCCCAGCGCCAGTCTTGAAGCCAGTCAAGGCTTGCGTGCTTTTGGAGTTGTTTGCTGGTGGAATGGACACATCAGGACGATCAGTGCTGTCTTCATCGACTGGTGGTATGCCGTCGCTATCCTCATTTGCACGCTTCCGGGCCAGCGCCATGGACTTCTCCGAGATAGATACAGCCTTTCCGGCTGCAGTTTTAAAACCAGTCATGGTAGGTATGGTCGCGGAACTGTTCAATCCTGGGCTACTCGAGCTGGAAAGGATCGGCTCTACGCCTGAACCAGCGCCAACGACTGACAGCATGTCTCCGATCACCTTTACTTCAGCAGCTGTGGAGTTACACGCAGCTTTAGTAGGATAGTGTGACTCGCTTTTAGGAGATGAGTAAGTCTTAGATAGTGATGTTTCCATCTCAGCAGGTGGCAATGGCCGAATGGGGGCATCTACCTTGCAGTCATCATCAAGCGGGCTTTGAGCACAGGCTACTGCCGGTGTGCAGGTACTTGTGTCAGACACACTAGTGAAACCAGGCGCAGTGAGTTGCACTATCTTGCCTGAGTCGTCCTCGGTATTTGGCAGTGCCTCCCACGCGACGGTAGTCGTAGCGACTGCAACCACACTCCGCTGGTGTGGCGAAGCCGTGGACGACCTCTCTTGTCGCATCGGTCCTCCAGCCACGGCCGTGGCAATGTGCCAGGGCTGTTGTGCCGTGCTGTTGTCTGCAGCATGCACCGTCGCTTCGCTGCTGTGCACTAACAGCTGCCCGCCCATCATCACGGGAGAATGCTTCAGTATGCATGCAGGTGATGCTGATATAGCGCACCTAGCATCACTTCGCACAGCCGCAGAAGCGCACACAAGAATGGGTGACACTTCTCCACACGCCGGACTTGTTCTCTTGCTACTAGCACTGAGCATGTCGTCCTCGGGTTGCTCATCGTTCGTCGTATCTGCTTGGGCAATCTCTGAGGATGAAACGCACGTGGATGTGGCTGCCTTGACCCGTTCTCGCTCAGCCCCGCACGCAGCAATGCCAGACGTGGCCGAATGCGGTGACAACACTTCATGATGGACGCTCGTCACGCCATCAAGCTCAAACTTAGCATTTCCTACGCCAGACTGGAGTGGTGCAGGTGTATCCGCAGGCCGTGAAGCTTGTCCTGAATCACCAGTGACATGATAATCACCCACCCGTGGTGACGCATCAGCTCCAGTGCTGTCACGCTGAACAGTAGAAGTTGCAGAAGCAGCCGCAAACTCTGAACCTCCAGCAAACTGCAACACTTCCACATCAAACTCCTGCAGACGCGCAGCTGCAACTCCGAGTGATTTCCTGGGCGCAGATAACACTGCGCCTCTGCCAGTTGAGAACCCAGTTGCGCATATGCCTTCCTTGCTGTCAAGCGGTGTCTGCTGTCGCTCACTCACAGCTGGAGCGGCACATGGAGACAGCGGCATAGAACTGCTCACGGCCAACTCAAGCACTGAGTCCTCCAGTTGGACATCTGCTTCGATGGGAGCCATTCCCTCATGCACTGTGACTTCATCCACACCGTGTACTTGCAAGTCAGTCCTCTCACTCTGAAGAGCAGACGCATCAGTCGTTGCCGTTCGCACTGGCTCCGGCATGCACGTCTTCGCAGGAATCGTGGCACACTGTTCAGGCTGACCGCAGTCCGATCTGCTTACTCCATCGCTCTGCATCGCATTCCGAGAACCCGATAATGCAATCCCAGGTTGCGGTGCAGTCGGTTTCTTCGCAGAGCCACGTATTGAAGTGTACTGAGGATCGCTCCAGACGTCATCCAGCACGTTGCTTGCTCTCGCGTACGCCTTGGCAGAAACAAGGATGGGAGAGCCGGCGGCTGTAAAGAACCCGGCGCACACCGGGCTCAACCCGGGCTGCAACGATTTAGCCGCGCTGCCCTCTGCGGACAGCACGCTGGCAGCTCCACTATCACGAACTTTAGCTGCAGGGGAAATCCCCTCTATGCCGCCTGGCTGCTCGTGTTTTTTGCACGGTGCAAGAGGCGGAGATGGGCGACTACTCGACGCAGGGCTGTCCGTTGATTCCTTCACAGTAGATTTCCCGAGGGCACCGCCAGGGAGGCCAGAGTCGGGCTGCCGGTGAGCGCTCGCATCGAGCAGCAGCAGCGGTGAGATGGAAGACCTACCGGCCATGCTTGCAACGCCGGAGTCGTCCGCATCTGCACTGCCCTTGGCCGAGCGGTATGCATCTTGAAGTGGCAGCTTCGGCAGCACATCCACTTTCTGATTGGCATCATTAGCGGAAGCGGCGGCCATGTCCAGTGCTTCGAGGAATAGATTACTATTCATCCCAGATTCATCCAAATCACACGGCTGTTCCTCTGCGAGACCGGTCAGTCCCCGGGGCGGCTGCAGGACGGGAGAGCCGAGGTCGGTGAAGCGGCTCGGCGAGCAAACCCTGGCTTTGGCGGCAGGAGTGCGCTGAGCGTTGGACAACGCATGGCCACGCCTGGCGCCGATTTGTGCATTGCCTGGGCACTGGACTGGCGTGACGCTACCAGTGGCATGCTCATCATCCCGCACGACATTCTTTCCCGACCCGTCATCCATCATTGAGCTACGCACGATGCCTGCATGTTCAGGAGAGAGAGCATGGCTCTTGCAAGCACTGGGTGAGATAGAGACCGACTTGCGCCAACCGTCCTCCACATCATCCGATGAATCCAGCTTTGGGTATGCAACACCTCCCGACATGTTACAGAACGCTGCCTCGGCAAGACAAACCTGCTCTGCCGTGGAAGGTAAGCTAAAGCCCTCGGTCTCATGAAAGCACTGCTGCTCCTCCTCGGTTGGTTGTTGCTCTGCCGTTGCAGTGGAACCACCGGCCTTAGTATCACTGAGGAGCGGGTATGCGTCAGAAGATGACTGGCATGCAGTGGCAATGCTATCGGCAGCTACGACTCCGTCAGTAAAATCCTGTCCCGCGTGTGAATTAGTCGCCGGCGGTGATCGTGGTGGACTGTCTGTCGCTTGTCCGGTTAGCATATCCATCAGGCAGTCTAGAGGATCAACAGCACTGGGTGTGCGTTCACGCAGCGGGGACAGGCACTCGTCCAGTGCCTTCACGCTAGTGTGCTGATTCTCATCGGAACACTGCTCGATGGCAGCTCTCACTGAACCATGGTAGTCATTCTGGGCAACACATCCATCTTCATCGCTATCTTCGCTGCGAGTGGATTTAGATGGTGATTGAGGTGCTGAAATCGATGTCGATTGGACAGGATGCAGGGCACAGCTTGTAGATACTGAATTTGACTTCTGGCTAACACAGGTGGAGAGGTCTGCCTTTGGGACGTGACACACGGTACTGCTGATGGCAGGTTGTAATGGCTGAACACTTGCAACAACACTAGGGAGTGAACTGGATTGGGCCTCTGGCTCGGGGCAAGTGGATTTTGCACCGCAAGTGTGTTGACTCGCTGCCGTATACGACGCCCGAGGAGACGGGTTTTCATGTAATTGGACTTCCGCGTCACTGTGCGGAGACCCCATGCCTTCGAGAACGGCTACAAGTGCCTCTTCATCGATTGAATCACTCATTCTATGTGCAGACGGTTGCCACACGGGATCGGCTGTTCCACCACGACCAGTCCCTGCTGCTGGTTCACTACATACTGGCAAAGCCGTTTCTGGGTTTGCTTCCACAGATGGTGATGGCGGTACTCTCGGAAAGCCATCCCTGTTGATAGTCACTGATGACAGCCCAGCAGAGGCAGTAGCAGCACTGGAATGGGCACCGGATTCCATCAGATCCTGAGCAGACGTCGGAGAAAACGGCACGGACACGCACGCGGCCGACAGGTTGTCAATTTCCTGATCCGTAAGAGCGAGTGGGCTCGTGTACACGCCAGTCTCCAGAAGTTTCACGGAGTTTTCCGGCAAGGGAATGCTTTTCACACCGACTTGATGAGCAGTGTCTGAACTCGGAGACGATACTAGCTGCGGTGCTGGGCGGGGTGCCTTGAACGAGGCCGTTTCATGCCGAATATGTCTTGGTGTTGACATTGTCTCGCTCGATTGGTGCTTGGGCTCAGCAACAAGGCCGAGCTCCTCGTCAACATCCTTCAGTATCTGCTTGGCTTGCTCCAAGCCACGCTCCGACACGACGGCCGAACGTCCAGACAGCATACGGAAGGTAGCAACTCCAGTCTTGTTGCTGGACTGGACAACGCGACATGCCGTGGCGGATGTTGCACTGTGGGCGACTGGAGTAATGGGAACAGGGACACGTTGCTTGTCATCAGCTGTAGTACTGTGGGAAGTCAAACACTCTCGAGCTGCAGGAACGCGTTGCTTGTCATCAGCTAAAACACTGTGGGTGCCTGCAGTAATGGGAGTAGGAACATGTTGCTTGTCGTCACTTGAAATATTGTGGGCGACTGGAGTAATGGGAGTAGGAACATGTTGCTTGTCATCAGCTGAAATATGGCGGGCGACTGGAGTAATGGGAGTAGCAACATGTTGCTTGTCATCAGCTGAAATATTGGGGGCAGTCAAACACTCTTGAGCTGGGCTTGGTGCAGGAATACGCACAGTTGGCCTGGTGTCGGCGCTAGCAGGGTCGGCATTCCGGATACTGTCTACACCATCACCCTGTTTACCGGTCACTGCTGCAGTCGCAACACCAGCACTAGCGGGGTCAGTGCAGGTGCTGGCCAAATTTGCATTGCTTTGTTCATGGTGCTCACTAGTCACTGCTAAAGATTCAATGCCAGCACTAGTAGGCCGAGTGGGGTCAGGGCGGGCGTTGGCCAAACCTGCATTGCTTTGTTCATGCACTGGCTGCGGACTTATTGCGCAGGCTTGTAGCGCATCATCAACATCAGCTTCTAAAAGCAGCCGGGCCTTCACTAGTTCGTCTTCGGATACTTGCACGGCGCGCCCAGACAACATACGGAAGGTGGCTGGCCCATTCTTGTTGCTCGTGTCCACAACTTCCTGAGCTGCCAGTGAAGTCGGAGTGCAAGTGACCGGCGGTCTCTGAACTTCTCGCTCTTCGCTAGGAACGACAGCGGCAAGAGTTGAAGGTGATGCACCAGACTCCTGAGGCAGAGATTTTGACTGTCTCAACTGAGTGACCATGGTTGGGGATTTCACGGCCGGATGATCGGGTACCACAGCACATGGTGCATTCAGCGGCATGGGAGTGCTTTTATCACGATCATCTGGATAACAAAAGAGTCTCCCCCTTTTTTCTGGTGCCTGGGAATCCACGGCCATTGGTACTTGGCGAGATGTTGAGGGTGTGGCTGCAGCTATCGCTCTGAGAGACCTGCGTTCGTCTGGCGTATCCGCAACACCTGGGGGTGATGTAGCAGTGGACAAGGCTGACGTCACTGCAGCGGTCTTGACTACGCTGCCACCCGATAGCAACTGAGCTGGACTTCGCTTATCCACAGCAGCGTAGTCTCCGAACACTGCGGCTGATAAAGATGGGGAACCACTTGTTTCCTCCGCAGCACCAGGCGGCATAGGGACACGCGTGTGAGGCTGTGTGTAGTCAGAAAACAAGGCATGCTCCGAGAAAAGGGCCAGCTCGCTATACAGCTTCTCCTCGTTCATACCGGAAATCGGAGTACAAGGTGGCTGTCCTGGCAGCGAAGGAGAATAGCTAGCAGCTCCACCACTGGAGGCTGCACCCGGTGTAGGCTGCTCGTGAAGAACACACTCGAAGGACAATTTTTCAGACGATGCTGGCTGCTGCTCCTCCTCGGTTTCAGGCATATTGATGCGGCAGCTCTGAGCCGATACAGTAGAGATTGTCTGGCAGCTTGCTGCTCTGGCATGCTCAGCATGCAGTTTGTGCTGTGAAGTGGATGACTCCAGCTGCGTAGCCGGTGCACCGTGGTTGTCCCCTGAGGGTACTTCGGATTCGATCTTGCCCTTGCCGCCTTCGCAGTCCCCGGCTTCACTGCCCCGGTCCTGATCTCGCCACAGTGTATGGCTGGACTGCGTTGAGTGACCCTTTCCACCTTCACCGCCAGTGAACAGAACACGTCCATGAGGCTGAAGGAAAGACCATAGTGAAACACATACAGTACAGCCGAGCATCAATCCAAATTGGAACAGTGCCTAAGAAGACAGGAGGTAAGGGAATTGTGAGGAGTACAGAATAAGGCATAGGGAGGGAGAGTGTGTGTGTGTGTGTGTGTGCGTGCGTGTGTGTGTGTGTGTGCATGTGTGACTGAGCCTATGGTGGGCAGAAAAGTTTTCATTGAAGAAAAGCAACTGACCAGCTGGCATACACATCACTTCAGTGCAGCACTAACCTGGCGAGAACGAGATGGCGTAATGGTCGCTGAGATTCCTCGGCCCTGCGTACCTTGCCCATGTCGCTGCAGTGTGTGTGGGGAACCTGCAAATGGAAACAAGCACATAGGAATGTTTTTTCAGAGTGATAAATTTAAAGGTGTAAAGAACCACGATTTACACGAATGATTATTCACATGAGCATCAATGAACGAACGAATAACTTGGTATACGAAAATCGTAGTAGAGTCCACCATTCTCCACATAACCGTGATTCACTTCAAAAATAATATGAATAGGTGTTTCCCAAAGCCGCCATTATTCTCCAAGATGCCACGACTCGCCTTAGTCAGTGCCCAAATGCTGATAGAAGTGGGATTACCCTCACAGCAGTGCCAACATGTATCCCAAAGCCGTTACCATGGTGATCAGAGCACTGGAGCAGCAGTAAAAACTCAATATATGTAGCATTTTGGCAGTCCGGCCGAGCAGTGACAAAAATAGCACCTATTGAGAGCACGTACTAATGGGTCGGGAGCAAGACAGTGCAAACTACCTGCCATTTCTTTTTTTCCCTTTTCTTTTCCCACTCACGCACACACACCTCAGACCTGCCCATCGCGGAAGCGATGATAGCGAACAGCTATGTTAGACATAGCAACTTGTGCTGGGATTACACCATTCAACAGCTTGCAAGGCTGATGAATTGACCGCCACTATTTTTAGCCTGGTATCCACCACACAGCTGATTGAAGTGACTTTTTCTGGCCAGTGAATCCCTATTTTTCATTTTTCCATTTTTTTCTTCTTTTTTTCTTTTCTTTTTCTACACACACGCCACACCACATACTCCGGCATACACTGGCTGTTGGTAACCACCCAGGAGAATGAAAGAAAAGTCAGAAAGAGTTCGAGAAAGAGAAGAAAGACGTGTGCGACCATAATCGTCGGGAATTGAACCCGCAACCTCTCGATTGGAAATCGACACATACCACTGCACCATATGGGACACACACACACACATACACACCTCAGATCTGAGGTGTGTCAGATGTATCACAAGAGCAAAACAAATGCTGTTCCATGAGATGGATAGACCTTTTCACGGAATTAGTTCTTCAACAAATACTCAAGATTGATTCAGCAGATCATCTTTTTTTGCGAAAGAAAAAAAAACAAGCGCGAGGCACCCATCAAAAATCACGATTAGTGGCGTGTCACCTCCTTGTATTTTACTACTCCCTGATTGACACGTACACACACACACACACACACACCATGTACCATGTATACGCCCGTCGCAAGAGAAGCACGCAAATCTGCATATGCACTGGATATGCACCCACAGATTTTCTCTTATAGCAACGATAGCGAACAAGATCTGAATGAGACAGATCAAGACTTGCGCCAGATAACTGTCTAATCCACACAACTGGCGAAGCCATGTGAATCGACCACCGATACACACCTGGTCTACACCACACGGAGTACATCAGCATAAAACGGCCAAGACAGTTACCTATGCACACCCTACACTTGCTGGGGTAACCAGTACAGACAGCACGTTGCTTTGATAGAAGCAGACACTAGATGCACTGGTACCTTGAAGTGAAATTGGAGTTACTTTACCAACCAGCCTCAGCTACTGAGTACTGGGAACCCAGAGCCAACAGACATACCAACAACCTCAGCCATGAAAGCCATTATAGTAACGACACACTGGATTGTGGAGCCGAAACTAGTCCAACTTCCAAATGCTTTGGCAAGAAGGTAGCCTTCCAACAGGTTGCACACACACACACACACACATACACACACACACACACACACACACACACACACACACACTCACACACACGCACGCATGCACGCAGTCAATTCTGCCGCCACGAGTCCTATTCGGGACGGATACGAGAATAATAATAATAATAACTTGAAACTCGGGTATTGAGCCAATAAGAAAAGTAGAAAGGAAAAGGACATATCTGACTGTATAATAGTATCTAGTTACAGTGGTGGAGAGTTACTCTTAACTCGTTTCCATATGTCCTTTTCCTTTCTAATAATAATAATAATAATCGTGTGACGTACCGTCAAACGTCGTCCCGTCAGAGCCCGTCGTGTACGCATCTGGTGAAACGGCGGCAGTCACATTCAGATTGAACTGCGAGTCAATTGGCGTCTCAAGCGACTTGCTCCAGCGCAGCACGGGCTGTTGCAGAACGCTTGAGAAGCTAGGTGTGGCGGCGGCCGATTTACCAGCGCTCTCGGACTGCGCACGGAGGAATAGAGGAACACAGAGGTGCAGCAATACTTACTAACCCAATGCCAATCTGGTATAGGAATATTAATTTATTGGAATACTAATCTGCTATGGGAGTCGGCTGCAACAAAAACAGTTGGATATAAAAAGAGAGCCGAATGTAGCCGAAAAGCCCATGATCCTGGCATAGCCCTTCTATCAGCCCAACAAAAAGAACTGCGGGTAAAAATCGACTCGACAAAATGCCCAGATGGGAGGAAATCACTGAAACGCGATCGGAATCAGATATTACACCAGATACGAGATATCGCCCGGAACAACTCTGAAGCCCGCCTGGACTCCTTCGCTCAAGAAGTACACCAGATACGAGATATCGCCCGGAACAACTCTGAAGCCCGCCTGGACTCCTTCGCTCAAGAAGTAGAGAAGCTGAAAAAAAATGCAAGGGTCTTCCAAGCAGCCTCTTTGCTGCGGCGGCAGTCTCCCGCGCCATTGGTTGTTCATGACGCTCTTGGACGGATAATCGCCAACGATAAAGAAGCGGCAGAGAAGGTAGCTGACCACTTCAGGCAGCAGTTTCGGGATCCATCCGCAGTAAATGATATTCTGAGACCGCTGGGCTCGAAGTATCTTGAAGAAAGGATCAGCGCTGCGGAGGTTGCCCTGGCAATTAGATTACTGAAATCGCAGAGGGCAGCTGGGCCGGATGGCATCCCCGGGGACCTGATCAAGCATGCTGGTGAGAGGGTCGCACATGAGATCGCTGCCATTCTAAACCAATGTTTTGCGGATGGCAGTGGAATGGATCTTGGATGTGGAACACTAATCCCGCTCCCGAAACCAGGGAAACCCAGAGGGCCGCTAACCAGTATCAGGCCAATAATACTCTTGAACTCTATACGCAAATGCCTGTCAACAATCACACTTCGCAGGATTATGCCAAAGATTGACTCCTACCTATCTCCAACCCAGAGCGCTTCCCGTCCGGGTCGGAGTACCGCGGATATTGTCTGGTGTGGCCGGTGGCTGGCAGCCAAGGCTGAACGTTTCAAGTGGCAATGTACGGTCCTCGGAATGGATATGAGCAAGGCGTTCGACACAGTGCAGCGGGGAAGATTGGTGGAGGTAATGAAACAAATAGTTAACACAGATGAGGTACGAATGGTGGAGATGTTGTTGCACAACACAAGGCTAAGAGTGAAGATAAAGAATGCGCTCTCGGCAGAATTTCCAACATCAATAGGCATCCCACAAGGAGATAGTTTGTCGCCGGTGCTATTCACCTGTTATCTCGAAGCGACAATGCGTTGCCTGCGTCCCAGGATATCGCCAAGACCTGCCATACTGAATATTGGAGGGACAGCCTACACGACTGTCGATATGTCCATACCTTGCGAAACAGCATACATGGACGACGTTAACCTGTACTCCACGGACCGTCAACATCTAGCGTGCGCACTAACAGAGGCAGAGGTAGTGTTCAAAGAGTGGAACCTCAACATCAACCCTACCAAGACCGAGTGGACCCATCTATACCAAGAAGAGGATGTTGCAAGAAGAGGTGAGGAACGATGGAGGTCCACCCGGTTGCTTGGTTCACTGTACGGAGTCACAGAAGACCTCAAGCGCCGGCGCCAGCAAGCCGCAGCTGCCTTCAACACACTTGTCAACCTGTGGATGCGGAGACAAGTTATCTCTGAAGCAACCCGCCTGAGGTTGTTTGATGCATTTGTGCTATCTATTTTGACCTACAACTGCGGCGTGTGGGTGCTTTCATCCCGGGATGCTACAGCAATGGATGCGTTCCACAGAAAGCAGCTCCGCCGTCTATTAGGGATATCTTACCCGGAAATTATCTCCAACACAGACCTATATGCCCGCTGCAATGCCGAGCCAATATCCGTACTAAGCAGAAGAGCACGGTGGAAACTGTTTGGTCATATTCTACGCCTCCCTGAAGCAACTCCAGCGCAGGTGAGCATGACAGCGTATTTCCAGCGACAGAATCGGGGCTGGCTCGGACGCCCGCGCATCACCCTACCAGTGGTGATAGACAACGAATTAGCTAAGGCAACGTCCATGCGTCTCCGGAGTCTGAAGGACCTGGAGACACTGCGTTTGGTGGCTCGGAACAGGCAATCATTCAACGATATAATCGCACAGGTCACATTGTAGAGTGCAGATCACCTAGTGCTTTCAACAATAATAACGTACTTCCACATTATGGGAATTTGGTATAACCCCACACCCGTCATTGTTGAATATTCGATAATAGCGTGGATTTCCCCAACAATAATTATATTTTCTTTTTTTGTTATCCTCTCCCATGCCGTTGTACATAAGCGGCTTGCCGCGGATATGTCAATACTACTACTACTACTATGGGAAGATGATGAATGTTGAAATCTGTACTCATTTAACTAACTACATGGACTTAAAGAATACTAGTACATGTACATGCCAATCTGGCCTCGCCAAAATACAACTGCAGGTAGGTGGCACATAATACAGACAGGAGCTGTAGTTTCTTTGCTCCGGTACACATTAAAAACACCCAGCACGTAGCAATCCACAGGGCACAGCATGATTATAGTACACTGCGCGTATAGCGTCAAGCAGAATGAAACGCTTACCTCAACGGGCACTGTCGAGGTGGTAAAACCTGAATTCAGTCATGGCAGAACAGGAAAGGCAGAGGTGAAAATTACGCCGGTCAAATATGCAACCAGTTTCTACACCAAGTTATATTAGGAATGGTTGAAATCGGGACGACAAGAACACACTGCATCTCGACACACAAAAATCCAGAGCTTGTCCAAAGGAAATGAGGCGGTGCGACAAACACTACAGGGAATATGGTGCATGTCTTCTGTATTCGTATTTATGGTCTCTCCATAGGCCCTGGCCTACTTTGAGGGAGTGTGCAGGCAGAGTTTTGATTTTAAACATTGTTTTTTTTACTATTCCACAACCACAATGCCAATGAACATGACTGTGATGCGGGCGATTTTAACAAGCCATGGTGCTGCGCAATGCATCAAACTATAGCACTTACTGCCAGACGTGTCACACGTCGCAAGTTCCCCATCAGTGTTGATCCTGTGCACGCAACACCCAAAACACCAAGAATTCGCCGTAAGTTACCGGGCAGTAGAGTGCCGATTCTCTGTGCCCCTCTGTAGCAGGGCAGTCTCCACGGGTGTGGATAAGCAGTATGTTTGGATATTAAAGGGAGCAAGCACGCACGCATCCATCTAAAACATGCACATTTCCCCAGCAACAGATAGCACAGCACACGATGCAAAGAAAGTGCATACCTCCCTGCCACGCGTCTTCTTGAAGGCGTGCTGCAGAACGATGGCAGAAATGTCGGTGGCACCAAGTCCACGTCGGGCTTAGTTTCCACTGCAGCAGCAGCAGCAGCTGCCATGGCAGATGCTGTAGCCGTAGCCATCACTAGTTGACCGTTACACAGGGTCAGGCTGCTGCCGTCGTCCGTACTCTCGTCGGCGTTAGCGCTGCCCGGACCCTCCGAGAACAGTGCCACCGACTGCGGAGGTGACATGACTCTGCTATTGTTGTCGTTGCCGTGAGAGACGTGCGGCTGGCTGTCAGAGAAGAGAGCTGCGGACTGCGACGCCGAACGGCACTCAGATACCGACACATCCCTCTCGGATACCGACACATCCCTCTCGGATACCAACACATCCTTCTCGGGTGATGCCGGCGACGCTACTGCGGCTGTGTGTTGATACGATGGGAACTGAGCTGATGGCAATTCAGCCGGTGACTGCAGAACACTGCCAGAAAGAAGCTCTCCCAATGGCACGGGCTGAGATTTAGCATGTTCATCACTTGGCGATCCAGGCGCGTGTAGCGCCAGTCCGGGTGATGCGTTCTCCGGGGACTTTAGGCACAGCGGTGGCAAGGCACCCGGCGGGCTGGGAGAGAACAAATCAGCGGACGTGTCCACAACGCCGCCATTGCACTCAGTGCATGCCGCACGGCCGTCAGTGCCCGGTGCCGTGTCAGCTACGAATACATCGTCTTCGGTGTCAGCAAGCGCATATTCTGCGGTAGTTGCTGCTGCTGGACCAGCCGGCAATGACAGGGAATTCGCCTTTCGGCATTCCTCGGCTGTTCTGTGGTCCAAGCACACAAATTCTGGCCACCGGGATGAGTCTCGTGCAATATCTATAGGGTGGCACATACAAACACGCACACGTGTACACACACACACACACACACACACACACACACACACACACACACACACACACACCATGTACACACACACACACACACACACACACACACACAGTATTGTCCACTCACCTAAAAAGACTTCCAATTTGACATCACGCTCATGGTCTGCCACACTAGTTCATTATACAAATGACTCGCTGGCACATGAGGATCGATTCAATTTCTGATGAAACCTACACATTTACACATTTTGAACTTTCAAGTTTAGCTTATATTTCACTTCTTTTCGATCTTGCATGGTTTGCACTCACCGGAATCGAATTTGTCTACGAGAAGGGAGAAAAATCCAGATCTCCTTTGATCAGCTATAGTTGTGCTTGTTTTCACATCTTCATCACTCTCAACAATTCGCTCGCTGTTCAATTTGATGGGAGCCAATTCTGAAGATTGGCTGCACGTCAGCTGAAGTGCGGACATGACATTTTCATTACAGCTGGCTCAGAAAAAGGCAAGTAAACCCAACTTGCAAACCCGAATCCCCATTCCATTTGAGTGCAACATCTCAGGGTGTATTCAAAACAATTTCATCATGACTTTCATCATGTGTATCTTTCTGGACAAGACCATTCTCATTCTAGCATGATCTGACCAGCTGACCAGATACACGCGGAACATGCTGGACGTAGCGTGCTCGAATTTCCCGCCAAATGCTCCCCATGCCATGGCCCACCGCGTACCGGTGCACCCTACGTCGCGGAGCATGGCAACAACGCAGTTGCCATAACGTAACCCAGGACGCTACATAGACCCACACGTACTGTATGCGTGCACGGCTTTGCACGCTTGCCAAAAAAAATCAGCAGCAAAATGGGAAAGCTCAGTTCAAAACATCCAAAGCGTTTCGCAGGTGTCAATGAAAGTCAAATGTTTGGATGTGAAAGATTTGTTTCTCCTTGCGCAAAGTTTGAGCTCGAATTATAACCCTTTGGCTGACTCTTTTGTGGCATCGGTCTGGCATGGTAAGGCACCAATGATATGGCTCCGCTGTAAATGCTGTCCGAAACCCAGTGGATGCTGTGCGTTCATTTCTTGCAGGCAGCGTATAGGAAAGGTGCCACAGGAGGTGCGAGGAAAAAGGCTGGTACGTGACAAGAGCATTGAAAACTTGGTGAAGCAGTAGGGGTCACTTGTTCACCTACATAGGTACATGTATATGCTAACATCATGGTCAGCAGCTGCAATGTGATGTTATATGCAAGCACAGTTTAGACACTTTACGTGTTGCACTCGCTGTACATGTAAATGAAATTTACCAAACTCCACCACACCTTCAACTTGCCATTTCAAATCCGTACATGTACAGTACGTGTGAAAGTCGAATCATAAGTCAGTGTTCCTAATCATTGATACACCCTGGCGTGACAACTTTGTAAGGAATCGCAATGATGAGAACTGCGCTACTGCCGAGCGCCGACGAAGAATGACACTCACAGGCTAGAAATCCACCCAGTACTGAGTACCGGTATGAATGTGGCCACTCGACTACACATAGACTGTAGCATTTGTTGAAATAAGAACGGCAAGGACTCTGACCCCCCCCCCCCCCCCCCCCCCCGCATTCTTCAGCGCCCGACAGTACTGCAGTGATATCAGATCTATATGATATCAGATCTATGTGGTGTAGATGCAGACCTACTAGTACCCGCAACCGGCTCACCTTACTACTGAGTCGTTGCCTCTGATCTTCTCGGAGGCGAGTCACTTCCCGCCATGCACTTCCTCCTCCACGCGCTGTACATCAGCTTTCCTCTCCACCAACTCCTTCTCCAGTATACACTTTTCTTTCTGCTGGTCGTCAACTAAGTCATGCGCCCTGCGAATTTCCCCCTCCTTCTTCAACAGCAGATCCCTGAGTTCCATGGCCAACTCCTCCGGGCGTTGCACCTCACCAACAGCCTGCTCGGACTCCTTTACATCGGGCAGAGACTGCTGTACATCTGTTATTGCAGATACCAGTAGATCACTACTCATGTAATAGGTTTTTCATTTGACCCGACGAGACCATACGACGCTTGCAGACCACAGCACGAACAGTTCACCAGCCACACTCCACGAAAGCAAGTAGTATTACTCCTGACAAGTCTTGTTTCAAGCGTCGTATGGTCTCGTCGGGTCAAATGAAAAACCTATTACTACTATTTGACGGACCTATTGATTATGGCAACAAAGAATTATCACTACTCATGGCATGCATGTTCTGTTTGCTTGTTTTCTGTTTTGCACACAAAGGCCCGAAGACAGAGCTGACGGAGGAGCAGAAGCAAGAGATCAGAGAAGCGTTTGATCTGTTCGATAGCGATGGAACTGGCACTATCGACACAAAGGAACTCAAGGTGAGGTGCTGGTGTCAATACAAGATGACTGTGTGTGTGTGTATGTGTGTGTGTGTGTGTGCGCGCACGCACGCACATGTGTGCGTGTGTGTATTAAAGTCTTCAAAGAAGACCTTTCTAATACATATCAACCACTGCGCCTTCAAACCTGCATTTCAGACTACATGTACCTTTCGTGCGCTCATATCCTCAAGCCATTTTTTCTTCTCTTTTTTTACGCAGGTTGCAATGCGTGCACTTGGCTTTGAGCCCAAGAAGGAAGAAATCAAGCGCATGGTTGCGGACATTGACAAAACTGGCTCAGGTGAGGTCACATCGTCCGTTCTGATACCGTCCGTGCGAATTATGTCACCTGAAGGGTTTTTTGAAAAGAAAGGCTGGAAATGGGGTTGAGGAAATGCACTGCTAGCGTAGTGAGGAATTGCGACTCGGTGTTTGTGTGGCTGCACGGGGGCAGTGGAGGATGTCCTTTTTTCCTTATTTGGACTTCACTTGCAACTGACTCTCTTTTCTTTCTTTTGCATCATGTGCTTCACAGGCACGATTGACTTCAATGACTTTCTTCAGCTGATGACGAGCAAGATGGTGAGATTGTTATGAACTACCCGTAACAGACGCCACTGCTTACTCATCCACGTGAAATTCTACGTATATGCTAGTGAATGGAGTGCTGAAGAAAACTACCTGTATTTTACGTCATGATACATCTATCTTCCCCCCCCCGCAAGACACGCACAAAAAGCTGCGAAAACAGAAACCACGCGCCTTGTGTCCTTGACTATGTACTCTTTGTTTCTGCTTGCATTGATACTTTTTTCGGGGTTCCCCATTAAAACTGCTATGTGCTGTTCAGTGTATGTACTGACAGTCTGTAACAGTTTTGTGTGAGAATAGTTCTTTGTGATAAATAGTTGATATTTTGTGTGTTTCTATTTTTGCAGGGCGAGAAAGATTCAAAAGAGGAAATCCTGAAAGCTTTCCGGTTATTTGATGAAGATGAAACTGTGAGTGTTGTGTCCGTGCGTTTACGATCAGTTGTGTAGTTGTCGGACTTGTGATTTCTGACTGGCTCTTGTAATGACTGAATGAGTGCGACAGGCAGACAGACAAGAGAACCCCTCCCCCTCTGTTGGCGGGGGGGGGGGGGGGGGTAAAGAGAGAGTGAGTGAGTGAGATGCTGGAGTAGTGAGGTATGTTTGTTTGTACGTAGCACGAAACGCACCTGAGACACGTGATGTGAGTTTTTGCTGTCGGAGACCCCATCTGCAGAGTTGCACACTCTTGGGGGGCTATATACTCTTGACACAAGTTGCCAGTACTCGTAATCATATTTGGACCGTCTGAGTGCACTCTCTTTATTATGTTGTATCTATCGGGACCCGACGTCACGCCTTGATTGGGTCTATTGGAAGATATCTTCTTATGCTGGCAATGTCTTCTGTTCCTTGACTGTCTTAGGGGAAGATATCATTCAAGAATCTTAAACGTGTCGCCAAGGAGCTTGGCGAAAATCTTACCGATGAAGAACTGCAGGTACGGGCAAGGCTTCATAGTTGTATGCAGAGCGCGACGGACTTAAACTGTCCTCTATTTTGTGTCTAGTGCTGCTGCTGCTGCTGCTGCCTGCACAAGCGAAAATCTAGCAATTCTCTTTTTCTGGTATTTCCATGTATGCAGTGTTGAGGAATAATCCGATCTCCAGTGCTGCTAGCTGCGAAGCGTAAAACAAGTGTGCTGATGAGCCCAGGTTCCCAATGACGTTGTCTTGTATGTTGCCCGTGTTCTGCAGGAAATGATCCAGGAAGCGGACCGGGATGGCGACGGTGAGGTAAACCAGGACGAGTTTCTTCGCATCATGAAGAAGACGAGCTTGTACTAGACCCCTGTGCACGCCGTCCCGCTCTACACCCCTGTGTACGTCCCGGCTCGCTCTACACCCCTGTGTACGTCCCGGCTCGCTCTACACCCCTGTGTACGTCCCGGCTCGCTCTACACCCCTGTGTACGCCGTCCCGCTCTACACCCCTGTGTACGCCGTCCCGCTCTACACCCCTGTGTACGCCGTCCCGCTCTACACCCCTGTGTACGTCCCGGCTCGCTGTAAAACACTCCCTTAGGGTTGTGGGTAACCTGCAAAATTATATTTTCCCGGAAGTCATGAAACAAATTGATATCGGCTGGCCTGATGTTTTATATTAGCGCTCACCCTCTACAGCCTTTGTTGATCAATGTGCGGTATGCTTTTTTTTTAGTCTTAATGTATCCTCTCATGCTAGATGCAGCGCTGTTGACACTGTTGTTTTTCTCAACGCGTTCCTACTCAGAATACAATCATGATGAAATGTGATCGAAGGTTGCTGTTCGAGGCAAACGAGGTCCGTTCTTCTGTTGTCATGAAAATTCATAGGATAGTGTATATCAGTTAGGACTTTTCAACGTAGCATAGTTTTTCAGAATTCTGTTGTTCTTGTTTCTCTCTTCTCTATTAGTATTTTGTTTCCCTTTCATCCACCTGAACTTGCTCACGCCGCTCTCTGCATCCATGCGTTCTTGGACCTTTGACTGTTTTGAAAACAAGAATATTTGCCATTAATTGGCCACCAGCAGGTGATGTGGTTGCTAGTTAGAATCTGAACACACCTTCACAACAGTTTGCCCAAACAGTGTTCGCCTATCGGTAGGACTGAACCACCAAGGGTACACAACTAACAGGGTACAACAACGTTTATGGGGTATACAACAGCTAATGAACTGGGCAGCGTTCTATAGCCACTGACTACATGAGACTGTGTGAGAGTAGAGGATATTGCCACCAAACTAGCTCATTCACGAAAGACATGTAAATCAAATGCTGTACAAGACGTGATCAGACAAAGAAAAATAGTTGTGGGTTGTGCGTGGAGTAACATGGGTCCAAAATCCAAATGGAAGTGGGTAGTCAAGCGAAAGAAAATGAGCCGGTCATATAGAAAGGGTGGGGGTAGTTGGACAAGATCAAGAAAGAGAAAACCAAATTGTACACTAAACAAAAAGCACGAGACTAGAAAAGGAAACCTAAGAGGAGAGACAAGGCACTGTGTATATCGTGAACAGGGAGCCGTACCCAAACCAGTTTTGCATGGGTAACATCACGGCTCCCTAACTATAAAGGAGAAGGCGATGAGCAAATAAGTATTCTTTCATTCTGTCGAGTCATATCGTAAATAATAATGGGGATGACACTTTTGTATAGTTCCATGCTGAGAAAATCATTGAAGCGTATGTGATCATAGAATCGGGTTATTTATGATGAAACGTATGATGAGTAGAAAAAGTACCAAAAGTACAAGGGCTCTAAGAAAAACTCAAACAAGATTATTTCTTCCTCTTCTCCTTCTCCATTTGCTGGGCTTTGGCAGCTTGTGCTTGGGCCGTCTGCGCCTCCGAGCGATGTTGACGGAATGCGGCAATCTCATCCTCCTGCGCGGGTGCAGAAAGCAGTAGCAAGAGAAAATCAACCGGTGTGAAAGAGTGATGCAACAGGCTAGGGATGATGTGTTGGATCATTATGCCGCCAGCAAGAGCTGTATTGTCCGATGTCAAGTCCACACCGGTGTTTGAGTGTAAAAGTAGCCTAGTGTTTAGTCACTACAATCATATCAGTAAGTTAGTAACAAGAGTACCGTATTTCCCGTGACACGGGGATACATAACAATCACTCTCTCTCTCTCCCCGTCTTGGAGACACAATGTCACATTCCAGTCTGTTCGATGGAAACCAATGCTTGGGGCATAAGACGCAAGGGCAATCAGGCTCCATTTTCGGAGAAGAAAACAACAATAATTATCTTGTTCCCGTAGCTATGCAGAAGACGTTACTTCAGTAACGTCTGGCGCTAGCCAGGGTCCACACAGCTTTAATTTGGTATTTGTTTGTGTGTTTGTTTGTTTGTTTGTGTCACGCCTGGCGCTATCCGTATCTGACGGCAAAAAAAGCATAGGATGTTATAAATTTTTCAATTCTCCTATTTTTTTTTCAGGCATATCCTGGGATTCGAACCCGCACTATCGCCCTACATGCATTCCCCCATACACTTCGCATTCACACCCATTCTTCCAAGTTGCTTCACGTTATTATCTTGCGTTTGAAAGCCCTATTTGAATATTGCAGGCAGCTGTATGTGGCCAGCTGTGTTTGATGGTACGGTACGGGAGACGGTGTCGTATTACCCTCGATCGTACCTGTCCCGTACCTATCCCCTACCGTACCGTGCCATCAAAGACGGCTGGCCACAATGCATATTCAAATATGGCTTTCAAATGCAAGATCACAATGTGAAACAACTTGGAAGAATTAGTATGTGTGCGAAGTGTATCGGGGGATGCATGCAGGGCGCGCGATAGTGCGGATTCGAATCCCAGGTTATGTCTTAAAAAAAAGGATTTTTTTAAAGAATTTATAACATCCCTATGCTTTTTTTTTATCTAGGTCATCAAGGAAAAAAAGCATAGCGTAGGGCCCTGAGCTTCCAAGCTCTCTCGTTGACTCCTGGACATACCGTATTACTTAGAGATAGATAGATAGATAGATAGATAGAGAGAGAGAGAGAGGCGAGAGTGAACAAAATTGTTCAATATAGGTGTACTACCAGAAGGTTGAATTCATTACAGATTGAGAGAGTTAAAAGGGTAAAAGTCTGAAGAAGAAAAGGACTATCACCACCACCCCAGGACTTGAACTAAGGACCTTCAGTTTGGACAATGATGCTCTACCACTAAGCTATGGGGTGGTCGCTATCCCAGAAGAGACCCACCCAACATTCTCTTCAGGCCATGAGACCCGGGTTTTCCTGAAAACTGCACAGGCTGGTGGAAAGGTTACCGACAAGAAAGACTCCACGAGTCAACATTCTCTTCAGGCCATGAGACCCGGGTTTCCTGAAAACTGCACAGGCTGGTGGAAAGGTTACCGACAAGAAAGACTCCATGAGTCAACATTCTCTTCAGGCCATGAGACCCGGGTTTCCTGAAAACTGCACAGGGTGGTGGAAAGGTTACCGACAAGAAAGACTCCATGAGTCCAAACAGCACTGTACATGTATCAAGAGATTCCCGGCCATTCCCGTATGCACTGAGTACTCTACTCACCAGAGCTGCCTTGGTCTCCTCCATTTCGGACCTCTTCTCCGTCACCATCTTCTTTAGTGCCTCCATCTTATCATAAATCTAGACGGAGCAGAACGAAGGGACCGGTCATAACAAAAGAAAAGGGTAGACGTTGAAATCGTGAGAAACGGAGTCCTGTGCATGTCCCATAACGAAACTACAACAGGATGCCAAGTTGCAAACAAATACAATAACGCCCACCCACATCCGATCGAGGTAGAATCAACGACAGGAAATGTAGAGCAAACCTTCAGCACAAAGTATTATTGTTCAACTGAAAGGGCACACTTCTCCATCAGAACAAGACAGTGCACACACACTGTGCGTTTAGTGATTAGCAGACCTATGCTGGGGGCTTTGGAAGGCAGCTAATATTGTACTATGTTAGCAAAAGCAATGCGGCAGTGTACTCCACATACACCCTTTTCAGCAATACTAACCGCGGCGCTTAGTAGTTCGCGAGCCCTAAAATTTCACCCACTTTGAAAAATCTACACAACAGCCCAGAAATGATGTGGCGCTTATTTCAGACAGGCGGTGATGAAAGACCGGCCCTATTTCCAGAACAACCAGTACCTGCTGGACAAAGAAGTTTGGACTCACCTCTTTCTCTTGCTTCTTCAGCTGTGTCTCAACAGCAGACACTTTCTCAACAAACTTTATCTTCATGTTTTCTTCTGCCTGGCTCATCTCCTTGAGGTGCTCCTCGCGCTTGGTTTGCAGCAAATCAGACAGTCTATGGGGAAGAGAGGACAATCCAAAGACACTCGATTACAAAGAGAAAGAGAGAAACGAGCATGAAACACTGAGGTTTATCATCGCGATCAAAGACTGAACAGCATAGGGCTCAATAACGACTTCTGAGTCTAATCAGACCGGACCCACTCTGCCCATAGCGACGTGTATGATGTGGTGGGTGGACCCCTCGTGTTGCACCCAGGTGTGATTTGTTCCTGTGCCAGGAGTGGGTCCCTGACCAGGAGGGCTCAGTCCAGTCACTACCGGTGGATGTGTCACTATGCTGTGACGCAAAACCACCCAAACGTGTATGGATCCATACAAAAACGGGATCCAACTAGATGCAAAAGTCGGCATCGCCCTGACTCCGGGCTGGCTGTGACATAGCACTTTCAAACCATATTCTTTTGCCGCTCTGACACCCTGTAGACTACAGATTGCCTATGGAGAGTTGAAGAGTATGCAGGATATTGCCAATGCCCACCGCGGGGAAACCACATCAACTAGCTGGGCTGTGCATGTGTAGTCGGGTACCCATGTTAACCACGAACCTCACAAGTAATCACATAAGGAAATAGTTAAAAACCTGATCGAGTATCATGCACATGCACGTATTGTATTGTCTGCAATGTTAGCAGCACTGTACAATGTATAAAATAGCTCAAAACAGAATGTCAAGAGTACGAATTTTTGGCCCGAAAAGGTGTTGGGGGGGGGGGGGGGGGGGAGGGGAGAGAAGGGCCTTAGACCCCGGTGTGGCTAACATCCTGGAAAATGATGCACATGTACATCGTGACGTTCGATTTCTTAGAAAACTTTACCTGTGTTGATCGCAAAAATTCACCCGAAGAAAACGCTATCACAAATTATGTACTGCAGCAAGAAATCACAACCATTACCGCTACCCCCCCCCCCCCCCCCAGTTTTACTAACTTCGTCTGGTGCGTTCCTATCATACATTCAATAGATTATTGGTTGGAGGAAAGTAATCGTATTCGACTTGAAAAGTAATGGTATGAAAGGCCTAGTCGAAACTATAATGGCTTCTGTGCTTTGTGTGCTGATCGTACATGCACAATGCACATTCACGCTCACCTGACTGGCTCATCTGACTCTCCAGCGGGCGAGTAGCCCAGCTTCTTCAGGGCTGAACGCCGGAATGTCTCGTAGTGGACTGCATGCGTGGACTCGCGCAGATCCTCCATGTTGGTGCGGATGAGCATCTCGCGCAGCTGTATGAAGTCGCAGTGACTTTCGTTTTCCACTGCAGAGGAATACGTGCGCATAGGGAGGTTGCAGTGTTTCGTCAACAAACCCATAGTGTTGTGAGCCTAGAAAACCCTCCTTTCGTGGTCTACCCATCCAAACTCATCTCTCTCTCTCTCTCTCTCTCTCTCCCTCAAACACACACGGAGGTGGAAACTCAGCTCTGAAAGGGCCAGCATGATGATTGCCCTTACCTTCCACAGTACCCCACGGGTACAGACGCGCCCTGACCTTCTGGCCGTTGATTTCAATTTCGTCACGACTGCCAATAACGGCAAAGGGCATGATCGCCTGGGCAAAGCAATCAACAAGAGAAATGTGAACACAAGCAACAAAGTTTCATATGAAAGTTGGTTGCTCTCAACATGGGGCAGCTTGCTTCCTTAGTCCTAGCACCTGACTCGAAGCATGTGCTCCCAAGGACGCGCTGTAAGCAATGAACTATTTTACTTGAAATAAATAAATATCGTGAAAAATTCCCACCACTGTTACAGGGGTGTAGCAGCCGGTCCGGCCTTTTTCGCCCGACCACGGCCAAAAGTGCCCAGAACGCAGGATTTTGCACCCTAATTTCACTGTTTTCCCGGGTGACAGTCCCCGCACCCCCCCCCCCCCTCCTGCCGGACCACCTCCAAAAGCGGTGCTACGCGCCTGCTGTACTATTTCCCTGAGCTTCATGTGCAGATGAGTTCATCATCATGCCATAGAGGATGTCATGGGATCAAAGATACACACTGTCCAAACCTCAACCGCAGGTGGAATCCTGACAATTTGAGTATTGCTCACTTCAAACTCATAAAGTTACCGCTTTCTTAGAGCTTTCTCCAAAGAAATCTGCTTACATGAAAAATGTGTTGGATTCCTGTTGATGCTTCAAAAGCTAGCAAGTAACAGTTGGAATTCAAAGTCCGCTGCACGCTATGCAGTACTGGTTAGTTCCATGCACGCGAAATCAATATGTCTATAAATGATGTATAACTTACTGCAAGTCTGCGTGACAATGCAAGCATGTTGACATACATAATGTGTTGTGGGCACATGTTTGGATAATAATAACTTCCCGATATTTTATAAGAAGTTTTCAAGGTGGTTTGTGGTTCGAATTATCAAGATTCCACCCTTACTTCCCAGTGTTTCATATGCAATAATCTATTTGAAGGAACTGAAAACAATTGGGGTACAGGAATGTGGAAGAATCGAGGGATGTGCTAACTAACGTTCATTTTCTCGTTGATTTCCGCCACCGTCTTGTCATCAGTCGGGAAGCGATAGATCTGGATGCCATTGTGCTCGAGGTCTTGAATGATGCGCTTCTTGAAGCGCTGTAGTTCATTTTTCGCAATCGTGTCAGCTTTGGAGATAACGGGTATGATATTAACCTGGAACAGGAAAGGAACGAGAAAGAAATGACAAAATTAATGTTTAGCAATTGATGAACTTAAAAAAAATAGCCACAGCAGCAAAGTAATGACAGTCACAGAGCCTGGAAAAAAAGTACTTCAGTACCTTCAAGAAAGCGCAGAGTGCGAACGACAAGATCATGTTAGCAGGTAATCTTCTTCTGGACTAACAATCATACCCAGCACTCACCCTGGACTGAAGCTGCTGCATGCATTTGATATCCAATGCCTTTAGTCTGCAGACATGGAAGAAAGGAAAGCGCAAAGTAAAGTTGATATAGTAAAGGTCAACCACAGTCAGGTATGGCCCGAATGCTGCGGCAAACGCCTGGAACATAAACACTTTGCTGTGTGTGTGTGCCTGTGTGTGTGTGTGTGTGTGTGTGTGTGTGTGTGTGTGTGTGTGTGTGTGTGTGTGTGTGTGTGTGTGTGTGTGTGTGTGTGTGTGTGCGCGCGCACGCGCGCGCGTGTGTGTGCATTGCAAACCTCACACTCAACACTGCCACTGCACACCTAGGCTGAGAGCACGCCATCACTTCACAAACAGCAAGGGTGCGAAGCACAATGGTGCAGTTCAGCTTATGGTGACAATGAAACTTGAAACGCCGAACACTGCTGCTGATCTTCTACTATGTGTGGGCTATGATGTAGACATAAATTTGGAGCTGCATCTGACATAGTGACATTTTATCAGTCGACATTCGTAGCAGAGCAAGGTAGTACATGGTATTATATTATGGGTAGGCAGGCAGAGAGACAAACAGAAGAAAGAGGGATAAGAACCAAAGAGGCTTACGAGTGTCCGGTGGGTGAAATAAAGTAGATGCAGACGTGTATTCTGGTGTCGCGGAATTGGTGCAGGTTACGCTGAATCCTCAACTCTTCCTGTAGGTGCCTGTCAAACTGCTTCTCAATGTACTCCACAACAGGGCCAGCACTGCAAAACAGAAGGCAGAATTGGAGAAGGATGCAAATTTATCAAGTGGATCAGTGCACACACACACACCGAAATTTCCGCGCTACCGAACCGTTGATTTTGGGAAATACCGAAAAATATTACACCACCGAAAATTCCCGGGTCTGCAGTAGTCACTAGTCATCATCACCTACCTGTCTGTTTTCTCCACCTGGTCACCGTACCCGACTGTGTCAATGACCGTCAGCTGCAAGTTTACTTGACTTTCCTTCAGATCTAAGAACAGGGTAAAGAGTTGGAGACATGGCACGTGAATGAGTGTTGAACGGTTGACACCTCCCGTGGCCCTCATATCGAACTCCTGCCTTAGTTAGAGGTACATGTACGGGTACTTGGCTCTGGGCTTTGGCTGCTTGATCCTCGTTCAACTCCAACTGAGACAAAATTTAAGAGTGAAAAGTCTGAATGTTTCCGTCATTGGCCACCATCAGCAAAAGCTGCCCTGCATAAACTATAACCAAGTATTAGTATACATGATTGTACATGCTTACTACTACAAGCAACCGGAGAAAACGGGCGTGCATGCATGCTGCAGCTTCACTCACGATACGTGTTCTCTTCCAGTGTAACTCCCTTGGGAAGCTCAGAGCAGTGGTTGTCTATACAGGGAGCACATAAAACACAAAACCCAGCAACCTCAAGCACTTTGAATTGCTCAGAAGGTAGAAGACAACAAGAGTAATGGAAACAGCAAATAGCGAGCACTGAACACCACGAATATCACATGCTTACCAGCCAGATCAGCTTTGAAAAGTGTGTCCATCAGTGTTGACTTGCCAATGCCAGTCTCACCTGAAGGGAGACAAAATTCCCAAGTTACAAACGTGGAAGTGAGGCAGCTACAAGCATAATACCGTACTTGCGCGATTACAGCCCTCTCTTGAATAGTGCCCTATCTCGAATAGTGCCCCAGTCTCTAAGAGCCAGTGAAAAACTAAAGCCTTCTCCTGAACTGTGCCCCCCTGCCCCCCCCCCCCCCCCCGGGCTTGCAGCAAAGCGCATGTCCAAGTTTGGTGTTCTTTTGCTAATGTTCTTGTCCATGTCATTGCATTGGTGGTTTCAGGATCAGAATCGCAGTTCTTGTTGCCCTTTCTGTTGAGTCCTGATAGTTAACAGTACACTTTACTGTCCCTCCAGAAACTTGTGGAGACATTTCGGAAATATCGCGGAAAAAGTGGCGAGGTAAAATACCACAAATTGCGGGGGAAAATTGCGGATTTTGTCAAACATTGCGGGATTATTGTGGTAAAATTGCGGAAATTGCGGCCGATTTTGGTGCTATACTGGGTACTTGTACTGTAGTGCGGTATGATGTACGAGTCGTACAGCATAAATCATGTAAATCATGCATGACAAAACAGAACGTGTGCTGCGCTGACTGTGTTCAACTGCCTGACAGGAGCTTGCAAGACAGCTTTCCTCCATCCTCGGACAACACTCGACGCGAGCCTTATTTTGTGACTTGTCAGCCGCTGATTTGCCCAGAAACTGGAGGGACAGACTTTAGGCTCTGTTTTTCTTTGGTTTCTTTGTTTTTATGCCGGATGACGTAAATGTACCAGCATTGAAAAACTAGTGCCCTGTCTTGAATAGTGCCCCATCTCAGCATCTGTGATGAC